GACCTCATAGGTAGCAGACTGGCCCTAATACTTCTGCGACCCGATTATTAGTATTGTTGCCTGCGCCAAGGCATCCACGGTTCCGCGCCCAGCCACTACAACCTCGACAGCCTTCACCTTCACCATGGCAATGGACGCCAAAGAGATCGAGCTCCGCGGCAAAGCCATCGGCAAGGCGGTTCAAGAGGGCGAACCGAGCGCCTCTATCCTCAAACTTCTCAATGACTTGAAGACTGGCGTGCACGCGACTGAGGATCTTTTGCGCTCCACACGTATTGGTGTCACGATCAACCGTCTGCGCCAACACAAGGACCCCGCAGTGCAGAAATTGGCGACCGAGCTTGTTTCAAAGTGGAGGGATGAAGTCAAGAAGAAGCAGCAGCCGAAGAAGGATGGTGCTGTAAAGGTAGCCGCGAACGGCGGAGCAGCATCGTCGCCCGCTCCTCCTGCTTCAGGCACCGCGTCTCCAGCTCCCAGTCAAGCCAAGAAGAAGCACGATGTACCTGCCGATAAGCGCAACCACAAGACAGACAACGTCAAGTACCAGGTCACTGGCAGCGAGGCACGCGATGCTTGTGTCAGGCTGATGTACGACGGATTGGCCTACATGAGCGAAGCAAGTAGGTAACAGTAAATCTGCTACTTGAGATGATACTAACATATTCAGTGCCGGACGAAATCCTCTTGGTCGCAAAGCAAGTCGAAGCCGCAGCCTACACCAACGCCGGTAGCGTAAACGACGGATACAAGGCCAAGATGCGCTCTCTATTCCAGAACCTGAAGAGCAAATCGAATCCCGCGCTCCGCAAACGTGTTCTCACAGGTGAGGTGCCCGCCAAGCGATTTGTCACCATGACACACGACGAGATGAAGTCAGATGAGCGACGAGCCTTGGACGAGAAGCTCAAGGCAGAGAACATGAACGAGGCCATGGTGGCACAGGTGGAGAAGGCCATTTCAAAGGAGTTCCAGTGTAGCAAGTGCAAGAAGAAGATGGTCAGCTACAGTCAGGCACAGACTAGGTCCGCCGATGAACCGATGACGACGTTTTGCGAGTGCATGAACTGTGGTAATAGGTGGAAGTTCTCCTAGTAGTGTGATTTGTGTGGCAGCAAGGCGCACAGGGCAGGGTGAGGGGCGCATCATTGCATTCTACGTTGAGATAGCGGGTTGGCGTTCGTTTCTACGGGGTTGGGGTGTGTGCGGTCAGAAGGATGAGACGTTTGGTTCATGACTTCCCATGAAGTAGCGACAGTAAAGTTTGTCATCTGTCTTGTTTTATTATTCTCAACAACTGGTCTAGTATGATCAACTTTTCGAACGTTTTTCTTGATTTTCATCAGTCAACTCATCCGTCTGTTGTATTTTAAGCGCCGTCTCCTTTCTACAGACCATCAACGTTTGGAATTCGCCACGCCAGTTGTTCTTCCATTGCCTTTGTGTAGGTCGGCCTTTCTTCTTGCTGTCTGGAGCAGACCTGGCTTGTACCTCAACCAGTCCCATGTACCCATTGTATTCGCAACAGCACTTTTACTTGAAAGGAGAGAGTTGTAGGCTTGAGACAAGGAAGAGACAAGAGAATAGAACAGTACGAGTGGGACGAGAGGAGAGAGAGAGAGAGAGACAAAGTTACACAGATTACACAAGCAACGAATTCAGTCAAAGCTATCACACAATCATGTCATACATACATAGCTTCTTTTTTCTTTCTCACTCAAAGCTCCACGCACAGAAGAAGTATATCATGCCATGTACGATTCTTCACTACCCCCTTGATTTTCTTCCTGTTCTCAAGGAAGGCCTAAGAGTAAGTGATTATGCACATTGACAACGCAAAAACATGGCGATGATAAAGGAGGAACAACGCTAGCTTGTCAACCAACCAAGCCAAGCCAAGCCATATGGGGTGAAAAGCAGAAGAATAGCAGCCAGAACGAGTTGGTAATTACAACGCTATTTCGTTCCAAAAGACACACACCCGTATATTGCCAGCATGGCCCCCGAAAAAATTGCAAGACGCTAAACGGATGGATGGATGGATGGATAGACAGATGGGGAGGTAGATATGACTCCAAAATGGCATACACACATGGATATGGAAATGGAGCATTTAAGCATCCTTTTCCCCTTTCCTCATTTCCTTTCCTCTCTTTCCCTTATTCACAGATCAAGACAAAACCAATGTAGGAGGATAGAGTGGGACTTTAGCCAAATCCACATCTTCCCAATATACCAGTATCCCAATATTCATTCATATACTCTTCTCTTTTCTTCTTCTACCCAATCGAAACGATGACAACGACAACGAAAAGCGTCGTCACTTGTTCCTAAAACTTAAACGTACTCTTCTTTCTGCCCAGGCTGAAACGATTCTTGCCATCCTTGTCGGGCGGCGTGTCTTGGATCGGGGTATCTGGGTGTGCAGGTTCGTCTGGGTTGGCGTTGCCATTGCCATGACCATTGCCGTGACCATGACCACTGTCGTGCTTGTCCTTGTTCGCGGTCCAGAATTTGGGTTTGGATTTTAGGCTCATGGAGGTATGTCTGAAGCGACTTAGACCACTCATGCCTTTTACGCTGCCAAAGCCGTTTACATGTTTCTCCTTCTCCTTTTCCTTTTCGCCGCCGCCGACGCCGCCAGCGCTGGGTGGTGGCACTTCGCCGCTTACACAGCGTTTGCGCTCCTCTTCCACGGCGGACGCTTTGCTGGCTTCGAGGACAGCGCGGAGTTCTTCTTCTTGTTTGCGGTAGTTTTCGCGTCGTTTCTGTTCCATTTCTTTGCGTTTTTGCTTTGCTGCCTTTTCCAGCTCCTTCTCGTGGGCTTTGCGCTCCTTTTCTTCTTTGCCTTTGCCGAAAAGGCCCAGGTTGCTCTTCTTTGCGGTGAGAACTGGGACTTGTGTGGTTATGTGCTCTACGGGGTGGTGGTCGATGCTCGTTTCGGCGCGTGCGAGCGGGGGTGCTGTGGCAGCGTGATCGAGACTGGCGAACTTGTCACCTTCTTCCACTGTCGGTGTCGTTGCGTTGTGGAAGGGGTGGTGTGCATGGCCATTGACGCCGTTGGTTTTCGGCGTCGTGACCTCCTCCTGTGCCATCTTCGCGGCTTGCTCAGCTGCGGCAAGAGCATCTGCCTCCTGCTCCTTCATCATAGCCTCTTCGGTGGTTTCCTGATAGAACAAAACATAGGCACATGCCAAAACGTTTTCTCCACCAAAGAAATTCCTGACATAGGCCTTGTCTACCGGCTCAACCATCTCGTCGTCGAAAAGCAGCCAACCTCGGTCTTGTGTCTTGATGATGGAAACATAGTGGCCGTGGTATGGTCCGCCTCCAATGTGCACTACTACCGCGTAAAGCTCGTACAGCCTGTCTGGGTCCTCGGCATCATCTGTAGTGTTGAATAAGCGGAGATAGAAGGGGTATACGACACGGTGGAACAGCTTCTGCAATCGCTGCAGATCCTCGGTATACTTGAATCGCTTCAGATGCAATGCAAGAATCTTGGGTAACCGCTTGATCTTCATCCTCTTCTCTGCCTCTTGCAGACCTCCGCAGTTGTCGCAATGGAACTTGTTCCGCTCGCACAACATTTCCTCTTCAGAGAACTTGCGCAAACAGCTCGTAACTGACGAGTGTTGCTCCAGATCGACGGACAAATCTAGGAAAGCCTCGTCTCGTTGTGATGTGTTCTCGCACGTCAGGCATCTTGTTTCAGACGTCAATGTGCCCTCAAACAGTTCGTGTACCCATCCCGTGTTCGATTTCGCAGAAACGGCCGAGTTTCGAAAGGGCACTACATCACCCGAAGCCGCTGTCGTGCCGTTCTCTTGGGTCGCGTCTACCTCGGTTATGCGATCTTTTGAAAACTGCTCTACATTTTCTACAACCTCGTTCAGTAGAAGATTAAGGAATTCGTGTGCGTCTTGATGCATGGGGGTTCGGAACATTTCGTTGTCGCGTCGCAGTATTTCGAGCAGCTTGTGAGGGCTGACTACGCCTATGCGCGACCTGTGTGCGATTACGGCCTCAAATATGTCCTTTAGTGAAGAGAAAAGGGATTCGTTCATGCCATATGATTTCGCGTTCTCATAGTCCATCTGCAAGACCGGGCCAGCGGCCAGGGCCTGCTTCTTCTTGTACTCTGGTGAGTCCTTGTTGTCCTCGGGCTTGTTGCCAGGGGGCTGGCCCATGGCGCCGGGCGTGGTCGCAGGCTTTACTGGTGTCCTCGCATTCGGGCTCGAGACAGACGTGCGCCCCGCGGGCGAGAGGGGCGTGTTCTGGCCATTCGGGAGGTTCGTGTTAAGCCTGAGTAAGCCCGACTGGGGCCTCTCGAGGGCTTCCGGGGGCGATCGAGCGGGGAAGTTGATGACCTGTTCTCGGAAGGGCACCGAGTAATACAGACATTGCACGATGGAGTTGCAGTAGCTGGCGGAATAGTCAGTGTGTGTTGTTGGTTGTGGCGTGGGTCGAGGATGACATACCATGTACTTCCAAACTACATGACGGGCGCACGTCGTCAGCAAGGCGGATTCCCGAAGCGCAATGCAGCAATTCGCAATTCACGTCGCTTACTTACATTCTCGAAGCCAAAGAACTTGTCGCTGCCGTCGCTGCGTACGGGACCGGCATTGAGCAGCAGCTTCTCTAGCGGCGTCGCTTCCGGCGCGTTGGGATCCTTCTTGAGTGGTATGCTACTGGTCGCAGGACTCAACGGCGGCTATAGGGTCGTCAGGACAGCAGTGGTTTTGCAGATCGGCCAAGGACTTACAGCGCCAGACTTGATGCGACTGAAAAAGGAACTCATGGCTGCAGGTTTTGGACGGGAAGCGCAGGTCTGGGCGGGGTGCAGAAAGGGCTCAACGTTTGCATCCGTACGAGGCTGCTTCAGGCGACGGGAAGGTGGGCGCAGGTGGGTAGAGAAGCTTGTGCTGGGAGTTGGCCCAGATGGTGAGCAGGCGCGTCGGGCAACATGGAGAGGACAGGACGGGACGGGCGAGGTCGCAGTTTAGGTGTTTGTGCAATTCACTGCGGCTTGCGGCTTGCGGCTTGGGAAGGCTGGCACGTCAGGGAAAGCAGAGCCGGGGCCCGAAAGGCGAGCGTCTAACTTACGGGCTACGGGACTAGATGTCCCATGCAGCCCGCCCTGCGCCCAGTGCCAGTGCCAGGAGAGAAGAGAAAGGCCGAACCCCACGACCCGGCACACGCACCCCGCCACAAGGCCGTCGGGAACGAGCTAACGCTGAAGCCACTGGTTCTCATCCAATGCTGGCCCGCAACTGACGACCAGAGGACCGACGACGTGGGGCTCCTCATACCGGCGAACATGCATGGAACAACCAAGAGCCTCGTCATGAAACCGCCTCCAGACCACCGTTGCAAACTCGACAAATCTCTCCCTCTGCTTCAACAAGCCCAGGCTCGCCTAACGCCAAAATTCCACCAGTCACGCGATGCACGCCATGCACACGAGCCGCTACGCCTCATGCCACCACCCCAAAGCCGTGTTGGTGGCCGCTGGCCGAGTCTCGAGATCGCCAGTCGAGATGGGCGAACACGCTTCTAGCGTCTTCCCGCACTGTGGTCGTGACAAGTTCCAGAGCATGACGACAGCAGGGCTGACTGCGCAGATCCTGCACACCTAAACCAGGGCATCCATCTACTGCCCCGCCATGGCCAGCACTGTAGTCATGACTACTTTGTGTATTCAAAAGCCTGCACACACGACATCGTAGCATGCAGACCCCTCTCCCGTCTCATGCACCACATGGCACATCCCCCGCAGCCTGCAGTGGGTCCTGTTAAGTCATGGTGTAGGGCCCAAACTACGACTAGTCAATAGCCTCACCGTCTGTATTTATAGCCTCACTACTGAATCTTTACTTGTGAACTTGTGATATTCTGACACGTGATCATGTCTGTATTACGACTTGAATGTCTGCCTTGAGTAGCTCAACAAGTCCCTGTGTCATCTTCATGCGTTACCATCAGCCCACAATCACTCTTCCACCACCCCACAACCACCCGTTTATCCGAACTCCATCTTCACCACATCCACAGAATAAACGACCCCAACATAGCCACCTATTCAGCCAACAAGTCCGTCCTTGCACCGCACTAAAAAAAATATACTAAACCGCTCGTCTAACATGAACGGCATGCTGAATGAAAGAACCTCCAACGCCCCCAGATGCTAATCACGCACAGTATGCAAACATAGTACATGGGTGATACAACGGCCAGAGCCGACAAGGAAACACCATCACAGTCGTCGCAGTCGCTTACCCGCCCCGAGTTCGATAGCTGTGCGGCTATTCAGAATGAGCTCTTCATTCCCGCCCTCGGGTGGGTTCGCTTGAATATACTCGCGTCGTATCCGCGCTGCTTCTATATCCCACGTAGCCACACGCTCCTTGAAGTCTGCCGCGTTTGCACTCGCATCGTCCCGTGCATTGCTGGCTTGGTCAAGGTACGGTTGTTTGACCGATTGCTCTGCTGTGCGCCACCTTAGACCTACCGCGTTTCGTATCTCTTGTTTCGGCGCTTTGGCTTCAGGGTTGCCCGTCTTGGCTTTGTGCGCGTCGTCGCACTCCTGCTTGCAAATGTACCAGAAATCCTTGGTAAACAGTAGAAAGGGGTTGACACCGGCGCGTCCTGGCTTAATCGGACGTTCGCCGATTTGATCTAGAATTGCCCCGATAATCGCAGCTTCATAGTCTTCGTCGCGCTGTATCCGGCTGGATTTGCTGTCCCTCTGTGGTCCTACAGCCGGCTCAAAACGCCGCTTCTCTCCACTTGATATTACCGAAGAGGGCTCCATCTTAACCACCTTCTTCTCAACGAGCGGGCTGGGTACCTTGATCGGTCCAAGCACAGTCTCAGCAACCTCTGCAGCCACCCGAAGACCTGACAGGTATGCACCGTGTACTGTCGCAGGGTGGGTGCCACAAGTTGCTTCCCCGGCAAAGTGCAGTGGCCCATGTGGACGCGCCATCACGTCGTAATCGCCCGTTTGTGTTTTTGGCCCCACGTACGAGTAACTACCCCGAGCGAAAGGATCTTTCTTCCAACGCGTCACAATTGTTTCCGTCGGGAGTGGGACGTGGTTTGGCGCGAACATGGCATCGAGTCGGTCGGTAACTTCTTTGACGAGCTCGTTGTTCGACGTGTTTTCGGCCCAGTGAGCGGCATCGCCTGCCATGAGCGCTACCAGCACTGGTTTACCACTCGTCTTGATACAGTTCCAGAAGAGGTAAAACCGTCCTCGCTTCTCAGAGTAATCCTCTGGTCGCATACTGGCTGCATGTTCAGCCTCATTGAGGAGGCCAAACATGTCCCGGTCTGGCTCCCAAAACGCCTTTTCGTACACGAGTATGATCTGTGTAGTTGGTTAGAAGACGCAGCGATGATTGGTTACTGGACTAACCTTGTTGAGGAGACCAAAGCCCATTCGCTCGATAACATCCTGCTTCCAATCGGGAAGTGGAGGCTCGAACTTGATCGATCCGGACTTCAGCACTCCGAGTGGAGTAGTAAGGATAACCTGATCGGCTTCGTAGATCTCTCCATTGGTGCACTCAATCCTGACCGCTTTGCCCACCTGTCGTTCCTCAGTGTCATAATGGACCGTCTTAATAGGCGTGTTGAAGCGGACATCCAATTTGGTAGGGCATTGCCACAGACCACGTGGAACTTGCTGATACCCCCCAATAACTTCGCTGTGCTCACCCTCAAATTCATTGCCAATGTCCTGATCCCAGCCACTTAGACTGAGCTGATTTACGCTGACGGCATTCGCATATTCGAGGTTGGCATGGTGCCAGCTGAGTAGACGCATGTCTCTGGGCTTGAGGTCGACCAATGACTGGTATTGTCGAAGACCTTCATCCATTGTCTGCCCGAGTGTGGGATACTCCGATGCCTTTGCGATGGTGTCAAGATCCAAAGACTGCGCATCCGTTGCCCCCGCTTTCAGCTTCCATCCCATTTGTTGTACCGTCGCTGCAGCTGTGACATCAGGGTTGAAGCCAGCGCTCAACTGATATGCCCTCCCTGCCAACTTCTCCACGCCAGTTGTTGGTTTCTCTTGTTTGGCCGATGCTATGCTTGTAGCATTTCCGGATAGAGAAGAATCTGAATCTTCCAGCTCAGCAATGGTCGGCCCGCCATTGTCAGCTGGGTCACGGCCAAGATTCATCTGGTCTCGATTGCCTTCTACAGTCATAGATGCTGCCGGCTTGTTCCGATATACTGCGGCTCGTTCTAGGACATCGTTGTACAGCTTCTCGACCAATATATCTTGGCCCATTTCTACCACGGTACCATCGTAGTCATATAGTATGGTGTTATCACGTAGACCGTGATATGGTATCGCGAGCTGACCTCGTATGATGGCGTTCAAGGGGTTGCCGTGCTCAAAACCTGTGACAATTTGGGCGCCCATTTCTGCTGTGCATCGATGTCCTGGCGGTAGTGTAGAGTCCTTCTGATTCAGGAACGGGTGTGAGTATACGCGACCGCCGACCCGTGGGCGAGCTTCGAGAATAATAATTCTTGGAGGCCGTTCACCCATATCTGTCAACTGATCTCCGAGCTGTGCAAAGAGACCCTCCAAGTGTCGCGCACATCCCAGACCCGACATACCCGCACCAACCACAATGATTGTGCGTCTGGTTGTGTTTTTGGCCTTTGATTTTGCAATGGTGCCGACAGTGTTGGGCACGTCAACACAGCCAAAATTTATGTAGCCGTTTCTCATGAGCCAAAGATATGCCACCCTCGCCAAGCCAAAGTAACGCTTGTCGCGCGCACACCCTGCAGCCTCTTCGAGAGAGACATATACCAGAGGATTTCGATGCCATAGACGTAGGATCGCGTTCCGGATGTTTAGATAGACGGTTACTTGTGCGAGAGTAACATGTTCGCGCAGCAGCTTATACTCGGCTGGATGTAAAGTGAACGGATTCAACCGGCTGCTTTCCGCTGCTAAGATGCACTGCCGACCAAATTCCGGCCACGAAAGTTCTGCGGGTATGCTGGAGCTTGCTTTCATCTCGACAACCCTTCCTTTGCTAGGAAGCGAATTCGTCCTACGATGCTTTTTCGGCTGCTCGCTTGATTGCTGGAGCTCGGGAGTAGAGGAAGCTTGTGATTCGCGACTCAGGCTTTGTGGCGTTCTTGCAATGAATCCCCCATCTCCCCTCTGGTCTTTCAATGATAGATGTGCTTTCGCTTCCTTTTCACTAGTGATGTTATGTTGAAACAATTCGCTCTGTAAGGATTGGTTGCTCTGAATATTAGTCACGCCATAGACGGCTGAGTTGGGCGTGAATGGATGCTGCAATGGCGAAGGAGTGTAGTTGGCCGCATATCCACCAACGCATGCACCTGGAGTAGAGTCTTCCCCTTCTTGACCAGTACTAGGTTCCGATGTATCGTGAGAGTATCCGTAGTGCACGGACGATGCACTTGATTCCCGGCCGTAGCCCAAGTCACTAATCGCAGGTGTAGGTGCGATGGCGCTCTTCAAATGTATGGTATCATTGGACATTGGCATTATGATATCATCTTGAGTTTGGTCGAAGATGTACGAGGAGTCATCGATTGCGGTGCGAGCGACTGTGGATTCGATGGAGAACATGGTGTTGGAGATCCGATGAAGGAGAACGGGGTGCACCTGACGCGGAAGTGACTACACAGCACAGTTAGTGAAAACTGTCGCCACCGCAATGACGATCCAAGGCCGGCAGCGAGAGAGGTTCGAATGCGCGATCATGAAAGATCTGGTTGAAGTTATAGCGATGGTGCGAGGGCGCGGGTAGGTGATGGATCGCATGTGGTGCCCAGCCTTGTGAAGGTCGAGGCACGAAAAGAAACGCACCATACCCACCTAGGCAAAAACCGTCAAAGCCAACCCGGCCATTCCTAACATCATCCCTCGCCAGCCCATTGCGAAGAGTCTCTTTACGCGCATCCATCGCAACAGTAAGAGCATGTGGATATTCTCATGGTCGAGGGGAGCTTGGCATTAACTCTACGCCGATGTTTCCCATAGACAGCCCCGCTCTGACGGAAGCGAGCAGTACAACAACACGTTGCGACACGAACATCCAGATATCACGACTACCGCTCGAAGGCCAATAACAATCCTTCGGGACGCATAAGACACGTGCAGTCTTCCCCTCACAATATTTTTTCTGTCCCGCGCGGATAGCTTTTGAGTGTTGCGGTGCACCAGGCCTTTCTTTGTCAGATGCGCGTCGCGAGATGACGCCCAAACAGTAAGAGTGAATAAAGCAACCCATCTAGGTCAGGAGAATGGTATTAAGGACTTTGGAGGTACAAGGTATGTAAATATACATCCTTGTACATTTTTTTCCCGGTTAGCTCAAGGCTGATACATACGTATAGAAATTGTTAGGCCACATGGGGTTGAGCGCAAGTCGTGTCCAAGGTCGTTAATTACACGCACCTCGATCGGATCTCACCATCTACTTCGCATACACCCCAGTCGCTATCGTTCGACCCCATAGTAGCACATATGATCGCTTCTTCTTCGTGGAGCAGGGCACGATGACACGCGCAGAGATATGACCCCTTTTCGATGGTTCACGTGCAGACCCACATACCTTGAGTTGGAGTTCTATGTGGTTGATACTGGTTTTATGGCATACTTTGATCGTGTCTCCAGGCCTCGTCTTAGGACGAGAATGCTGGAACACACCTAGTGACACTTTGCCATTACTACGGTATTGTAGCACAGGTGTAGGTCTCGGGCGCTCGAATATGCCTGGCAGTGGAGAGAATCATCTCCAATGCGGTGCGCTATTAGTTCGCATTTCCCAGGTGGTGTGCTACATCAAGATGTTCATGTTTGGTGTAATCCAACCACATGACTGTTGGTTGCCATCCTGGTATTAGATCAATTGAATCATGAACCCAGATCAATGAATATGTTTTCTCAGGCTCTGAAAGATTCTCAATACTATTCTTCAACTCCAGAGAGGAGTCTAAAAGCAGCACATATATTCCATGTGACAAAATCACGTGTCGCGCTAGCATGTCCACATGCAAGTGGGCTGCCGAGGCGGTTATCGCATGCTGCATTCATGCCCACCCGACAACACATCTTTCGATCGCGAACTTTTACCCCACGACGTCGCATAGTAAACGATGCGATGGCCTTGGTCGGGCGACGACCATGAGCAAAACAAAAGCAGCCGTCTATGGGCTACATCGCCGAAGTCGAGCGATTGGCCAAGCACTCTAGTCGAGCCACGGACCCTGATTGCGACCCTCGCACTAACAGTATCAACGGTTGCTGGAGTCCGCCTCTACAAGACCTACCTACGGCGCATCCCGACCGTCAATCATATCAAGCCCAACTACTTTCGTCGCAAAAGTTTGTTTGGCCAAGTCACGAGCGTCGGAGATGCAGACAACTTCAGGCTGTATCACACACCTGGCGGAAGGATAGCTGGATGGGGCTTGCTGCCATGGAAAAGGATACCGACCAAAAGGGAGGACTTGACAAAGCAAACAGTGCGTAGCTTCTATCAACAGCCTTGGACATGTTAAGAATACCGGATGCGACTTCACTTGATCAACCGCTGATCATGTATATAGCTTCACATCCGAATTGCTGGAGTCGATGCCCCCGAACTTGCGCATTGGGGCCGAGAAGCTCAGCCGTTTTCAAAGGAAGCCCATGACTGGCTCATCAACCTGATTCATAACCGTCGAGTACGCGCATACATATACAGACGTGACCAGTACGATCGCGTTGTGGCGCAGGTCTATGTGCGCAGGTGGCTCTTCAGGAAAGATGTTGGTTTAGAGATGCTGAGGGCGGGTCTAGCGACAGTATATGAAGCTAAAACGGGCGCTGAATTTGGTACCGTCGAAGACAAGTATCGCGCTGCAGAACAGAAGGCTCGTGATAGCAAGGTTGGGATGTGGGCTAAGCCAACTCTGAGACAGAGACTAGGCGGCGCTCCTACACAACCACCGGAGAGCCCACGAGAATACAAAAATCGACATAATGCAGCAGAAAAATTGAAAAAGCCTGGATGAAAAAGCCTCAAAGCTGGAATACTCGGCATGCGCAAAGGGACTAGGAGTGAGTCACTGGAACCAAGAGATGACTGTACCCGCCGTATCCATCCTGACCCCAAGCCAGCGGAGTCAGCAGTATTTTGCCGTACGGACCGATGACCCCGCAAAGCGAGTCAAAGTCACAGTTGGGATGACTGTACTACTGAGTCGATGTCGAAGCCTGTGACGAGCTGTTGTGTTTGTTGAGTGCTCTGCTTTCAACAAAGAGCATTAAGGATATTTGAAAGTTAATACAAGTTACACGTGGTCATGTACAAATATGGCTGCCAATCAATACCAAAACACCAAATGCAGTAACCGAATGTTCCGCGCGAGTGCACTAGGTTACAGGGATTAACGCCCCTGTGACTCCATTAAGCAAAGGTCTGCAAGACGATGTCAAAATTTCTTCTCATCCGTGCTGCGTGCCAAAGGGCTGGGGAATCGAAATTTGGCGCCGCGATCGGTGACGTGCTCCCCCACGAAACGCCAAAACGTCGTGAAAACGACAAGTATACGGTATTCGACTGCGCGGAAAGGTGAACGCTGAGTGTGTAGATACAAGTAATCACATTGTAAAAACATCTTGATTAATACATAGTTTTTTCAATCCGTCTGTTCAAACATGATATTCACGGCGTCCTGGATCATCGCCGGCGGTCTTATCTGTGCGTTATCGGAGATGGGTTGATTGGCCCGACGCGGATCACTGGAATTTTTTGGCTACCACATTACATCTTCCCCACAGATTGTTCTTAAACCCAGAGGGAGTCATTCGAGCTCTGCTCTACTGGGGTCGAGCTATAGCCCTTCAATTGCACTTGTCGGCCATCGAGCGACCTTCTTCCCGCGCGTTCGACGCCTTATCCTCCTACTACTTTCTTTGTCGAGCTCGAAGCCCTCAAGCTGCTTGACTGCCTGCAAATGGCTCTCTGCGGACGTCTAGCACGTCGCGTACCTTCCCTCACAGGTCATACTCGTTCCATCGCACCTTCCACATACTCCCGTAGTTTTACAACTCGGAGTGCCCGGCCTCTGACTTCCCTGCGCGCAAGTACAGAGTCACCTGCTGCACTCCGGCAGCTGCGGGCATTCACCAAGGTCGCGTCAACATGGAATAAAACACAAACAGCACCTAATGCCGAGGCATACCTAAAGAGCGGTGTCATTTCTGGCGCACAAGATTTGGTCGATGTCAAGAAAGTTCTAGTCATTGGTAGTGGTGGTCTAAGCATTGGTCAAGCCGGAGAGTTCGACTACTCAGGTACGCAGAGAACACGAATATAGAAGTCATGGCTCCATACTGACCACACAATAGGTTCTCAGGCACTCAAGGCTTTGAAGGAAGCTGGCGTCAAGTCCGTCCTTCTCAACCCTAACATTGCTACCATCCAGACGTCGCACGTGCTCGCCGATGAGATCTACTACCTGCCCGTAACTCCCGAATACGCCGAATATGTCATCCAGAAGGAGAGGCCTGATGGCATCTTCCTCAGTTTTGGTGGCCAAACTGCGCTGAACTTGGGTGTACAGATGGACGCCAAGGGTATCTTCGAGAAGTACAACGTCAAGGTGCTTGGAACAAGCGTTCAGACCCTCAAGACTAGCGAGGACCGTGACCTATTCGCACGTGCTTTGGACGAGATCAACATCCCCATTGCCAAGTCTATTGCCGTTTCCACAGTCGATGAAGCATTGGATGCAGCCGAGAAGGTTGGATACCCCATTATCGTTCGTGCTGCGTATGCGCTCGGTGGTCTTGGCTCAGGTTTCGCGAACAACCCCGAGGAGTTGAAGAACCTGTCGGCTCGTTCGCTCACCCTCTCACCCCAGATCTTGGTCGAGAAGTCGCTCAAGGGCTGGAAAGAGGCCGAGTATGAAGTCGTTCGCGACGCGAGCGACAACTGCATCACTGTCTGCAACATGGAGAACTTTGACCCTCTCGGTGTACATACTGGTGACAGTATCGTTGTATCGCCAAGTCAGACGTTTAGCGACGAGGAGTACCACATGCTCCGATCTGCCTCTATCAAGATTGTCCGACATCTGGGAGTTGTCGGCGAGTGCAACGTACAATATTGCTTGCAGCCTGATGGTCTCGATTACAGGGTCATTGAGGTGAACGCCCGCCTGTCTCGTTCGTCTGCATTGGCGTCTAAAGCGACTGGATACCCACTTGCGTACACTGCGGCAAAGATTGGTCTTGGACACACCCTCCCTGAACTACCAAACGCAGTTACCAAAACCACGACCGCAAACTTCGAGCCCAGTCTGGACTATGTCGTTACCAAGATGCCTCGATGGGATCTTAGCAAGTTCCAAAACGTCAAGCGCGACATTGGCAGCTCTATGAAGTCGGTTGGTGAGGTCATGGCCATTGGTCGCACGTTTGAGGAGTCATTCCAGAAAGCCTGCCGACAAGTCGACCCCAAGTACCTTGGTTTCCAGGGTGAGAAGTACGGCGAGAGCCTCGACGACGAGTTGAAGAACCCTACAGACCGTCGATGGCTTGCTGTTGGCCAGGCTCTGTTCCACGAAGGCTACACCGTTGACAGGGTCCACGAACTCACCAAGATCGACAGGTGGTTCCTGCACAAGCTCCAAAACATCGTCGACTGCACACATGAGCTTGAGGATATTGGCAGCTTGTTTGGTCTGAAGAAGGAGATCATCCTCAAGGCCAAGAAGCTCGGATTCTCTGACAAGCAAATCGCCAAAGCCGTTAACAGCACAGAAGACGAAGTTCGCGCGCGCAGGAAGAGCTTCGGTATCAGGCCATGGGTTAAGAAGATTGATACATTGGCTGCAGAGTTCCCTGCAGACACCAACTACCTCTACGTGAGTATCCTGTGCTCTTTTCCTCTAATTATCTCTTATCTCGGTTGCGACTGAACAGCCACTAACTAAAAACCCTAGACGACTTACAACGCCTCATCGCACGATGTAACATTCGACGACCACGGTGTTCTCGTCCTTGGTAGCGGTGTCTACCGTATTGGAAGCTCCGTCGAGTTCGATTGGTGCGCTGTCAATGCTACCCGCTCCCTCAACGCGCTCGGAAAGAAGACTGTCATGATCAACTACAACCCCGAGACTTACAGTACCGACTTCGACGTTGCAGACAAGCTTTACTTTGAAGAACTGAGCTACGAGCGTGTCATGGACATCTACGAGCTTGAGACCGCTAGCGGTGTCGTTGTCTCTGTTGGTGGCCAGCTTCCTCAGAACATTGCCTTGAAGCTTCAGGAGTCTGGCAAGGCAAAGGTCCTTGGAACTGACCCTCGCGACATCGACAAGGCTGAGGACCGTCACAAGTTCTCTTCTATTCTTGACTCGATTGGTGTAGACCAGCCAGCCTGGAAGGAGCTTACTTCGTACGATGAAGCGAAGAAGTTCGCAAACTCTGTCGGATACCCAGTTCTTGTCCGACCTTCTTATGTTCTTTCTGGAGCTGCGATGACTGTCATCCGTGGGGAGGAAGAGCTAAAGGAGAAGCTCCTTGCTGCTTCTAACGTATCGCCCGACCACCCAGTCGTCATCACTCAGTTCATTGACGGCGCTCAAGAAATTGACTGTGACGCAGTCGCGTCCAACGGAAGCGTCCTTGTACATGCCATCAGTGAGCACGTTGAGAACGCTGGTGTTCACTCTGGCGATGCAACTCTCGTGCTGCCTCCCGTCAACCTCGACAAACGCATCCAGGAACGCGTCAAGGAGATTGCGGACAAGGTTGCCAAGGCTTGGAACATCACTGGTCCCTTCAACATGCAGATCATCAAGGAGGAAGTCGAAGGTTCTGAGCCAAACCTCAAGGTCATCGAGTGCAACCTCCGTGCTTCTCGTTCCTTCCCCTTCGTCAGCAAGGTCCTGGGTACCAACTTCATTGATGTCGCCACCAAGGCCCTCGTTGGCCGTGACGTGCCTGAGTTTACTGATCTCATGGCTGTCGAGAGAAACTACCTTGCCACCAAGGTTCCCCAGTTCTCATGGACCAGGTTAGCGGGTGCTGACCCCTACCTCGGCGTTGAGATGTCGTCTACCGGTGAGATGGCTTGCTTCGGTAAGGACCTCGTAGAGGCCTACTGGGCGTCTGCTCAGTCGCAGATGAACTTCCGTCTTCCCCAGCCTGGCGAGGGTCTTCTCTTTGGCGGTGACGTCACACCCAACTCTCTCCACTCCAACTCCCTCATCCAAATCGCCAAGTATGTACACGCACTTGGTTACAGGTTCCTTGCTGCCAACAAGGAAGTGAAGGATCTCCTTGAGAAGAACACTGAAGGCGTCAGCGTTGACGTCATCGAGTTCCCCAAGGAAGACAAGAGGAAGCTGCGTGAGGTGTTCGAGAAGAACGACATCCGGGGCTGCTTCAACTTGGCCAAGTACAGGGCCAACGGCCTGCTCGATGAGGATTACGTGATGAGGAGGAACGCCGTCGACTTCGGCGTACCGCTATTCATGGAGCCCAAGGTAAGTTCATTGTTCTCCGCAAGAGAGACCAGACGCTAACCAGATAATAGACCGCCGTTTTGTTCGCCCAATGCATGAGCGAGAAGCTGCCCAAGAAGGAAGGTATCCCAAGCGAAGTCAGGTCATGGAGCGACTTTGTTGGTGGACGGCCATTGTAATAAGCTACTCAAGTATTCTTAGGGTTGCGTATATGGGATAAGAAGGGATTGGGATGTACGAGATATACCACGATGTTGGATTGAGGTCCGATTCAGATCTAGGACCAGGACGAAGATTATGTTTCCATGTGTATAGCGTTTCTCAGCTCATGACTAAACTGCATGGGCAGTTCGGAGGTGTTCGGGCATAATGTTTGGGTTGAAAAGTGTATCGCTCGTGTGGCTAGTATCAAAAATGATGTCTTCATTCAACTTGCACTTGCTAAATTGTGTAGCTTCTGTGCTTCCGATGCTGACGTTACTTTTCTATCTTGTTTGCCTTGAATATATGATATGACACAGCTAGTAAGCTCAGCCCGCCCTTTTTGTACTTGTTGACTACATCATCCAAATGCTCGATCCCAAATTTTTCTTAACATACGCAGCCACATCCTTCTTATCTCCCCTCACACCCGTCACTAGAACACGTTTCAAGTCACACAAGCGACGCACAAAATCAGGTTTTGCCAGAGAAGTCCAATCAAAGGACTCTAGCTCAACAGTCTTGATAGCAAGTATCTGCATCTCGCTTAAATTATCAATCATCGCACGCAGCGTAATGCTTTCTCGCATAACACTTCGTATAAACGACAAATCATTCATCTCGGCATTTATTTCGCGCGACACATGTGTCAGTCCCATAAGGTTACCAGGTCGCTGAGAACGTAGTTGTGAATGGTGTTGCGTAGTCCAGCGGGTAGTCGGAGCAGAGGCGAGACTTCAACTTGATTGACAGTTGCGGGATAGAGACTTACACGCCGGAGGCTTCCTGGCTGAATAGTCCCCTACGGGTCTTATTGGGGGTGTCGTAGTAATAATTTGCTATGTTTTTTTTTCGGGGAGTTGCGTGATGATATGATGCGAAGTTGAGTAAGTATGAGAAGGCAGAAAAGGTTGGGAGACGCTCATATACTGATTGGCGAGGAAAAGCGTATATGTCTCTCCGTCTCACCTTGACCTTTACCTTGAATATTTGGTCTCCGCTTTGGTGTCGAGGGCACATTAGGCACCTTGTCCTTCCACTGAGAAGCTAAGGCACAGCCACATAGCACGTGATGAAGGATGAGAATAAGAAAATTACGCCCGTTAGCGTAGGTGAGAGTCCCGATTTTGAATTCACATCGTATTTTGGAATACTCCTAGTTTCTGCAAGTGAGTGACTAGGCTTGGCGTTGTCTTTGATTGACCGCCGCTCTCACCTCTACTCTCTCCACGCACATTTGGCGTCGTCTTGCATTGAACAACGCTCTCACCTCCACTCCCTTCAACCATACACATTTGGCGTCGTCTTGCATTGACCGCCGCTCCACCTCCACTCTCTCTACGCCCATTTGGCGTCGTCTTTGAGTGAACGCCGCTCTCACCTCTACTCCCTTCTCGCACACACAACCACTGAACAGTCTGAGCAACTTACTTTCCAAGACTTGTTCTTACTCATCGAAAGATCCGGCACTACCACAAAACGCAAAATGTTCGACGACCATAGACCAGCCCCCACGTGGAAACTGCTCCCCGATTTCCATTCCGAGGCCAAACCCTCCATATTGACCTCGGATCCTGATAGTCCCGCAACATGGTATAGAATCAGAGCGCGCAACCATCCGCCCGATTTGGTCATGCAAAACGGCCTGTGTACGGGTTACGCCTACGACCAACATATAATGCACGTCATACATGAAAAAATTATCAACAAAATGTCGAGTGGAGATCGATTCCTAGCTCTAACCTGGAACTACGATCAGAACGGCAACCTAAAGGAAACCCCACATGTGACAAGACAAGAGCTGAGTGCTCACGCGCAGCTCGTGGTGGATAGGTACGCCCGTCAGCCGCGGGTGCAAACGGATTTCCCCAACTTCACAGCTTCCATCCCAAACACCTCAAAAACGAGGGACCAATACACTCAGACCCTACCGACACATGTCAGACAGGAGGACACACAAACAAACACAAACTTCACCGCAGCCACGAAGACAGCAAACATTCAAGTCGACACGAAGAAACCCCCAAACCCCCCAAACACCGACTCCCACAAGCGCAAATCTAGTATCAGTGATAGACTGGAAGTTAGACTCATGAGAGAAAACAGCCCAGATAGAGAAAAAATGCGAATGGGGATTCGTAATGCCTATAAGGCCATCGATGCTACAGATTCTCGAGTCAAACAGCTCGAAGAATACGTCAAGGCGAAGATCTAAACCGAAAAAGACCTTCAAAAAGCCATGCAACAGGAGAAGACAAAGAACAAGAAGCTAGAAGCATTGCTCCTAGAAGCAGAGGAGAAGAACAAGAAGCTGGAAGCGTCGATGCGAGAAGAACAGGAGAAGTCCAAGGCCATGGGATACTCGTCCGAAATGGAGATTCAAGGTTGAGAAGACTGCATCGGATTTGCATGTAGAGGACACAGAACTCAACACAACCGTCGATGAGTTGAAGCGTGAGAAGACAGTGACGGAGACAACGATCGATGGGGAGGCAAACCACTGTGCATTTTTCTTTTATCAAGGATAGGGAATCGGTCGATTTGGCATGCGAACTTATGCGCACTGAATGTCCAAAAGGTCTATGAACACTGCGAGATGATCTTTTGGTTATTATGAAAAAAAAGTGACGGTTGCACGCAGGTGGGTGCGCAAAAGTGAATTACATCAGAATAGCTCGTCAGTAATCCATCTGGATTGCACAGATAGTGGAGCCACTCAATACACAAAATGCGGTACTATTAATCCAGGTCCCAGTGACGATATGAATACGAATCGTTCTGTGAGTGTCGTGCCAGTGTGCGGTTGCAGACAGCGTAGGTGGCTTAGATAAGAAGTTAGGTATGCAAGTGCAACTCAGCTGTGTCTCAAGAGTCAGTAGCATGTGGCCTGCATGCGATGTCGAAGAAGTAATATTAATTATACATCTTGCGTCAATACTGTATCTACACATTCCACAAAACCATATACAGCATCAAGACACCAAATACAACACAAACATCTAGAAATAAAGACCTTATATTCAATCCATTAAAGTATAACTAGACTCGATTTAAAAAGGTTGCATACATCATCCCCCCCAAAAAGAAACAGCCATTAAAGTCGTCTCCATGATCCCAGCAACATGCCATGTGCCGAGGAGCCCTAAAAAGCCCGAATAATACAAACGCCTCTTTCATCCAGCGCCATGCCGACGTGTAAATCATATAGGGAGAAATGGACGAGAACGCCACCCGTCTTTGCAAACCATGTTGCTTGCTTGCTTGCTTGCTAAAATGCAATGCTGTTGAATCCAGTTTCATTACCAATCATGCATCTTGACGCGCTCAAACGCGAATGCCAGCGCCGGAACCCCATCTAAGCTTCCTCAAGCCCAGCCCAGTACCCTTCATGCCTGCGGCAGCTTCTTTACCACATCGTCCGGCCTCACTGCTTGCGGCACCAATCTGTCCCATGGCTTCGGCGTGGCCAGCCTCTTTACCAACGACGTAGCCAGCTGAAAAGCCGATGGCACTGACGAGAACCACAACGCCTGCACTGACAACCCATGTTAGAAGCGTTGGGCTGATGTCTTCGATGAGCGGACCTGCTTTTCGGGCTTTCTTGATGGCGCGACGGTCTTTATTGCTACTGTGTGCGCCAGCGATAGGTGGGCTGGCTTTTCGCTTTGGCTTTTCAGAGGGGTCACTACTGACGCTGCGTGGGGAGGACGCGTCTTCTTCGGCTATCTCCCCCAAGGCTACCGATTCAGGAACCATGCGCAGTGATGCCGGATCGACTCTAGCAGATGAGGGAGGGTTCGTGCGCGGTTGGCCTGGCTTGGGGAGTCCACGTACAGCGGCTGCAGCAGAGAGCAGGGTAGACAGACTGGCACGTAGGGCTTCGTCATGGTCGGGCTGGTAGTTGGGAGCCAAGGCACTGTAAGGGCTGTGCTGAGGGTACGAGTGCTGTCGCTGACCCACAGGTCTCCCACCTCTGCGAGGTGTATATACGGTGCCAGACTGGGACCGGATGGCCTGTTGACTGTTCCCGCGCGAGAAGGCATTTGGTCGTGGCTGAAACTCGCGTCTCGTAGAGCGCGGGTAGTTGACAGCGGTCGCGTTCTCGTCATCATCTTCCTCTTCTCTCTCCGACATGGTCTCGGAAGAGGCAACAGACTTCAGCGGCGAGGGAACGATGGCCTCGTTCGAGGATGTCATGACCCTGTCCGACTCGCTCTCACTCTCCTCATATTCTTCCTGGCTGCTGTTGCCTCCTGTAGCTGTAACCCTGTGACCGGTTCCTATTGAGAACTGGCCACCGCCACGGGAGCCACGGGAGCGCCTATTCTGCCGTCTGTGGAGGTTCGAGTCGTGCTGTACTGTCAAGCCTGTTGTAATAATCTCGTCGGTCGCAGAGAATAGCGAGGTTGAGGACGGCCCCGACGCTAGATCGATCCATGATTCTGTACAGAACGTGTAAGCTAACCATGTATAAACGCACTGATGCAAGTACAGACATGAAAGTTGAATGTTGAGGACAGGAAGTATGGAATGAAAGGTGGGTCATACCGTCTGAGCGCTGCCGGGACGGCGAGGCGATGGGTCGTGAAAGGGGCATAGCTTGGTCGTGATGGTATGTATCTTCGGTTGCTCCGGTTTGTCTGCCTGGTCGAGGTGGCCTGTTGTCGTGCATGGTACTCTCGCGACTTCAAGAAGCCAGGCTCAAGCGAGAATCAGATGAGCTCAGACCGCCCCGAATCGCCCTTTGGCTTATGAGCTTGAATCCTACGTTGACCGGACGTGGGGAGATATGCGCTCAAGTGGAACCCAAAGGGCCGTTCCGAATCCGGTTCTTTGTTTGGAGTCGCAAGCCTAGAGTCGCGCTTCGCGGTCGAAAATGACAGATACGGAGGACTCTGCAGCAACAGACCCCAGCGCGCTGCAACTGAGCCTGAAACTTGAAAGTACTCCTAGCACTGGCGTAAGGTCGTCGCTAGGAGCGCAGTTGTCGATGAGGCTAGGATGGCGCTACGTGGACGAACTTCCCCAACTTGGGCACAGGGTCTACCTAGACCACTTGTGATGACGTCTCGCGCGTGGGGAAGGCACTGTCGATCTCGCTGGTCGCGTCGGGCGGCCACGAGATAAGACGAAGATTAAAAGGGGCGTTAAAAGGCTCCAGTTGGTAGAAAGTAGGAAGTAGATACATGTATTGGCCTTGGAGAAGTTGACGGATCTTCGTTGACTGGCCCCGTGTCCCGTGTGTTGGCGTATGACCATTGGCAGCGGGCGTGGGAGATGGACGTCAGGCCACCCAGCCTCCTTCCCTTTCGAGACCAAGGGGGCTCACCTGCTTCTGCGCAAGCCATGTGCATATAGGCCACATGCCTTTGATTCTTGAGACACAGCTGAGGTTTTGCTTCGCTTTGCCTACTACAACCACGTATCGCCTTCTTCACATCGTCCCTACAACACGACGTATTCTTCCAAGCTGGGCATACAATACGCCATCAATCACGTCATCATGCTGCCAAGGGACGACATGTACTTTTTCTGATACGGTGGAGAGGTGTTGCGTACCGCGACTGGCTCCCAGTTGTAGTATAATTACCGAGCATCGTTTCTGAGCAACCACAAAGGTCCTTCTATGACGCGAGCGGCTTGGAACTAAGAAGATGGTAATAGTATTCTGTCATCTCATCACTTCTAAAACGCAATACCAGTACATCGTCCAACGGCGCACCTGTTTGCCTACAAGTAAACATGGTATAATACAGGTACAGGTACAAAAAATAACACCCGACCCATGTTGAAGCATGCAAATCCACAAAAGTCGTACATCCTCTTCCATGTATGCGGGTATTATAGCAAAATCGTCAGGCCAAACCCAGGGCCATTGCCGAAAATCCAAAATATGCCTTAAACGCCCTCAATACCGGAGGGCCGTCCCTTGCTTCATTAACATGTCTAGTTCTTCTTTTCATCCTTCTTCTTCTCGTCCTTTTTGGCTTTCTTCTTCTTCTTGAAGAGGTCTGAAATGCCGTCCTTGAATTTCTCCCACGGGTTTCGGTTAAGGTGGTTGCTAAGCTGGCGGTACTTGTACATCTCAGCCCAGCAATCGCGGCCCCACTCACAGCCAGCCATGTTAACCAAGAAGTCCCGCTCTTTCTCCGAGTAGTGGATGTCAGGGTTGTCGCCCTTGTCACCGCAGGCGCCCGGTGGGAAACTCATGATTTGGCGTTGTTGGATGAAGGCGACGTGCGGCCGAATCCAGGGCTGGTTCTTGTACATGTATTCAAAAGCATCCTGCTCCTTGTGTTCCCACTCCATGTGCTTTTGCTCGTAGGCGACGGGGTCCCACCAGATGTCAAGCAGTCTATCCGTCCACACACTTCTCCGGACCATGAACGAGCCCAAATTGAAGCCACCACAGTCCTGAGGTACCAGCATGTTGACCGATTCAACCCTGCCGTCTCCTACCGGCGAGCGCGTTTCCGGGTCGAGGTACTCATCTGTAAGAGGGTGTGTGATATTGAGGGGGTTGTACACGTTGATGTCGCGGTATGTCACGTCTTGTAGCTGCTTGAAAACATGTTTCTGCAGAGAGTAGCTTGGCTCCATGATGAAGGTGTTTGTGTCCAACCACCAGAACCTGTGCCGTGTTAGCTTGGATGGGACTGTACCAGAGCCGCACATACCATTCAGCGTGCGGGTATTTGCGCATGGCGTTGCGAATCGTGTCGACCTTCTCCCAGCTTTCCCTCCACTCGTGCGCATAGCGCTTCTTGGTGCTCATGTCTACAATCTCCAATTCGTAGCCCCAGTTCTTGGCGTACTTCTTCTTGTTCTTGACACTGTCCCGCTCAATGGCCCACTCACGAGGTCCCTTCCACTCCATGACACCTCCACCTTGATTTGCTGCAAGAATGATGACGTATTTGCTGCCGCCGCCAAACCACGAGGACCGTCTGAGCATTCGGTGCATGGCTACAGCAGTCAGTACGAGTCGCCATGGTGGTGGGAGAAGGGGTGTGCAAGCTTACGTGTGTTGATATTCCAGGTGATGAAGAGGAATACTACGAGCAGCAGCATGAGGACGCGTTTCCTCAGACGCCACAGGGTCATGGCTATGCCATTGAGAAATCGCATGACTTTGTTCTGATTCCGGCCTCTGCCGAGTTTCTCCTTTTCGCCGTGGTTAAAGGGCAGGCTGCTGGATATCTTGCGGAAGTGCTTGCCGAAGAAGCCTTGGTTCCTTGGGGTGAAGCCTGGGTAGCCCTTGACTTCAGCGCTCCGTGCCTGCGCCGACGCCCAGGTGACATTGTGTGAGGAGGAGCCGTTCGCATAGGGACCGGTTGGGCCGGCGCCATCGTACGGCGTGCTCAGGCCCGGACTCGACCATCCCCCGGGCTTTGGGGAAGGCGATCTCGACATGTCTAGGGCAGCCGGAGTGCCAGGTATGGTGGGTAGGCCCTCGCCTAGACGGCCTGAAAGACCGCTGGTAGTCCCGAGCCTGCTTCGAGCGTCTGCAAAATCAGGGAGGTTGAGGTTCGGCGGTGGTGGTTGCCGAGCAGCAGACGAGCGCCTTCTGCGTTGCCCGGAAGCGGAGAAGGAGGATTGGGAAGCCAGCGTGACTTTATCGTCGCCTAACGGCAGCGAGGAATGCAAGACTGGCGCCGGCGTGTGGCTTTTTCCGACGACGGTGGCTGCTAAGGGTGGGGTACCGCAGCTGCAGAGTGTTTGATATTACTGAGGACAGCTGGCCGAGGAACCAAGCCTTCGAGAGGTGGGCGCGAGGCGGTCGCACTTGGAACGGAAGGGAGCGTTAGGAAACGAAGCGGTGCAACTTTGAACGCGACTACGCTCAATCGCATGCAACAGACTCAATCAGCAGGCCTGAAAGTAGGAAAAAGAGGCTGCTACGGTATGTCAGGACAACTGCAGCGAAAAGGGAGCCGCTGGCGATAACCAAATTGCTCTTGACTCTGTTCTTGGCAGACATCTGAAAGGAGTGCGACTAAGTGGGCTAGACTCTACCGACCCTGGGGGCTTAAGATTCAATACGCAGAACACGGGATACCCCACAGTAACAATTTCTGTCTGACTTAAGCCCAACCAAGCTGCTGACTGCTCTGGGCGCCGAACGATGCATGTTGGACGCCGAAAAGGGTAACTGATGGCTGTGGTGGCTTTGTGTAGCCATGCGGGTAGTCTGTGTGCACATTATCCCAGCTATTTAGTTCCAGAGGACACTGAACGCCAGCTGTCAAAGATTTCTTGTCATCTGTCACAGCACGTTACAGCATATTTGACCAGTACGACAGCGGGTCAATTTGCCCGCGTGGTCGCAGCTTTCGGCTGATAACACTATACTCAATGGAATACGGTGCCGACAAAGTGTAAAAATGGAGCCAGTAGGTTGGGTACATTGCCCATGATGCATCACGTGCTACAGAAGCACAGTCTAGCTGGACGGAGATGCCCGATGCGAATGTGTCAAAGAAAAAACAAGACGACGCCAGAAGTTATATAAGACGGCCTGCAAACTGCCAATGTTGGATTGGATCTACCTATGGACAGGCTTCAAGGTCGGCGCATAGAGACCGCCCGGCACGGATGCCTAGCGTGGCCTTGGCGGCGGCTTCCTCACCAACGGTTGGCGGCCCTCATGATTGATCTGGCGCTTGAGCTACGTCCTTCTCTCACCTCACTGGCTCACCCCATCATCAACTAGACACGACGTCCAGCGTAGGCTTCTGGAGCGTCTCAGGTCTCGCATAGGGTTGTACAATTCCAGCCCAGCGAATCCAGGGCGGTTACTGAGCCTCAAGACCGCTAATATGGCGCTCACTACCCAGCAGATCCACCCTCTGGCTCCAATCACCTTCACCTAGACCCGTTGACAACGTCTGCTTCGACCAGCAAGCTTTGACTCATACAGACATGACTGGCGCTTCTATCAAACCACGCGTCAGAATAGGCTGCCACATCAAGAAGCTATGCATGATGCGGTATGGCAGCGGTTTGCCAATTGATGTTCATCCGAAGAACTGGCCTTGTGTGTCCGCGCCGAAGCCTCGCCGTTCTCCTTTTGCTTTTCCTGTGCCTTCTCTCTTGTTTGACTCTTTATTACACTCTTTTACAGTGCTCTTCGTCGCTTTGTGTTATTTCCTTCTTCGCCTTGTTCTGCGTTCGTGTAATAGGCTGCGAGCATTGTCTATACCTAGACAATAGCAGCGTCAACAGCGACAATAGCGACGCCACATGGTCATCTCAGTTTCACTTTCCAGTCCAGCAAGACAAAGCATTGTTCTGAGAACACTCTTTGACCACTCTGCGCTCTTCCCACCCTCTCTTTCAGCCTGCCATTTCCGGCCACCGACGAACAACGCCCGACATGAGCACCATCACGAATCCATACCGCCAACAGCCACCACTAAGACCATTACTGAGGTCATCCAACAACACGCCACATATGACAGATAGCGACAGATACATACACGACTCATATCCTGGACAAGAAGAGCAGATATCAATACACTTTAGCGACCATGTCGCCGGGAACGTGGACCAGGAACAACAGTGGAGAAATGAGCCTCCCGCCAGCGCATACCGAACAGCGACACTGCGAAGTTCGCGGTCCTTCACAAAGCATGTCTCTCGACAGAGAAGTCGAAGGCGGGAACTTCGAGGACGACCTACCAAGCCGGGTATTACTGTAGATACGAGCTTCACGAGGCATAGAGGCACAGAGCCGCACCAAGTATTTCCTAGAGATGTAGAGAGAGGTGCGGGGTCTGTCAGGAAGTCAGCCTGGTTAGGACTGGGAAGGTCATCCACTAGAAACAAAGGTTTGGGCATTACCAAGGGTACCCCCCAACCAGAACACGTGCATCGCAAGAAGCACAGTCTCGACAGGAATGAAACCGACACAGCTATATCTATGACGCCTGGGGGCAAGTCGTGGCAAGAGATCTCACCTTGGGATCGACGCATCCCCATCGGCATCTCAGTTCCAACCGACAGCATATCGGATTTCAGCTCACTGCAAGCCAACCGTCGTCGGGCTGGAAGCGACTCTACTTTAGTAACTCCGAGCATCATCATCACCCCTGCCGCAGTCAAGTCAGCCTGGTCTCCGGACACGCCCTTCACCGAGTCCGATTATACACCAAGCATCTACTCACGCTACCAGTCGACCTTTATGGATGCAAACGTCCCCCCAGTTCCTGCTCTACCTTCTGGAGTATCACAAAACCCAGGCGCCAAAGACGTCCAAGGAGCAGCTGGCCACTCTAGAAATGATACGCTTGATTCCGCGGGGACTGCATTCGAAGAGGATGACGATAAAAGGAGAGACCGCATCATGTCTACCAGTACTTTGTTCGAGGAGGACGAGACGCCTTTACGGGAAAGGACTATTGAGAACTCACTGGCTATTGATACGTCAATGGTGCCTACTCCCCGGCGATCACAAGGATGGTGGAATGTCATCACAACACCGTTTGTTACGACGCCCAAGTCATCAACATGGACCGAAGCAAGTGGTGGTAGAACGCCAGATGTGCCAACGGTACCTACTCGATACGGTACGCAAAAGGGAGAGAATGGTACATCGCTTCCATCACCACTTCATACAGTAGTACCTAGCGCTTCCATGGAAGTAACTTCTGAGAAGCCAGTAGGCGAACAACCAACCTCTCACCGAGCTGTCGCGTCGCCTGAATCGACAATGTCCGCCTCACCGGTTGTTGGCACAGCAGCTATTGGAACCGTCTTGATGCCTCGCCAGGTTGAAGAACCACGCCAAATCAACATCAACATTGAACTGCAAGATAGACGACCGATGGCGGATCCCCATGCTGTTCGCGCCAACTATCCGCCACCCGTACAGCACTTTCACACGTCATCACCAGCACCACAAACGCAAGGCGCAGTATCATCTCCTCCAAACGCCAAAACCTCGCAGCAGAATCTACCAGTCTTTGCTCCACCTCCCAGGTCTGCTCAGAAAGCCTCCCACTGGAGCTACGATAACGGAAGTCGTGCCAGCTCATCCGGATCTCCAGATCTCAAAGGACAGAAGAAGCATCGGAAAGTCTGCGACATGACGAGCATCTGGTCGTTCGGGAAGAAGAAGAACCAAAAGAACGATACGTCCAATGAGAAGAAAAGGAAGAGAGGTGTGTGTTTCTGGGGTTGCTGCTGTTGTTTGATCTTCTTGGTGTTGTTGGCGGCCATTATCCCGGTCGTCGTGGTCCTTACCAGGAGAGGAGACGACAACAAATCTACAGCAACTCAGCCGACTGCTGATGGCGGCAGCCAGTGGCTGAATCAAACCAACTATCCTCCCATTCCCACCGGCATCTTAACCATCGCGCAACCTGAAGCTGTAGATGAGGAGAGCGGCTGTGTTGCGCCAACCACACTGTGGAGTTGTGCGTTACCGAAAGAAGTTCAGCAATCCGTCGCGCCTAACAAGCCCGATCAACCGAACTTCAAGATTGAAATCACGTTTGCGAACGGCACTGCAGCTCAACTGCCAAAAGCTCAGCGTACCAAGAGAGGCCTTAATCCTGTATCAGCTGGTGCATTCATTAGGTCACTACTGCATGCGCGTGCGGCACCTTTGCCGTCACCAGCACCTCCATCGACGGCGGATATGAGCTTTCTGGGACAGACAACAGATGGCAACTCGGCTCCCTTTGAGGGCGAAGAGACTGGCCTGTTTATCAGCATGCAAGATCCTACAACAAGCACATCTCAACACACGAAGCGTGCGAATTCCGACGATCCGACCAACATTACCGCTGTAATCCCTCCGCCGATGTTGGCTTCCGATGGAACTGCCGCACCCGCAAATCTGATGCCTTTTCCTTCTGCGCAACCCCTCCGACTGTATAATCGTGGCAAAGACGACGAGCACTACGGCTTCTACAACTACTTCGATCGTTCGATCTTTCTGAAGCAGATCAACGGTACCAACCGTGGTGGTAACCCGGCAGATATTGATGGAGGAAGCACTAAAGACGCGGCGAACCTGCGATGCACATACTCACAGACTCGTTTCCTGGTACAGATCTGGACGCGTAGTAAGGACAGCAAGCCACTGCTGCAAAAGTCTGCCTCGAACGCGTCGGCTGTCTCTGCTCGGCCAGGTACCTTTCCATACCCTGTCACTGTCACGATCGATCGGCACGGTGGCGACCCATCAAAGAAGAACCTTTACTGCTACGAGATGGAGGATGACGGCTCCATTAAGAATGAGGAATCGAAGAAGTATTTCCAGTTTGAAGACCGCGGGTTCGGAGGCAATTTGGTCAAGAGCACGCAAGGGCAAGGGAACGCGATAGGGTCCATCGACGGTGGAACTGGCGGCTGCCGTTGCCAGTGGCAGAACTGGCTCAGTTGATGCCCCACTTGCCCGTTCTTTGTGAGAGTTTTGTTTCTTATATCGCATGAGGATTTCGGTAGATGTCTACACAGCGTCGGCATTGTCTGGCCAGACGCTTTCGCATTATTTCCATGTCTCTCGCTATTCCCATAATAGCCCTCGCCTGCACGCCACATGCTCAGGCAGATTCTTACATAATACCCCACGACTGCATGTCATTCTAGTATAAAACCAGAACCCCCGTAGTTAATACCAATGAGCATCTACTATTAATGAACACTTCACTGTACGCGCCACTATGATTCATGTGTGATTTGAGCATAGCAATGGCCGACTTGCGGCTCGGTCTGCCCGCTTAGGTGCGGAAGGGACTGGCTAGACCATGGATGCTAGATGCACTACGAGACCGAGTACCGTCGGATGGTACCGTAGGATATCTCCATGGAATGCCGGGTTCAGGGTTTTCGCAAGCTCCAATGCGGGATTAGACTTGGCACAGTGTTCACAGACCATGTAAATTCGTTCGATTCGTATTCTCCACGGCGGGGCAACGAGGCTCTAATGCGCTGACTGAATCGCCATGTCATCATCCTATGATAGCTATACACCGGTGGATTAGGATCGTTCATTTTGGTAGATGCAGGGTCCGTAATCGCAGAGGGATCAAGAACATAAGCAAGCTAGTCAGGGGCATCGTGGCAAGGGCGAATTCTCGGCCCTCATCTGGTCGGAAATAGCAGGCGCGATGTCACTCAACACAGGTGTATGCTGTGAGAAGTGTAGAGGCATGTGACGAATCTGGCGTGGGCGGTCAGACGGGATGCCGAGGAGCGTAGATCAATGGCGCTAGAGGTCCCTGCGCGCCCGCCCCGAAGGACCCCGCCACAACCATTCAACTCTGCAACGTGCTTCGTACCAGTCGGTGATTGGTCATGTCGCATCTCCATCTTTTGCAGATTTCGTCGTCTTAGATTCCCAGCACGACGGCAACACGGCAGGTGCGCGTCAGTGGCGTGGCTGTGAGTGTTTTTTCCGCTGCCATGCCTTGGAGAATTTGCTTGGTGGTGCTTATATCAGCCATTGCAAAGGCTTGTCAGAGACGTCATCGAGTCTGCCAGCAAAAACCATTTTCCACAGCTACAGATGGATACAAAAATCTGGGGACCAAAAGAGTAGGATTTGTAAATATGGGGCGCTGGCCAAGGATGTGTGTAGAGGCGTGCACTTTTCCTCTGCTTCTCGACCCAATTAGACACGGTTGAACTGGCTTAACCGGCTGGGATCTCCTGTCGCGTGAGGTCCTGCCGAATTGGGTGGGGCTACGAACTTTAGTATCTTCCTTCGAGGAGTCTCCGCCGGAAGCGACTGTCTCTACGCTAGAATTTTCTTTCTATGCGTGGACCTTTGCATGTACCGTACCGTGTATATAAGGTACCGCTGTGGTAGCCCTGCAGAGGGCAGCTTCGTTCATCCGAAATTGCGCCTCCATTGCGCTCCTGTCCTTATCCCTCTTGCAATCAAACGTGGCGTGTCTTTGCCTGACCCTCTCTTCTTACGTCTCGCACTGTCGTGGCCAAAGTAATCATTGGACATCACTCCAGGGATTTCACATCGCAGGCCTGCCCGTACGGTCTTATTGGAAATAGGGCTGCCTCGGAAGGTCCGGCGCCCATTAGGTTCTGGCATTGCGTCCCCTCCGAGATCCCACCGGCCACTAAGAAGCCATTGCGTTGAACGTGCTACGTCTCGGCACTACATGTGGGACTAGTCGTGCACCACAAACACCAATTATCAATACTCACCGGATCGTCTGCCGCCTAGGACTACGAGCAAAGCACATATAAGCTGCAACTACAGCCCGCCGTATCGGGCACTTACTCAATCGCTCCATCTTATCAACAAGATAGCGAGTCAAGTGCGGCATTTGTTGCCTTCTTCTTACCATGGCCAATTCTCAACATCATACGCCGCCATCGCTCCGCGACTATGGTCCAGCTGCCCCTCATGGGCCCAACATGACCGGCGAACATCAAGCGACCCAAGAGATGGATGTCCGAACCGACATGCGAGAAGATGAGGCCAATGTCTTTCACGCTCTGTTACATCCTGACGATCTCTACAATGCCAACGGAACTTACTGGGCTGATCTGCCTCTTGGCCAACGAGTCAAGTTCATTGGACAAGTCGACTCTCAAGAGGCCAAATCAGAGGCCAGCCACTTCTGGAAGATGTTCAAGAATGACCCGCTCGCTCCCATCGGTCACTACTTTCGTACTTGCGTAATCCCGGGTGCTGGTCTTGGTCTGGAAGGGTAAGTCACGATGCAATTACCTCTTATCATACTATTTCTAATCATAATCTAGTTACGTTCTCTTCTCCATTGGTAACGTCAGGCCACTTCTTCAGGATGCCTTCCCTCGGTGCTGGGGTAAGAATCCCGTGGATTGCGATGATACGTGGCTGAAAGCTATCGACTACCTCGAGATCTGCGGTATCATAGTTGGTAAGTCTGCATGAGCCCGTATTTTCAAAAATGCATCTTCTGACGAGGAAAAGGTCAAATTCTTGTTGGTGTTATTGGTGACTGGCTTGGTCGCCGCTTTGGTCTCATTCAGGATGCCACCATCATGTTCATTGGTCTGATCATGCTCACTGCTGCTTGGGGTATCACCCAAAACGGCTGGGTCATCTGCTATGTCTGGGCTCTTTTCTTCTACGGTATCGGTGTAGGAGGCGAATACCCCATGACTGCAACAGCTGGTATGGAGAATGCCGTCGGCTCTGGAAAGGTTTCCACCAAGGACGACCGTCTGCACCGTGGCCGCAAAGTCACCAGTGCTTTCCTGATGCAAGGCTGGGGACAGTTCTTCAACCAGGTCATCCTCATCATCTTGCTCCTGATCTTCCACGGCGGCTCAGCCCCGCCATACTCGAAGACTGTGGCACAGTGGACCTACCGTGTTTCTTTCGCTATCCCCGCTGTCGGAACCCTTTGGCTGGTTTACTTCCGTTACTTCAAGATGAAGTCTGCTTCCAAGCAGCTCATGCTTTCTAAGAAGAAGACCAACGTCACCGGTTACGATGTGCAGTCACTGAAGCTCACATTCACCTACTTCGGACCTCGTCTGATCGCGACGGCCGGTGCTTGGTTTGCCAACGATGTCTTCTTCTACGGTAACAAGCTCTTCCAGAACGAGTTCATTGCCATCATTACACCTGGCAACAAATCCGTCATGGTTGGCTGGTTGTACAACCTCATCAACGTCGGAGTTTCGCTATGCGGTTACTACCTTGCGTCCCTTCTCATCGACAACAAGCTTTACGGCCGCAAGTGGATGATGATAGTCGGTTTCTTGGCCGACTTTGTTCTCTTCATTGTGCCTGCTTTCAATCTCGAATTCTTCACATCGCTTGAAAACATCCACGCTTTCCAGGCCATGTACTTTCTTTCCTCGTTCTTCAACCAATTCGGTCCCAACAGTGTCACTTTCCTTGTGGCCGCCGAGGTCTTCCCCACGCCTGTTCGCGCTACTGCCCATGGCTTCAGCGCGGCTTGCGGTAAGGCTGGTGCATTGCTCGCTGCCGTCCTCTACAACTACATTGACACACAGACCAAGTTCTACTTTGTCCCCTGGTTCGGTCTTGCTGGCGCCCTGCTTACCCTCATCTTCCTCCCCGACACCACGGGTCTTGATCTCAAGGAACAAGAGCGTCGCTGGGCATACATCCGCGCCGGAAAGGAGCACGAATACCACGGCATTGCCATCCACTGGAAGCACCTGTCCTGGTGGGAGCGATTCCGTGGCCAGCACAATGGCTACGACGCCAAGCTCGACTACGAGCAAAAGATTACCGAGATGCGGGCCGAATGGGTCGAACGCCAACAGCACAAGTTCTCGGAGAAGAATGGTTGGGAAGGCGCAGAGGCGGACGAGGACGACCACATTGATGTGCACAACTACTTCAAGCGCACTACTGCTGGATCACCAAAGGATCATGAGGCCTTGATGCAGCCAAATGACAAGTCTGAGAGTAGTTCTTCATCAGATGACATTGTCCGAGAAAAAGACGTTCGAGAGAAGGATCAGCTCTAGATTTTGAGCTACCCATGGGGTGGTGGTGCATAGGAACATGGACTGCCCCCTTCCTTCTTCTTGTTCTTAGCGTTTTCTCCTTCTTTTCTCATGCATTATACCGGCGTTGTTCTCACCTCACTATGCGCACACGCTCGAGGCTGTAGTATGTACATATCCATAATCGAAATGACATGACATGACCGTGACATGACCATGATGATATGAGCAGAGTGCGGTGCCAGTGCAGTTGCAAGTGTGGTGTGTTGTTGAATCTCCCTGGTCTACGGGCCGGTAGGGGTAATACAAAAGTAAATATGTACGTGCGTGACAGCCTTGATTTATGCTTTATTTGATGGCCTCATGTTTTCAGCTTCTAGGAGCTTCTATGAGTACAACAAGGTGTCTTTATATAGAAAAGGGCGGCTAGCCAGACACCAATCCATGAATTCTAGAGTACATGTGCGTTTTTAGTATAACTACTTGAAGTGTCTAATCTCCGAATAGCGCTCCCGGCCACTTTCTCAACTAGCTTAAGATGGCTATACTAGAGTGATAATTGTCTGACTATCGTCATAACATATCATATGATAAGGGTGGGTTAAAGTAAATGAGGAAGCATCATCATGGAAAAGAAAGGGATCATGACAATGTCGAAAGATTGCATCCATGATTTTTGCTTTCGTGCAGTGTTTCCTCGGACAGCATCCTGGCCCTTGTGCAACCAAAAAATATCCGACATGATGCACAAAAAATTTCATGTGCCGGCACTGCATGCCGTGACAGATGTTGTTGCACCTGCCATAGTTAAACTCAACCAGCACAGTGCCAGGGGTATATTTTGCTCTTCCACACTCAGTAACAATCTGTGCCGATTTTGCGCAACACCGTTAAACTTTGGGGCCCGGTTGTTCTACCGCGGCACACTTACCCGCGCCTGTAGCAAAAGCACTAACCTGGGGGCGCGCGCGCGCGGCGGTACCGACGCCCAATCGGTTCGGGTGCAGAAGATTGTATCACGTTTCGCCAGTATCATGGTGACTGAACCTTGCGTACGGGAAAACAAGACGGCGCACAAAGCCATTGCATGTCCGCTAAACCTAACCACCGTGTTTCAGCGGTGGAAAGCGAGGGCTGAGGCGTAAACGACCAGCCATGCCCGTAGCTGGGGGCAACTATCAACCACCCGCTTTTTCTCCACGATGGCACAGTTTGGCCGAGACAGTCGCCGGGGCGAGCGGGCACGTTGAGATGTCGGTCTGCAATCTGCATGTTCGGTTGACGAGAGTGAGAGCGTGTGCAGGGCAAAGGAGCTATTCAGGGAAAACGCAATGCGCAGTAGAAGCTTTTTCCGTCGTGCATGGTTAGGCAGGCTAGCATCTCAGCGTTGCTCTAGTGCTTTTTTTTTACAACTGCAATCAGGCGTGCCATCTGCCACGGACTCATGGAGGAAAGCATCATGTTCGGGCTTGATGGCTCCGGGTGCTGTACGTCATGATCTCCCCTATCGCGGCCAGAAATCTCGTGACGGGCGTACCGAGATTAAGAACATGCGGACAGGCTGGTGCTTGGATGGGCCGACATGGTGTGACTGGGGTAATGGCATTGCCGTGCCTTTAGGCCCTGTGTTCCCATGTAGGTACAGATTAGATTTGGTGTTTCAATATATTGCGCGCTTGGTGAGAAGGCTTGCATGTGTGAGCAAGGTTTTCTAGGCGTCGGCAAAAGGAGAGAATGGTGATGTGTGTTGGAAGCTGCAAGGGACAGGAGAGATTGGGGTTAGCGAGGGACCAAAAAAAGTAGCAGCGCTCGAGGCCTCTGGGGTGAACACGCGTCCGCAGCAGTTAATGGGTTTAATGCGCAGAAGAAAAATTGGTTGCTGTCGAGATCGCCGGCGAGACTGTGCTAATCATAGTAAAGAGAGGCGAGAAAGGCGAAACAAGAGCAGAGACAGCGGTGCGCAAACAAAGCTGTCGAGCCAATGGACCGAGGCAGGGCGGACCCGCGACCTGGGCCGGGCAACGATCAACAAAATGGCATCCAAAGCTTCAGACGATCGAATCGCGACGACACTGCCCCTGGTACCCCTGACACTATGGCTGCTAGTTGCAACGCCGCTGGGCGGGAGGCGTTTGCTGGGCGGAGCGATAAGGTGCGCACAGGCGAGGGCGGTGGAGTAGCAGTGGAGAGGGCAGCGTGGCACGACGCGCAACCACATGAGTTATTGTTTAGGTAGCTATACGTGGTTGAAGAGTGGTTGTGAAGAGGCTAGAGGGGCTGACATGGCTGGTGAAGGAGAAAGTTTGGTACACGTCGTTGGGGGGAGCGTCGGCCCAATGACATTCCTATGCATAGCAATCAAAACGAAGCATTCGGCGCAATGCAGCCACTCAAGCAATTCGCGCGATTCACGCCACCGGGGACTAGGCTGGCCCAACGGTTCGAGTGGGTAACTTGGCTAGCAGGCGGCTGAAATTCTTGGAACGATGCTTGTCCATCTGCCAATAGCGGACTGGCCTCATGTCAGTGCGCTGTCCAGCATCGCTGTGTTTGCAGTTGCGCCTTCTTGACTGACCGCACGGGCCATTTCCAATCGTGGGTCCCAAGGTGACACAGGCAGCCGCAGCCTCGTCCCCAGTAAATAAATATCGAGCCCGCCTTTGCATTCCTCTTCTCTCCCCATCCACTCCCGTACAACAGATTCTACACTCAACCCAATCTCGAGTCGATCAGCCAGTCGTTATCCACACGCAGTAAACATCTAATACTCTACCCAACCCAAACAACCAACTTAATCATCAACATGCGTTTCTCCATCGCCTCCGTTGCCCTTCTGGCTGGTGCCGTCGCCGCCGTTCCCCAGTACGGTCAACCTGATGCTAAGCCCGTCCCCATCTCCCAGATCGGCGACGGTCAGATTCAGGCTCCTCCTGCCTCGACTGCTGCCCCTGGCATGCCTACTGGTACCGCCCCGGGTGTCCCTGCTGCCACCACAGCTACTTCAGCAGGTAAGCTTACGCCATTTACACCACTCTCTGTTTGCATGGTACTAATGATATCACAGTCACCCTCACTGCTACCCTCACCAGCACCAACACCATGGTCGTTCCCACCAACACTCCCGTTGCTCCCATCCCCTCCATGGTCACCCCCATCGTTGGCGGCAACTCCACCATGCCTGCTGCTGGTACCGGCGCTTCTTCCTCGCCTTCCTCGACTGGATCTGGTGCTTCCGCCACCTCTGGTGCCGCCGGTAGCGCTACCCGCAGCGGCTCTGCTCCTGAGTCGACTGGTGCTGCCGCTGGCAACATGGTCTCCTTCGGTGGCCTTGTCTTCGCCATCGGTGCTGCCGTCTTCGCTTAGGCGCCTGCGACCATCTTCTCGACCACACTTTTTTTCATTCTTCACGATATACCAATAACCCGGTCACGATTGGGTTTCGTCTTTGTTTAAAAGCACACTGGAGTAACATTCGAAGCATTGCACGGCGGGTTCTAATTGGGATTGGCGTCGTGTCGAGGCTATGACTGCATGGATCCACTAATGCGACAAACGTTCCACCGGACTCTCATGTTCGTCATGTATAGATAGTAATTCAATACAAGACTGGCGCCGAAAGGCACCTTGAAAATCTCTTCTCTGACTGCATTGGTGACTATGAAGTACGTGTACATGGATCAAAATCTCACCGTCGGTCCACCGGTAATTACCCCATCCTCGTATTCATCGCACCTTATCTATCAGCACTAGGCATGTGCCGCTGTGAACGATGGGTGCCGACAGGTCGGTCTCTCCGCTGGCGAGGATCGAGCGCCCTCGTATCTGGCAGAATACCCCATGTTATGTGTAACAGGCTCTCCAGTGCGAACTTGCTTCTCAAACACATACCCCTGCCATCAATAACCGCTTTTCTGCACAAGCATTACCCAACCCTATTTCTTCCACCCACACCCACACCTTCACAAGCCTACCTAACCGCCCGCCCGACCAAGGCCATGCCATGCCTAAACAAACGACACTACAACTTCGTTTCAGAATCAGACACAAGAGACAGCAGGCGGCGCCTCCGTAACCCATATATCCCGCATTAGTCCTGTCTCTTTCTAGCCCTGGCGTTTTTCTAGGCTTGCATGTACCGGCAAAACTGCAATACATAGTGCAATCAATCCATCTAGACTGAACAGAGTTTAAGCCGGGGTATTTGTGTTCCTGGCTACTGATTCTGCGCAAGCTTTTTCGGACTTCCTGCCGGGCCCTGTTGCTAGTATGTACTAGTAGAAGTAAGTGGTTTTTCCGGGTACCTGGTGCTTTCATTTAGTTTTTTTTTCTTGGTTTCTGTTTTTTACGAGTACGTGCTCAGCTGTCTTGTTTTGCGTGCGTGCGAGCGAGCTGTGAAGCTTATCGTCGACGCCGTGTTGTTTTACGCGCGGGGGCTGTAAAAGCTTGGTAACGTTAGTCGCGACATTGCCTTTTCTTCCAACTACCCCACATGCCGAACCGCGCAATCGTGCAACCTGGGACGACAAAACGCAGGTTCTCAACGCTGCAATTATGACGATGTGCTGCGCATATGCACGCGTGGTGTTATGTCGTTCAACAACAGTGTTTGGGTCAGGGTCGATTTGCTCCGTCATCAGCCACGCGTCAGAATCAACCGGCTTGGTGCAATTTCAACAATGTACGCACGCACGTCTTGGTCGTGGGTTGTGGGTTGCGCCAGGAGGAACAGGTGATTGCCAGAGGCGTATGTTGTGAGCACGATTACGTCGCCGGCTGGTATTCGGTCATTTCTGTCTGTGAGCGGGGAAGCGTGTGTATGTGTATCATCCGCACACATGAGTCTTTGGAGTGGCCAAAAGAGGGTCGGAAAACATTGTTTGGAGACTTCAAGGAATCAACTATACAGCTATACCATGGCAAGTAATCACCTGGCTACCGTCACGGTATATGATGAGCTTGCTCATTAGTCAGTGCACAATTCAATGTAGCGACGACAAGCTCATCAGGGTGCATTAGTTCCGCATGCCAAGCACACCTGGGTGACGTGAAATACTTGACATCCTAGTTTGTAGAAGCTACTGTATGCGCCAGATAGGTCTATTAGGAGTATAATAGCGGGGTATAGAGGCTACTGTAGACGCCAAATACGTCTATTAGGAATGGCATAACGCGGTTTACCTACACTGTCACTGTCAAATAGGTGTAAGTGTAAAACTAGCAGTGGGCACAGCAGTGAACTGGGTATCATTCTTCTAATCCGACTCCGACTCCGACTCCGACTCCGAGCCCTCATTGTCCATCGATGGTCTAGCTTCTATGACGTGTGTGAGCAATTGGCCTAAAGGATTCAATCCTCCCTCTTCCGCAGTGAGTATGTGTTTTGGTATTTCGAATTCAATTTCCGGCTCCTTCTTCAGGTCGCGGTCGAGTTCAATGTCGAGCAACTGCAGCGTGTTGTTAGTAAAATGATAAGTTTGTATAAGAACGACAAAACCTACTGCGCTGTAAGAGTGGTCGAGGAAATCCTCCAGATTGTACGCCCGCTTTGTGAATTGTTCCGAGATGATCTTGGCCAACGTCGCCACGTTAGGGTGGTAGTGCGATTGCAGCGCCACCAATTCCCAGACACTGCTCTCAATCGCATTTGTGAGCATAGGGTCCTGCTCCTCCATATCGAATGGATCGTCCATGCCCTCCTCTTCTAGCTCCTTCTTCAGCGCGGGATCCCGGATCTCGCGGTGCATCATAAATGTGCAAGCAGGATGTCTCTTGAACATGTTGTAGACCCAGGGTACTACTATGACGACACCAGCTGGGGGTCCGTGTAGTGCTAACCGCGAGAGGCGCTTGATGAAGCTAGCGACGAGCGCGGCGGGCAAGTGAGAGGACGACATGAACGTGTCAAGGAGCCGGAAGAAGCGTGAGCGGTGCTTTGAATGCATAAGACCGTCGTCTAGGAGAGAGTAAAGCTTGAGGTAGAATGACGGGTAGTCGAGGTTCTTCTCCGAGATGAGGTAGTATAGTCCAGAAAGTGCCATTAAAGATGTTGCACCACCCACATTGTAGGAGTCGGTCAGAAAGTCGGCCAGAACCTCAGGTTGCTGGAACCATGGCGCCATCTGATAGGAAAATGTGGTCAGGATGGACTTGCGCTGTTCCTTAGTCATTCCTGTGCGCATTGTTGCCAACCAAGCTCCTTGCGCCTTCTCCTTGTATGCCTGGAGCGACGATATCGGGCTCTTCCCTTGTACCTCAACGTAAAAGTTTTGAATTTCGGATTTGGACTTGGGGACTTCGCCGAGCGTGGCTAGCAGGGACATGCTGTTCGCAACAACGACTTGTCGTGTTGTGTCTGAAAGCTCGCCATCCAGTATATCCCTAGTCATGTCAGAAGATGCTATCATGTTTGACATATGTATGTACTCACTTGATCTTCTGGAAGGTCAGGTACCGAATGTCGTCGAACTGCTTGAAGTACTTCTCTGCAAACTCCTCCCGGGTCATGTCATCTTCTGGCAAGCTCAACAAAACCCATATGAGCTGAGGCATGAGCCCGTTCTTGAGCTTGTAGTCCCTTTGTGATTTCGACTCTTCCTTCACCAAACGCATGACCAGCGTCAGGGCCACAGATTGCTTTGGGGGGTGCTCGCTGCGGAGGAAGTCGTCCAAAAGTGTAGTACAGAGCTCTTTATAGCGCTCCTTTAGCCAGGACACCACGACGAGCTCTGCTTCGCTCATGCCCTTGCTCTTGACCATGTCGCCCGATACCAATAGTCGTGTGAAGACTCGGCACAGCGCAACCGCAGCCAGAATTGAGCCGTCATCTTCTGACTGCTTTGCCAATTTTATGAGAGTCGCAATGTTGTTGTAGTGTTTTCGCGATTCGACAATTTGAGCTTCGAGCTGCAGGATTTCAGATTGGATGTCTTCGCCGTCGTCGCTAGGTGATTTGCGCCGGCTCTTCGATTTGGATTTGGATTCGCTGCGCTCTGGCTTGCTTGGGTCCCTCTTCCTCTTCACACCAGACATGCTGGCCGACTTTGTACCCGACATGTTTTTCTGAAGCGCGTGTTTCAACCCAGCGTCGAGATATTCGCAGGCGCAAAAAGTTGACAATGTCGAAAAGTTCAGGGCCGGGCGAAGTTCGGCTAGCGCATCGGCGTCGGCGCTTGGCTCAGGATTGGTACCGCAACATCACGAAAAGCTAGCTCTTGACGACGACCAGCACCCCAACTCCCCACTCTCATCAGACAGCAATGGCCTCACGTCTAGCCAGGAGCGCGGTCGGTGAGTAACAGCTATCCGATGACGGTGCGATGCCATTGACCCCATTACTCACCCACAATAGGCGCCGCCCGTCTCCGCCCATCGCTTCCTCTCCGCACTCTTCCCTCCATCGCCTACCAGGCCCGCTACAACTCCAATGTGCCCCAGGAGGACCCCAAGAAGAAGGCCCAGTCCGTGCTCGACTCGATACCCGTCCCCGGAAACAGCCCCCTCACCAAGGCCGCTGTACTCTCCGCCGGCGCTGGTTTGAGTGTCGCCGCTATTAGCAACGAGCTCTACGTCGTCAACGAGGAGTCCATTGTCGCCCTCTCGCTGCTGACCATTTTCTGGGCTGTCGCCAAATACGCTGGACCTGCGTGGGGAGAATATGCGCAACAACAGGCCGACAAGATCTCCGGCATCTTGAACTCTGCCCGCCAGGACCACACTGCCGCTGTCAAGCAGCGCATTGAGAGCGTCCAGGACCTCGGTGGTGTCATTGATATCACCAAGACCCTCTTCGAGGTTTCCAAGGTGCGGAATTATGATGGAATGATATAGGACAATGGACTGATATCTTTTGTAGGAGACCGCCAAGCTTGAGGCCCAGGCTTTCGAGCTTGAGCAGAAGACCGCTATTGCCGCGGAGGCCAGGTCCGTCCTCGACTCCTGGGTCCGCTACGAGGGCCAGGTCAAGCAGAGGCAGCAGCGCGAGCTTGCCGAGTCCATCATCGCCAAGATTGAGAAGGAGCTTGAGAACCCCAAGACTCTCAAGCAGATCCTTGACCAGAGCGTCACTGACGTTGAGCGTACGTTTTTACTAAGATTGAAGGAGATAAATTTACTGACAATGTATAGGGATCGTTTCCCAGAAGGCATAGACGTCCTGTGACATCCACCGGCCAAGTTCAATCAATGTTACATAAATCTGTGCAATAGTCAAGCTTCTTCAATATAGAGTACCCAAGGCTTGGGAAAAGGCCGAATTGATCTCATTGTCGTTATGGCTTGTTTTGTCATTGTCATGTTTGTTAGTGATGACAGCCCCTCAATTCAAAGGCTAACTAATCTGAAGTCATACGAAAGCAGTTAGTGTAATATCTGGCATCTGAAGACATATACATCCCACCCGGGTGCCGAAAGAGACTTGACATACTAGGGGGAAAAGGCCACTGTAGTCGCCAGACACGCCTATTAGGTGTCAAGTATTTTATAACACCCAGGTGATCCTATCATCCCTCCAGTCCACAGTCATTGCCAGCTTTGAGGTATCTTATCTCTCAATCACATCCGTATTGTGAATACACGTCCAGCTCTGGCATCCTCTGGGCATCAGAGACTGAGAGATGCCCAGGTGTGGTTGTATCGTGGCCGTGACAATGCTGACTTCTTACAATACCAACACGCCTAGTCAAGCATGTATTAAGCTACATCAGATGAGCAATGTCGTAAGCCTGTGCCAGAACCTACGTGCAAGCGGAAAGCAACATGTACAGGGCGTTGATAGGTAAAGGTGATGTCGAGGTAAAGGTAGACAGCCTGGGAACAGCCGTCGGTAGCCCCATATATAACGTCTTGTCATCGCCAACCTTCTTCTTTCCCAACCTCTACCTTTTATTATAACCTACAGAGTCAACATCACATCAGCAACAGCATCACCGTTACAATCTCCACGCGACAAGCAGCCATGTCTCCCGCATCTGTTGCATCGGAGCCCGCACCCAACAACACAGAGGAACTGTCCAGTCTCAATGACCAAACTCAGAAGGGACCATATCAAACGGTGACAGAGACGGTGACAGAAACGAAGACTACAACGACGACTATAACAAAGACCGAAACCAAGACCAAGATGTCGCCCACCGTAGCGCTCAATACCCCGCACTCATTCATGCCAACACTCGATCAAAGTCACGCGGTCTCAAGAAAACGAAAGGCAGAGGAGACACATGGAGAGTCATCCAAGAAGAACAAGAACTCCGACGAAATCCTGGACAGAGAGAAACAGGACAGTGTGTATCTCCGCCAAGAGTTATCACCTGAACAGCTGCGCAACTCACCGTACGATGGCGCTGTTACTACACGATCTGTCGGGACCCAAACCACGGATATGGACAGCCCAAGGCCTTTCCTGCCCTTCCTGCATACGGACGAGTCATTGATCAGGATGAAGCCACCGTATCAAGGAGGGTACATAAGATTTGACTCGGATACGGAGGAGGAGGCGGAGGCGATCTGAGGACGCGAAGACGGACAACTTGAACTGAGAGACTCTTACTCTTGTGGTTGGTCTGCTGTTTATATTGGGCGTGGGATGCCTACAATACGAGGACAATCTACGTGGTTTGCGTCCCTATTGCGGGTGAATATGGATGAGCGCTGGGGATAAAGACAGATGGTCTAATTTCTCTATTCATGGGTCAAACATATATTTCTTTGGAGGAGCTGAGAAGAGAACGCATCCCAGACAGAACTGAACGAGGTGACTGGGGAAAGCTGTATCAGAGAAAGAGAGAGATGAGCAATCCGAAAACAGCACAAGCATATGCGGAGCATCCACACTGTCGTTGGTATGTAGTGCAGTACTAGTCATTTCCATGAATCCATCTGCTACAATTCTCTCATATTTACAACCTCGCCCTCTCACGCTCCCCCACCTCCAAAAGCCCTTCAATCGTCCTCTTCCACAGCTCCGCCCTCTCCTTACTAATCGCGTTCAAATCATAGCTCACCCCAAACCCAACAATACCCTCCGCACTCGTCGAGCTGCCAACCAAGAACTCATTCTCCCTCGCCCTAACCCCAATCTTGACGTCTTGGAAATCCGCCGCAAAGTCCTTGTCACCCAGATTCTTGAGATCGTAGGTGCCACGCTTGAAAAACGCTGCCAGTGGCCCAATGGAAGAAACACCACATGTGGCTCCAAATTCCGCTGCACTGGGCAGCAATGAGCCCTGGGGGTTACTCCAAGACGCCGTCCGGCGGTTTCGAGGTAGTTTCGCCTCGACTCTTTCAATCTGCGCTACGTACCCCGTTGCCAGCAGACGGCCCGGTGAGTACTTGTCCAGTATACCCGGTGTACCTTTCAAGTCGCTCCCCTTGAGTTTCCTCTTCTGGTAAACCTTCAGCTCACGGTTCGCATGCTTGGCCACGAGCTTGAACCGGCCTTCTACGGGGAGACTGCTGGATAAGAAAGGCATGACAATTCCGTCGCTGAAGGCTAGCATACAGGAGTCTGGTGGTGGGGGGTTTGCGAAGAAGGCACGGGGGTTCAGGGGGAAGGATGCTGTGAAGGCTGGGTGGTGGGACGAGGAAGGAGAGAGGCTTTCATGTATAGCCATCATGGAGAGGCCTGCGAGAGCGAAACATCCGGCGCCTATGGATACGTTTGCGGCTCTGCAGAGGGCGATTAGGCGCGATGAAGCGGATGGAGAGAGAGATGCGGAGATGTGGCCACAGGACATTGGTGGGCGGGTAACGGGGTTGTAGTCGAAGATGGCATCAAACTTTGGCTGTAGCGGCGGCGCAGTCTCCAGTCTCTGTGCTCTTCGTAGCGGGTTCGTAAATGTGGGTGGAAGACCCTTCTTCACATGTCGCAGGACGCGGATTAGTGCCCAGAACCAGCGTTTTCGCGCTCTGCTGCCGGTGATTGGGGGGTATAGCCCTTCCTGTGCTGCTGGCAAGACTGCTTGTATCTTTTCGGCCTGACCGCACGACGCGATATCTGCTAAGATGGCTTCAGATGGCTGGTTCAAAATCCGGATGAAATGGCTGAACCAGCTGTATGCTGAGAGCCCGTCGGAGATTTGGTGCGCTATTACGATTAGGAAGCGGAGAGAGTAGGTTCCATCAGTATTCTGGGTGATGGGCAGAATGTGGAGTTTTGAAAGGCATTTCGTCGGTTCGATTATTCGGGTTACGTTGTAGGCGTGGTGGTAGACCTCCTTTTCGTCTACGTCCGGGTATGTGTCTTCAAACCAGATGATGCTATTTTCAACCTCTTGGATAGCAGCTTCTGGTGAGGACGGGATGTTGACTGCGAAGTTGCGGGTTCCAGTTGCTGGATCATCCATTACACGAGCCAAAAGCAAAGGGTGCTGCAGGCGCAGGGACGCCCATGCAATTGCAACCCTACGCTTAAGCTCAGCTTTGGAGAGCTTGTGTTGACATGAGAGGGTGAAGAGAGATGTCATATCTATTGAATGGTCAGGTGTAATCCGACAGTAGTGTGTATCTTGGGTAAGCCTGATATAATTCGCATAGATTTTGAAAGTTTACCGGGTACCCTAAACAGATGCGAAGGAATCCCGGCTCTTCAGAAATTGGGTCAAAGACATGATGAAACATACTACGTACCTGCTCGCCCGCCATAATACAACCCATCTGCATCAAATGAGCTTTCCACGAGCCCAAGTGGACGCTTGAACATCTGACTGCCATGTGATCCAACTGACAGCTCCCAAGCAGCATAATTCGTTGCGTACTTGTCCAGCCAATGGCCTCGATGTTGTTGCTCTGACATTTTTTTCGATTATGAAATCTTTTCGAGAAGAGTAGATGTGCATGAGAGTGAGAGCTCCAAGGACCTCGGCACATAATGACGCGACTGTCCAGGTTGTTGCGGCCCGTTAGGCCGAGTCATGGATGCAAAAGTCGCTAGAGCATTAGCGTCATTGCTACGACAGGATACATGTAATCCGGTCTCATCACGACAGGTACACCGCATGAAGTCCTCACAAGACTTAAATGCCCTACACAAAGTGAAAGAGCATCTTCCGTGTAGACAATGCTATTGAAGGCCAGAGGCTATACATAGTCTATTAATTGCATTTCAATACTACTATGGTATCAATGCTAACGCCATAAGGAATTTGTCAATCCGTTATATCCATATAACTACCTCCTCAAACCGGTCATGGCTCGAGATACAGTTAATGCCATCGACCATCCCGCCACGATACACGCCTCGTTCAGCTCTAAACTACATCCTCCATTTCATCTTCACCCTCTGAATCTCCGTCACCAGGGCCTTCGGGCGCTGCTGCCTCAGCCTGCTTACTGATATCGCGTTGATTCTCGAAAACGGCCTGGCGCTTCCAGTTACTCGCAAACGGCCCAGACTTGACAAGGAGCGCGATATCGCCCAAGACCTCTTTGAGATATTGTTCCGGCTGCTTTGTGCGTTGCTTGATAGCTTTCATGGGCCAATATTGGTACTCGTCGAACAGAGAATGCAAAACGTCGATGAGATCTGATCGAGCCATACGAGCGGCTTTGTTCTGCTGAGACTTGGCCTTGGTAGTGGGCTTGATGAAGTTCTTGAATCTGTTGTTGAGCGTAATGGAGTTGTTGACGTCTGAGACATCGGTATCTTTGGTGATGATTGTTGTGAGGTGGGAACCCTGGATGGCTTGCTTGATGCGTGCAGCGCTGAAGTCTTGGTACTCCTGCGTGTCGAGGGGGTTGGCAGTGTATTGCCGTGTCGCGTGGCCGATGAGTGCGGTTTGCTTGGGGATGGCCTTCTTGTATTTGCTGCGCTTCTGGATGCGCGCCTTGGGATCTTGAACACCCCCAAAGCCTCCTTGTTGATTACCTCGACCGTATCCGTAGCCCTGGCCCTTGAACCCCGGTAGGTCCTTTTCCGTGAAAACGTATGTGTTCTTCAGCAGCGTGTCTGAAACAGATGCAGGCTCCAACTGGAAGGAAGACGGCAGTTTGGATTTCTGGCGCCAGCGGTCATTAAGAAAGACACGCATTTGCTTTGATTTGTCGATGCCGCTCGTTGTCGCGAAGGCTACAACTTCTCCGATTTGTATCTGGTCGTTGTCGTTGCCGTCGGCGAGGTCGTCCCACTTTGAGACTGCCTCATACAGCCAATCTGGAATGCGCGTCACCCATACGTCCTTGTCGGCGCCGCTCTTGTCCATAAGCATCTCGCCCGTATCCTCGTAAAACTCGTCATCCATAAAACCGCCACCACCCGAGGGAGTCAGAACGTCGGGGTCTGCTTTGATGCCGTTCATGGCGACGTGGGTAAGGGAGTGTGTCGGCGTGCGTATGTAGCGAGTGATGTCGTAGTACTTAATATGATTGTAAGGACTGAAACAGAGAGAGGTTCAAAGGATAGTGTAAGTGACACAAAGGCGACGTAGTGAGGGTGGGCGATGATGGACTGTCGAAAGACAATGGAGCCTGGCTGCTCTTACCGGGGCGCGCGCGCATTAGCGCGCCAAGCCTGTTATCGATATGCGGAGAGCAGTCGCGCTTGCCCCACGTCTGCCGCCTGCTACCTTCACGCGAGCAAGGCTGCTCTTACCTTATTCTCGCTATTGGAGAGCCTACATAGTAATTAGACTTCCAAGTCTCAGTGTTCGCCTTCACTCTGTTCATCTGCTCATACTCGACTGAAGCAATTGCACTCAATCAACATAACTTGCTTGCAAACGCCATGGCCTCCGAAGCTGTCACTACCGCTTTACAGCAAATCGAGGTTGCATCAGTCAGCGAAAAGCCCTCGCAGTACACTACACTGCTTCAGCAAATTGTAGAATCATCCAATAATGTCGCCGCCGACCTCAACCTATACGTACAAACCCTCCTCGACGACTCGCTGGGCATTGTTGTGCTCCGACCACTTCTCGCTGCCTTTGTAGACGCATTTCGAACCATCCAAGACGCAGACTCCAAGATCGAAATTGGCGAAAAGGTCCTCGCACTTTTACAATCCAAGGGCGCAGGTCAATACGAAGAGCAAGACACACAGATCAAGCATGTTCTGGCAGACGCATTCGAGCAGAACGAGGACTACCGGCGGTCCGCCCAAACACTCTCCCACATCAATCTAGAGTCAACACAAAAGTCCATTTCTGCCGACGAAAAGGCAAAGGTTTGGATTCGGATAGTGCGATGCTATCTCGAAAAGGACGATCCAACCAGCGCTTCCGTACATCTGAACAAGATCAAGAACATTCTGTTTAGTGTACAGGACAAGGAGACCAAGGTCATGTTCCAGCTCAGCCAAGCTCGCATTCTTGATTCACAACGCCACTTCCTCGACGCCGCACAAGCATACTACGGCATAAGTAATGAGCCCCTGGTCGACACCGAGGAACGAGAGAGGTTTCTTGGCAGGGCAATCATTTGCACTGTCCTGGCTCCTGCCGGTCCACAGCGAGGAAAGATGTTGGCCAAGCTATACAAGGATGACCGGGCTAGCTCCGCGGATGACTATGCCATTCTGGAGAAGATCTTTCTCAATCGCCTGCTTACGCCCGCCGAGATCAAAGCTTTCTCCTCCAAGCTCGATGCTCACCACCTCGCCAAGTCCGCTGACGGTCTTACCGTGTTAGACAAGGCCGTTCTCGAACACAATTTGCTCGGTGCATCGAAACTATACAACAACATTGGCTTTGACCAGCTCGGTGAGCTCTTGGGTATTGATGCGGAGAAGGCGGAAGACTACGCGGCAAAGATGTTGGAGCAGGGTCGTCTTGCAGGATACATTGACCAGATCGATCGCTATGTTTTTTTCGAGGGCGAGGCCAGCGGGGAACGAAAGACGGGCCATGCAGAGCGTGTGGTTGGAAAGGAGCTACGGAAGTGGGACGCAAATGTCACTGGATTGGCAGAGGAGGTGGAGAAGGTCACTTCGATGATCCAGAATCAGTACCCAGATTTTTACGCTTCACAGGCGGTGCACTAGTATGATACCGACCTAAGCGGCTGCGCGGTTTGATAAGGAGTATGCGAGAGACTACCGGACGTGCATAGTAGGCGACGATGCATGGCTTCGAAGATGGCGTCCAGGAATATACCCATTGCATTGGTAGATAATGAGAACTCATAACGAAGTATATCTAAGTTATTCTGGTTGAAAAGTGTATATGAGCTTGAAGGCCTGCATATCGAGAACAGATGGGTATTTCGTATGTGATGATGTAAAGCAGTCTCTTGGTAGGGTATCAGTTAAGTCATCCCTAACTACTCTTCCTGGCTAGCAAAGTGCAGAGATCATGATTACATTCGTTCAAAAAATTAGAGTATCCAATTAATCATAAAGCCCTCTTACAATTCTCCATTTGTTACTATCTATCTGCGTGGACACTGGCAACTTCCTACATCCTATACCATTGGTCTTTAATACGTCCGACACATGTCGTAGTCATCTCTACAAGTAAAGCTATCGTCGTCAGTCCTCCACATACGACCACAGGACACTGAATACAGCGCTTCCCGTTCGCTCAGCGGTACTTAAACGGTGTACCGGCGGGTTAGTAGTCAGGTGGGTGACCACTGGCGAATACCCGCTGTTGTATGTTTTTGCCTTTTTTTGCACACAGATAGAAACTCCGGTCATTACAGTAGGTAGCTACTCGAGAGAAAGTCTGTTAGAACTCGTCGCGAGTCTTGGTGTGCTCCTTTTGCATTGTGTGGGGTACTTCAAGTGTCAGGGACAATGCTTAGGATACCTCACCATCTTTTCGAGATCCGGATTGTTTTAAAACTTGTATCAACCCTTCTAGATTCTAGAGTCATGTATCACGCTTACTTACGCCCCTATCTGTCAAACACAGTTTATATTTCAATCATATTTATTGAGCTAAGTGCATCGCATCAAGCTCGAAGTGCCAGTCATATCTATACATATGATACATTCGAAAATCCACTCATTCCTCACTACCAGAAACCCAACGTAACACACTCGCACTATTGCACACCCTCTACCTCCTTTGGCTCCAACGCTGCCTCATACTCCTCCAAGCTCTTCACATCCAGATCTGTGATCTTCAAGACGGTAAAGCGCAGCTTGCTCTTAACATGCTTGGTATGTCTTTGTCTCCTCTTCGTCTTCTCCTCGACCCGCAATGGTTCACTCTCTATACCCACGACTCGTGCCCGACATGTATATAATCGCTCATCCAAGTAAAACAATTTCTTCCCGTGATCAGCATTTCCCTTTATCGGCTCTGGGGCTTTGAGCGTGTAGTCCCGAGATCCAATGTGTGTGGCCCGGTTTAAGCGCAATACGTCTCCAGGGCGGATGTTTGGCATGTGGAAGGGAAGGCGGAGCGTATCGCCGCGGGTGAGGAGGTAGGGTCGGCCATGTAGATGTGCGGTTATGTAGTGTGCTGGCTGGGTTTGGAGGAGTGGGAGAAGGGTTCGGATGGATGGTGTGAGGGTCTTTGCGAGGATCTCTGAGCGGGCGTGTGGCGAGACTTTGTCGGAAGCGGGCTTTGGTGCCTTTTTAGGTAGAGGCTGTGGTGTTTGAGCGCGCTCTTTGGCTTCTTCTGATATGCGGTGTCCAGACTGGATGAGCGGTTCGGGAGTATTTGATGTGTCGAGGTTATGCGATACGGTTGTTATTCGTGCGCGGAAGACTGCCGGCTGTATTATCGACCTCGATTCGAAGAGAACATTTCGTGCAGAGCGAGTGAATAACGCCATTGTAATGTGTGGAGGGGCAATGGCTGCTGTAGATGGATATCTTGGTGTTGCGGAGGTCCGCTGTGGAAGAATCCCGCATGGCGCTAGTGGGGGCTAGTGCCGAACTTTTTGGAGGATGGCAAGTTGCGCTGTTAGGGCTACTTACTCCACTCCACCACTACCCTCCAACAGCAGATACAGAGGTAGTCGTCAACATGCCTCAGAACGAGTACATCGAGCGCCATACGAAGCTGTATGTATACGGCCATCTATAGAGACTCCACATCTAATTCGTCGACTACAGGCATGGCAAGCGCTTCGACCACGATGAACGCCAGCGCAAGAGGATCGCTCGTGAGGGCCACAATGCCTCGAAGAAGGCACAGAACTTCCGTGGCCTACGCGCGAAGTTGCACGCCGAGAAGCGCAGGAAAGGTTTGTGCCACCCAATACGACCCGTACTTCCATGTACAATTCAATCTTCGATGGGCGCACGCGCAAGGATTTCACAGAGCCATGTGCTGACATGAACGCCAGAAAAAATCCAGATGAAGCAGAAGATCCGCGCCCACGAAGAGCGCAACGTCAAGTCAAACGAAGCGCCCGAGCCCGCCACCGAAGCTCTTCCATCCTACCTGTTGGACCGATCAAACGAGAAGAATGCCAAGGCTCTATCTTCAGCCATCAAGCAGAAGCGTAACGAAAAAGCCGCACGATTCTCAGTTCCGCTGCCAAAGGTCAAGGGAATTTCCGAGGAGGAGATGTTCTCCGTGGTTAAGACGGGAAAGAAGACGAAGAAGAAGTCGTGGAAGCGAATGATCACCAAGCCGACATTTGTTGGTCCTGGCTTCACCCGTCGACCTGTCAAATACGAGGTACGCATGTACAGTGTATGTGCAGCCAAGAAATGTACTAACTTTGTATACAGCGCTTTATTAGGCCCATGGGTCTGCGTTACAAGAAGGCAAACGTCACGCACCCCGAACTCAACGTTACTGTCCAGCTGCCAATCATGTACGTGTCTACATCATCTAAACGGAAGAAAAAAGTCATATCTAACAACCGCGCAGATCAGTAAAGAAGAACCCTCAACAACCCATGTACACACAACTAGGTGTCCTAACCAAGGGAACCATTATCGAAGTAAACGTTTCCGAGCTCGGTCTCGTGACCGCCGGAGGAAAAGTCGTATGGGGACGATATGCACAGTGCGTTCACCTGGTCCCAACATGATGAACAGCAAAGCAACTAACACGACTTCCAATAGAATCACAAACAATCCCGAAAACGACGGATGCCTGAACGCTGTCCTGCTCGTCTAAACTAGGTCCCAAAACGACTAAAAGAGGCGATAGAAAGGAGGAAGGGGTGAGCGAGCGACACGGGTCACTGCATATCACGGCGTTAGGGGCGGCGGCGGCGCAAACTGGACCTTGCCTTTGGGCTTTGCACAAAAAGAATTCCCGCAGGCGTTTTTTCTTCCAGGGCCCCCGAAGAAGAGAACAAGAAAACAAGATGAGACTGGTTGGACGAAAAAGGGCTGGCTGGCTGCTAGAGGCATGTGTATGCAACGTTGGGCTGAGATTGGGGGAGGTGCTTGCTGCCGAGAGCATATGCAGGTGTGAATGCTTTGAGAGTAGCGTGTTGCTTGCTTGTGCGAAGCGCTGAACATATAATGATACCATATCACCCCACTGGTCGCACCGCTTTCCGTCCCGTCCCCCACCCCGCCCCGCCCATGACTGTAGTTTCTTTCAACATGTGTGTTTCTGGTGAAGAGAAGAAAAGAAGGGACTAGTTTTTTTGGTATCGAGCGGGAGGTAGGGAAGTAAGTAGATATGATATCGCCCATCACCTTGTAAAATTCCGGGATAGTTCGTTCGAGCTTTACAAGGTGATGGCTGATATACACCTAACCCCCCTCGTTTCCCTCCCTAGGTATAGAGTAGCATTATTGCGGACTAAAGTACTAAATGTATCTCATCCGAGTGAGCTAGCTAGCCAAAGCACACGATTTCATAAAGTGTCTCAGGCTGCCGTGGTATCTTTCCCGTCCAATTTCCGTAAACCATCGTGAAATTTGCCGTGAAGATAAGGAAAGAACTAGAAAACAAAATAAGATAATATAAAAAAACGTCCAGTTTAGATGGAAAAGGATTCCTGACTCTCTGAAGCCTCCTATCCTCTGAAAAAAAAAATCAGCGCTGTCGTCAAGGTTTCGCAGATACCAATATCCGCTCTCTGGGAAAGCAAGCAGAAAAAAAACGAGGGAAAAAACCGCCAGTATACAGCCTTTGGCCGTGTTCACATCTACAGGGTCATTGTCATACGACAACATCGCTCAAATCAACGTGTCTCCGTTGTCTCTCCATCTTGCCGGGCAAGACACCCCCATGGTCATGAAGCGCATCGTCATGGACCCAGTCTGTTACGACATCGTCCCATACTGCATGATCCCAGCTCTTCCTCCTGCCAGTCTTCTCTGCCCAGCCTGTTCTTTCGAGTTCGATGATGCCACCGAATCTTCTTTCGCCATTGGAGATGAACAGGCTCTGACCATCGGGCGTGAAGGTGACACCGCCAACGGGGCCGAAAAAGTCAAATACCTGCTTCGACTCCCATGTCTGTGCATTAATCACGTTGATGTAGTCGTCTGCCTCGGCGGCAACCAAGACGCGCGGGCCTGAGCCAATGGGTGAAAAGTGCAGCGACCGTGGAACGCTGAGTTCGCTCTTCATGACGGTGAGTGGCTTATCCCAGTATCTTGCATCCCATACGACGATTGTCGAGTCTTGTGCTGCAGTGGCGACATGTATGCCGTCATCTGCCCACGCGCAGGCGAATGCATCATCGGTATGTGAATTCAGTGTTTCAAAAGGCTGGCCCGTCTCCGCATTGGTGATGAGCGTCTCTTGGAAGTCACCGACTACGACACGCATCCGACCATTAGGAGAGGTTGCCGAGCAGTTCACGGCGGCGGGGTATAGGAATGAATGGGTGAATGTGTTTGTTTCGCAGTCTAGGACGCGGAGACGATGATCATTCGAACAAAGAACGGCTTGTGGCGTATATGTTCGCCGTGAAGCAAAGAGGTGCAAATGGTTGACTATTTGCGACTTGGTGTCCGTTGCAAAGTCGGAGGTTCGGCCAAATGTAAATGGGGAGCCATAGGTGGAAGCGAGGTTAGTGATTGCATACTCACCCTCAAAGGCGCCGGCAATGAGGACGTTGTCGTGTGAGGCAACGGTGGTAATTGAGGCATCGGGGTTGATGTGCTTGCTAAGATCGACAATGGCATCGGCTTCTGTTCCCTCTGCGTCTGTGCGCCATACTCTATGGCCTTGTGCAAAGAAGATGTCATTGCGGGATGTCGCTGTGATGATGTTTCGCAGCTGGAAGTGAGGGATAAAGGCACGGGGTGTGGTACTGATCCTCTTGAACTGGAAGAAGTCGTCTGTGTTGGCCGTAGGAGGTATGTGCTGGGTTTGTTAGAAAACAAATGGAGGAGTGGAGGAGCATATTAGTCACCTTGCGTACTTGCTTGAGGCACTGTGGCAGCCTGTCACTTTCAAACTCCTCGCGCGCCTCCCTAACAGCCGAGCGACTGGTCTTTCGTGCCTCCCAGTCGATTCCCTGGTAGTCATAGCAGTCACCCTTGAGATCATCGCGGTCGACAAACTTGGGTACCTGGCAGAGGTCGAGGCCAGGGACGAGGGGCTTGGTTGTGTCAAAGAAGTGGTGGAAGTAACTGGTGATGGGGCAAAATGCCGTCTTGTCGACGATGCTGAGCTGCGGCTCGTGAAGACTTGGCGGGGGTTCAAGTGCAGGATCTGCGTTGGACAGATGGGTCATGAAGACGGGGGACGGAGGGAAGTATGCGGTGGAGGTGTGATGGGCAATGCTGGAGAGGTCGAGTATCTCCAAGGCATTATAGGGGGCATAGGCGGGATGGGCTTGCGAAAGGAAGTCGTGTATCTGAACATCTACAGGTCCGTCCTCGTGCTCTTCCTCTTCACTGTCCTCGCCTAGGGGATCCGGGTTGGGCATGGTTTCCATGAACTGCTGATAGTCTGCGAGTGAGATCCCCCCGCTGTCGTCATCGTCGTCCTCACCGTGCCCCTGCTCCGCCTGGCCCGTGGACGGCCTGGTATCAGACAGTGATGCTAGATTTACAGCAGCCGCCAGCGCGTTGGGTGATTGAAGCCAGTCTCCATGGACTGGACAGTCATGCGGCGGCGGCAGCGGCGTGGTGTCGTGTGGAGTAGTGGTGCTGGCCATGGACGCCCGCTGTCCGGCCGATAGCTCGCTGGCGGGGCCGCCTTCTTTCAGGCTCCTGTGCGGGCGCTGTGGTGGGCGTGGATGGGATCAGTGGACTTGCGGTGCGGTCTCGGTGATGGCGTTGCGGGCGCAATGGATAGGCTTGTCGGGGCGTGGGGGAGGCGACTAGGCCAAAGCATAGGCTCGGCGCAGGTGCGCACTGTTATGTAGGTACGGACGCGGACTGACTGGCTCCTGGCCTCAGCTGCGCAGGGCTCCTGCCTGGTCTGTTGCGTCGTTCTTGCCCGTGTTGCTCGTCTGCTTGTCGGTTTTGGCAGGCTCGCGTACACGAGGCGCTGCATGCGAGGAAGCACTGGGAAGGCACGTCCAGGACAAGGTGTGGGGTCGCAGCTGCCAGACTTTAAGCGGACTATTGGCTGCGGGAGAGCGGGAAGCGTCGGGCTGCAGGCGTGATGGCGATGCACCTGCCTCAGTCGGTCGGAACGGCCTCTTCTTGTCAGATATATACACTTGGTCCCAGGCACCAAGCCCCTCGTCGACGCCCGTCGGCCGTCGCATCGAGCCCGCTGCTGCCGTCATCCCGTCCAGCAGCCAGACTGAACACGAGGGGATCGGACAGCCCACCCCTCCAGACCTGACTAGCAACTCCACCATCTCACACATCGCCAGACCTCAGATCTCTGTGTCTGCCGCAGTCCGACTCCACGCTGTCACCGGGCCCATGCTCGCCCTCGCTCCGTCAGGGCTAAGCGGGTGATACAACTCACATGGCACTGCCAACACGACAACGTCCATGGGCCAAGCCCTGACGACGAGAATGCAGTGCCCACTCCGCGTCGCACACCCTACCAGGCACTGGCCCACTACAAGGCCCGTAAGCCTCTTGTCAGGCCTCTTTTGGGACACAGGCAGCACACTGCCTTCGCTAACCCTGATCCCTTGGGGCAGACGGCTGACGCGCTCAGCGCTGGTCCACAGTCGTACCGCCAACGAGTGGGACTAATCATTTCATCCCCCCTCCCCAGATTGTGGCTCAACCGCCGTTTTTGTCTCTCCTCGCCGTCCTGGCAGTGGAGAACGGTGCTGGCACTCCACGACAGCAAGCCACAGATCGCGAGAGAGCAGGAGCCAAGATTGGCGCCCTCTAACGGCCGCGAGAGGGGCGCACAAGGCCCAACTTGAGACTGCGAAACCCCACACGCCCGTGATGCGACGTCAGGCAGAAGCTGCCGTTGCAACTAAACAAGATTCATCGACGGCATGCCAGGTCTTGCCAGAGCTGACAGCCGGTCCTGTACAATTGTATTACTACGGTAGTCCTAGCTGATAAGGCGATAATCGAACAATGGCTACAAATGGTCATAAGTTATAATAGAAACACCGCTCCGGCAATGCAGTAAGCATCGTAACACATTAAGCAGCCCTCGGCTGCGCGACGGCTTCCCTTCCTACGGGGCGCCATCGGTGCGAAATCAATTATCATAGTACTGCTCGTACCCCTGCTGTTGCTGCTGTGGCCACCCGCCAGCCGATGTCGCCGCTGGTGTCTTGAGTCTCCGTTCTGTTGGTGCCCAACGTCAGTGACAGCATTATCGCGAGATGTTGTGCTCCTTACCGGCTTCAAAGTCATGCCACCTGCGCATCGTGATCTTGCTACTGTCAAACTCTCCCTCATACTCCAACCCGGCCTTCTTGGTCTTTTCACCCGCCGTTTTGCGCGTATCGCCCCAACTGAAGTCGTCAAACTTCCAAAACGCGTACGCCGGCAAGACGAAATTCCAGATGGGGAGCGATAGCAGGTAGACAAACATCCAGGCCACGTAAGACCATCGGTGAGCCGTGATGATGATGAGGATGGCCGGGAGTCCGAGAATGAGCGCTAAAAGGATGAGGGGTATGACAGGAGCGGCCGTGTGAAGGACGGCAGCCTTGATGGAGATGGCAACTGGTCATGGTTAGCAAAGCCAAAGATTCAAGACGAGGTACGGAGCCTTACTTAGGTAAAGTGTAAACGCGATGGCGGCCGGCAGGACCAGGGTTCCCATCAACTCGACAAACACGACAAACTGCATGCTGAAGCAGAAGGTGCCACATAGATCTCGCACTAGCACAAGCTCCATCAGGTTGTGAATCGTACTATTAATCCATCGTCTACGTTGTGACAGTAAGACTTTGAACTCATCCGGTACCGTGGTTTTGCACACGGCTTGCGGCACAAAAACCTGTTTCCGCTTGGGGAATGTCTTGAGCATCAGCGTCGACAGGTAGCGATCCTCACCTAGCAGCAGCAGATTCTTCTTGTGCAACGTGTCGACCACGTTCTCCGAGTAGTGCTCGACAATGTCGGGATTAGCGAGGATCGGCACCCAGTAGTTCTGACCGCCTTTAGGGGCCTTGATGCGGTACATGCAGAAGCAACCCGGCAGACAAGTGACACCGCCGAAGACCGACTCGAATGACTTGGCTAGATGATGCGAGATGAAATATCTATCATTGTCAGTGGCGCGATTGTCAAACATGGCTATCTCGCACTTACTCAAACACCTGGATCATCGACACCCACGAATCCCGCTTATTGGCAATCTTTGTTTCTCCACACAGTCCCATGATGTCTGGGTCTTTTACCATGGCTGAGATCATGTGTGTCAAGCTGTCGGGGAAGACTTTTGTGTCCGCGTCCACCATGAGTACTATCTCGTAGAAATCGGGCGAAATGCCCGTTATCTTCCAGATGCCGTTGAACATCTCAAACTCAAGCTCCGTCATACGCTCGTCAAACATGACCTTTTGCAGGAACGACATGAGGATGATTTGACTATCGCGCTTTCCACGATTACCAGGCTTCGATTTCTTGGCTTCATCGGGTGTGCCACACTTGACGACTAGCATCACTGGAACACGTTGCTGCTTCTCAGTCGGAATCCTCGTGTCCTCACCGTAGTCGTAGAAGCCTGAGTAGATCTTGGCCATGTTGTGTCGTTTCGATCCGCTAGCGACTGCAACGTACGAAAATGCCTGAACTTCGTGCGGCAAGACCGCATGATCTTTCATCATACTGAGACAGACTTCGGGCGTCGTGAGATCTTCTCCGTGACCTTTGATCATACCGTCGCAGATGATGAGGATCAGCTTGTGGCTGTTGGGATAGTCGGTCGTGGCGATCGAGTCAAGCGTGGTTCGGAGACCCTCAGGACCCTCCGAATATGCAGTGACTAGACAAATGGCGTGAGCCAGCGGGTATCCAAAAGGCTGCCATTCCGGAGGAGGCTGAGGTACCACCTCATCGTGCGTGAAACCCGCCGGACCGGAACCCTCAGTGCTCGAGTAGCGATTGGTCTCGGTGTTGGCTGAAAGTAGTACACTTGTCCTAGACTCCTGTGACGAATGTTGCGGGTTGAGAGCTCCATCGGTGGGAAGAGTGCCGTGGCTAGCGTTGAGTTGTTTGTACATGCCGCTGTTGGACCCGAGGAGGCGAGATGCGGCGCTTTGGCTCGTCATGGTCGTTGGCGGAGCTCGCATCTTTGCGTTCTTGTCGACCGAGTAGGGGCTGGTGAATCTAGAGGTCGACGGCAGGAAGGTGCTGCCACGCTTGTTGCTGCGGTCAGAGCCGGAAGCCGGGTCCATGAGTTTTGGCGGTGGGCGATAAATATCATCACTCCATTCCTCAATCTGCTGCTTTCTCTTCTTCGAGTCAACCGGGCCCAAGGAAGTCTTGGAGGCGGCAAACTTCTTGCTAATGAACCACTGGAAAATCAAAGCGAGGAAGAACTTGGCTAGCACGACGGATAGAATGAAGACTAGCGAGACGTAAAGCACAACCTTTGAAGCAATGCAGCCAATGCTCTCAGTATCAATAGTACCGACTTTGACTGTCTGAGTGAAGCACCTAGCAACCTGCTTTTCGTAACTAGAGGAGTAGGCGCGCGTAACATCTACACCCCGCACGGCAGGGTTTTGGCGGATTTGGTCGAAGATGGGTGGGATGTCTACTTGAGTGCGGTTGAACCAGTCGAGCAAGTCGAGGTCCAGCACATCACCGCCCCATACCATCAGATTTCTTGTGCTGTTGCGGATGTCTTCCCAGGTAAAGTATACATCGCCAGCGTTGCGAAGGCCATAAAAGGCGTTGCGCGCAGAGTCGGATGTATGGCACTGGAAACCATTGTACTCTGAAAATGAAGAGTTTGGCTTGCTCGAGCCGTCCTGATTGAACAGCCGACATGGGAAATACCAAGCCAAGTTGCCATTTCCGCTTGTAGGGATACCAGAGTTCGGCTTCTCCGTGATGAGTCCTTTGCACGCCCCATTGACGTTCTGGAACAGAAAACTTGCGTCTTGACCGCTGTGCTTCTCCGGGAGATCGAATAGTACGTTGGCGCCTTCGGGGATTCCACGCGCAGCAGGATGTTTGGACTGGGCTAGATCATATGCTTTTCCATGAATGATGAGATATGAACCTCCGACTTCGTTTGTCCTGAGACGAACATTGCCGTTCGATGGACACACAGTCTCTGTGAAACCGAATGTAATGTATCCGACAAAAGTACAAATCATAAGAATAATGCTGACCAGGCCGACCTTTTCCCTCCATGCCCGCTGCTGGGCCTTCTGCGGCTTCCCGAAGCATTTCAATATAGCGCCTGGAGCCCAGAAGGTGACGATAGCGCAGTAGACATTCCACAGACTGGGTGGCCTGAGCTTGTCCTGCTCTTTCTGCCGCTGCTTCTCCCGGGCTTGCATTGTTTGGCTCCGTGTCAACTTGCGCTGTATCTGCGGCTCGCCGTCGTCCAAGGGAACCTGCTTGTCTGTGTAACCTCCACCGCCACTCGAAGCATTTCGCATATGTGAGGGCTTGTTTCCGGTGCTCTCCGAGCTCATGGTTTCCGACTCGAGCTGGTCCTCCATGATGGGGTCGTTGCCGGTCGTGGAAGGCTGGACATTCATGCGCTGGGCATGTTTACGGTAGTGATAGTTGGGATGATTGGGGTCCATTCGCTGGCGCTCGGGACGAATGAGACTGCGCTTCCTGCTCAGCTCTGGTACCGAATCATTGTGACCGCCGCGCATAATGGGGTCGCGGTCCATGGGCACCGGGGTATTCGGTGAGGGAAGAGGCCTTGCGTAGGCATGGGGGCCGCTCTTGCTCTTGCCATCGCTGTTGGTGCGGTCGTGCGATCGCGTGCTCTCTAGGTCTGAAGTTCTTCGTCGGCGCGATTGGGAATGTCGACGCGAATGACGTTGCTCGTGTTGTTGATCACCCCGCCGGGGCGGTGACGCCTGTTCGGGCCGTTGGGGCAGAGGCATTTTGTTTGTTTAGGCTCAGTTGCAGTCACACTGTGCGCAGCGCTGCGGTGCCGGGAAGAATATGTGTATACAAAGCCAGTATGCGGCTGTTGATTATGGGCCAGACGTGCTCCGAATGCGATGCGTGCTCTAAGACCGGGATGGCGGATAAAGGTCGTCGTTGTCGTGGTAGCGGCGTTTCAGCAAGTGTTAGCCGGTTGAGGCAGGCACGAGTATGCTAGCAGATTAGAGATTAAGCGTGTCGAGGAATAACAATGCAGCGAGCTCCAGGCCAAACGAGCGACGAGAGAAAAAGCGTCTCTACCCCGGGCAATGGGTGTTGCGAGGTCAACAGAGTCTTAGCAACTTTACACACGGCATAGGCGGCGAGGCTGCCCCTTGCCAGCGTCCGTAGCCAGCGAATCGTAATGCTAGCCGCAGTTAAAGCCGCGAGTTATTTTGGGGAGCCCTGTTTCCACCCCGGCCTAGTCTAGCACAAACACGGCTGGCTAGGCGTGACTATGCTCACGGATGACTTTTATATGCGCAGAGGCCCGGCGCCCATGTTTATTGATTCAAAACACGCCTGCAATACTGGCTGGTAGATAGTGGGAGCTTCACCGTTGCCAACACGTGTCGCTATAGCTGTGACACGACGCTACTTGGGTACAAGGGAACTGTGAGATGCTGCCTGTCTGTCAGGTCCCTGCAGCCAGGCAGTGGACACTTCGCCTAGGACGTTTCGCACCACGACGCCTCCTCCCTATTGAAATACCCACAACCCGCTTGTCATTTCGAACCTGATCACCTTCTGCGGAACTTTCTCAGGCCCGTGTCCGACAATGCAGTACACGCCGCCTTCCAGAAACATGGCGACCAAGGACGCATCCATGCTTGCCACTGGCGCCTAGACCGGTGCCTCGCCCAATGCGTACTCATGGCGAGCTTGCTAACCGCGGCCTGCCCGGTACACTATTAGCAAACTACGGCTGACGCTTGCTGGATACGAGCGGACCTGCGCCCAAGTGTGTTTCTGGGGGCCGTTTCCATGCACCAGAGTACTTTGGCGGGCTGACAGAAGTGACTGCACGCTGAACGGGTGGAGCGACGTCTATTCACAACCCAGGTCCCACTAAAGACATCCCATGTACTAACCCACTTCCCATTGCACGCCTCGTCGGCTTTGCAGGCCACATGCACGCGCACCTATGGGCGTCGACGACTAATGTAAGTTATGCTACTGCGTTTGTCACATGTGCAGTCAATCGATAGTTGCAATTGCATCCTTTGTCCGCATCCAGCTGCAATCGGGCCTGACGAACAATGTTCGCCAACCACCTGAGCATTCTATGTCATTCTAACATGACGCCACGCCGGCCATGGTCAACTACGCCGAGTACGCTCGCATCGTGGCCAAGCATCAATGCTATCTCTCTACTTTGAGCAGCCTCGCTCGCCCAATTCGGCCCCGTATGTGTAAGCCACCAGCAATTCCGTCTTCAGCCCGTTTGGTTCAAGCCATAGTGTACTTAGTGCTCGCGTTTCATCCTCCACACTACCGAGCTTCCTTCTACCCAAGCACGCCGAGCGCTGCCGCTACTTTTTGCCAATTAATACACAGTAATCGCTCGGGCTATACACGGACGGTTTCATAAGAGTCAACTGCCGCCCTGCCCCTTCCCATGCCCAGGAGCACAGCGCCAACCTTTTACCACCTACCAATACCTAAACATCCGTGAATAATCTTTTCTCCACGCTCGCACCCAGGGTCTCGAGCTTTCACAAGCGCGGAATCTCCGGACCTAGGTCCACTTCCGCTTGTCTGTGAGTCTAGCCGCCCCCGGTCTGTCGAGCAGATCGTCAATTTCAGGGTTCAGCATCCTCGGGACGTACGTCGCCAAACAACAAATACATACATAAACCGTATCCGTTGTCACACCGCATCGCAGATACTGACTGAGAATTCAAGTCGGTATCTACCGCTATACACTTTCTCTTATCGCATCCGCCTGACTTGCTTTCTTCGCCGAGTTTACGAGGGGCCACTTTGACAGAACCACTTTAGAGCCCCGCCACTGCAGCGAGTCAGGGCAGAAGCGGACATAAGGCTGTCGACAGAGGTTTAACCAAGGGGGGCGACGGACCCAATTTGATAAGCCATGACCAAGGCTATTTCCAAACCACCATCGAAGGCTTTGCCACCTATTCCACCTCACGAAGCAGCCATCCGCCAACGCCGCCCCGACTGGTCCGGTGCAAACAGTCCGCAACAATATAGGCCCAAGCATCCGCGACATTCCTCTATCCCCTCGTTTAACTTCGACGAGCATGATGACACAATAGCCGGAGGTCGTGATTCCAGACAATCGGGATCCTCTTTCAATCAAAGTTCAGACGGACATTCGAGGACACCCTCGAGGGAAACACCAGACATAGGCGTGAATAGGGATTCAGTATATTCGATACCGGCAGCGCAGGATATCCCTTTTCGGAAACTTCAGCTTAGCGACGGATTGAACCGTGTTCGATATTCGCATGTCGCAGAAATGGAGGTTGCAAACCACACGTATCAACCGACCCCGCCCGCTCCAACATATCCTCCACGCGAAAACGCACAATCGCCGACGGCTGGCTCGCAACATTCGTCGAATAACAGCGAGCGCAATAGCAACATATACTCTTATGCACAAGATGGACCGTTGCAAGTCCCACGTACCACAGTTCCCAGGCCTAGCTCCGCATACACGCTGGGCTCGGAACTAAACGCATTTGGTCGTACGCAATCCCCGCGCCTTTCCGTAGGCGGTTCTCCGTCGCCTGGCGGATCACCACATGCCCGAACCAATCGCCGTTCCCCAGACGTCAGGCCGGAATCTTCGTACATCGACTTGACGAACCTCCCATATAACCAGCAGATTGCGCCTGTGAATAACTTTGGTAACACGGGGTTACGGGGTGTTGTAGGCCAGAATGCTTCGCTGCTCGACGCAAAGAAGACTTTGGAGATGTACAGGGCAAATGTCAAGAAAACATCAGACACCGCCGTGCAGTACGAGTTTGCCTTGTTCATGATACAAGTCGCACGTGAGGTAATGGCATCGGAGAATCCCAACGATGCTCATGGCATGGCTCCGGCAGACTTGTTGAAGGAGGCGCGGCAGATTCTACAGAAATTAGCCGACCGTAGTTACCCTTTTGCACAGTACTACCTCGCCGATGGCTACGCGTCGGGCTTGTTCAACAAAGACAAACCAGATTACGATCGTGCGTTCCCGCTTTTTATTGCTGCAAGCAAACATGGCCATGCCGAATCAGGATTCCGTGCCGCGCTTTGCTATGAATTTGGCTGGGGCTGCCGCAAGGACTATGCGAAAGCTGTCCAGTTTTACCGCGCTGCAGCATCAAAGAACCACCCTGGAGCAGCGACGCGGCTTGGAAAGGCGTGTTTGACAGGCGACATGGGTCTCCAGAACAAGTACCGAGAAGGACTCAAGTGGCTAAAACGAGCGTCAGAGTCTGCCGATTTCCAGTACAACATCGCGCCGTACGAGCTTGGTTTGCTGCATGAGACGGGTTACGGAGACGACATCTTCAAGGATGAAGTATACGCCGTGCAACTTTTTACCCAGGCTGCAGAGCTGGGTCATGCACAGGCAGCCTTGAAACTGGGGGAAGCCTACGAACATGGCCTGCTGCGATGTCCAAAGGATGCTGCACTTTCGGTGCATTACTACAATTGCGCTGCCCAGGCTGAAATACCAGAAGCCATGATGAACCTCTGTGCGTGGTATATGGTCGGAGCAGAACCGGTTCTAGAGAAGGATGAGAACGAGGCGTATGAATGGGCCAAGAAAGCCGCTTCGTATGGTAAGCACATCATCGTGCGTTCCGCGTGGGTACAGTTGCTAATGATCCTAGGTCTTCCGAAGGCGGAATATGCGTGTGGGTATTTCACAGAGATGGGCATCGGTTGCCGACGGGATCCTTTGGAGGCCAACGTCTGGTACGTCAAAGCCGCGGATTCTGGAGACGAAAGAGCAAAGCAGCGCCTTGCAATCATTCAAGCTGCAGCATCTGGGCAGCCACGTGCGCCAGCGAACAACAGTTCAAAGAGCAAGCTCGTCAAGGCGGGGAAGGTTGTAAAGGGGAAGGACTCGAAAGAGAAGGAGAAGGAGGAGAGTTGTGTGGTAATGTAAGAAAACACAGGGGTTTCTGCGTTGTCTTGGTCTACGCTATACCCAATTTGCGTTTGTGCTTACCACGGTGAGCATTGGGCCTCCGCCATCGGATTCTGTAATTGACGATGGCGCTAATGAGAGGTGGTGCATATACGGCGTTTGCTTATTTATTGCATACTGCGTTTGGATCTCAAGGGCGGAGTACTATAGCTTTTTTGGTGGCGTACCGCTCAGCCGCAGCATTATAGAAACTGCATATTGAAGATAGTCGCATGTCTATGCAACGCGAGTGATAACCACGGGTGATAACGGCTTTGGGCCTTCCATACAGGTCTCGTGATGCGTCTCCAGAAGCGCCGATTGGCTCAAAGCTTACACCGTCTTACGTAGTGTTGAACCACAAAGTAACCGACGTCTTTCCGTCTGCATGCGGTCATGGCCTCAACACTTGAATCCCACGGTCCGCCCTCACAGAATATGTGAGCAATTCCTAGTATGCAGTTGCGCAACTAGTGACGCAGAATGCTGTATTACGAATATAGACGTTCTAGGAAGACGTGAAGTTTGTCTGCAATACAATCGATAAGGCCTTGGCGTGCGTCCTATGTGGAGTCGCTTGTCGTCGCTCCCCAGACCGTTGCTAACCGTTACCGAATCGGTACACATGATGCAGGTTCGCAGTTCGCGGCTCCACCTGCACGCCTTTCGAGTACATATGGCCATAGGGCGTGTGATAACAACAAACCTTCGTTTAGATCAAAGTTAAAAGGATTCCTCGCCCCAACACCTCAACTTCAGTTCATACCAATCTCAACCATCTCGTGTACTTGCGGCCACTATTACTCCCCAGAGAACAAAGAAATCATTGGAGCCTGCATGAATTACTAAGAAGCGAACCCAAGTCAGAACTGATATTATATACACAATGCCACCACCGTCCGCGGTCGAAGTGTCAGCTACTTCAGACACTTCTGGAGTCACTCTCCCGAACCCGCTGAGTGCACCAGTGCAGAGCAACGAGATCCATGGAAGAAGAAAAAAGACGGCTGTGTCACAATGGGGTGTGGCCGCGCCGGCGGATACAGCAAACTTTCGGCTCAGGTCCCATGATCACAAACCAAAGGCCAAGCAATGGAGTCGTATGTTTTACTCTAGCATGATGCAATCTCCCCATCAACGCTAATGGGAATACCCAGATATTATGACCAAGGAGGCTAGCATACGAAAGGGAAACTCACTCAAAGAAGCTGCCAAGTTTCTCGGGACACCAGGCATCATTTCTCTTGGCGGCGGTCTACCGTCCAGCGAGTACTTTCCTTTCGAAGAGCTTTCCATCAAAGTTCCCAAAATCGGGCACTTTTCAGAGGCCGAAACTAAGGAATCTGGTGTGATTATTACAGCCGGTAAACATGATCTCGCAGAGAACAAATCTACCTTCGATATCGCTACGGCGTTCAATTACGGACAGGGAGCTGGTTCTGCACAACTCTTACGGTTTATGACGGAGCATACAGAGCTGGTGCATGACCCACCGTATGAAGACTGGAAGTGTACAATGACGGTTGGAAGCACATCTGCCACAGATATGCTTCTACGCATGTTTACGCGGCCAGGCGAAATGATTCTATCTGAAGAGTATACCTTCTCCGCCTTTGTAGAAACCGCCCGACCTATGGGCGTACGCGTATGCAGTGTCCCGATCGACAATGAAGGTCTCCTTCCAGCAGAGATGAACAATATTCTCACAAACTGGGACCAAACCGCCAGACGCGCTCCAAAACCACATCTCCTCTACACTGTACCCACCGGCCAGAACCCCACAGGCGCAACGCAAAGTGCAGAGCGACGACGAGCCCTGTACAAAGTATGCCAAAAACACGACATCCACATCATAGAAGACGAGCCCTACTACTTCCTGCAAATGCAACCTTACACAGGCCCCGACGCCCCTGCCGTACCCCCGCCCTCTTCCCACGCCGATTTCATCAAAACCCTCGTCCCCAGCTACCTCTCCATGGACACAGACGGTCGCGTAATCCGCATGGACTCGTTCTCAAAAGTCATCGCGCCCGGCTCACGAGTCGGCTGGATCACAGCGCCCGCCCAAGTCGTCGAGCGCTACGCCAAATACGCAGACGTATCCACGCAGAACCCGTCTGGTATCTCGCAACTCGTCCTCTTCAAGCTCCTCGATGAACACTGGGGCCACGCCGGCTACCTCGACTGGCTCATCCACATCCGCATGCAATACACCGCGCGCCGCGACATCATCCTCGCTGCGTGCGAAAAGTACCTCCCGCGAGAGGTCATGGCGTGGAAACCGCCAATGGCCGGTATGTTCCATTGGATGCAAGTCGATTTCAGGAAACATCCTGCGTATCCTGAGAAGAGCATTGAGAGTATCGAGGAGAGTATTTTCATGCGCGTGATTGATCATGGTGCGTTGGTTATGCGGGGGAGCTGGTTTTATGCGGATAATGAGGAGGAGCATGATACGTTGTTCTTTAGGGCGACGTATGCGGCTGCGCCGGGGGAGAAGATTGAGGAGGGTATTAGGAGGTTGGGAGAAGCGGTTAGGGAGGAGTTTGGTTTGGGCGTTTAGATGGATATATGCATTGTCAGAGGACAGGAGCGCTTTTGCATTTTTTGCTAAGGGTATACATATTATCAAGGATACATAAATTTGGAAGAATGGCAGGCATGACTAGCACTCGCATTGTATTTGAAAAACAAGCCCAGGATAGTAGAAACTAATCGCATGTGTGATTACGGGGAGAATCCTTGTTTAACCTATTGGGCGTTTTCACAAGGTCTGTAGGCGCCAGGCTCAGGTTTTAAAGGCAGATTTGTACTCCTGAGACGCGCTGTATTTGGCAGGCCCCGCGTATTAATCCCGGTCTTTACCGTGGTCAATATCTATAGTCTTCAACCCACGTCTCTTGTAGGATCTACTCGGTATTGACATTCTCAACTGCCTACTACATCTCAAGCAGACTTTCCAACAAGCAAGTAAAGCAAGTCACCGCTCTAAACTTGACTTGCTTGGTTCAAACATAGGCTTTACTTGACTTGCTTGGGGTGATTTTTTTACTTGCTTGACTTGCTTGTATTACTTGCAAGTACTTGGATTACTTGACTACTACAAAGAGATTAAGCTACATACAAATTACCAAAACTCAGTGTTCCACTCTAGTATGTTGTAATCTCCTACAAGCTGCTCATCTGAAAGCTTAGCCTCGCTACAGTTGTACGGTTTATAACCAGCTCGCACCCATGACCTTACTAATTGAAGAGCTGCGAGTAGCTCACTGCCCAGAGCACGTCGTTTAGGTTCAAGAAGGTCGCCAAGCTCACTGAAGAGGCGCTCACAGTCGCTGCTTGATGCTGGGATAGTCATGATATCGATTGCAAACTGCGCTAAATGCGGGTATTTCGGCAGTAGTTGTATCCAGTATTGGACAGGATTTCCATCTGCGTTGTACTGCTCCTGCGTCCACTGCGGCTCTTGTGTTTTCCAGCGCTCAAACTCGTCAAGTGGAGCCTCTCGGTCATTGTTGCGGCTAAGTATAGCAATAATTGCCTCGTCTATGTTGTTGCTACTCGGCGCAGTTGTATACCGCTGGCGTGCTCGTTGAGGTTTGTATGCCGCCCAAAGCTGTTGGAACGACGCGTTGGCACTAGTAAGCCAATCAGCTTTGTCTGCCCACGCCACATCGCAGTAGTTCTTGTAGTACGGGTGTAGGCAAACAGCGGCGTAGTAAGCGGGCGAGTCGTCGAGCTTGTTGTAGTAGTCGTTGGCTTTGCTCCACGCGGCGCGGAGGTTGACGTTGAGGTGATCCTCTGGAGCCTCGGCATGAGCGTTGAAGTCGACGTGCTCGAACGGGCGCGCCCGGGCCTCAAGCTTGCTGAGTACGTACTCAAAAACGGGTATAACCTCATAGATTGCGCCGTATTTGCCATCCTTAGAGCGTCCCTCGAGGCGTTTTGTGGCGTACTTGAGCGGCTCTAAGCAGTCCTGGTACTCTGCAATCACCGCCCAGTCAGCAGCTCGGAGCCCAGTTGATCTCATCCAGTTTGGGGCGTCGGGCCGCTTATTATTCCGCTGCGCAGCGTGCGCATCTTCAAGGATAACCCTATTGATATGATGCTCAGCGTACAAGTTATACGCGGCTTGAAGCTTGGTAGCGCGCTCAAAAGCAGCATAGTATGAGTTCCAGCGAGTGACGACAGGCTTGACTGGCTCGAGTACTTTGAGACGCCCTTCAGCAGGCAGGTTGTTGTTGGCAAGGCGCTGGTAGCCACGAAAAAGCTCGTACTGTTGCGGCGTTTTGATATAGTTGATGACGTCAACTAGCACTCCAATAGGGCCATCTTTCCGCCACTCTCGCATATACTGCTCCTCGGTATTGTACTGCTCTTGAGTGTTGCCGTAGGCGTCTTTGTTGGTGCCAAATATAATAGCCTGGCCGATGAGGTTAAGCGTGTGACAACTGCAGCGGAGGCGCCGGTGAGCGGACTCAAATTCGTACTCGCGCGCGAGCGCGGCGATCGCAGTGTCGTTGTTGGTAGCGTTGTCGAGTACAAAATAGCCTAATCGGTCGCTTGTTATTCCGTATGCTGAGAGCGTCGTCGAGATAGCTTTGGCAATAGCCTCACCGGTGTGGGCGCCAGCGAGCTCAGGCAGATCGATTGGTAAGTCTCGTATTATTCCAGCTGCGTCGGCAAAGTGAGCGACTACTCCAGAGAAGCCACGTTTACCACCCTTTGTTGTCCAGCCATCAAAGCTTACGTGTATTTTGCTTACTGAGCCTGACAGGGTGTCGATAACTTGCGGTCGTATAGACCGGAACAACCTCATCACAAAGGTAGAAACGCTGGTATTACTTACCCACAACGCTGCCTCTGCCTCTGGGTTGGCAAATCTCATCATCTCTCTAAAATCAGGCGTCGTAAGTTCGCTGAGCGGGTGGTTTCGGTTAACAAGCCACATGACAGTGGCTGTTCGAAAGCCCTCTACGTCGAAGTTTCCAAACGCGTTAGCAGTGTTTTGTTGTACGTCTAAACCAGCGTCAAAAGCTTGCCGCAACGACAGCTGGCCTCGAGCTCTCTGCGCTAACTTTGGGCCATCTTTCGTAAGGTTGTGGCCAGGCTTTGGTTGGCTGAGATGGGTGGCTGCTGAGGTTGTAGCCTGAGTAATGTTAAACAAACCACCACGGCCAGCGTCGATAGTTTTGTGTACATGGCAGTACTTGCACACAAACCAGATTCGAGATGTAGCATGGCGCTCAACAACGCGGTAGCCATACTGAAAGATCCAACTTTTTGGGCGCTTAGAACGCGCCAATGGCTTGATAAAATCAGGTAAACGTGCCCAGTCAATGCCGTCAAAGTTCTCAACTAGTGCGCTGTTTGTCTCATCCTGACCACCCTCTCCAGCCTCAGTTGTAGCCACCGTGCCAGCTCGGCTGCCCTCGGTGGGCGCGACAATCTCAGCCTCCGCCTGCGACTCTAAGAACTGCAACTCGAAGGTAGGTATTGGCGGCGAGGCGTTAGCCTGGCTTGCGGCAGCTAGGGTTTTGCGAGGTGATCGACGCTGAGGTCTAGGCTTAGATGCAGGCTTAGATGCAGGCTCAGGTGAAGCCTCAGGAGTTGAGGCGACGTTGTTGGTGGCAGCGGCTACTTTCGTACGTTTGCTCCGAGCAGAAGTTTGTGGTAGGCGACGTTTGGCCATATTGGGGGTATCAGGGCAGTATAAATCACTGGAAAACGCGTTGCTATAGGGGATACTGCATTGCGATAGGCTTCTAGACAGGCGTACGTCGAGATTGGAGCAATGCGCTAGACTAAGGCTAACGTTATTTGATAGCCGCTTAGCCTGTTTGGGACTCAACCGAGGCAACTGCAACACTTCAAAACCATCGCGACATCTACCGTACAGCAGTTTTAGCACCCTCATCACAGTAACGCTAAAACAACCAAGTAAACCAAGTAAGCCAAGCAAGCAAAGTATCTTGACTTGACTTGCTTGCTTAGCTGCCCAGCTCTTACTTGACTTGCTTGCTTGGTTTAAACCAAGCAAGTCAAGCAAGTAATCCAAGTCAACTTGCTTTTTGGAAAGTCTGATCTCAAGACTGCTGTGGGACATAGAAGAGCTCCGTTATTGCCTGATGCAGAGAAAAGTCATACACAGAATCTGACTCATCTCACTTCACCTAAGAGCTATCCTTGCTCTTCCTTCCGTCGCTCTCATCATCACTATCCGTATCGCTTACCAATCCAGCCAGGGCCTCGTCATCTAGACTCTCAACATCATCTTCTCTCCCAGCATCTTTGTTAACCTTGACATTCACGAACAACACCCACAGTCCGAGGTCATATGTGATTCTGCAAGCGCCGCTTGCCAAGAACGCAATCCAGAAGTTGTCGTGTCCAGAAAGGAAGCCGGTGATTGATGGTCCAGCGCTAGCCGCTAGCGTACGCAGCATACCCGTAATACCCATGACACCTGTGCGCTCCTCTGGCTTTACGACTGCAGCGATAAAGGCCGCACGAGGGGCTTGATCCATACTGTTTAGTGCAGCTCGAAATAATAGTAGGCCCACTGTCCAGCCAACACCCGATGGTAGCGGGATGAAAGCACTAGCAAGTGAGGATGGGATATGTGTGAACACCATCGTATTGATGAGACCGATACGTTTAGCCAGCGGTCCGGCGAAGATTGCACCGACAGCGCAGAGGAATTGCGAGGCTGATGTAATGTCTCCGAGTGTCGTCTTAGGGACGTGGAACTTCTGCTCGACGTAGTAGTTCATTAGCGAGTAAGGAGTCATACCATCTGCCAAGCTATCAATGGCCAGAAGAATCCAAAGCCTGAACATGATCGATCGAGTAGGCTTCGATATCTGACTGAAGTAACTTGCTTTCTTCGCGGATGGTGCGACTCTCGGGTTGGCCTGTCTTCCTATATTGTTGCGATCTTCCTCAAACCCGTCGGTGGTGCTGGGAGTCATGGCTTCCAGAAGTACCTCTTCTTCTTCCTCGTCATGTCCACCTCGTCCTCGTTCATTCATTTCTGCATGCTTTTCACCGGCAACTTCACATCTGTTGCTCAGACACAGGCACAGAATGCTTCCGAGGACACCAAAGGCTGCGTATCCCCAGAACAAGGTATGATATGCCTTGGTCACATTTCCGCTGTGCTTCTCGAGTGCATGTACCGTTCTTCCGGCGACCTCTGCTCCAATTGCTCCTGCCATTGTTGTCGCTGTAACATACCAAGCCAATACATCGCTTCGGGTCTTGTCATCCGTCAATCCACTTAGTATGCTCTCTTCAACAGCCCTGAATGGACCGCAGTCGGCACCAGTGACAGATATAATGCCGAATACGGCAGCGAGGAGCAGAATCCAGAAGTTTTCTGAAAGCGCGAATGCGACGCCTGAGCCAGCCATCATCACACTTCCCATGAATAAAATTCGTCTCCGGCCAAGCTTGTCCGCCACAAGGGTAAGTAGCAACGAAAGCAAGACATCTCCAAGCAGTGTCAAAGTCATGAAGACTCCAATCCTCCCATCGGGAAACTTCAGCGAGGAGAAGAAGAGGGCTAGAATAAGACTCGGTATGCCGGCCGTGAACATGCGTAGGGAACGCAGCGATATGATGATATAAGCATCTCGTCCTGTTGCGTTGAGGGATGTAATTCCGAGAAAACCAGCAACTCGCGAGATCGCAGTAGGAGCCATGGTAACAATGTGACTACACCGCACACTTGAGGACGACCAAAGAACTCGAGCGCAATGTACGTGACACCGAAAGATAAAGAAAGGATAAAGAAGAAGAGAAAATCCGCATGCTACCTCGCGACGAGTGATCGCGTGTCGTACTAGTGTGCCAGCAGTAACTATACCCGTCCCGGGTTTAAGCTACTAAGCCTTTCTGAGTCACACATAGTGCTGCGGTTATGCATGTTCTAGAATCTGGTTGGGTGCTTTGTCTTTTCCGCGTCTGTTTTCCGTGTCTATTTTGATTGTGACTGCTGGAGACGCTGCAGGCTGCGCGGCCGAGACGCGGAAGGCAACCCCGCATCAAGGTGAAGGTGTGACTCTGCATCATTAGCCCGAGGGCTAGCTTATCGCTGTCACGTGTCTGTGTGGTATCTCAGCGACGTGCTCGCAACACTGCAATACAAAGAACTGTACGGCCCAATTACTTGAGAGTCGGATAGATTTCTGAGGGTTGAGCACAGATGAGGGGCTGCATCAAGACCCTTCTTCTTTGTTCCACCGATATTTCCGCCTCAACTTGGTAAACGATTGACGTTCATCAGACGCGCTTTACATAACTACACCTATCCTTCTGGTATCACTCACATTACCACACTCATGACCTACCTCTCAGCGACCCAGCGCTAAATGAGCAAGCGGTGCCTCGTCTAGAAACGGCCGCCCCACCTCGTAGCACCAACTTCACCGGGCTACCAAAAGCCACAGCTATATCCACACCATGGACAGCATGCAGCCATCATTTGGAGATGCGTTCGAAAGTATGCTCCCAAATGAGCTCAAGCAGGCAATCTTCAAATTGGCGGCGGCCGACAACAGCGACGAAATAAACATCAGTCTCTCGGAAGATGACGAAGCATCTCTTCAAGCACCAGCTATTGACTTCCTGCTGAAGTTGAAGCAAGAGTACCCAGCCACCATATACTCTCACGCACTAAGCTTCCTCACGGGTCCTACCATGCGATGGGTTCTGAAAAGCGAGTGGGAGCCACACCGCCGTGTTCTTGCTGCTTTCCGGGCCAAGGTTCCTCTGGATATTCGACAGAGTATCAAGCATCTCTACATGCCCAAAGTGACCATTAGAGGCGTCATCGACCCTTCCACACTTGCCAACAAAAAGGAAGATCTGAAATTCGTCACTTTGCCAGACGGGGAGGACTATTCCCCTTACCTGGATTCCCTGCATAAAGAAGGCTTACACGGTAACAACGCGGGGAGGTTGATCATGAAAGATCTCCAAGGGACAATCATGCTGATTCCATACGTTTTTCCTTGCCTGGAAAAGTTTGACTTCAGTCTTGACATGTTTGACTGTCTCCCACCAGCCATTTCACATCACCCTCTCACAGATTCCGTCAGCCGACTTCTCCGACATGAAATTGCCTTCAACATGTCCTTGATTATGATCATGCTGACATCGCTCAGAAGCCTGCGCAATGTCAACAATGTCGACATACGTATCTTCTGGGGCGACTTTTTCCGACGAAATCGTAGGTTCGACTACAGCGTCAGCAAGGAAGATGAGGATAAGCTAGAGATTCTGTTTAGCCGGGAACTCATCAAACACGCCCCGGCAAAGAGCATCACCAGTTATGCCAAGCAGCAGGGCATATATGTCATGGGGGACAAGGTTACAGCATGATAGTATCGAATGGATCAAGGTGCAGATGCCGACACATAGCAATACAAAGTCATGCCTCCAAATTTGGCCAAGCAGTACTTCGTGTGCATGAGATCTAGGCAGTCGGGACTAGTCCATCATTTTGTGTATCAATGATACTTATCGGTATCAAACAACACAAGAAATGACTTGTACTTGAGGTCTCGCCTTAACCTGAATCAAAAACTTTCTGTATATGGGCAACCGATCCAACATGTGCTTAGATGCTTGGCTGTAACTCTTCATATATTTAAGACCTCTGAGCCTAGAAAACACATCTTCAACGTCCACGGATGGATATTCCCGAGAGTAAGTCCAGTATATCGCTATGTTTTGAATCGCATCTCGTTGGCGGTCCATCAAAGCACCCAAGAAAGAGCGGCATTGCAAACGATGCTCCAATTCAAAGGTGTTCAGCTCAAACACGAGAAGCGAGGCCTCTGCGTGGGTTTTTTGACACACATGCTGGAAAGAATTTCGGTCATGATCTTAGGCCTACACCCCCACTATCGCGATGGACGTATGTCGACACCACCTAAAACAATACCGTAAATCATCTTAATAGATGTGAATTAGTTTCGTTCCACAGTATAATGGATTTAGCTATCAACTTTGATTCCAGAACAATAATGTAGTTTGTTGATACGGCTAAGGTATCGGAATCACCTTCGTTGCAACGAGTTGAAATGATTGTGATTGTTCTTGTTGTTCTATGGAGGTGGAGGGAGGTCGGCAGTAAGGCAGCAGCTAGAGCTCGGACCACACGGCTTAGTCAGCCGTGTAATCCAAGCTCGTGCATGCAGCAACCAGCTGCCTTATCTACCGCAGGTTCGATTCCCAACACTGACTATCTTTTCTTTTTGTGCCGGGAGATCAGATCCGTCCCCAAATCCTCCAAATCTGTAATAATATCCTGCTGCCGAAATGTAGCTAGTTGCCTATCTCGGCTAGCGCTATACGCCTTCCTGTATGCCCTTATGTCCTCCTCTTGTGTCCTTCGTTATCGCGCACACGTGCCCGTTGACTACTTGGTGCCTTCAAGGTTGCTGAGCTCGGTGCTCTCGGTCGTGGGCTTGGTGTTGCGATCACGGTTGACCCACCCTTGCACTCGGAGGTTGAGCTCGTTAGAGTTGATGAGGTTCTCTATCGCGGCGTTGCAACCTGCCTTTGTCATAGAGTCTGCTGGGTTGTCGCGACCGTCGATCCATCTGATATCCATGAGTTCGCTGCGCTCGTAGGCTTCGCGCATTGCCATGATGTCAATCATAAGGCGTTTCTCCTTGGTGGTGCCGAGCTTGACAAGGCAATCGTATAGCGATCGCGAGTCGGTGCATACCACGATGGGGACCTTAGGTAAGTTGAGTCGTTCCATGACCATATCAATGGTGCCGCCGATCGCGACTGCGATATCTACGCCGTGCGCCATCGCGTAGATCTCGGAGGCGAGGACGCTCCTGGTGATCCGCTTGCATTTGACTGAGGACCAGTGGACGATGTTGCCACGTATCCCGAAGTTTGTGTCGCTTGAGGTGACTTCATTGCCGAGTACGATGACGAATCCCATCTGGGAGCTCATATCCTTGTTGTTGGCAAAGGACGCGTCGACTAGGGTAAACAGCTTGAGGTTGCGTATGTCCAGAGGTACGTAGGTCAACCCATGGCAGAGGTTCTTCTTTTGCCATTCGATGCGTTTGTTTAACTTGGATATTTCTTCTTTTGTAGGCTCACTCGCTTGCGCAGCAGCGGCGAGGTCGAAGCTTGCTTCGGGTTGACAGATTGTCGCGATGTAAGCGCCACGTGCGCGTTGTTGAATGTACGTCTTCTTGTCAGTTGCGATCTCCAGTTTCTCACCTTGTTTCTTTTGGCGTAGTGTGATCACGCCGTCTGTTGTGAGACTAACGACGCACCCGTTAAAGTCGATAGGGTTGTTAGTAGTAAGAAACTGCTTCTCTTTGGCGCTGAAGCGCAGCTCCTTGCTCTCCTTATTGGCAAACACGTCATCGGACAGACCGAGCGTGTCATCAGTTTGCATGCCGACAATACCAAAGCCTAACGCCGTTGGCTTGGTGATTAAGAGGCACGGGTCATAGGTTGATGTTTCCATCCCGAGTGTCGTGGTATGGTGTTTGAAGTAGGTTGACCACCAGTACGCTCCTGCCTCGGCGATGCCGTACAGCGGCTTCACGACCACCATGATGGTGCCTTTGGGGTAGACATTGCGGAGTTGCGTGGGAAGATCCGCGATGATCGTGCGCTGGAGATGGTCATCGGCTTGCGTGTACGCCTGCGTGATATCTCGAAGCCATAGCGTCATGCCCATTTGAAGCAGTGAGGGTGCAAGCGCGATAATAATGCGCTGACTGGCGCGCTGGATCGTCGGGCTTTGTGTGAGCACAATCCGTTTTCCATCATCGGCATAACCCTGAACAACGAGGCGCGATTTCTCGTACGGCTTAGTGGTAGTTTTGCCTTTGACCTCGTTGACAATCCGTGACTTAAAGACGCGGATGCCACCATGGCGCTGAGGGTCATACTCCTCGAAGCGGAACACTCCGCGAGTGATCAGCGCGTCAATCTCTGCCTTGGTGGATAGTTCGAATGGTTCGCCTAGGGTTGTGATCTTGCCAGTGGCACGCAGCTTCTTGGACAGCACTAAGTCGTCCTCCTCGCGTTGCGTGAGGTTGACGTCGTTGGTCTCGATGGGAGCTGGTTTTGGCTTGTTTTTGGAGCCTTTGGGGCGACCGCGCTTTCGTGGAGGTGGAACTTCTGTCTCTGGGATAAACTCGTCATCGTCCGCATCCCCGCAATTGTCGTTGTCGTCGTCGTCGCGCGGGATAACGGTGGAGTTGTTGCGGTGGTATGGCTGCACCGATGTGACTCGAAATGTCGCCTGCCTGCCGTCGACGTCGACAATCGCGGCGGTTAGGTCGTCGTTCATGGCGATGAGGGTATGGGGACCAGTCCAACCGCGGTTCTCGCGCCAAACCTTTACGCTGCTCTGGATCGGGAGCTGAAGCGTTTCAATGACGTTCGGTCCGTTGCGTGTCGCAAGTGCGTCGTTCACCTGGCGTTTTGCTTTGATCTTGCGGACCTCCGCCATCGCGTTCTTTATCGCTTTCGCGCGCGCGCTGATGGATGGTGATGGCGGCGATGTCTTGGATAGGCGGGGGTAGGTGCCAAAGACGAGGAGAGTAGGCACAAGGCCATCTGGACCAGCAGTGTCGTTGACGGCTTTCACAGCCATCTGGAGGAGGTGTTCAGATGACGTGTCGCTGTCTATGTCGGCGGAGATGACTTCGAAGGCACGGCGGATGGCCGCATGGTACCGCTCCACCTTGCCGATGGAGTTATGCGCCTCGACAGGCACCTCGTCAACCTCGATGGCCATTGTCTTTGCATTGTTGACAAACTCCTCGCTCGCAAAGTTCTTGCCAGCGTCGGTGGCTATGACATCAGGCGGACCAACGTACATATCGATCCACATGGCGCGGAGTGTGTCCCATGTTGTGCTTGCTTTCATGTCGGTGAGAAAGCGCGCTGCTTGGAAGGCAGTTGCTTCGTCAATAGCATGAAGTACTGGCCTCTGATTAATGTACATCACGTCGACGATAAGTCGATAGTTGAAGTTGATATCGTCGCGGAGGGTAAACCGAAATCGTCCTGGCGCCTTGCCAGTAATCTGACATTGGTGACAGAACTTGTTGATCTTTTCGATGGTCGCCGCATCGACTTCGTCATAACCTGCTCTCGCGAGGACCTTGTAGAGTCGTCCCGCAGCTGGATGACCAAAGCGCCGATGGAGTTGCGCAAGCTCTACCTCGGTGAGGTAGTGCGTCGCGGTCTCTTGGTCGTCGAGCAGGAGCCATGGGTGTCCCCATTTGCGCACAATGGGGTACTCCCGTGACTCGTGTACAAGCACGTTGTCAACATTGTTGAGGTAGATCCCGTGGCGGTCCATGTCTGCAAGGCACAGCAAGAAAGGCGTGTTGGTCGGCATCACCGCAAAAAGTATAACGCCGAGCGGGGTTTTGACCTTCACCTCGCCAAGTGAGAGACACTCTGGGTTATCTCCAAATCGAATTCGGTGGCGACCTGCCGTGGACTCATTGATCGTGGCCGATGGCTGGAGGCGTTGCAGTGCCATGACCTGGGTCTTTCCTGCAGTGGAGACTCCGGCCGCGCCGGTGTCGGGCATGATGCCTTGGAAACAGTGAGCACCATATCGGTGATCGAAGGTGAACATGTGGGGTGCCTCCTTTGCAGTCTCCGACGCGTATGGGTCGATCCCAGTGATCGCGTGGGTCGCCGCGGCGTCGTTGAGGTTGATGGTGAGCGCTTGCCCGTCGATGGTTCCGCAAGCAGCGGTGTTGAATTGTTCATGTTGGAAGTACGCATCGAGGTCATCAACGCGGTTGCCGTCGTCGTCCTCTGCCTCGTCATGAAGCTCGATGCCTTCGAATCCGGCGAGGAACACGTCGTAGTCGTCATCGAGATCGTGGTTTTGGACATAAGTCTTGAAGCGTTGGTGCGACTCATTGCGCTCCTCGTGTGAATGTCGCGTTGACCAGCATCCTTGTTTGCCGCACACATAGCACTTTTTATCGTGCGAGCGGCGGGGAGGGTATCGCGGTCGTGACAGCGTCGGTCCGCGGTTGAAGCGACCGGTGCCATAGCCTCGGGGTCTGTCGCGAGGTTCGTCGTTTCGGTTGTATCGTCGGTTTGTGTAGAAGATGTCATCGTCTGTCTGTTCATTGTCATAGTTGAACTGCGTTCGAGCATGCGGGTGACAGCGTTGCCAGTTACCGACGGCGTTGCGGAGCTCTGAAGCGACTGCTTCAAAGGTCGACGCAGGTCGGATCAGGACTGCGCTGCAGGCTTCGACACCCTGGCATGCTGACACAAGTTGTCCGGTGAGGCTTGACTCGCTGAGTCCATTCTGCTGAGCCATCGCTTGGTACAGCTTGTGGAGCTTGTCGATGAGCAAGTCAAGGCATTGCGCAATTGTCTTGTCAGGATTACTTGCGATGACGTCCTTTAGCATAATGGTGCGCCATTCGTTCAAGAACAACTGGTAGTTCTCGGTAGTGTGGAAGTAGGCGCCCAGTTTCGCGATGATGTCTTCGTATCCAAGGTCAAGTGGAGCGATAGATTGGTAGTAGTAAGTTGACGCTTTGCCAGTAAGCATAGTAGAGATGGCTAGCTTGTAGCGGTCAGTTTGGCCAGGTTGAATGCCGACTTTGGCGCAAAGCTCTCGAAAGATGACCAGTTTGTGACTGAGCACGTCATACTTGTCACCACTGGACTTATCGTTGTTATTGTACAGCTTCGCGAGGTTTGTGAGTGCTGTCACGTTGAGTTGAGCTGGCGACGGTGAGTACTGTGCTTGTGGGTATCCTGTTGGTGGCTGCGGAGGGTTAGGGTAACTGTAGTTGCTGTTTGTGAGCTGTCGACACTTGAAACCGTCGACGAGTCGCATAAGCTCAAGCTCGTCGTCAGGCCATATCGGGCACGACGAGAGATGGAGGAGGTTGTACAGTTGCGTTATTACTGTGTCACGACTGTTGATCTGGATGTAAATCCCTCGGTGTCGGAGCAATTCCTTGACTGCTTTCCGGAGCCGCACGTCGACCGCACTTATGATATCTTGAGTCCAATCCTCGAAGGACTTTTGGAACTCCTGGAGGATGAAGAGGTCGAACTGTCCATCGTCTTCAACTTGGACGACCCAATCGAGGACGACAGTGTTCAGTTTGTCGGTGTTTATGACTGTGTCGGTCGGGTCGAGTTCCGCGTTGACATACTCACTCTTGTGCATCTCGGAGTACCACGATCGGTACTTGACGCTCTTGTATGGTGCCATGGTGCTGAAGTCAGTCGATTGTTTGCTGTTAGTTGCAGGCGTTGTCAGTTGTTTTTGTGCGTGGTTGACGCAGATCTTTTCGTTCAAGATCTCCTTCAGAACTGTCGGCGAAAGCGCTACCTTGATAGGTAGTCTCTGCGGGCGGTGCTGTACTTCGCACTCCTTGCTACTGTGAGGTAGGAGTCGCTTCTTGGCCAAGACTACACAGCAAAAGAGCTGATGGGTCTCCTTGTCAGATATCTAGCCGATCTGTGGTGTAGCAACCACTGATCAGTGTTGATACGGCTAAGGTATCGGAATCACCTTCGTTGCAACGAGTTGAAATGATTGTGATTGTTCTTGTTGTTCTATGGAGGTGGAGGGAGGTCGGCAGTAAGGCAGCAGCTAGAGCTCGGACCACACGGCTTAGTCAGCCGTGTAATCCAAGCTCGTGCATGCAGCAACCAGCTGCCTTATCTACCGCAGGTTCGATTCCCAACATAGTTCAAACATACATTTCATTATTCGCTCTTCTGTCATAGTTTGCAGAAAGCGATAGTGGCTCTAGGCGCTTCTGTATATCTGTAGAGCGCACTGCCATGTTGTAACCAGTTAGGATTGGAAGATTAAAATTTCAAGGATTGACTGTCGATCCGGATTAGAGCAGCAAGTGGTGATGAGATCATTTAGAAAGGTTAGGCTGATTGCTATAGCATATGTTTGACAAACTCAGTCGCTTGCTCCTGCGTTACGGGTGATCCGCTAATGTGAATTGATCAACTGACCATGACAACAATCGTTCTTCTACACTACTTGTACACAACCCTACGCTGATTCATTACTTACCAAATCCTGACCTACTATTTTAGATACAGTCAACCGTTGCGCTATTTAGGCTGTCCGCGCGTGTGGGGTATGCATTGATCGTATGAATTCTTGTAGGCTGTAGTCAATCTTCCAAAAAGATTGAAAATAAAGATTGGTATACGCCCCTCTAATAATTGGGGAAGTTTTGTTGCACCCTAAATGATACATTTCATCCTCATATCGAGCGGTTTATACTGTGGGGACGAGATGAGTGCATGGTCTCTTCCTTAGCAAGACAGCTGGAAAGATCTGCTCAGCCGATAAAGATGAAGTAAGGGTCTTCAGCTAAGCATAGGCCGCATCACAATGGCAACGAGGGTAGCACAGGTAATACAAAAATATACGAGTAATGCAAAAGGTCAGGCTTTCACTGTACAAGAATATGTGCATGCACTTGACGGTAAGTATGAGCTGACTAGTGAGATTGAGTATCGTGGTTGCAGTATTACCGTATCCCGACGAAGTACCAAATCTTAACTGCAGGCCAGCTTCTATGCCTCAGGCTCGCTTTGACATTGACCCCGTGCATCCGAAAGCATAAAACCTAGCAGCCTGCAGGTCTCTGCATCCAAAAAGATCATTTATGTTCCAAGCAAAGTTTTACTGAAACCACTTTCGTAGTCTCGAAGGCGAGCTGCTGCCTACATCCACTAGTACTAACCATGATGTATTGGCAATCGCCTCGAGCCGATTAGCAGAATAGCTCAGTTGGTGTCCTGCGCAGAGCCTTTCCAGAAACTATAGTATGTTAACTATCTTTGACGTGTTTTTTAATTAAGTAGATTGGACTTACGACGTGTCGTAATCAAGCCAATGACGATTTGTATGCTCGATCTTGACGTTGACCGGCCCAGACGCAGCTTCCTCGAGAACTGCTCGAAGATCATCTTCATATGCCTTCTTTACGTATTTGCATTGAAAGATGCGCACAACAATCTGTTTCAATCCAGGAAGAAGTCCAAAGAGACTGTGTGCAGTCTCTATAAAGAAGTGAACGCCATTTTCAAAAGACGGAGAAGCTAGTTCAATATGAGCCGAAGTAACCGCTTCGCATTGATAGGGCTTGAGAATCCTCGTCGCATGGTTCGTTTGCGGGTAGACATAGAGAAAGAATCAATGGAAAGAGATGGTGTTGAGCAGGCTAGGAAGCATGGCAGCCTCTGCGTAGATTTGGCGACAGACTCTCAGAAGGGAGATACCAGCAGGCTGCTTTGGTGAAGGTGCTAGCTTGCGATGACGATCGCTGTCAGGGTTTTTCACCCGATAGACCATGCCTCCAAGAGCAAACTCCCAGATCCTGTTGCGGATCTCGGGCGGCAAGCGTAGTAGCGGCGACTGCTGATTGACCTTGACGCTGACGATATATTAGCTTTGACCTGACTGACACAGCAGACATGTACTCACAGCTCCTTCTCACTACGCTTGGGCGTGACGTTGAACAAGCCGTTCTTGAACTTGTGGTATCCGCGTGCAGGGCGTTTGACGACTTTGTCCTTCGATCCTGCCTTGTTGGCGGCAGTAGCCTTACGGGGCACCATTCGGGGCACCATTCGGGGATGTCTGCAGCGGGTCGTAGCTGCCAACGAAGAGGTTGAAGTTGCAAGAGAGAGTGTTTGCGAGGTGGGGTAGCAGGTAAACACACCTGACTAGCGTGGGGCCGCGCACTGAGTGAGCGAGGGAGGAGCGGGGATGGTGAGCGGGGAACTGGTGACTACAGCAAACTGGAAATATAGCCGAGGTGGAGAGCAGTATTGTAATTATAAGGGGTATTGAACTTCATCATTAGAACTCCTGCTTCGCTCTGGGTGTGAGTCATCCACAAGAGTATATGAGTATAAGACCAGGATACACTCACGAACTTCGTACTCGAACAAGACTCGAATTCCATACTTCAACATTTAGAGGCTCATCTCCAAGCCTAAGCCACTGTTGATTCTCTGCTACCTGAACCCATGAACAATTGCCACTAAAGCATCCGTACCCTCACCAGAGAAACAACTGACGGTGTTACTTGAACCATGGTCCCTAATGGACAAGTCAGTATTATGAAGTAAACGAGGCATTAGAAAATCATGTTCAGAAGGACAATATTCAGAGAGAAGATTATTTAAATTCGTCACTGACAATGTCAGACGAGTCAGGAGCTCAGATCACAAGCAGTCTTTTACTCTCGTCTCAAGCCCAACACCGTCTCCGCCTAAGGATGACGATAACAATGTTTTCATCATTGGAAAAGTGGTAGCAAGGGACAGAAGGTGTACTTACAGCTCGAGGATGTTCATGTGCCACACATGCGCAGTGTTGCGATAGTGGCAAGAACTGACTACCACATGTCGGAGTTGTTGCAGACAGCATTACCAAGGAATACCGACAGCCAAGAAGCTGCTATCTCTTTTTCTGTTCAGTAGTCCAGATCCAGAGTGTCGTCCTTTTGCACATCCGGCCCGTTAGCCTGGTGCCATGGATCCCATTCGTCGCTCTCGTCACTACTGTCGTCTACATCTGCACCATTGCGACCACCCCTTCTTCGTGGGAGCCCTCTCTCCAGTCTTTTTTCTTTTCTCCTCTTCGCATATTTATCCCGTTTCCTCTTGGCCTTAGCTTTGCTTGTTGCGCTGGTAGTTGCCCATTGCTGTTTTGGCTTCTCAATAGCATCACTCTGGGCCGTGTCCACGTTCTCGGTCTTGTGCAAGGAGCAGTCGTTTGTGGCAGCAGACATTAACGCTGGAACCGTAGGTATGGAGTCAGCGTCGGATATTTCGCCGTCCTCTTTTCGTAGCTGCCGTTTGCGAAGGATGGCATGAATTTCCGAGTGTCGGAACATGGCGATTTGTTCGTCGGTCAGCGTGCGCTTGGTGCCGTCGGAATAGTAGCCCAGCCCATCGTCCGCTTCGTCGTAGTACTCTTCAGCTGCTTGAGCTTCAGGCTCCACGCCATACAGGACATGCTCAGGTGCCGGGGCGTGTGGGAAATGTTTCGCGTGGAAAGCGCGTAGGTCAGCCTAGGTAAGTCAGCAATTGATCGCGAACCCACTTAAGATGCACTTACGATAGTGACAGTGGGGATCTCCATGATTTAGTTTTCGAGTGGCGTGTAAGCTACGCGCTCAAAAGCGCGGGGTTCACGTGGGCGAATACATGAGTGAGAAGAGAAAGTGATGGAACCCCGAGCTTAAAAGGCGCCTGACGATCATTCACGCGATCACGGGGTCTTGGCTTCACCGCGGCATGACGTCTGTGCTGTCCAGCTCCAACGCCGCGCTCACCAACCCTTGCGACGACAACCTAATGCGCATCTCTTAAACTACCATGAAGCCCGGATCTGTCATCTCCTATCCCTTTGCTACCATTTCCCTGATTCTAGCCTGCACTGCGCAGTCTCGCCCCTTTGACAGCATCATCCAGTCGTTTCACATCCTCAGCGATCAGTCGCCGCTGCGAGACTACATCATGAGCAATCCAGAGGGACAAGTGTCTACTGGTGTCAGTGTATCCGACGTTATCGGGAAGACACAGGAAATTGCCATCTTCAGTGGCCTCACAAGGGACATCGACACCGTCTCCGGACGGTTAGAAGACGCCGCACAGAACGTTACGGTGCTTGCGCCGGACAACAGCGTCATGCGCAGCCTGAAGAGGAAGCCTTGGGAAGACCCCGAAGACTACGACAACTTTGGCGCGAACGCATACGAGGGAAGCAGTGGACAAGATCGCGCGCGGAGCAACCTGGCGCGCTTCGTGCAGCGACACATTATACCAGAGAGTCCCTGGGAAGAGGGCAAGAAAATCAAGACACTTGCTGGCAACGAGATCTGGTGGGAGACCAAGGACGGCCAAAAGAAGGTAAGCTAATCCATGTTACCATGTCGCGCTGCCCAGGTGTTCTACTCCACCCTGCCCCACCTTCTGATGTCGGCATCTTTCGCTTTTCGCCGGCACACTCACACACATATTCAAACTAAATTGCCAAACTCTCATCAATCAACCAATAAGGTGAGATGGCCGAGTTGGTTATGGCGCCAGGTTAAGGTTATCTTAACACATATTCCTGGTCACGAAAGTGGCGTGGGTGTAAGTAATTACAATTGAATTCATTAGTCTAGTTTACTAATATGTTTGTTCAGTCGAGTCCCACTCTCATCAGCATTCGTCTGGCTTTAGTCAGATACCCCAGGTTCTTTTTTTGCTTTTTTGCACTTGATTTAAATAGGACAGCGGTTTCTGTTTTTTTCTGGTCGTCTTTCTATTGCATAGATGGACTGTAAACTAACATTATTTTATAGATCCAGCCCGGCAACGTCGAAGTCAAGAGTATCGCGGACAAGGTCTCCAACGGCGAGGTCTGGGTACTCGGAGGCTCCTTAGCATAAATAAATCGCAAGGCGGAAGTCTCATAGATGCTTGGCTACGAAGATGACTAGGTGAAATTACTTATTTTAATACTCTTGGGATTTTGCAGAGTGCATACTACTCGACTCTTTCCACAAATTATGTGCTCACACATATGGGCATGTAGGCTACGAGCATAGACGGAAGAAACTTGGATAGCACAGAGTGAGCAATCTACTTCGCGTCCGGCATAGGTAGCCAGGCGCAATACCAAGGCCGATGAGAGTGGGAATTATATAAGAATACATACACATAATGCCTACACCTCACTTACCTACTCTAATATACTTGCTAATGATTTATCCCAAAGGATACAACAGTACTCATGAACATGCTTTGGAGACCTCTAGCATCCTCATAGTCATACGCACCGCGATATCAAAGGATGACCCTGGAGAAGACATAATCCAATCAGTTCTCGCACGACATACCGGTGTCGACATGAATGCATCTTAGTCCCGGGTAATATTTTGAATCAAATTGTTGCTCTTATCTTAAACCTAGAACGCATACTTCCAAACCATCACACTCACAACTTAGGTGTCTCCTCCCTCTCCCCAATAATGTTCAAAAACGCAGTGTGCACGTGCTCAGTCAAGTCGCTAGCTTGCAGTGACCGACCCTTCTCCTTGAACGCCAACTTGGAGCACTCCCTCGTAATGCACGATCCACCAAACGCCGCAAGAGCAAGTGTCTCGCTCCTCGACATCTCGGTCCCAATATCCCAAATCTTGTCATGGTATGCCTTCCTGTATGCCAACAGGGTTGCCAGACTGCCCGTCAGTGTGTCACCCTGACCACCCGAGCGCTTCAAACCGCCCTCGCCTTCCGAGACGAGCGTATGTGCGCCATTGGAAATGTAATCCTTGGAGCCCTTCTGTATAATTGTAACGCCACCGAATGCCTTGGAGAGCTTAGCGCAGAGTTCTGATGGATCGCCCTCGTTGACGTCGACGCCCTTTGCCTTTGCCAGTCTTCCGAACTCGACGACGTTGGGAGTGAGAATGCACTCTGTGCAGCCGTCCACAAGCTCTGGTCTCGTCTGCGCAAGGTAGAGACCGTCCGCATCCAGCACGAACGGAATACCTTGTTTCCTCGCCTCCTCAATCACCCTTGCGCACGTATCTTGCATGAGCTCGTCACGACCGAGACCAGGACCGATAACGACGACGTGTAGACGCGATAGCATACCGACAACTTCCGAGCTGACACTCTCGGCGCTCTCAGACTGGGCAAGGTTTTTGGACTGGCGCATATAGGGATGCACCATGAGGTTGGGCGAGTAGGTCTTGATGACGGCACCAGCACCGGGTTCGCATATTACGTGCGACTATGGATTTGTAAGTACAATGATTGGATTTGAGAAAGATCCATGTTCGTACCATGTCGGCGCCTAGTTTCGCGGAGGCCATGGCAGAGAAGTAGGGCGCACCAGTGTAGTCTTCACTACCACCAATGACTGCCACACGACCCAATTGACCTGCATGAGCTCGTTAGACAGTACCGATGCCGCGAATTGTGCGATTCTTACCTTTGTGGAAGCTCTCTAGCATGGGCGGTACCATGTTGTATACCTTCTTGAGGAGATCTTTCCTAGTTGCGCTGGCCATCTTGATTGACTTTTGGGATGTTTGTTGGTGTGTTTAGGGGAGTAACTGAGAAGTGAGATTGAAAAGTTATCAATCGTTGAATGTTGTTGCGAGCTTTCCAGATCGATGGTTTTGTTATGGAGCAAGAGTACGTCATAATGATAGCGGGGCAGACTCTACGCGACGCGCTACAGCTCGCAATGATGCAGACGGGACAGACCGCGGAGAAGGAGGGCGATGAAGATAGCGACAAGGAAACTAATGTACATACGCGTGAATACGTTGACTTCACAATCCGAGAAGTGATGGAATCCTTGCACATCATTTTTGTGTAGTTTCCATTGCTAAGACAGTCTTTTACTCCTGGAAGTCCATCTCCCGAACTTCCTCATAGTCTCCTCATCGAGCTTCACTAATCATACTCGTCAGCAATATATGTACAAAGATGGCAGATCCACTCGTAGATAGAGTGCACGCATGAAAACCAAGAAATACCCATCCGCGCTTCCTCCAGGCCCGATCAGCCTAAACGGCGAAAGCCATTACCACTACAGCAAAGTCACCATACCGTTGTGACCGACAGCAGAGAGCGATAGAAACACTCGCTCTCTCAGATGCTCACCATGTTGGTGACGGCTTAAGCCTTGGCGGCATCAGCAGTCGCAGCGTCCGTCTCAGTCTCAGCAGCAGCCTTGTCGCCACCCTCAACGCTAGCCTCAGCCTCAGCTTGGGCTGCGGGTGCATCTTTGATGACCTCCTTGTCTGCTTCTGACATGGCAACGTCGCCGTCCGCATCGGCCTTCTTCTCAACAACGGCTTCGGTAGTGGCATCTTCCATCTTGGTGTCCTCTACAGTCTTCTCGGTAGGTGGTACGTCCTCTTTGGCAGATTCAGACTTTTCGCGATCGTCCTCCTTCACACCATTGGTGCCAGCGGGTTCAGCTTCGTTGGCCAGAGCGTTGCTCCATTTGCCGAGGAGCTCACCACAGCGCTTCTTGAATTCAAAGTCCTCCTCCTTGGGGATGGAATCTAGCTTCATAATCGCCTTGAGGACCTTGTGAACTTTGGTCTTCTTGATCACTTCGCCCTCCAGATCATCGTGGGCCTCGAGCTGCTTTAGATATTCAGACATGTTGGTCATGTCCTCGTCCTTGGGTGCCTGGTCGCGCGAGAGGAAGCCCTTTTGCAAACGGTGTCGGAGATAGAGGACTTGCTTTTCTCGCTTTTGAAGCCGCTCCTCTTCGGTCATCGGTGGTTCTTCTGGTACAGCAGCCTCAGCTTCTTCGCTGGCCTTCTTCTTCGACTTTGGCTCCTTTTTGAGTTTCGCGGCACTTGCCTCCTTGGGCGTCTTCGTCGTTAGCTTGAGCTTAGTCTTGGGAGTCTTTGCACGCTATCGAGGGTCAGCATTCATAATTAAAATGAGGAGTTTGACACGCACCTTGTCGTTCTCGTCCTCGGTCTCGTCAGTCTTCTTGCGCTTCTTTGTGGCCTTCTTCTTAGTGGATGGGGCAGCGCCGTCAGCATCCTCCATCTCAACATCCTCCGATTCGTCTACGGCGGTGCTCTTGCGCTTGGCCGACTTCTCGGCCTTCTCTTTCTTCTGCGCCTCCTTTTGCTCACGCTGCTCAATGTCCTCCGCCATCGCAGACTCATGCGCACTAAGCATCTCCTTGAACCAGGATAGCTCGTGGCCTTCAGCAGCGATCTGATATGCCTCCCAAAGGGCCTTGTTCTTCTTCGTCTGGTTGCCGGATTCGACATCCTTCTTGACTTCATCAAGGTCGAAGGGGAGCAGGTCGGTGTTCACTTGCCATGCACTGTGCGATGTATTTAGCAAATTAGAGTCATGCATGACGGAGCACATATTACCTACAATTCGTTTGTGCCCAAGAACATTATGGGATACCGTCGGTCTTTGGCGTTCTTGCCGCCCTCGAGGAAGTCTTCTCGGTATGTGCCATCGATGCGCCTAGCACTGACAGGCCGCTTACTGAGGAGTGATTCAGGGAGCATCTCTTCGTCGCAAACAATCACCGGCCATGGCTGGTAGCCACGCATAGCGACCATGTGCATGTCACCAGGTGACACATTCAGGCGAAGCTCGACTGGCTTCTTTCCCTTCTTGGCTGGTGTCTTCTTTTTGTGTTCTGGAACGCCAGCGCCCGACTTGCGCTTGCCGTTGGTAGCCTTCTTGGGCGCTGGGGTACCGTTTGTGGCCGGCGCGTCGGAGGCAGGTGCGGCTTCTGGGAATAAGAGTCAGTATTTTGGCGTGATGAACAGCAGATGCACATGGAGACTGAAGCTCGAAAAATTATCAAGGTGCACTTACCTGCATCATCACTGGCTGCAGACTTCTCTGCCTGCGCGTCAGCAGTGGCATCATCTTTCACAGCGCCGCCCTCTGATGCAGCCTTGTCTACGGGATCTGATTGAGGATCGCGTTAGTTACCTCCAGGGCAGTTTGCAAAGATTGATTGCTTACCTTCAGCGACGTCCGAGGTGGCTGCGCCGCTCTCCTCGGCTGGCTTAGCCTCTGCGGCGGCGGGCTCTTCCACAGTATCTGTAGAACGCGTCGCCTCCTCAGTCGTGTTGGTGACATCCACCGACGCGGGTGGGTTTGCCTCCTCTGCCATTGTGCGAGTTGTGCTCACGCTTGTACGATGTCGTGTCGACGCGTAAGGGATGCGCAGGGTCGCGAAATACTCTGACGATATGTCGAGCGCGATTTTGGTACCGCGAGGTTGATGGTCGACGGGGTAAGTTGATGGTGCGCGGTGGGTGAGGTGGTTGGGGTCGTATTGTGGTGGAGTGGGGAGGGCGAGAGAGAAGAGATCGGAGACGCAACTCTTGAACTTTCCAGCGACGCCAGGCGCAGCACGTGACGTCGTTTACCCTGCCCGTGACAGACGCGCTATTGCTCCGGAAAAAGTTGGAGGGGTATCACGGCCGTGCCGCGAGGTAGCGATGGAGTTTTGGCGATGTTGCAGCGTGTGGGCGGTGTATTTTGTTTGCTGTTCCTATTATCGCTGCCTTCCAAGGTTTGGCGCGATGCGATGACTTTGGGTCCGTGCTGGAGTACAGAGCAGCCGCGCCTTCGGCCAGGCAACCCGCAGACTTGTCCCTAGCGAACAAAGCTTGGGGATGACGCCAACGTGTCGATTCTCCTCTGGTGTCGCAGCTTTATTGATTGCGTCTCAGCTGCTTTGATAAGCCTTGTGGAATGGTGGGTTGACTTGAGCTGGCAAACCACCAATGACGAGCTGGATGAAGCCCTTGAGGTAAGAGCGCTCGTTGTTGACAAATCGATACTCTTCGAAAGGACCTGTCCCAGCTCTTCCGTGTCTTGCGCAGTCTGTATAATTACAGTTAGCTGATGGGATTGTTCCTATGATGATGGGGAAATGTCGAACGGTTAAGTTGGTGGCGATGTAGGAACGCTGAGCTGCGGGGTCTCGGGCATTCTCAGGGTAGGCTTGTCAGGGATTCTTTGTATTTCGGCTACTATCGAAGCATCGTCAGCTCAGTTACGGTCTATTTCGACGGACGCAAGAAGATACTCACTGTACTCTAACTTGTTCCACTCATCGCATTCATACAATTCCCCTGGATCAGAGCTGCCGACCCTCGCTGCTATTTTGTCGTGCACACCACGAACATCATCTCTCATTGCACGACCGTTGAAGCTTGAAGTTCTCACTTAAAGGCGAATGCGAACTTATAATTGCAATAGATGGGTTCCTTGATCATGGCCCAGTCTGCACCAATGATAGACACCGCTACCACATCGTGAGCCACAGCAACGCCGCAGATGAGCACTACTTGCGCTTCGATGTCGCGATACAGGAAGTTGCCGGAGTCGAAATACCAATGCCTTTGTCATTCCAGTCGAAGACATCGTGTCTTGCCGGTGTGCGTGATTAGCAGCATGTTCTTCTTCCGCCCAAGGGCCAGGTCCTTTTGTATGGCCAGTCAGTACGATCTTCTGGTTTATGTTGAGTGTTTGTACGACGTGACTTAACCCAGTCCTACGCTCAGCCAGCCAGGCCAAGATCCAACTCTTTTAAAACATCCTGCCCTCGATATGCATGCAGTAACCGCCATGAAATTAGGAGTGAAGATACTATCACACAATGGATACGCAAGATCAACGTATCGAGGTCGCATCTTACCCAAAAGTGCACTGCAAATTTGCGATGACGACGAGTTTATGAAACTGACTGTTGAGGTACGCACGCTGGAGTAGGTACTTCGTTTCCAAGCATAGACTTCCAATTGAACTGTTGGTTTTGGTAAAACGGTAGCCGCGAGTATATCTTTCGATGTCAGTCGGTCGGTTGTGATGATCGTGTTAACGACCAGATGAGAGCTATCTCGAGATTACATCCAGAATAGAGTGTGTCCCTGTCCCGCATGGGTTAGATGGCCCAGGATTATCACGGTCCGTAGACAGGGGTTGCCGCATCCGCGCTGGCTATCGATAGCGTGTATCTCCCATCTTTTGGTGTAGTCCGCGGCGGAAGCACATCTGCCACTTCCACTTCCACTGCCACTGCCACCCCAACTCAGCACGCCAATACTCGGTGTTCGTGCAACGCGCGATATGCAGACTTGACATTCCGTCAAGCGCTTCGGAACGGCCGAACAGATCGTGTCGACCTTGTACGAAGGTGTGGAAAAGCTCCTTGAATCGTGAAGTATGGCGAGCGATCGCAGCATAGTGCGCGATGGTGGTCATTGTTGTTGCAGGCGTTTCTCATGGTACGCTCCGAAGAATACGCCCAAAGCTACTGATTGGCTTACACAGATGCGGAGGGCACATCTAGACACGTCTCAACCCACTTGCGTACCTGAATACACGTTCATATGCGCCTCCAATGAAGCCAGTCGTCAACGCTCTCCAAGAGATTGGTGTCCGGTCGGGCGATAAACGGGCGATCGAGGGGCATCGGTACCCCAGACGTGCCATGGTAGTTGCTTTGTACAAATCATATTTATTCCAGAATAGGTGATGGTAAATATCTCTTTGCGCAGAGAGCTTGCGAAATGATGTATCGCTGGCGGTGGCAGGGCGTGGATGGTGTTCGAAGTGGGCGGCTCCCACGACCGATCGACTGGTGGTTGTCGGCGTCGCTAGCGGACTAACAGCCCATCACGTGTGCTCACAATTACTGCAGGGCTGCAACACAGAACAGATGCACAGTAGATTTGGAAATACTCGAGATTTCCCAAGTGTGTGTCGTATCATATTGGATAAAGAGAGTGTAACTGTCAACGCTACTCGACGCAAGTCAGCATTGGATACGCTTAGGGCAGGTGCAAGCCGGCTTGCGCAAGTGCCCCAAAGATGCCCTTTAAATGCTGTCATACGTTCTGAAACACGAGTGTACAGTAGGTAAAAGCCTTACCCGCAAACCCCGTTCGCGCATGCTTAGCGTGGGTTAATCGAAAGACCGGAGATCAGCGGCCCTACGTAGCTTTTGCTGGAAAGTTGCGCAAAACATCCCCACCAGATATCCCCGTCAGAAACATGGCAACTGAAGCGCCCTCCACCAATGATGCCCCGAGTGGTGATTACCAAGCAGTATGGGCGAACAAGTATCGCGGCGTATGTTATCTCAAAGTTGTCCACGATTCTGCGCGACTGCATCTGACACTCCACAGGCGACAGTAGAAGACCTTGACCCCCCGCCTGCACTCTCATTCAACCCACCGACCCAATCTCATGGGCTCTCATGTCCGGTCTAGAGCGTGATTATACACACCTCACTGTCATCTCGCAAACAAATCGCGCTCTGCTTGGTTACATTAGCATCCCGCACCTTCAACAACTCCTCAAAGAAGGCAAGGTCAAGGATACCGACAAAGTCGAGGCGGCCATGCACAAGTTTCAGCGACGCGGCAGAAGATACAAAGTCATCACCACTGAGACACCGCTGGAGGAGCTAGAGGAGTTCTTCAATGGCGGGGTGGACGGCAGTGGGAAACAGGAGTTTGCAGTTGTGACGGATACCAGCAGGAAATTTGTGCTTGGAGTCGCTACACGTGCGGACCTGGAGAACTTTGCTAAGAGAAGGGCATAATCTGGTTATGAGCTCCAAGGGGTCTCCTGGTGGGATGCATTAAAAGGCGTTTACTGGATACCACATGACCGGTGTTAAGGAAGGCTGGATTCAACACTTGTCTTTGGGACTACGAGGCCTAAGGAAACAATCAAAATCGCATCATCTTATACGATATTCCCAAAGACTCAACATTCATGCGTAGGGATGTGGGGAAATTGCTGGCTATTGGTTACACTAATGCACAAAACTGCCAGCAGTGCGATGTTCCCTATTACTAACACTTTCAAACAGAACCGTAGTGGTCTCGAGAATTCTTGATTGCCTGACCCGTAGTTTTTCCATCTCCACAGAAAGTATACCAGATACCAAGAGTGCGAATGGATGCGACTACACAAAAAACTCCGACGTCATGCTAGATCCATATGCCCCGAATGCTGAGTCATGTCCCCCATCTCATTCCCGATCAAATTGACATGTGTAAACCGCAATCTCGGGTTTCCCCACAAACCGGACTACCGAAGCGGCGGCTCCTTACGTATGTTCTGACAGCCCGATAAGATCCGGGACGTAGAGTTCCAAACTCAACATATTGTCTTTTTCTGATTCTCTGCCGTATCGCTGGCATGCTCGTGTCTTCCCTTCACATGCGCAGTAGACCCCTCCTTCCACACCGACTATCACGGCCCTGGGGACTACCACACCAAAGCGCGCAAAAACCGCCCATAGTATTTCTGTCGCGACAAACGAGATGGTACACTCAGCAAGAAATACCGAAATCGCAGACAGGCGCCGGCACGACCACGCCTGTTCCCTTCGACGCCGCACCGCCCAAGTCGAAAGCGCCCTTTTACTTTGAAGCCGGATATGCGCTCTTCGCGAAACGGGCTTCGCGACCATTTCCTCCACCGTTTCTCTCCATGCCTTCGACGAGCTTCTCGGAACCGCTGAGTACGCACAACCGGAGTAGAGATCGCAGACCGACAGTCAACGGACAGATGATACGAGGAGTTACGAATGGAGACGATGCAGTACTAGTCAGTGAGAGCTTCATTGCTGCAAATGACGGAGTAGGAGCCTGGGCTACACGAGAAAAAGGCCATGCAGCGTACGTTATACTCTCGTTGCTCGTCTCTTTTGCTAACACGAGACCTACGTAGACTGTGGTCGCGTTTGATCGCTCACTTCTGGGCCCTCGAAGTCGAAACAGCATCGTACTCCCCAACTTCACCTCCAAACTTGATCGAATACCTCCAAAACGCCTACAACCTCACCAAAGAAGCCACCTCTGAACCAAACCCTTGGCACGGCACCACCACCGTCTGCGGCGCGCTCCTCGGCGCTGACAATGAGACACCCGACCACCCCTTGCTATACGTAACACAATTGGGCGACTCCCAGATCCTCGTCATCAGACCGAGCACCAAGGAAGTCGTGTACAGGACGCAGGAACAGTGGCATTGGTTCGATTGTCCGCGGCAACTGGGGACTAACAGTCCCGATACGCCAAACGACAATGCGGTCATGGATCGTGTGCCGATTCAGGAAGACGATGTTGTAGTTGCTATGACAGACGGTGTCGTGGATAATCTCTGGGAACATGAGATTGTTGAGAATATATGCGAGAGCATAGAAAGATGGATTGGCGACAAGGAAAAGGATACGGACGAGCAGACGCATGCTGATGGCATGCGGTTTGTTGCACAACAGCTAATGAATGCTGCGAGGGTAATTGCGCAGGATCCGTTCGCGGAGAGTCCGTATATGGAGAAGGCGATTGACGAGGGCTTGTCCATAGAAGGAGGTATGTGGATTCTCGCATGAGATACTCAGTGCGTCTGTGTTAACTCTTACTCTAGGCAAACTCGATGATATTAGTGTCGTTGTTGCGCAATGTAAACGACGCAAAGGATGAGATCAACTACAGTTGTACGACTGAAAACCTCAAAACGAAAGCACCACGTTGATTTGTCACTCTTTCGACATGGGCGCGAAGCAAACCCAGCCAAGTCACCATACAAGTGACAGGCACCCAGGACCCGTTTGTATCTGCATAGCCAATGTCCGCCCTTGGACATGCAAGACATCGGTTGAATTGGGGAGCAAAAGACAGATATCAATGATACCCGCGGCACGAGGCCATGGAATACTCCAGTTTTCCGCACCATCACATCCACCAGCGCGGTTTCAACCTCGATCAAGATAGCAAGATGAGGAACTTTATGGAATTGCATTGGGATGCTCAATTGCATTATGTAATGTTTCCCAGTCCATAGTGGCACCGAGCCTACTCCTTCCAGATGTATCTGTAGTAACCGATTGCATATATAATTTAAGCCAATCGAATCGTAATCATTGACCTTCCGCAATTGTGATATGTTGTCTGACCGATTCTGCCGAGGTACGAACTGTCACTGCTCGATGTGTTTTTCTTGTGAGCCACGCTCCAGGAAAGTGTCAAAGAAGCTGTCCTACTTCTCCATACTTACGTCTCTTGGGATCGGTGAGGTCACTTTAAATGGCGAGCGAGTGATCTCCCGTCTAGCCCTGCCAGATCTACTGCGGGATCGCGACCTGCTGATGGTAGGTGAGCGCTTTCGCTTCTTGATATCAGCGCGTGAGCCATTTGAGTCTTCTCCCGAAGAACTAGAATGTCTCCGTCTTCGAGCACGCACAGGGCTTACAGATCGTGAACTACTTGGAGAGCGACGGCGACGGCGCGGTGGGGTTCGTGATCGCAGCCTGGGCGCTGGTGAGCTCGATTTGACACGTGGGGATTTGGAACGTGAAGTATGCCTGGGTAGTCTCGCAGTGTCGTGACTAGGAGACCACGACCTGTCTCTGCGCCTTCTCGGGGCTGGAGACTTGCTTCGAGAAGGCGATCGGCGTCGCGTGCGGCGAGGGGGCGATCTTGAGCGGTCAGATGATGGCGAGCGGCGCACTCGACGCCTTGGTGGCGTTCGCGATGGTTCTGACGATGGTGAGCGACGCATACGGCGAGGTGGAGATGCAGAGCGACCGCCCGAAGGAGAGCGGCGGCGCTCGCGAGATCTGTCGCGACGACCTCCACGTCCTCGACCCCGTCCTCCTCCAGGTATGTAAACATCGCGCTCGCGAGTTGGTGGGGAGAATCTTCGTCTTCTAGTACATGTCAGTAATCTTCTTCTGAGTTGGGGGTTTATATCACTCACGGTGGTGATCGCGAATCGCGCCTGGGAGGCCCTCTGTCGAAGTCTCTGCCTCGTCCCCTGCGATCATTGCCACGGTATCGTCCGCCTCCACCACGGCCGCGTTCAGGTCGATCTGAACGCTCAGTGTCGCGGAAAGCGTCAATCATAGCATTTTGAGCTTGCTCTTCGGCGCGTCTTGCATCGGCGGCGGCTTTGGACAGCTGTGTACTGGGTCAGCAATGCTAGCGCCGTAAGCCCATGAAGTGTTCTCACCTGCTCCTGCTGCAGTTCAGCCTTCTTCGCCTCCAGTAACTCCCGAGGTACGCCCACTGGACTGTCCTGGGCACTGAGCATGAGGTTCCATAACTCCTTGCAGAAAGGTGCTGTGTCTTTTCCCAGGAAGCCCGTGAGTTGGATTTGTATTTCCTTGATTTTTGGCTGTACAAGATTAGCCATCGCTTGCTAGAGCATACAAACATCCACTTACAGATTGGTTCTGCTCAACTAAATTGTAGCATGTCTCCACCACAATATCGTCTTCGTCGCCAAGGATGTTCGTGATCCTACCAGCAATCCACTTCTTAATCAAATCAATGTTGACCTTCTCGATATCCACCTTCTTGTCGAACTCTGGCGGAAATTTGGTGGCCTTGAGGCGCTTCTGGTCGATGCTGAGTGCCATTGCGAAAAGTAGGGGCGTGTAGTTGCACTGAAGCTTGTTGAGCGTGTGGAGGAAGGAAGTTCGCGACGTCGGAGCTGGAGCTTGCACGGATCTATCCGCGGTCTTGGCACCCTCCTCCGCGGTTACGTCAATGCTTCATGCAGGTACGACGCGCTAAGCTTGTCAACCACCACAAACTTCACGCTTTGTGCCATATCAGAGAGCATGTTACACAGGCAGATGAGAGAGAATGTATCAGTCCATATTGCGGAGTCTCAAATTGATCCGCTGAATGTAGTATCAATTCCCGCACGTTGCAGGTGCAAGTTCAGTACCCAGGTAGTCACACAAAAATGAGCCAGGCACGCTTCTCTTGTACTTGCCATATTAGCCGCTTTCTTCCTGCCTTTGAAATATCAGCTTGTTTGGGCGATGGCTTCTCTTCCAATGTTACCTTCACTAGAATCTCATCCAACGGATGTGGCTACACCTCAGCGCTTACCTTGGCCAGCATATCATTTCTTAGTGCCCGTCCATATCATCTGGTTGTGTCTATCGGACCCCGTCTCAACAGCTCTTGTCTATCGCTTACTTACCTACCCACTGTTATCGACGGATCCTACTGCGCTTCCTGATATGCCTACAGCCGAGCAGACCGAAGCACCTACACAGAGCGAATCTACGTCAGACCCTCAACCTGAGCCTCACTCCACAACTCCATTTCGTACTCCCGATCAGCATCCTTCCGAGCCTCCTACTGACCCACCTGCTGAACCTTTATCTGAGGAGACTCCTCCTGCAACTGAGCCTGAGCCTGCACCTGAAGCAAAGTCAGAGGCTGCCACTACAGCTGAACCTGAACCCGCTCCTGAGCCTGCACCCGAAGCCGAGTCAGAGGCTGCCACTGCAGCTGAACCTAAACCCGCTCCTAAGCCCGCTCCTGAGCCTGTACCTGAAGCCAAGTCAGAGGCTGCCACTACAGCTGAACCTGAATCCGAACCTGCTCCCGAAACCTCATCTAAGCCTGTAGCTGAAACCAAAGCCGAACCAGAAGCTACAAACGATCCAGCTCCTGAATCCGTACCTGACGAACCAGTGTCAGATCCTGCGCCTACAACAGATTCTGCACCCGAGGAAGCATCAGAACCCACAGCTGAGCCTCCTGCAGCACCTACAGAGGAGCCTACAACAAAGCCTGAAGCTACTGCAGATCCAGAATCGACGCCTGAAAAGTCTGAGGAACCCCCAGTCGAGCCCAACCCCCCTACAGAGCCAGAACCAGAAGCAACGCCTGAGGAGCCCAAAGACCCAGGCGAGTCTCCAGCTGGACCGGAACCGTCAACGGAGGCAGTACCTAAGGGGTCAGAACCAGCAATCGTACGTGCTGCTACGGCATCAAAAGAACCACCAGTAGAATCTGAGCCTACAACTCCTGTAGAACCAGAACGAGAGACAACGTACGAGGAGCCTAAGGAATCGGGTGAGCCCCCAGCTGAACCGGAACCTTCCACGCAGGCAGTGCCTGAAGGATCAGAACCAGCAATTGTACGTGCTGCTACCGCTGCAAAAGAACCACCGATAGAACCGGAGCCTGAGCCGACTGCAGAGCAAGAGCAAGAGACAACACCTGAGGAGCCTAAGGAACTAAGCGAGCCCCCAGTCGAACCTGAGCCTTCTTCACAGCCAGTACCCGAGAGATCAGAGCCAGCAATTGTACGTGCCGCTACGGCAGCAAAAGAACCACCAGTGGAACCTGAATCTGCACCTGCTGCTGGGCCAGTATCTGAAAACTCGCAAGAGCCTACAGACACATCCAAGCCTACCGAGGAGCCTAAAGAGTCATCGGCTGATCCTCCCGCTGCACCAGTAGACGAAACTAAACCTACTGAGGAGCCTGAACAGTCGCCGGTTGATCCTCCTCCACCAGTAGACGAACCAGTAGACGAACCTAAGCCTACCGAAGAGCCAGTACCCGAGAATTCGGAAGACACCCCAGTTGAGCCGCCTGCTGCCAAATCAGAAGAGTCTGCTGCAGAGCCAGCACCCGCGGAGCCAGAGAAGCCTGTGGACGAAGCCAAGCCTACCGAAGAGCCCGTGCCTGAGGGCTCGAAAGAGTTGCCAGCTGAACCTCCTGTTGCCAAAGTAGAGGAACCTGCTGCAGATCCAGTGCCCGAGGAACCATCTGATCCACCTGTTGAGCCCTCTGCACCACTGGTAGAAGAACCTGCAGAAGAACCTGAATCTGTACTGGAATCAGCACCCGAAACCCCCACCGAAGCACCTCAAGCTACGCACCCCGGGGTTATGCGTATGGCCGTTCCCAAGCCTGAGAATACCCAAGAACCTGCCGTCGAACCTCCTATGGAATCACAACCCGACCCTATGGTAGAGCCGAAACTGGAGGACACACCTAAAGAACATGAAGGTACACAACCTCTAGGCGAACCTGCGAAAGAAGAACCTGAGGCGCCTCTGCAAACTGAACCAGAAGCTGCACTGCCAGAGCCTGAAGTAATTCCACCAGCCGACCCACCGCCACTTTTCAAGCTAGCGGCAAAGTCAGTCGCGGCAGAACCTGTTAAATCTCCACTACCGAGTGAACGGGTTCCTGAAACTGGCCCAACAGAGCCTGAAGTGATCTTGCTACCTGATCCAGCACCAATGCCCGAACCTGAGGCAGAGCCAGTGCTACAGGTACCTGCAGCAGAGCCGGTGGTAACGGAGCCTATAGAGCCTACCTCACCGATTGCGCCTACTCCAGAACCTCAACCGGTAGTCGAGGAGCGTCAGCCGGCAACCGAAGAACCTCAACCAGCGGTCGAAGAGCCTTTGGCTGCTGCTCTGTTTGCACAGCCAGATCCTGCGCCAGCAGCAGAGCCAATTGAAGAACTTTTACTAGAAATATCTGCTGTAGAGCCCGTGGTCACAGTACCTATAGTACCTCAACCAATGGCGGAAGAGTTGCCTCAGGCTGTTTTCCCTGTGGCAGAACCGGCCGCGGCAAACGCTACAGAACCTCTACCACTGATTGAGCCAAATACAAGGCCTGAACAGGTATTTGAAGAGCCTCGAGCTTTACCGCTTGTTGCAGAACCAATCTCCGAACGCACAGCAGAGCCAATTGAAGAGCCGGTCGAGAAACTCGTACTGCAGATACCCTCTGCAGAACCCATGGCTACAGAACCTATAGATGCTGAACCAATGGCGGAAGAGCCTCAAGCTATCGTTCCCGTACCGGAACTGATGGCAACAAACGCTACAGAGACTGTACCATCGGGTGAACCAGTGCCTGTAGTGGAACCAATAACCGAACAGCCGCAAGCTGAAGCTGTTCCTAAACGCCAGTGCCGCCATGTCAAGAGGGCTGTTGTGGTAACCCCAGCGCCAGAGGTAGTTCCCACAGAAACTACAGTTCCATACCCTGCAGCGGAACCAACACCATCTCAACCAGTAGAGCCCAAAGCGCCCGAAGTCACACAACCACATTGTTGTCACAAAGCTTCTTCAATTACAACAACCACGACCACTGCTACGTAAGTACCCCAATCCTAACCCAATCTAACTTGCACCCATACTAACGGTCGCCCCCATAGCAAACGATGCAAACGCGACAGGTTCAAATTCATCGCTGCGATGCGCGCGCCCCACGAGTCCGTCCCTATCCTCGTCCTGCTCCGACAGAAGAAGAAGGCAGGCGAAGATGTGAAGGGTATTGCAGACACGATGCTTGCGGCAGTGGGGTCATGACAGGAGCATAAAGACTGGGGTTTAGATTGCGGTGAAGAGGATGTCTACCTAAAGATTCAGTCTTCCTACCTGGTCCTTCTCAAGATTAAGTAGGTGGTTATTAGTTTCATCTATTCCTAGGAACTTGTGTGTTTGATTGTTACTCCTCTTGTGCCAATGCTGCGTTTGAGCCGGTGCTTCTTCGTCGTCCTTGTCCGGTTTGTGTGATGTCGTGGAGTTCGTCCTGTTCTGGCCGCGAGGAGCGTGGCCGTAGCTGCAATCGATATACAGGATACCCTTCTCGTGACCGAAATATCTCAGAATCCATTCCGCCAGCAAAGTGAATACCCATAACCATGCTCGTCAGATCATACCACCATACATTATGCGATGATGTATCCACCCCTATCCCCATATCAAACCCGCATACAAACTCTTCTTTCACTTATTCCCCAAAACAACTCATCCTTCCTTCAACCCCCCATACTCCTCCTAACAGCCTCCCTCGCCTCCTGCAACCCCCTCCCCAACTCCCCCCTCATATGCGCTTCCTTGACCTCATAATGCAACTTCAACAGATCCTTTGCTCGTTCCAGCTCTGTGTCTTCTTGTGTAGATGCGGGCGTGGGTGCGGTGGTGTTGGTGTTGGTGTTGGGGCGTGCAGATACGAGGGCGAGGGCGGCGGATGGGTCCTGCGTGGGTGGGTTAAGTTGGGGTTTTTTGCGCTGGAGATGGGGAGGGGGGTAGGAGGGGATGGGAAGACAGGGGTAAGGGAACGTACACATGCGCGTAGGGAGTTTAGATCAGAAAGGATTTGTGCGAGTTGTATGGGTTCTGTTGTTGTAGTTTGGATTGTCATGGTTGGCGGGTTTGGTGTGTCCTATCTTCTTTTGGCTTTGGATGCGCTGGGTATTTCTTAGGTGGTGGATGTTTCGCGGGATATTGGAGTGCAGGATTGTAGTTTCACTGGGTGTACGTAGTGTTGTAGTTGTTATGTAAATGTTGCGCCCACATCTCCAGTTCGCAGCTCAAAGCCTCGGAAGCTAGTTACCAAGTCGTCACCCCCACATTTCGGTTCGCCCGCATCCTGGGCCATGCCAGGGGTCCAGTTCCAACGTCAACCCGTCTACCTAGCTTTCCATCTACGTTACAACATCGCATACACATTATTTGTTAATTCCCATTTACCAAATTACTATTCAATTTTTGGCATTGGCGAATTTGGGACCCTGAAGAAATGGCGAGTATACAAGCTATCCGGGCGAATTGCCGAAAGGTACGTTAGCATTTTCTTATTTTTAGAATGCGAGGTAGATCGAATCAGACACATGTGGGAAAAGAGCTTAGAATTGGATATTTAAGGGCAGAGGAACTATTGTTGCTTGAAGGGAAAAAGAGACATGATCGAAGCCGACAAAATTCCCGGTCCACATCGCACAAATGACCACCCCGTGACTAACACGCATTGTGATCAAAGGTCATGTGTATAGGCCGCAACTATGCCGAACACATCAAGGAGTTATCAAGTGCAACTCCCAAACAGCCCTTCTTCTTCCTGAAGCCACCTTCGTCCATCTTGCTTCCCGGTGCTGGGCCTGTACTACGACCCCGTGGAGTCATCATGCACTACGAGGTGGAACTTGGTCTAGTAATGGGCAGAACGATTCGGGATTTACATCCCGAGGACACAAAGGGAGCTATGGATGCCATTGAAGGTACGCGAAATGCCATTACATGAAACCCCAGATCCTGTTTACTACTACTTTCTCTTAAAATATCCTTCTAAAACTTCCCCACCTAGGCTACATCCTCGCCATCGACATGACTGCACGAAATGTTCAGGACGAGGCTAAGAAAAAGGGCCTCCCCTGGTCCATTGCTAAAGGCTTCGACACCTTCATGCCCATTAGTAATTTCATTGCGAAAAACAGAATCCCGAACCCACAGAATGCACACCTCTGGCTCTCCGTCAACAATGAAGTAAAACAGTCTGACAACACTGAGTTGATGCTTTTCCGGATCCCAAGGCAGCTGAGCGATATCAGCAGGGTTATGACGTTGGACAAGGGCGACATTGTACTTACTGGTACACCAAAGGGTGTAGGACCTGTGAAGACGGGTGATGTTATGCGTGCGGGAATCAAGGTAGACGGAAAAGACATCGAAGAGGCGGATATGGAAGTAGAGGTTGCGGACCGCGAGGGTTTGTATGAGTTCCGCGAAACTTGAAGTCCATCTAAAATTATACTGGCCGAACGAATCTTACTAAGATTATCGAAATTTGTCCAAAGTCCAAGTCACCAATATGCACGTCGACTGAGCTGGTGGTCGCTCTAGAATTTGCGGTGCTTTAAGCTCATGCAAGGAGGAGTTCATCGTCTTCATCAGGGATGAGCTCGCCATCATCTTCCCCTTGACCAGCAGGTGGGCTTGCCTGTCGATTCCCGCTCCGAGTGCCCAAAGGCTTCGGTATCACTTTAAATGGTGATGTTGTTGCTGCCTTCTGGTGAGACATTTTGACCCTATCCCCTGCGCTGACTTGAGTGTTTTCGCTACCATCAAGACTGGAGTCTGGCATTTTGCGTGGAATCGGCAGAGTGACCATCAATCTCTTTTGCTTCACCGTACTAACAGCTCCTTGTGGTGCTGGGATAGGGGCTGTCTTTTTAGTAGGCGAAACAGCAGCTTTTGCCCTCGGCTTCCTCGGTCTTGCAGCTACCGGCTGAGTAGATGCAACTGGTTTCTTCTCACTTGAACCGGCATCCACAATTTCCTTCCTTGGCCTTCCTCGAGGTTTAGCAGCGCCCTGTTTGGCCCGGGTGGGCTTCGTCTTGCTATTGGTGATAGCCGGAGCCGTATCAGTCTTGGCCTTCTTACGTGGCGATATACTAGGTCCAGGTAATTGTGTTGATTGGACGAGTGGCTGGGGTACTTGCTCCCGTTCGTCTTTTACTTCCATTTCTCGACTCTTTTTGGCTTGGGAGCGGGTTAGGCGTTGCGTTGGGGGAGCAGGATCAGATTGTTTTCTCTTCTTTGGTACTGCTCGGTTGACTATCTGTGTCGGAGGAAGTTCGTTTGTGGGTAAGGGTTGAGCCTCTTGTGCTAGTGGTGCCATAGCCTGCAAAGACCGGTCCACTATTTGAGTTTCTGCAGGAGGAGAGTTGCGTAGGAAGCTATGTTCATTGTGTGCAGGTGACGTGTGTTGTATGCCTTCCCCTACCAGTCGTGGTAGCTTAGACTCATGAATCGACGGCCTTTGGAATAGTCTACGTCTGGCTGATGAGAGAAGATCTTTTCTCGGCGACGTTAGATCTATACTGGTAGGAACTCTGGAACAATTAGCGAAACATCCAATCGTCATCTCACAGTCTTTCCTTACTTCTCCTGGATCACTGGACTCTGAGGAACTTGAACCTCTTCAGGTATGAACTGGAGGCCAGATTTAGGCAAGATCATCAGGTCATCATCCGGCTCAGTGGCTGAATCCGAAGTGTCAGCATCCAAAGTTTGAGGTGGCGTTGCAGTCCTTCTATTTGGATTGAAGTAGGGGTTAGGATATTCGTCATTCAACGCGTGGTTTGATTCCATACGTCTTGTCATACTTTGCGTAGATCCGGGAATCGAATAGTCGCCGACCAACCTTCTCTCATCTCCGAATATCAACCGCTCTTTGCTCTTGCTCTTCCTCTGCTCTTCCTCTTTCTTCCCAACTCTCGCCATCTCCCCCTCCAGCCTCTGTATCTTCTTTGCATCTTCCATCCTTCTGTGCTCGAGAAATTCTAGACGTCTCATTACCCCTTCAAATCCCGCCTCCACACCCTTAATCCCATCCACATCCTCTGTAACCCTCGACACCACAGTATCCAGCTCAATCATCTTTTGCCGAACATTTTTATTTACATCTACAAAAGTACTCACGCGTGCCAGTTCCTCTGCTGCCCATTTTTCAAAAGCCTTGTCATCGCCTTCTGTCTCTATAGCAACGAGCTTTTGTTCGAGGTGGCGAATTCGTGCTGTAGCGGCTTCGGCAGCGCCTGCGACGGCTTCGGTGGTTTGAATGCGGGCGTTGTAGCCTTCGTGCTGTTTTTGGAGGGCTCGCATTTCTGTAAGAAGGTAGGCATGTTGTTTCTTCAATTCTGGACCCCATATGAGCGCTTCTGCCGATGCAAAAGGCATGCGTGGTGGACCGGCATCTTTTGGTGTACTGGGCCGGCGAGTAGTCATCATGTCGAGGATCGATAGCTGGAGTGATGGATGGATGGATGGATGGATGCACCTGTCTGAGACGATGGAGGAGGTAAGAGGCGGCTGGTATTTAGTCAGACGAGGAGAGGCAATGAAAGCGAAGACTACATGCTGAGATGAGATAAATGAGTGAAGCGTGAGTGGTCGAAGAGTGAGTCAAGCTTCAGCCCCTCGGGGTGAGTCTAGCTACGAGAGGGAGGCACGACACTGAACGCGACTTCCTCACCCTTGACTGAACAGCGCACCTTGGCAGCCCCACATCATTAGACACACTCAAGCAATTGACGGCACAGAAGTCAGAAGTGAAGTAAAGTCTTTCTTATTTGTGCTACCTACTAGGTGCCATCATACACCACTCAATTAGATCAAGCAGCCCGCTTCGGCCCTTTCGGTGCATCTATTACATCATCTCTCTTCATGATGCGAATCTTAGTATCGCTCTTGTCATCTTCTGGCTCAGGCTCCTTTGGCTGATCTACAACACTCTTGTCATAGCTACTGGGGTCGATGCCGAGTATGCCACCAACATTGTTGCGGTCACCAGGAACAGAGAATTCCCTGAAAGCATATCGCCACTCGTTGAGGAATCCCCGGATAGCTTTACCAACCTTGTCCTTGCCGTTCTTAGAATGGTGCCCAGTCCCAGTTATGGCGTAAACTGGACGAGATGACGAGCTGTGCTTCAGAAGTATGCCTTCGAGGTATGATACAGATTCATCAGGATGCAAACCTGAATGGAATTAGTAGAAATTTTCGGTTCAATTGAGCTATACATACCGTGAAGATCAACATACAACTCCCTCGAGCTGTCACTGTCCTGATTGCGATCTTCGTAGAGAATACGGGCAGCTTCACGGTGAGCTTCACGCATCAGGTTGTTCTCGCTCTGCCCCCTAAGACTAAGAGCTTTAGCCGCGCGCGAGTCGCTGCGATTCCAGGCCTGAGCAGCACTAGTGTTTGTTAGTACATGCTTGTGTGATGGTTTACGTTCCCTCTTACCTCTGCAGGAACTTGTTGCGCAGACTGCCGTGTTTGAATGCTTCGGCGCGAGCTTTGAGATATGCCTGATTGCCCACATCACCCGTCTGTAGCCACGGGATATGCTGAGGAGCAGGGATCGCCTGTGCAGCCACGCTGTTTTCACGAGAACCATTGAAGCTCTTAGTCGGTCTCAATCCCTTGCGAACTGGAGTGACGGGAGCTGGCGAAGGCGACATGCGAACGACATCTGCGAGATTGTTGGGTCCCGGGGCATCCTTGTGATGACCATGGCCGCCTCGCTTTCCATGGTGACGCTTTCCAGTTTTAGCGGCAGCGGCGGATCCTAGACTAGGGAATGCATCGTTATCATCCACTGCAAGCACCGACGGCGTTGTAGTACGGGACACCTGGCGACTGCCAGTCCTGGACTGCGGGCGGCTTCCACCTCCAGGAGTGAAGTTGGCATAAGGACTCAGACCAGGCGGAGGACGTGTAGGCCCACCACCTGTCAAGCCATATAACTGTTCCAGAGTGGTTGCCTCTGAGGTTGATATGGATGGGGTACCAAGAGGTGAGCCGTTATATTGGAGGCTAGGAAACTCATAGTCGGACATTTGAAAGTTTGGTATGGGCGGGGTTGCGACGTCTGACACGGCCATGCGGGCCATTAGGGCCGAGGGGTCATGTGAGAAGAGACATGTATCACCAGCTAGGCAGTTTCCATTTAGGTAGTATCTAGCCCAGATTAGCATTTATGCATGCAAACAGGAACATGTTACTCACTTGCACAAGGTCTTGCTTGTGTCATGACTGAAGCGGCAGTCTGCCCTGGCGCAATGGCCAGTTGAAAGAAAGTACTTGCACACGATATTGCTCTTCTGCTGACCGGCTGGCGTAGCAGGCCTAAACGCTGGGCTCATAGACTTTCCGATGACATATCCAGAGTGCTCAGAGGGGGCAGTGGGGAGCTGTTGGACATCCAGCTGTTGTCCCATCAAAGCGAGCAATGCCGCACTGAGCTCATAGCCGTTAGCTTCAAGGACCCTTTCAAGCTCTTCATCTGAGCGGTCGTCTCGGAGTATGGAGCGTAGCATATCGTACGGGCCCATGTCCACTGTCTGCGGCTGCACCCATTCAGCGGCGGCGCCATTGAGGGTGCCATCACCCATGAGAGACGACTCGGTAGATGCAGCGTCATCGTTCACCAGCCAGTCTACCGAATGCCCATCTAGATCACCATACAACTCTGTATTCTGACTGGCGGATTCACTGAACTGGTATGCGCTCAGGCTGGGGCTGTGCGGAATATGCGGTGTGGAAAAAGCAAGGCGCGGAGAGGGGCGCGGAGAAGTGAAGGGTGATGCCGTCGACGACTTTGTGCGCGCAAAGCCGGGAGGGCCTATCCCAAAGCTCGGAGGAGGATGCACCATACGGGGGGAGTTGTTGACGGGTGTAGGGGCGCGATTGGCCTGCCAGGGAGCTGGCGAGGGTCGGCGGATGATGGTATGGCGGCTGGGAGGCGAACTGGACGAGCTGCCGGCATCGCGATAGCGCCAGAGACAGTCCAAGACGATATTTTCGAGCGACTTTCCCGTAAGATTGGTCTCCTTTTTCAGGAGCTCCTCGAGCCTATCCGTCTTGTCCTCCTCATCCAGAGCCTCGTCCTGCAGCACCGGCAGGGCCTTTTCGTACACATTGTCTGCGACCATGGTGATTAGTTCCAAACTTCCAAAATGCAGAGTCAAAGTTTGGCGGTCAGGCGTGGCGCGTTGGATGGGCGAGGTTAAAGGGTTAAGTCAGAGGTCGTAGTCGAGACAGGAGGCCGTTGGTTGGGCTGATTAAGTACTGCGCGAATGGTAGGAGCGACCGGCGCGTCAGGGAATGAAGCTGCAACGAAGGACAGATTATTCGTCCCGCAGTCTTCTCTGCAGGACACACCAAGTGCGCCAATTCAGCAGAGTGTAAATATATGCCTGGGGCGATCGCGAGCGCGAATGAAGCTCGAGGGAACTAGGCTTAACTACGTATGTAGTAGGGGTGGGGGGAAGCTGCACCGTGCAGTAACCATGGATCGGGGACAACGGGAATCCACACACTTGCGCCCCAATCTGTCCTACATTGCCCTGGAGTTTTGATAAGTCGGTTAAATTTGTAATCTTAGCTGAGTGTTGATGACGGGTCTGCGGTGTGAATTTTCTACCGACGACGAAAGGAGCTGAGACATATGCCTCATAGTGGTGTTCGAATTAGGCAATGGGTGCGGGCGCCACAGACCGAGGCTGAGCTCATCACGTGTAACATCACGTGCCATACACATCTCAATGCTGGCTCGGCCGTAGCAACGCCGTGTGCATTGAGCTATCAGGGTATGGATGTTACAGCAAAGTATGCGCAAACAAACTACCACACTCCGGATCTACTCACAGACCATCCATGGACACAATGCAATGCTGCAAGCGATCCAGTACTGCACATTGCATCTACCCGCCTAATGCAGGGCGAATGCGGCGGTGCATGCTCGTTCGTCCGCCCGGATGATGATGAAACCTAGAGCTCACCAACACTAAACATTAGCATCTACCCACTACCACTCTGACAACTCTGACAACTGTTTCTACTACCGTTTACTGCCCCGTCCCGCGGAATGTCCGTTTCCACCCGTATCAGCTAGCAGAATACTCTCCATTCACTATACCTACCTGTCTGCCTAATTCACATCCTCATATCTCCGCATACATCCACACATCCGTGCCGCGCCGCCCGTAACCCCCTCGATCCTACACATTGATTGACCCAAGGGACGCCATGCCAGCGTCCTACTATGACGCCCGCGCTCTCGCGCTTCCGCTAGATGACGAGGAAACAGGCAACGAGCGGCCAACATGGAGCCGACGGTCGCTATCATCTACGTTTCGGCGCAATGCCTCGCATTCCAGCCAGCAAACCACATGGCGGCAGCGCGCAATGGATAATTACGACAAGCTCAATCGGCGCGTGTTCGACCAATACAATAAACTCTCTCCCGTCCAGAAAGTGCTGTTCTTCGTCGGCAGCGTGGTGTTGGCAGTAGGCGGCATACTCTTCTTGGTGTACAGTGAACGGTTATTCGGCATGCTGTTACCAATTGCGAAGAAGTGGAGGGATATTACAGCCGGGTGGTTAATACTCTGGGCTTTGATCTTTTTGGTTTCCTTCCCGCCGTTGATCGGATACTCGAGTTTACTCACCATTGCCGGCTTTGTCTATGGCTTTCCCAACGGGTACGTCACGATATGTAGAATCTCGGAATTTTTATACTGACTCCAGACCTAGATGGTTCATAGCCGCCAGCGCCACCATCGCCGGAAGCACAGCGTCGTTCCTCCTCTCCCGCACGCTCCTCAAAACCATGGTCCACCGCCTCGTAGCAAACGACACACGATTCGCCGCCCTCTCCCTAACCCTCAAGCACGATGGCCTCAAACTACTCGTCATGTACCGCCTCTGCCCCCTCCCATACTCCATCTCCAACGGCGCCGTAGCCACCTTCCCGACTGTGCACTGGGCCTCGTACGCCCTCGCCACCGCAATCGTCTTCCCAAAACTCATGCTCCACATCTTCATCGGCAGCCAGCTCGAGAAAATCGCCGAAAGCGGCGGCAAAATGGATCCCCGCACAAAAGCCTTGTCTTACCTGTCCATCATCATCGGTCTCATCGCAGGCATCACAACAGGCTGGCTCGTCTACCGTAAAACCAAGGCCCGCGCTGCACAACTCGAGGCTGAAGAGCGCGCTGGTATCCGCCGCGTAAGCATCGAGGGGCTGGAAAATGAATACGCGGATGACCCGGCCGCGCTGGAAGCCGCCGCTCGCTTACGCGAAGACGACGATGACATTAGCTTACGAACGACGTGGGATGACGAGTACCACGATGAACCACCCGAGACGGGCGATGCCGTGGAAATTGGCGACGACCCGTTCAAGGACGGGGATGTAAGCGGGGGTGAGGAACAAGGCCGCGGTAAGGGAAATGAATAAAACATGGAATGTATGTTTCTTGTATTTTACGCATTGCACCGCTTGGATAAAAGGGGGCGAGAGAAACTTGGGTCTTTAGAATTATAGAATGAGGTATCGATTATCCGCATCAGGTGGCGTTTATATTTATGAATGAAGTATATGTATGATATAGGCTGGCGGTATTCACGACATTCTTACTGCTCGTACATCATTGTGGTGATGTAGGCGGGAGGTATTCACATGGGGTTCTCCGTCATGATATCTAGGTCTTTGTTAAGAATATGTTAGGTTCAGTCCAGGTCGGCGAGGTGAGGTTCGTGGAGTAAGCCCGAGCAGAAGGACCGACGCGGAATGATGATCTGTCATGTACGTCCTAAGATCATCATAACAACAAGTAGATAGAACAATAGCTCTTAGTGAAGTTCAATCCAATACAGGGTTACCTTTCGTACCTCTACTCGGTCGCCTATGGTAGTCATACCACCAGAGGAGACCTTGTTCTAACAGTCTTGACATATTTCCACCTAGGACGAAGGAAGAAAAGTGACTTTGTATGTCGAGTGCATCCATACTATGCTATGCAAAATGATAGGGCAGACGAAGATATTTCAATTCCACATTATATAGTTACAGTTGCTTGCTAACATACTACATGCATGGTAGTCACCGCGGTATAGATGGAATGATGAACATTGACATATATTGCTTGCCTTGGCAATATTCTGCACAGTACGGAAAATCAACGAAGAATCTTTAGAATATATGTCCCATAGAAATATTGTGATAGCTATGTCAACTAGTTACTTGTCTGCACACCTGAACCAGAAGGTTGGCAGTATGTAAACGAGTCGATCTGACACATGATCCAGGCACATGTAGGCAACAGACCGGTTATGAGTACGCTATATCGTGAGGTTTCGTACTGATGTATATCTCCTGGCTTAGACGTGAATTTGGTACAATTGTTACATCACATGCAAAATCCAGATATGGAACAGAGGAAAGGTTTGATTGGCAAGTACAGAACCACTCATCATTCTACTTTCATGAGAACGGAGCCACATATGTACCGCTAAAACGAAGATAGGGAATCACAGAGGGTCATCGTCAATAGATTGAGGCGTGCGTTGCCAGTCCATGTCAGTGCAGAAAAACGAACAAATCTTCCATATTGAGACACGGCTGATGGCGAGGACGCATCTTCTATTATACATCTATTCTCAGAGACCAATCAGCACTTTTTGGCCCGTCAGGAATATTGGAATAGACAGTACCCACTCTTTCAACCTTCAACCCGTTTATGCGATGAAGCTCTTGGTGAAGCTCTGTGCAACCTCCCTGAGCTGAGCCTCAAGCTCCTTGCTGAGAGCACCTTCCCGGTCGATCTTGTTGAGCATGTCTGACTCGTTAGCCTTAAGATGGGCGAGGAAGTCAGCCTCCCACTGGAGGATCTTGTTGACGGGTACGTTGTCAAGAAGACCGTTGATACCAGCGTAGATGAGGGGAACCATCTCGTTGACGGCCATGGGAGAGTACTGCTTCTGCTTGAGGAGCTCGGTAAGACGTTCACCGCGGCTTAAAGTTTGCTTTGTAGCAGCGTCCAAGTCGGAACCGAACTGAGCGAAAGCTGCGACTTCACGGTACTGAGCCAAGAACAATTTCAATGATCCAGCCACCTGCTTCATGGCCTTGACCTGGGCAGCGGAACCGACACGGGAGACAGAAAGACCGACGTTAATGGCAGGACGGATACCCTTGTAGAAGAGCTCCGCTTCTAAGAAGATCTGGCCGTCGAATCTGGGGTTAGTACAAGCCGCGTGAGTAGAGTAAGAAGTACTTACCAGTGATGGAAATAACGTTGGTTGGGATGTAAGCGGACACATCACCACCCTGGGTCTCAATGACGGGAAGAGCAGTGAGCGAACCACCACCGAGCTTGTCGTTCATCTTGGCCGCACGCTCGAGAAGACGAGAGTGGAGGTAGAAGACGTCACCGGGGTAAGCCTCACGACCAGGAGGCCTCCTGAGAAGCAAAGACATCTGACGGTAGGCGACAGCCTGCTTGGTCAGATCATCGTAGATGATGAGGGCGTGCTTGCCGTTGTCACGGAACCTAAGATAGAATGCGTTAGATGAAAGTTTCCGAAATGTAAAATAAAGCGAAGTGAAAAGTGAATAAAATAAAGTAAAGGTAAAATGAAGCCAACATAGGGAGTCCAGGTCGAGGTGTATCGTGATAAGAATATTGGTTTGGCGGCGACGACAATAATTACTCTTCTATGATGGAAGGGTAACTAGGGTTGACGACCTCCTGGATGCCGACATCGTCGATGTTGGTGAGGTTAAAGTCTGACCCGGGAGCATACGGTAGTAGTGTGAGGGTGTACGCCGTCGTTATATGGGTGCTTGCTGGCTTCAACAATCCTAATAGAAGGGTATACACGATAGACCCTGCCCTTGAGTGCTCGAAACCGATGTGCTTGAAATGGGCGAGATCGGAGTCGGTGTCGGATGGACCATCGTACACGCCATCCAGGTTACGATGCAGGTCGGAGTCGGACGAACCAAAAGTAAAGTGAAGTGAAAGCGATATAAGCCAAAATGAGGGTTCCAGATCCAGAGATGTCCCAATGATAACATTGGTTTGGCGACGACAACGGCATTACCCTTCTATTGTGGAAGAGTAACGCGAGCGGATGCCGTCGTCAGGGTAGACCCTTGACACCGGCGGGGTCAATGTCCAAGCCTAACGCATACGATAGTAGGGTGGGAGGATGTGCGCCATCGTCACGTAGATGGTTGTTAGCTACAACGCGTCCCAGAGCACCGATGGCGCCGACATGTCAACGGTTGCTGGCTTCGCCAGGCCGAATGAAAGGGTCACCGTGCTCGAAACAGACGTGCTCGAAATCGGCGATGTCAGAGTCGGTGTCGGATAGACTATCGTAGACGTAATCCGCGTTGTAGTGCAGCTTGTAATCCTCTAGGTCGGACTTGGAAGGGTAACCATCGTAGGCGCCATCCAGGTTGTAATGCTCTAGGTCGACGTCTTCGATATTGGTGAGGTCGGAGTCTGATTAATCGTGATAGACACCTTCCATAGCAGTAATGTACTGGAAAGTTTCTGAGGTCGGCACCAGTGGTGGGCGCAGAGACGTCAGATAGCCCGGGAGTATACAGGCTTGGGGTTGGATGGTGTGCGCCGTCGTCATACAGGTGGTTGTTGGCTACGACACTTGGTACATCGCTAGTCGTGCCGTCATGTAGGCATTTGCTGGCTTCAGCGGCGGCGGCAGGACCAAGTGAAATGGTGGCCATGATGGAGGTCCTCCAGGATGGGCCTCATGACGCGTCGTCGGCTAAGACCACACCACTCTTCCATGCTGGAGGAAGGTCCATGAAGGGTATGTGGTCGCCTTTTGTGCAACAGGGCCGCGAAGCAGAGGCGGTGACGAGCACACGCTCAAAAGCCGATGCAGTGAGCAGCAAACGCAGCAGATGAAGGTGCGTGTCTGCTCTGGAGGTGGTACAGTGTAAAGGTCCAACGGAAGGACGGTCAGGGGGGAAAGTGCAGAGACGAACAAACGCTCAAGGTAGAAGTGGGGGCAAGGAAAAAAATGTGCGTTCATCGCGACATGAAAAGAAAAAACAGAAAAACGAACTAAAGAACACATACCATTCTCCCATGGCTGTTCGAATACCGTTAGCTTATTGTATACCTTCAGGATATGTCATTAGACTTACAGCAACCAGTGAAAGGAGCAATGTACTGCAGAGGAGCGGCCTCAGAGGCGGTAGCGGCCACAATGATGGTGTACTTCATGGCGTCGTTCTCCTCAAGAGTCTTGACGAGCTGGGCAACGGTGGATCGCTTCTGACCGACGGCAACGTAGATGCAGTAAAGCTTCTTCTTCTCATCAGTTCCACGATTCCAGCGGTTCTGGTTCAGCATAGCATCAAGGGCGACGGCGGTCTTTCCAGTCTGACGGTCACCAATGATCAACTCACGCTGACCACGTCCAATGGGTACCATGGCGTCGACGGACTTGAGACCAGTCTGCACGGGCTCCTTGACGGACTGGCGGGGCAGAATACCGGGGGCCTTGAGCTGAGCACGACGGCGCTCGGTGGTCTTGAGGGGACCCTTTCCATCGATGGGGTTACCGAGAGCGTCAACAACACGTCCGAGAAGAGCCTCGCCGACGGGAACATCGACCTGTTGCAATTAGCGTGGGTTGTCGCTTCCAAGTCTAATTTGACATACAATCTCTCCGGTACGCTTGACAGTCTCGCCCTCCTTGACCAAACGGTCGGAACCAAATAGCACGACACCGACCTGGCCGGCTTCCAAGTTCATGCACATGCCCTTGACACCGGAGGCGAACCTGTGGGTTGTTAGTGTCCGCGGGGAAATAGTGGTATTGTAGACTTGGCGTACTCGACAAGCTCCTCAGCCTGGACATTGTTCATGCCGTGGACACGGGCGATACCGTCACTGTTCCCCAGTCAGTTCCCTGCTCAATTGCGATTTCTGCAATGGCGATATGGCGTACCCGACGGAAAGCACACGTCCGGTCTCGGAGAGGCTGGTCTCCTCCTGGACACCACGGATTCGCTGCTCCAAGATGGAGGAAACCTCGGTGGGGGTGGCCTTAGCATCGGAGGCGTAGGATCGGATGGCGCTGGTGAATGTGGGAGCGCGGGTCTGTAGGCGGGCCAATGCTGTCAGTACTGCTTCGTAATGGAGGGGAGCTCGTTGCTGCTCTCGCCCCCAGCGCAGCCCTCGCAGCTGCATCGAAAAAGCTCCATTGCGGCGCCAATGGCATCGAAAATCGGTTCTACGAGCTGCGGGCAATGGCTGGACGGGCGGCGAGCGCAATTGCAGGCGGTTGCGATGGACTTACCGAAGCAATCCTGCTGGTGGCAGAGATTGCAGCAACCCGGCGGCTCGACTGGCGAATGGCTCTTGAGAACATGGCTGCGGCTGCTCAAGAGGCTATTGTGGTAGCTCTGCAACCAATTGAGATTGATGCAGGTATGGAAGAGGGGAGATGGTGATGGAGTGGAGGATGGTAGCTCTACAGTGATGAGAAAGTCCTGCGGTCCGGGAGGAAAGCGCGGACCTTGGCGACTGCCCTAATCCTAAAAAAGCCTCCACACAACCGAGCTATAACAACTGTACAACGGCGGCAAAGGCGACAAGTGAACCTTCTCGACAAGATTATCGCTTCGTATTTGTATCAATTCCTGGTCTCGAGTCTATTGATGTTTTTTCGGAGGCTGGCAACCATTATTCACTGACTATGCCTTGTACGCAAGTAGAGACAAGCTTGGTTGCGACTATACAGATGTAGTCAAAGCGAACAACAGTTTAATTCCTTCGAGCATTTGAGAGATGATTACAGTCAAAGCTTACAATCGCCGCGTAAATTAGTTACAGCCTTTCATCATGCTTGGACACAGACAAAAATCGAGTATAACAACGTTCTAGATTGGTATCCTACTGAATTATTTGCAGCCTTTGGACTTGCAAAACTAATACCCCCCAAACAGCATATGACGCCACATACACCATGCTCCGAAGCAATGTTGACTTCTCTTGCGGTATTCATACAGCACATGTACATTGCTCAACAGAGCCCCTCTGCTGCATCTGATTACCCTGGGCTAGCATAACCCCCACTTCCATCTGCGCAATCTCTGTGTGTCCCGGGTCCGTGCTCATTTCGCAGATCCATTCGCACCCTTCTCCTTGCTTTTCTTGAACTTTTGAATCTCCAGTTCAACAGCCTGGTCAATCCGGCGTTTCAGTTCGGGACGGTAGCCGAGCGAGAAGAGTACCTCAAACCAGACGAAGAATGGCGCGAGGAAGATTGCCTGCACGAGGTTGTCGAGAAGCGCGGGTGCTCTTCCTTCAAACTTTCCATGCCCAATGAATTGCGCGATCCAGCATGCGATGTTGACCGCGCCGGCCCATGAGTTTGCCGTTGCGCCATACGTAGACGTGAGGTGGTTTGCATATGCGGTGCCGCCTACGAGAATGGGAGCAAGCATTGCGCCTGCGACGGGTTCCATCAGGATATACAGCGTCGAGTATATAACAGCTCCGGCGGTGCCGACGTTGAAGGGGAGATTAGGGACTGAGAGCCATGACGGTAGAGGTACGGCGGGAGTGTTGGTGAGCTATCACATGTCAGAATACATGGCATGATGGCGTGTGGGATCCTCACAAGCAGAAACGACGTCAACAGAATGGGAGGGACGCAGAGCATGTGTATCCCAACGTTGACCTACAAGGTTGCGCGTTAGCTAACATGTGAATACATGACAACGAGACCTACTTTATTATGGTGGTATGCTCCATACTACCTTCCAGTCAGCTAGGTACAGACATCGGCTGAAGGATGACGTACGAAGACAAGTTGTTTCTCTAGATTCAGAGACATGATGACGGATCGGGGACTTGGGCGCGGATCAAGGGGTGGGATGGGCGTCAAAGGACTAAATCATGTCTTGTCTTCTTCTCGTGTCGAAGGCGGACGGGGTTGAAGAGCTTCAAGGAGTTGATAAGACCAAGGCGCTGGCCGTGGGAGCCCGAGGAAGTGCGGATGCAGGGTGGACGGTATCACGACATGGGTGTGGGGGTGCAAGCTGGCAGGTGGGAGTTGCGGTAGTGTCACTGCTCGCCCTTAGCGAGTTTCCGTTTTCCGCCCCGAGAGAGCTGCCTACCTTCATCCAAGTAGCTGCCATTGTTCCCCACCACCCGACTACGCGAAACCGTCAGTATTTTCCGACTATTACGAGGCGCGCATATTTACTGCGAGCTGTGCGCATGGGCTGCTGGATATAATACTCTATTAGGCCTGGGTTGCTGGCGGAAGGCGCGTCTCGCCGAAGCACACGCGTGAACTCCAGTGCCTTTCACTGTCGACTCGTTCCCTGGGCGGCCAGTCAGAATAAAGACAATAAAGTTGCATAATACCACGGAAGGACGTTTCCCTGCGACAACCTTCTGCAGCTATCTCACCTCAACCGTGCATCTTCGCCTGCTTCTCATAACAAAGCCGCACGCATCTATTCTTCTCCACCCTTCAAGCCAGTCGCATAACGCGCAGCATGTTTTTCCTCAAAGAGCTTGAGAAGACAATCCAGCTGCATCCATCATACTTTGGGCCTCTTATCCGCCAGCACATCCACCGGGAGCTGCTGCAGAAAGAGGAGGGTTCGAGCACTGGCAAGTACACCATCGTGTGTATCCTGGACTCGTTCGACATCAGCGATGGCAAGGTTATGCCTGGCACTGGCTCTGCCGAATATGTGGTACACTATAAGGCGGTTGTATGGCGGCCCTACAAGGGCGAGGTGGTATGTAGAAAATACCCGTCGTGACGCCTGATACCATAGCTAACCATGTCAAGATGGATGGCATCGTCACCTCTGTATTGCGCACTGGTTTCTTCGTGGATTGCGGCTCCTTACAGGCCTTTGTGGGTCGCAGTGTAAGCCTTGCTATATTTGCATTTACTCATCATTTTGCTAATAAAGCAACAGATGATTCCTGCCGAGATCAAGTTCGACGCAAACGCGACGCCCCCGCAGTGGACCGACGATGGCGAACAAGTTATCGAGAAGGGAACAAACATTCGCATTAAGATCAAGGGTCTGAGGTCTGAGGTGGACAAGATGTATGCTGTTGGGACGATGAAAGAGGTAAGAGAGACCATAGTTGGTCCTCCTGATGCCGGCTAATCACTGCTTTTAGGATTATCTTGGTCCGCTGCCGTCATAGTAAAATCACCGCAGGCGAAGAGGAAGCCAACCGGCAAAAGCGCTGCGCCAGTGGAACAATCTACCGATCCAGTCAATAAGACTACAACCCAACATGTTCGCACGACGATCCTTCTGACAGGCTTCATCATGATTTCAGGAGAATAGTTTGGAAAGTTCAGCCTAATCTTGGCCGTATTGTTATTAAGTTGGGGTGGTGGCATTGCCCAGAAATCAAGATTCAGTTCATACAAGCGAAACAGACGTTTAGACTGCTTGATTGCATACTGCGCAAGAAACATGTCAGACATGCCAAAACTTGGCAGACGCTTAAATCATGCTATTCCAGGGATTTCCCGAATTAGACTTGAATAGAAACCCTTCTCGAGAATCCTTTGTGCTGCAACTTGATGATCCCCTTGTGTCAAAGAATGGCTTGGACGTTTCAACCAACACCAGTCCTCAAACCTCCGCATTAACTCCGCAACTAACTTAGTACCGCCGGTCATCACTACCCCCAGCCGCGCTTGTCCGCAGCCCCGACTTAACTTCACGGGTATCGCGGTATTCTGTCGCAATATCTTGAAGCGCTTTTCCCTAAAATGTTATGATTACACTGGCGATCCCTCAACTTTGTTAGATCTTGCAATGCCGCGACAACGCGCCCCCAAAGAGGAGGAAGCGGAGCTTCTAACTAAACAAGAGCGATCTGCGCGCTCCTCAGAAGACGCCTCCGACACCTCTATATCCTCCATCTCGACCACGTCCTTAGTTCTCGAGCACATCAACGACCCGGCAATCAACGGCACATCGCGGTCGAGGCGCGGAGAAAAGTACACAGATGAAGATGACGAGGCGCAAGAAGCTTTCGATGTCGAGGGTGGACGATACAAGTCTCCGATTTCTGTAGACAAGAAGACAAGAAGGTGGCTATGGATCGTTGGCATAGCATGTGTGACAGGATGGGCACTTGCGCTGGTCTTCTTCTTGATGAGCGGCAGCTACAAACACGTGTCGACTCGGCCACACGACCCCTTGGCCAGCTCTACAAAAGGGTCGGGAAAGAAAATCACAATGGACGACGTCTTTGGTGGCCGATTCTATGCCCGAGAGCAGAGCCTCAAATGGATCGCAGGACCCAATGGCGAGGATGGCCTGTTGCTCGAAAGGGACGCAGGCAACGCAGAGTACCTGGTAGTTGAGGATATCAGGAACAAGGGCGACGGGGATTCCTCTGCAAAAAAGACCAAGCTCATGCAGAAGAGCGGCTTCAATGTAAACGGATATTTCGTCCGACCCGTCGAAGTTTGGCCAAGCAAAGACTTTAAAAAGGTGCTCGTCCAGTCGCGACTTTGAGAAGAATTGGCGACATTCCGGTACCGGAAAGTACTGGATCTTCGACGTCGCTACCCAGACCGGTGAGCCTCTGGACCCCGAAAACCAAGATGGCAGAGTTCAATTGGCGTCCCTGTCGCCCCAATCGGATGCCGTCGTATTCACGAGGAACAATAACATGTACCTCCGGAAGCTGGACTCCAAGGAAGTCATCCAAATCACGCGCGACGGTGGTTCGGAGCTATTCTATGGTATACCTGATTGGGTTTACGAAGAGGAAGTCTTCCAAACAAACAGCGCGACATGGTGGTCAGAGGATGGCAAGTATATTGCCTTCCTTCGCACTGACGAGTCTACTGTTCCGACTTACCCTGTTCAATACTTTGTATCCCGCCCAAGCGGGGATAAGCCCAAAGCTGGCGAAGAAAATTACCCCGAGGTTCGCAACATCAAGTACCCCAAGGCTGGCGCGCCCAATCCTATAGTGACACTTCAGTTCTACGATGTGGAGAAGGCCGAAGTGTTCAGTGTCGAGATTGAAGACGACTTCAGGGACAACAACCGTCTAATTACCGAGATTGTCTGGGCTGGCAAGACCAAGCAGGTACTTGTCCGCGAGACCAACCGTGAAAGCGACATCCTGAAAGTTGTGTTGATGGATGTTGAAAAGCGCACTGGAAAGACGGTTAGGACTGAGAACGTTGCAGAACTGGACGGAGGTTGGTTTGAGGTCTCGCAAAAGACCACATTTGTGCCTGCTGATCCTGCCAATGGCCGCAAGGATGATGGTTACATCGATACTATCATCCACGAGGGATACGACCACATTGGATACTTTACGCCGTTAGACAACGATAAGCCCATCGTACTAAGTCAAGGCGAGTGGGAAGTTGTCGATGCACCTTCTCGTGTCGATTTGAAGAACAACATTGTCTACTACATTTCGACTGCGAAGAGCTCAATGGAACGACATGCATACTCAGTCTTCCTGAACGGTACAGGAACAAGCGAGGTCGTGGAGAACAGTGGCTCGGGTTACTACGGAGCATCCTTTTCAGCTGGTGGCTCGTACGCCTTGATCACCTACCAAGGTCCGGGCATTCCATGGCAGAAGATCATCAGCACACCATCCAGCAAGGACAAGTTCGAAAAGGTACTGGAGGAGAACAAAGCCCTCGATCGCTTCGTGCGAGAACGCGAGATGCCCATTCTCAACTACCAAACCATAGAGGTCGACGGCTTCAAACTCAACGTCCTTGAGCGTCGCCCACCACACTTTAACGAGAAGAAGAAGTACCCCGTTTTATTCTACCAATACAGTGGACCGGGCTCTCAAGAAGTGAACAAAAAGTTCCACGTCGATTTCCAAGCATATATCGCCGCCAACCTCGAATACATCGTCGTCACCGTAGACGGACGAGGCACCGGCTTCCTCGGGCGCAAGCTCCGCTGCATCACACGCGGTAACATCGGCTACTACGAAGCACACGACCAAATCGCCGCCGCCAAGATCTGGGCCAGCAAAAAGTACGTAGACGCCGACCGCCTCGCCATCTGGGGCTGGAGCTACGGCGGCTTCAACACGCTCAAAACTCTTGAGCAGGACGCCGGCCAAACGTTCAAGTACGGCATGGCTGTCGCACCCGTCACAGACTGGCGCTACTACGACTCCATCTACACCGAACGCTACATGCACACGCCTCAGAACAACGCCGCAGGCTACAACAACTCGACCATTACCGACGTCGCCTCGCTCGCCAAGAACACCCGCTTCCTCCTCATGCACGGTGTCGCCGACGATAACGTACACATGCAGAACACGCTTACGCTGCTCGACCGCCTTGATCTCGCAGGTGTTGAGAATTACGATGTTCACGTGTTTCCGGACTCTGATCATAGCATCTACTTCCATAATGCTAACAGGATTGTTTATGATAGTAAGTCTTCCTTTCTCCCTTCCTCGTAAAGTGTGTACGCGGTAGCTAACTGGTTTTGCAGAGCTGAGGTGGTGGCTTATCAATGCTTTCAATGGTGAGTGGGCGAAGATCAAGACTGCGGAGCCCAAGGCGCAGGTTGACGCGAGGATGGAGAGACGGTAGATTTAGTTGTTGTTTGTGTGGTTGTTGTGGTAGCGTGTGTATAGCTTTTTGATGGGCGCAATGGGATTTTAGAGCATCTTCTGCTCAGACAAACGTCTTTTTACTGGAGAATTAAGCATGTTTTTATCTCGCGTTATCCATCCATGAGCTGGCATGTCTGTCTATCTGCCTGTTTGCACCCATCACCATCTCGCTTGTCTGCAGTGCCCTTCACTCCGTTTGCTTGCGCACGCACTCACTCACTCGCCAGTTCAACTTCAGGGTATATGTCATGTAGTTCAACAATTCCTCATAAAGAGTCACACATTCCCATTAAACACTGGATGCGTATTGTAGGTGAACTGCATTAATACCGTTGTGAAAAGAATGTTAGTGATAGTCTATTGGTTCGAATTCCCTGACGGTTGAACTCCCATATTGTGGTGTTGCTATTGTAACTCTTTTTTTTTGTCTTTTTTTCTCACAAAAAAGGGTTGTTGTTGTTGTTGTTTTAGCTAGAGGATATGAGACGGGATAGAGGGTTAGGAAAGCGATAGAAGGATGTAAGAGGTATTGTAGACTACATAATCTTACGAAGAGCTCTTCTTCTTAGGTTCTAGTAATCTTACGCGTAGATGAATGTTTGTCATGATTTCAATGTTGGAGTTGTCTGGGTGCTCCTTGATTTGTAAGGTTGGAATGCTCGTATGGCGGGTATCTAGTGTAAATTAAACCCGTCTCCCCCACTTTTGAAGCTATATGAACGTGGTAAACATGACACCACTTTACACATATATACTAACCAACGACAACATCAAGTGACGCGCACATCCTAGACACTATGTTTTTCAAGATGAATTTCGAACCGAGTGATTTGGCTATTTGCGAAACGTGCGGAACGCAGTTTGACGTTCCGCTTGACCAGCATCCGGAGTCCTGCCGTATTTGCGATGTAGGTGACGTCATATCCTCTTGTGTGTAGACTGGGTGTACTGGATTGGAAGCATGGTCTAGCTGGTACTCTGGAAGATGTGGTATATTCAAAGTTTGCGAGGAGGATATCGGTATGTATCTTAATCTCATAATGAAAGTTATTTCAACTAACATATCCACCAGATATCAGGGCCGTAGTTAGCAACAACAACAACAACCCCCTACATTCAAACCAACCAACACAAAAACAAAAACAAAAAAACTAACAAACCCCCCCTCCAGGACCCCCGCCAATACGTCCCCGCCACAGGCCAAACCTGGACCTCCCTCCACCGCAGCCAAGCCCTCCAAAAAAACAACTTCGAAACCGACCCCTCCAACCCAAACATCCACTACATCACCACCGCGCCCCTCTCCCCCTCGGAACTGCCCCCCGGTCTCGCAGACACCTCCTCCACCCGCAAACAACTCGGCATTGGCCAACGCGCCATCCTGCTCCAAACCTCCGGCGGCAACGTCCTCTGGGACTGCGTGGCCTTCCTCAACCCAGACACGATATCCTTCATCAACTCCAAAGGCGGGATAAAAGCCATTGTGATTAGTCATCCACATTTCTATACTACACATTTAGAATGGGCGGGTGTATTCAAGTGTCCGGTGTATATGGCGGGTGTGGATCAAGAGTGGCTTAATCGTGCTGATAAAGACGGGATGAGAAAGTTTTTTGGTGCCGCCGGTGGAGAGACGCAGATTGGGGAGGTGGGTAGGGAGGTTAGTGTAGTTGTTTGTGGGGGGCATTTTGAGGGGAGTAGTGTGTTGTTTTGGAAGAAGGAGAAGAAGTTGTTTATTGCGGATACGTTTATGAGTGTGCCGGTATGGTTGTCTCTACCTACCTTTCCTTTCTCTGTATCCAGTCTTGCTGGAGGCAGTGTGGGCTAACGATACTTAACAGTCCGGTTTCAAAAACGCCAAACATATCCCCGATACGACATCTTACACCTTCATGTGGGCGTATCCAAACATGATTCCGCTGACGCCAAAAGCCATCTTGGGAATTTGGAAGGCGATAAAAGGGCTCGACTTTGATAGTACGTATGGTGGGTTTCCGGGCCAGAATCTGATTCGGCCAGATTTGAAGGCGCAGGTGTTGGAGAGTATGAAGATTTTCCTCAGGAGGGGTGGGCATGAGGGGGCGGAGGTTTATGGGGAGAGTGTTTAGTCTGGGTGGGACTGTGAGTGGGGTGGATGGGTTTTGGTGTGGGGGCGGGGGCGGAAATGGTCAGATTGAGGTTTGGGAGGGGGCGGAGATGGAGAGTGTAGGCCTGGTAGTGGTGGTATATTAGATCGAGTAGGACAGATACATTGAATGATTCGGCTGTGCACTTGGTTCAGTCAAATGCTGTTGGCGACTTCTGAATGAACCGTTGTAATCCTGCACACAAACATCCACTTGATCAAAACACTAACATCACTACATCACTACATCACTACATCACTACATCACTACATCACTACATCACTACATCACTACATCACTACATCACTACATCACTACACCACTACAACGTATCCAGAACCCAAGTCCAACACACATTAACCCATATACAAAAATACCTCGAAATAGATAACCAGCAAATCAGGATTGCTGACGTTTGCCTAGTCGGGGTTTACTAATGAGGCTCAGCGACTGCGCACATGCAAGGGGGCAGCGCCGGCAGAGGAACACCATCGTTCCTGTATACCCCATCCGATCTGAGGCCACGGAATCCGAACTAGCTCATGGAAATGGTGTTCTTTCTCCTCTTCCGGTCAGGGAAAGTTGCACGTGTGCTCAGCCCCCACGGGGTTTATCGTTCTTTGTCTACCAAAAATACCCTCAAGCTAGTATTCCCCGCCTTCATTGCTGTCTGTGCATCAATACATCATGATGTGGACAAAGGATGATGAAAAAGGACGGCTCTTCTCGAGGTGCGGTCTGCACCTACTTGTTCATATACACATATTAACGACGTTTTATATTCTACTAAAGCGCTATGGAGCATGCGGCCGAGGACTACTACGATATGCCGATTGAGTTGTTGCCGTCTGCGAACTTTGCGGGTCGGCCTATGAGTGATATTAGTATGCTGGATGGATTGTGGACTATGATTGTTTCGTCTTCTTCAGGAGAAGACGGGGCGGATGAGGAGGAACTGCAAACCCAATCGAGGCCGTCGCAAACGCAAGAGTCGCCAAAGACACAAAAGGTCACTATCGTATCACAAATTGGCGACAATGTCGATATGGATCGTCCGCGATTACGGAAAAAGGCACAAACAGCTCCTCCAGGCGGATTCGATACATCAACAGTACCACCCCCTAAGCCGAGACGAGCCATTAGTACAAGACTAGGCTATTCGAATACGGTCAAAAGGAGACAGCCCAAACCATATGACGAGATTAAAGGCTCTCTGACTGCGAGGTCAATAGAAAGTGACATGAGGACGGGCCCACAGAAACCATTACCAGCACTACCAGCATACGACGACGACGCGATATCTCCCAGGACCACGCGGCCCCCCGGTTCCTTCTCCTCGAAAGCACGAGTGCAGGAAACGTTGAAACAGAAGCAGCTTGGGACATTGGATACTGCCTTGGCAGATTACGACTTCAGGAGACTGCCTACCTCACCAGGCTCAATGCTTGCCACACCACGAGAGTTGTACGCAATACCTGAGCAGGTTGCGACAAGTAGTAGCTTGGATAGTCCTCGCGCGGCACGTTCGTGGCGGAACTCGGCAAGACAACTCTCGCCCAAGACAGGCTCGACGCGATCAAACGTACGAGTGGCTGACACGTTAAAGCAAAAGCACAATACTGGAGAGGTTGACGCGGCTGGACAAGGCAGGATCTACTTGCCCGGCACGATCATTCTAGCACAGCACCCGGCTAAGCTTCGCAGAGACTCTGTCGCAACCCTTGATCCATTCGCGTTTGATACCAAATTAGAGTCACCGGGAAGACGAACGTCGGAGCTGGTGGGGTTGGACGGCATTGCCATGTTTTTCGATGGGTTTGGTGTTGTCGCGGAGGTGACAGAGATGACCCTGGACAGGTACTGGCTTCGAGAAGGCTGTGAGCCAACCGATGGTGTTGTCGACGACTTTGATGCCGACGCGCGCAACTCAATTGTATCATTATTATTATTATTATATTTCCATTAGAGTCCTGTATCAGTCGGTGACTATGTAGGACTTTGGCTAAGCCGTTCTATGTATGTTGTTCAATATGGAGTTTCTATAGGTCTTGTACAATTTGGAGGATAGTTGCGTAGTCCAATTTCCGAGCTAGTCTTCCGTTGGCGCGGGTGCTAAAGAGCAGTGTGGTGAACAGAAAGAGATGTAACAGCGAGCTCTTTGCGAAAAGAAATATTGTTTGTAGTTTTATACAGTGTCTGTCTGTTGTTTTGTGTAGGCGTCTGTATATAGGGATCTACAAGAGAGAGAATAGATCTATACATCTAGTGCCTGGTCGATATTTTGCTCGTGCGTGTGCTAGTGAAAGCAGGTGCTGGAGCGGTTCGGTATATGGGGTCGGTATATCGAGTCGGTTTAGGGCGTTCGGTAGAGAGGGTATTTGGTGTAGGCGTCTGTATATAGGGATCTACAAGAGAGAGAATAGATCTATACAGCTATTGCCTAGTCGATGTTTTTGGGCGTTTTGGTGTAGGCGTCTGTATACAGGGATCTATTATAACCTAACAATAATAGACCTATACAGCTATTGCCTAGTCGATGTTTTGCTCGTGCGTGTGCTAGTGAAAGCAGGTGCTAGAGCGGTTCGGTATATGGGGTCGGTATATCGAGTCGGTTTAGGGCGTTCGGTGGAGAGGGCGTTTTTGGTGTAGGCGTCTGTATATAGGGATCTACAAGAGAGAGAATAGATCTATACAGCTATTGCCTGGTCGATGTTTTGCTCGTGCGTGTGCTAGTGAAAGCAGGTGCTAGAGCGGTTCGGTATATGGGGTCGGTATATCGAGTTGGTTTAGGGCGTTCGGGTATAGGTAGCATCTAGATATATAGGCCTATTACTTTGCAGCAATAGAGATATATACCTAAGGAAGAGCCGTTGCTCTGTCGGTTTCGTAGAGGGTGCCTTCGATCGAACATCTAAAATCAGTTGGCGCACGGGCCATTTGCAGAGATTTCTCTCAACTAAGGCCAGGTAACAACTCTGTCAAAGTTGCAGCGGCCAGCGCGCCCGCCACAACGCCTGCACGCAAAAGCAGACGTTGGAAACTGATTCTAGGAAGGCATTTCAATGGAATTGAGATGAAAAAAGGGTAATCCAGGACCTTTTTGTCATCTCGAAAAGTTGGTGTTCGATGAACTCAATTGTATCGAATATACAAGAAACAGGGTCAACGAGCCAAAGAGTGGCTCATAGTGACCGGGGCTCAAAGTTTTCCTTGTCGTCAGCGTCATCTGCCGCTTCTGTGCCTCCACCAGAGAAGCGCAAGCGGAGCAGGCTGAGGGACCTGCTGTCACCAGGCCTTCCTGGCTCAGCCTTCCTCAAGGCCCCTGCAAGCTGGGGACAGCAGACGGAGAAAGCGTGAGCTACGGGGTGGAAACAGTAGAAATGATAGATTAAATAAAACTTTACGAAATGAGCGTCGTAACGCGATTCAGGCGCGAGTGCGCGGGCGATTGGCGGTGGGGTTTGACAGGGTGCATATCGCGATGTGATGCATCCTGATCAGGTACATCATAAGCCGCGGACATGGTGGTGCCAAGGTACGATTGCACAAAGTCAGGGACGATCAGAGAGCCTGGACTCATCGTTTTCAGAGCCGGTTAACCAGTACGAGGGCACAGAGGACGATCCGCCGTTTCCGCGATTGGCCGTGGCCTGTGAAATGACGACGTTTTGCTGGCGCGGTGACATTGGCGTCGGGAACAAGAGGGCTGCCACTGACAGCAAAAAGGGCCAAATGCGACGGGATGCATAAGCCTAGCACTCACGATAGGGTAGACCCCAGGGCCGCCCAACCAGGACTTGTTGCTTGTGTCGAGCCGACTCAGCAAAGACGAAAAGTGAGGCGACGAATCCCAATATCTTCCGTCCCGTGCTGGCCAATGAAGGCGCGCACTCGGGGCTTGGATCGCCAGCGAGGGTTGCCCTTCTCAGTCGTACTTGGCATCTCTTCACCCACCGCTCAGCGCGGGCCGCATTCGTAAGACGGCCTCTGACACGAGCCAGCGCATCGCTCGTCCCCCAGTTCTCAGGTGGTGCTAAAAGCACATCCTCCCCTTCCAAGCTTCCTCTCCACACCCTCACTTATTGATCGCCTCGTCATTGCCAAACACGCCCATTCGCATCGCCCTCACCACCAAACGTCCACAACATACAGCTGTAAGACGGCCTCTCCAGCACCGACACCTATTTTTTTTCCTTCTGCGCATCGTTGCTGATCACCGTCATCGCGCAGTTTGCTTCTTACCTCTCACAAACTATTGCTCCAAACTCAACTCAATTCAACCAAACCAAACCAAACCAAACCAAACCACTCCCACTGCCCCTCCGACGTCATGGCTTCGACTCTTAATAGTAGTAGCAGTAGTAGTAGTAGTAACAATACCTACCTCGGCTTCCTTGAGCAGGCCAAGCACAACTTCTGGATGACCAACAGCCACCTCTCAGAGGAGCAGCGAAATCAGCTCTGGTTCCAGACGGCCTGCCAGCCGACGCAGCCCTCGATGGCCCACCAGGTACCACGGTCCATGACGTTTGACCCGTCAAGCATGATGCAGCTCCCAGTATGGAACTAGTTTTGGTCTGCTCTGCCATCTTTGATCTAACACCCAGCAGACCTCTGGCTTCGCCTCCATGGACCGCACTCGCTCGGCCCCCGTCATGAACCGCTCAGATTCGGCAATGACCTCGACTACCCCGTACTCCGACTGGCAGTCAATGGCCCAGGAGCCGACACCCGACTACACGCTCTACTCGCATGCTCCCATGCGCAGACAGTCAACCCTCCAATCGCTCCCAGAGACGACTTGCCCTATCAACGGCAGCGTCGCCGAGTACAGCGTTGATGACTTTGTCAACAGCATTGTGCCAGATAACTCATCTACCCACCCCATCCCCCAGCATGCTCAACAGTTGCAACTGACACCACAGTGGAGTGCATCCGATGTCTCCTCGCCCAGCACGCCGTCAACTGCTCTGATGACGCCTGTTACTCAATCTAGTAACATGAGCCGTCAGGGTAGTTACAACCCCCAGTTCTTTGATAACGTTTCCATGTTGCGTGTTCCGTCCAATTCTTCATGTATGCTTCCCATCCTCTCAGAGGATGAGACTTTTCCTTATTCCTTTTCCGTCGATCATAAATCCACCAGCGAGTCCGCTGGTGCGTCTCATTTTCTCAACTTCACTGGCTCCTCCAGTGAAGGTTTCCTTTCTTCTGCTTCATCTGTTCCCGCAAGTGCGCACGCACTTGCCTCTTCCGACAACGATCTGTCGTACCTGGCGGAGGATATGCGGAGGTCGACATCAGCTACATCCAGCGAGGGCTACTCGAGCGAGGCCTCTGCGTCTGGCTCGACGTACTCTCGTCAATCGCAACGCGAGCGCGAAATCATCGCACAAGCTGCGTCTCGCAAGATTGCCCCCAAAGCGATCGACTGCAATAATGAGACTGCGTCCCCGTCATCAGATGCTCAGATGACTCGGATAAGGTCAGAGGATGGCTCCTCTAAAACCGTCGGTGTTCTGTCCAAAACACCCTATGTGCGCCCTCAGCACCCAAAGATCAAGTGCAACTACTGCAACGAGAGACCCGATGGGTTCCGCGGTACGCATGAGCTCGATCGCCACATTGCACGTGCCCATGCCTCGCGCCGCAAGGGCTACATCTGCATCGACTCGTCAGCAGACCAAAAGTTCCTCGCCAACTGTAAGCACTGCCGTAACAAGAAGGTATATGGCGCCTACTACAACGCTGCCGCCCATCTCCGCCGCGCTCACTTCCACCCCCGCAAGCGCGGCAGGAAGGGCAAGAACGACGAGAAGCGCGGTGGCATCGGTGGCGGAGACCACCCCCCGATGGAGTACCTCAAGCAAAACTGGATTAAAGAGGTGGAAGTCGATAACAAGCCCACACCAGAGTCGCCAGAAAGCAACTCGGACAACGACGCTGCTGATGTTTCAGACGCCGCTTTCAACCAGCCTTCTTACCCCGTCGACACCACTGCTGCTGCCACGACCGTCTACCCCGCGTCGCAACAGCCCTTGCCATCAATGCCAATGATGAACCAAGCCCCTCTTGACTCATCATCGCAGTTCATGGACTTTGGTATGAGTATGCAACCTGAACCCATGGTCTTTGACAACACTGCTTTCTTCGACCCCAGTCTCGGCAACGTTGTCGCACCCGCCGATATGAGTAATTTCCAATTCGACGCGTACATGGGTGCTTGATCCGGTCTGACCAGGTTGAGTTTTCCATATACCGTCGTCTTTACTTTTTTCGCTTCGCTTTCATCATCTCTTTTTTGATCTTCACGTCCTTTTTTTTCAACTATTTATTTTCTTGGACGCTTAAGACGCCTTGTTGGGCTGGCTTACGAGATGTTTGTACGTACACACATGTTTGGGCTTTGGATTCGGCGTTCAAGATGATACGTGACCACCAACTCTTGACTTGACTCTCTATGGGAGTAGTAAAGGTTGTGGTAGGTCTGCATCGTGGTGTTATTATCATTTTTTGTATTTTCTTTCCTGGCAGCTACGCAACGCAACGTAACTCAATGCCCTTGTTTCTTGTTTTGTTTTCTTTTTCGGGTGCGATCAATTTATGAGAAACGCATGGTGCGGCCCTCTTGTACTGCCGCTGCTACGGTACTGGGTGGTTATTGTTTTTTTTTGCGAGAGCGAGAGCGAGAGCGAGAGAGAGAGAGAGAGGGAGAGCAACTTGATGTTACCGGCTCGCTTGGATTTTCACAATCACTTGCACCGGTCATCGCTCTTTGGTATAGCTGTTGGTAGGAAGGGATATGGCGAAATGAGAATAAGAATAAGAATAAGAATTTACTTCAATGTTTTGAGTTGTTGCATGTGATGGTGACTATTGGCTTCTACTCTTTGAAGAGTAACGTGAGGGGTGTTGATGAACATGTGGGTGTCGTGGTATGTCCTGAGTATATCTTTGCCGGTGTTGTTCATATTGTCTAGTTCTTCTGCCTACTTGCCTATTCGCTTGACACTGGTCATTCCTCGATCAAGTTTGTCTTTATACCCATTCCGTTCTCGTATCCAAAGTTCTTCGCTCTTATCAAGATATAGGACGTCTTTCCACCAACAGTCTGCAGAATTAGTCTGTTATTGCCTGTTGAGGAGGTTACACCTGTATAGTGTTAGGGTATCTCTTTAAAGAGGTAGGCCTAGATACCTATTTGCAATAGAACGTGCAAAAGACGGCATTGAAAAGATGAGCACTAACCACTATTGTATGATTGCTATCAGATTTATGTATCCAAGATTCCTCCCTCAAGTATTTAATATATCAAAACACATCTTATCTCTTCTCCAGACCTCCCAATCTACATCATCCTCGCACCACCCAACCTAATAGCTAGAATTGGGATAATTACCACCACCCTGCCCCTCATTATCCACCGGGTTCGCCGGTCCACCAGTCTGTCCCAACGCACCTCCAGCCTGTGTCGCCTCCCCCTTCTCCGCTTTAATCGCTTCCCTCGCCTCAGCCTGCTCAGCCTTTTTCCTATTCACACGTTAGCACAACGCACAGATACCCCCAAAATGCAAACTCACCTATCCAAATCCGACGCCAAATCCGGTTGTTCTCCACCACCACCCATACCCTTGCCCCCTTTAGCCACCGCATCCGCTACCCTACCTTCACCAGGCGCCGCCATCTGCTGCCCATCCAACTCCTTGTGACGGCCTACATCTTCATGGGTGAGGCCTTTTGCTTCTTCACCGGCAGGGGCGCCGTGGACGCCTTTTCCCTCTTCGAACTTTGCATTTTGGAGTCCTTGGGCGTCGGTCGCTTGCTTGGTTGGGAGGCGCTGGTCAACAGTGGCGGCATTGTCCGAGGCGTTGAAGCTAGTTTCTTTGCGCTCCTGGGGGTCTTTGGAGGCGGGGTTGCCGGGGGTGGTGTAGGCTGTGGATTGGGTGGGTTGGGAGGGTTGGGATGAGGAGAGGGCGGACATTGTGGTGTTGTTGCGTTGGGGGAGGAGTGGTAGGTTATAGTAGAGCGTTTGCTTAGATGGATTGTTCTTATTTTCGTAGCTTTCGATATTAGATGTTGGGATATAAATGTGAATTGCTGTGTGTATGTTGAGAATTGGTTGAGTTTGAAGCTTGGGAGGATTATTGTTTTGGTTGTTCTACAATACCTATGACGTATGAGGGGCCCCGTCATTCATTTCTTGCCCCACTTACTGCACCCGTGCCGTCATATGAGTACGTGAGAAAACGAATACACGGGCCGCGTTCTTAGTCTTTGTTAGTAGTAATCGATGGGTGCGTTGGGAGCTAAGTGCGCTATCGGCCTGTAAAGTTGGCTTGCTGAACCCTGAGTTAGTGAGGCCGAAGACATAGCTCATATGTTTGTGTCTGGGTCTGGGTCGTACTATGGGCAATTGTACATGGTTTGTCGTAATTGATTTTCGATATCTGGTAGTTACCATATCGCGGATGCGCGATCTCGTGGTGTAGTACCCGATATGGTATGTACCGTATGAGGATGAGCATAGCTTGCAATCCTCCATGTGCGTCCCACTGCGTACAATGCAAATCCGAATTCCCCTGTCCCCAAAAGATTCTCGACCTGAGAAACTGGGTAGTCCATAACGCCTCGAAATGATTCAAACCCCAACGCCTACGCTATGCATGCAAATCGACCCAGGGATGCTACTCCATTTCCATCGCCACGTCTGCTGAAGGCTCTCTCGCCTCGACATGATGTGTGGGCTCACGGCTTTCCCGTTCTGATTCGGCTGCTTTGGCGGCTCTTTCGCGGGTTTTACGACACCACTCTTCTATGGACTCGGCGGCTCCTCCTTCAATCTTGATGGTCTTGGGCTCAGCTGGTACTCCCAATACCGTGCCTTGGAATCTTGATTCGACGCCCGTTTTACTGTGTTTCTTCATCAAGGCTGGGGCGGAGTTAGTAAACGAATAATGTCAAGACACGCCGAGCCATACTGTTCAAATAATCCTCCATCTCTTCCTGATCAAGCTGCTCTGTCGGATTTGTCGGTACCGGCTTGTAGACACCTGCTATCCGCCTGATTTCCTTGTTTTGCTCGCCCTTGACCCATTCTATGAATTCGGTCACATCTGCCGTGTCCTCGGCGTCGCGCCGCGCTGCCTCATTCTCGCGAGCGCCTGTTTCGGCGTTATACTCTTCAAGAGGCTTCCGCAAAATCTCCTTCCAAAGCTCCTCTCCTGCCGTCATGGTTGGCACAAGGAGGGCGCAATCCTGCATTGCCATGCGCACATCGGTAATGTCCGGAGTGAGGTCGTTGTGATTCGAATAGGCATTATAGGCTGTGCGCTCTGCCAGGACAGAAAGATAGCGCGCGGTCAGGTCTACAATGGTATCGACGGCTGAAGGCTTTCCGTATTGGAAGCCCGTCGCGCGCAGAATATGGAGGACGGCGGGCCGTAGCAGGCTGAGGAATAGGTCGTTTTCAGACATGCTCGCGCGTTGGAGTCGAGTGCGATGCAGCGGTGCACGGGGTGAATTGGTGTTATGGCGGGACCAGTGGGCGCATTGTCGTCACGGTACGCGCATGGAGAAGTGTCGAGAAAGTAAAGGTACGCGGTTCAGAAGCTTTGGCCCTTCATCATTCCGGGTGTTGCCAAGGCCAAACCCCATGCCATTGTCACCAACCGCGACTTGCTTGCTCACAATCACTCATCCTCGCAAATGTCGCGCCCGCCGGCGTGTAAATCAGAATTCGGTCGATAAATCGCTGCACTTCTGCTTATATCGCCCAGTATGAAGCTCAAACTCAAGACCAGCGCCGCCCCAAGCGATGCGCCTCAAGAGGCTCCCCCATCGAATGCGCCCACGCCCGTTACCGCGAAGCCAGGCGGCCTCAAAATCAAACTCAAACCAGTAGCACCCCCATCCGGCGAGGCGACAGACAGCCAGAATGGTGACACAACCAAAGTTAAGCGCAAATACACCAAGAAGCCCAAAATCGATGAAAGCGGCAACGTCATTCCCCCAGGAAAGCCTGGACCAAAGAAAAGAGTCCGGGAAGAGGGTGATGATGTCGATTCACCCGCCGCCAAGCGCAAGCCAAAGCCCACTGCGAAGAGCCTCGCTATGGCCAATGACAGCGACGAGGACGACTTCACTGCTATCGAACAAGCACCCCCTCAACCCAAACTTCACAACCGCACCCAATCTATCAAGTTATCTATCAAGCCGAAGGGTGGTCTGAATGCACCACAGCGCACTAGTACTGCTATTCTCAAGGTCAAGGGCGCAGGAAAGCCTCCGGTTAGACCATATGGTGTCGGCTATGACAGCGAGGCGGAAGAGGCAGAAGTCGACCCGGCCATTGAGTCCCAATTCGTCTTGCGAATGAAACCAGGCCCCGACTGCGATTTACTGCGAAAGTCCATCGAGGAGAAGACTATCGGCAAGAGTGTATCACAGGGGGGCCCTGGTGTCCACTTCCGGTTCTTCGATCGCGAGGGTCGCCGCGCTATGCTCACCATACAAAACCGCATATATGCCGCCACTATGGTCGAACTACCCGCCGTCATCGAATCGTTGAAGAGTTGGAACAAAAAGGACTGGGTCAAGACCGCCGACGTCTGTCAAATGCTCCTAGTCTTGGACGAAGTTAAGAACGAGGAGGAAGCAAAAAAGTACCCTCTCCCATCATACATCTCCCCTGACACCCACCGGTTCCCTCATGGTCTCACACCGCCTATGAAGTGGGCCCGTAAGCGACGTTTCCGACCTCGCAAATCATACATTGATGTCGAGCGAGCCGAAGCACAAATGAACCGATTGTTGGCCGAGGACGAAAATGCTCATGCAACCAAGTTTGAAATGGTGGATAGTGAAGCCGAGAGCTCTGAAGAGTCAAGCTCCGAAGAGGAGGTCGATGACGAGGAGATGGTGGATGCTCCCCAAGTCGAAGAGATGGACGCCGACGCTCTCGAACAGATGCTTGCCGAGGGGCTCATGGACGACGAAGTCGAGTTGCAAGGCGACAACGATCAGATCAATGCATTGCTGAATGGTTCCAACAACATTGAAGTTGAACAAGTTGGTACTCCTACCACTGCTCACGATGTGGCCATGCATGTGCTCAGTCAGAATGGCAATGCGGTTGTGGAAACCGAGACCGCAGCTTCCACACCGGCAGCCGCGACATCTGCAGACGACAACGATGACGACGACGATGATGCTGATTCCGACGACGACGTGGATGAAGTGGATGAGGCTGCCGCTGCTGAGGAACAGCGCCAAGAGCAGCTCAGGACTGAAATTGCGGAACTAGAAAAGGCCATCCAGCAGAGCACCGAGCAGCGCGACAGGCAGACCAACACTCTCTTCAAGAAACGTGTGCAGACACAGATTGATAAGCAGAAGAACGATTTGGCCATCAAGCGTAAGCAGCTAAATGAGGAGGCTGATGAGTAACGAGGGTTTGCTTTTGCTCTGTCACCGGACAAGAGTTTGGTGTTTGAAAGAATGTATTTACACATCCTTCACATTGCATTGTTATGGCGTTCAAGATCAAAGCATTTTCATGGCGTTACTCGGAATAGGCCGACAATTGCATGTAGCCACTACTTGAATCCAATCACTATTACATTTGTCTGAATACTCCATGGAATGTGACATGTCCCAAGAGCGCCTTACAGTTCTGACACCGCATGTATAGCCGGGTTTACTTTGGGTACCGATCAAGCCAGCCTCACTAGCGAGATCACGTGATCCATGGACCCTGCCAAGACGTTCTGCTTCACGGACACTCCTTATTACATATTCTTTGTTGCCCCGCAAACCTCACCAGCATCACCTCAATCGACATCCGCTTGCTGTGACCCACGTGAATAAACTGACGAGAACGCGCATTGCTAACTGATCAGACATTTACAGAGAACGCCGAGATGGTGCCGTTTGGACCGCCCCCGTACACGCGGGAGCAGGTCGCTACAATGACCTCACCCGAGGAGCGTCGGCGCGCTGTAGCCGAACTGCAAGGCATGTACTACAATACGAGTTTTGCGCATAGAGACTGATATGAGAACTGTAGAGTACATCAAGATGTACGAGGAGGGTAGTGCGGCACAGCGCAGCGCCGGCGCTGGAGACCATGGCACTGGCCGTGGTTCTGGCACCGGTGCGCGAGGCGGCTTCATTCCTCGAGGTCTCCGTGGTGGTCGAGGTGGCTACGTTCCTCGTATTTCTCGTGGTGGCCGAGGTGGCTACGGTGGTCCTCGTCATCATCCATATCAGCATCCAGCACCCACGTTCCAGAAGCGGGCATCGACGCAGCTCTTGACCAACAACAATGCGCCAGGGGGAGTCCAGCAGCCAACCAACGTTCCGTCATGGAAGAACGACATCACGCCCAAGGGCCTTTGTTCCAAGTTCACTAGCACAGGTATTTTGACGAAATGACACTTTCAGCACTTTTCCTTCTTCTTGTGCGTTGCTGACATTTGCAGGTGTATGCAGTGGCGTATGCTCATATATCCACGATACCAACAAGCTGGCTGCTTGCAAGGCTTTGCTGTACAAGGGTCACTGTAACATGGGCCCGCGGTGCTCACTATCTCACGACTTCTCACCGCACAATGTGCCAACCTGCGACTATTTCCAACACGGAATGTGCACCAACGAGAGCTGCCGCTTTGCTCATGTTCGCATCAACGATGCTGCACCCAACTGCGAGGCTTTTGGTACATTGGGTTATTGCGAGAAGGGAGACACCTGCCCAGGACTGCACGCACACGAGTGTCCCACTTTCGCCAACACCGGTGAATGTCGGTTCGGCGACAGATGCCGCCATGGACATGTTCGTCGCGCTGCTCGCATGAGGAACACCACTCGTCTCTCCTCTCCGGTCCAGTCACCCTCTCCAGCCACTCCCGTCACTCCCGTCACCTCTGATGCACGTGAAGAGAAACTGGACACCGCCAATGGCTCTCTCAACACCAGCGAGGAATCCCTCGAGTCAATTGTGGTCGAACAGGAGCCGAAACAGTTCACCCAGCAGGACGACTACATCTCACTCGACGGGTAGTTGCCGATATCCACAGGCGGTGAGTCTTCCTCTCTGATTCTAACATGGTCCTTCTCTAACACGTCTCCTTCCAAGCATTACTTTTGCCAGCATCCATTTTGGTAGGTTTTCGACTTCATGACCATGTGCTTTTCTTGACCCTTCAAGGTACATAGCTGTCATGGCTGCGGCGTTCAGGGTTTTCTTTCTGTGATACCCCGTCTTGCGATTTCCTAGTCGTCTTTCCATTTTCTCTTGTCAGGGCAACAGACCCATTTCATACAAACACACTCTGCAAGCAGGGTAGTGGCCACGCTCGCATGCGCATAGCATGCAGATACCTACGTGTGGGCTCACATGGCTGCCCTATCGATGATAGGTGCATACAAAGATGATAGAAAAATCATGTAAAGAAAAAAAATATGAAGAATTGAGAATGAACGGCTTTGTTGCAGTGATGTCTTTGTGAATAAACGATCTGCTTGATGTGGATACTTGCATTGGCCCTGGAGGAGTTTGGACCGCAGGCTAGAACGGTGGCGCATGAGTAGCGCCAGGTACCAAAGTAGTTCAAGATGAGTTAGGAGGTGTCCAGGACGTGCATTGTGTTCAGCCTGTGTAGGAAAAGCTGGTAACGAAGCAAATGGAAGAAGCAGATTCACATAGAGGGGGTTCTGGGGTTGCGCGACATAAGACGCTTACTATTGCAGTGGTCGCGCAGCATCGAGTCTAACATTGGCGTGGTGTGGAGGCTGAGGCGGGCTGCGGCTACTGCTTGGCTTTTGTCCTACATCAATCGTGCCGTACAATTCGACAGGCACGCCGCGGATCATGAGCTCTGCCACATTTGCGATGAAGCTGCGAAGGTATAAGACTACTCTCAGGGTCAATTAATGCAAAGACGTCACACTGCCCTGGCTATCCTTGTGTGAAACTACTCTTGAATATCCTTAGACCCGACCGCGTACCCCTTGCGTGCGCTGGCAACACGAAGCTCGACGCAAAAGTTCGTTTACGCACCAACATGACGCTCAAAGACCTGTTGAAAAAGAAGGACAAGATCAGGGACGAAGGCGCTCCGACGTCACCCACAGGACCCACGCTGTCTCCCGATATTCCAGAGTTCCACTTCTTTCGAACCACGACTTCGACCCAAGAGTCAATCGAGCCGCCTAGCTTCCCCGGCGATCCTACGCGCGAGGCACCCCTTTTGTCGCCCGCACCACGAGGTGCCTTTGGCAGGTTCAGAAGCCGGAGTAGCACCTCGGCTCAGGGTGGCGGCATAGCGGAGCGGTTACACTTTGGTCGAAGCAGGTCTGGCAGCTCCGTCAACGTACCAGACAACCTTCCGGAAGTGGGAGGAGACGGTGTCGCACGGACAGAGGACGACGAGGCAAAGTGGGAGAAGAGGGCGACCGTCTTGGTTACAGCAACTCTGCAGCATAGCAGTCAGCCCAGTACGCCGCACTATGAGCCCACGAGTCCAATGTCGCCAGGAGCCAGGAGCGCTACGAGCACAGGTGCTCCTGGGGACGAGGTATGCACAACTTGGAAAATGGACAAGATCTGGTCTAAGCTTTGCATAGGAGAACATACATGAAGCTATCAGGCTACATGAGAAAGGAAGTGAGTCGTCACACGCCCAAACTCTCACGATGAAGGCTGACAAAGATGCACCAAGATCTCGAGGCTTCAACAGCATTGTTTGGAAGACTTGCAGAGCCGACGGGCGCAAACAATGCTCTGGCCCAAGTGCTCTACGGTCTCGCATTACGGTAAGCACTTATTGCTTGTCATCGGATATACCCGCTGCCCTCGTATTCTAGGCCTCGCTGACTAACCCCGCAGTCACGGTTGGGGATGTGAGCCAAACCAAGAACAAGCCGTCCAGTACCTATCCATGGCGGCGTCCAACAGTGCTGAGGTGGAAAAGTTGGCCCTCGGTGCAGGCATGAAAAAGGGCGGTGCGGCCAAAGGCGAGCTTGTGCTGGCCATGTATGAGCTGGCCAACTGTTTCCGAAATGGCTGGGGCATCAAGAAGGATCCCGCGGCCGCGAAGCAATATTACGAGACTGCTGCTAATTTGGGTGATACCGATGCGATGAATGAGGTAGCGTGGTGCTATATCGAAGGCTTCGGGACTAAAAAGGACAAGGTACGTCGTCCTCTCCGTTGTGTACGGCAGTCGCTGTTGTCCATGGCCTCGTCTTGCCTTGACCGGTCAATGTCGACTCGTTTAGATGTTCATGCGATGGTGACGCGAACGGTCAGCTTGGGGTCGCGTACAGCCTCGACCTCAGCCATCACGCGCCTCTATCCACTGAGACACAAAGTTTCCCTCCACCTCCGCCTCACTGTTTGGGCATCATCATGGGTTGCTCGGCTGATGCGGACGTATTGCTAACTGCGCCTCGATGCAGTTCAAAGCGGCTCAGTTTCTGCGCCTCGCGGAGACCAAGGGCAACAAGACGTTAGGCAATACCTGGTAAGTACCACCGTTTTCGTTAGCATTTCACTCTCTATTCGACCAAAGGCCATCGGACCGAGGAGCTCTTTGCGTCGTGACGAGAAGCACGGTGCAAGAAATTAACATGAGGTGCCATCACGTTGACGCGCGCCATCCCGTCTCAGCCGGTGTTGCGTCCCCAGCAACCTCAACACCAAGCCACGATAGGATCCAGGCAGGAAGTCGACAAATCCAACGCACAGCGCTATTGTCCGTTCAGGCGAAGCAGTTTCAACGCGCAGTCGCCAAGGCTTATCGATTGGCTCTTGAAGCACGGTTTTGGTCGTCAGGCTCGCTTAAGCTGACCGCGGACGCCGAACGGCCCTCGCCCTCACCCGCAGCAGGACCTGTCACACTTTGGCTGCCGGTTGACAGTTCCCCGCTACGCACACATGATGCCATGTCGCACAGAGAAGTATCTGCGAGTAGGAGCACCACCAGTCGCCCGTTTGGCACAAGCCGACCTCTCCCGTTCCAATAGTGGAAGTTTGGCATGCCTTCTGGGCCCGGCGCCGCGGTTGCATGGGCTCACACAAGTCCGTTGATGGGGCTACACGTGGCGTCTCGTTGCTGGCTTCGGTTCCAGTGCAAGAGTAAGCGGGACGATGGGAGGGTGTAGCCGATGACGGCGTGGATGCACACCATGTGTGGAGCAGGTAGTCAGATGGTGCCGTTGTCATGGCAAGCTGGAGATTGAGTTGCATGATGGCGCGACAATGGTTGCTGTTGGGGTGGTGGGTGCTTTGCTTGCTTGCCTTGGTGCTTGCGTGCTTGCGTGCTTGCGAAAAAAGAGAACGCATCTGGAGTAGTTTGACGGCTACCGCGACAAAATGACGGCACTATCCATCGGGACTGACAAGACGGCGACTGACGGGACTCCATCTTTGTGCATTTTTACCGCGGTACTCTCGGCATGCCGTTGCCCTTTGTTACACGAACGACGGATTCCGGCGCTGGACCTTTTTTTGCGAATGCCCTTGCAGATTTTGATTCATGCTGGAAAATAATGCACGTGCTGACTTATCTTTCTCTACACAGGATCTGGAAGGACAAGTACAATCCAAAGTAATCGCGATTCCCGCACACCACACCCCATTACTGCAATAAGCTATCCTTCCTCCATCCCGTTCCGATAGGCAGACTTCCCTTTTGGGACAGTGTCACAGGTCACAAGATCCTTGATATGCGGGAGGAGGGGTGTGATGGGAAACGGTAAAAAACAAGGGCAGGCAGATTGATAGATGAAACCCCGCGGGGGTAAGTGGGTGATCGAGAGATCAAACCTGATGCTAGTAGTAAAAACTGCCTTTTTTTCTTTTTTCTTTTTTGCTGTCTGCTGTATGCTGTGTACGGTATGCTGCTTATTTTGCTTTTTGGTGTCCGTCCAACCGAACCGGGACGATCAGTAATGATCATCTCATGTATTGTCCATCCCCCCCACACACATACACGAATACGAAAAGGTTGGCCAAAAGAAAAGAACAAGCACGGAGTATTTTGGCCTGATCGTCGTCACTGATTTGTGTGTATGGATGCAGCATGTGCTTTGTTTGCTGCCTGCCGTTTTTATTCTCCCATAATCTTCCGGGCCTGATGATGGTCGTAAGCGCGGCGTCATTTGGAAGCCAGGCCCGGAAAATTTATCATTTTGTGATATGATAACTTACTTTGTGGGGCGGGGCTGTTGTTGTTGTCTGTGATTGGATGGGTTGATTTTTTTTCCTTTGGTTCTGCAGGATGTGGTTGGTCGGTGTAGGTACTGTACTGTACTGTACTATATCCTATGGTACAGTGGGATATCGGTCTACATACCTACCGTACACAATTGATGATATCGCTGTGCTGTTTGCCGTTTCAACCATATTGTATCTACGTACACTTCCATCTCCATCTTCATCTCCCTTCTTTCCATAGTACCCTCATCCACCAGCTCAGAGTCCTCCAGTACATACATTAGTGACTCACAACCAACCAACCAACCAACCAACCAACCATCAAAAAAACCCTAACCTATCACATCCCCTCACCCATGACATGCATACCCCCGCCGCCTCACCTCCCCCGCACAAACACTAAACCACTGTAGTGCTTGTCTCGAGAGAAGAGCTGCTGCTGCTGCAAGCAACCCGTATCGAGCTGCATTAGTATAGTACCGGTACTAACAAGCACCAGCACCAGCACCAAAAACCCTGGTCTTACATACATACAGCACGGTTATAAGTATACCCACATGTGTTTCACCATTGCTGTTAGTGCCGTCGTTTTGGGGGTGGTATGCGTGATGCGTGCATGTGCATGTGGCATGGATATGGGTGAGGACTTTTCTTGAGTGCATGGAACTGGGACTGCGACGGGGATATGGGAGCGAGGGTAGGGTAGGTGTGATGTGTGATGTGTGTGTGAGAAGTTGCGGTGACGATGGTGAGTGTTGTTCATTTCATCGTGATTGCGTGGCTGGGAGGGAATGGAATGGAAGGGATGGGGTTGTTAGGGATGTGGGGGTGAGCTGAGCTGAGACCTGCTGAGGGAGATAGATGGGCGAGAGCGAGACTGGACTGGACTAGAGTGACTGACTGAGCCATGATGACTACGACGACAATATGCGAATGGAAATGTACATGTCCGGATGCAAGAAACAAAGGTATAGCAACAGTACTATCACTATACTCTAACCCACCAACTTACACTATACAACCCCAATCCATGCCTTGCCATTAAACAAGGACCCCCAAACCCCGTGATCCCACTCCATTCCATTACATCAGCCATCCCAACACCCGCAGTGGAGTAAGTAACCCATCACCCGTCCGTCACCCGTCCTCCGATCTTCCACCGGCGGCCGGTGGGACTGCCGAGGCTGCTCCAAGCAAGGCAAGAAAACCAAGGGCAAACTCGGAAAGGAAGCTGCGAGGGAGGGATAAGCCAGCTTGCGCGGCACCCGGGTCTACCCTAACTCGATAACTCCCAATCCAGAACGACATGTTGATCCGGGAAACTATCCGAACGTAGGTATGGTATGGTAGGTACATGCGGGCTACCTACCTACCTACCGCTATAGCAACACGGCGCCTCTCTCGATTACGATCATGTTTGGAAAGATACGAAGGATGAGGTCGTAGCGTAAGTAGCGTTTTACTTTATGTACATGGCCTGTACGTAGATGGAGTGGCATGTTACATCGATACATGTCAGTCATGGCCTTGGTTAGCTTGGCTCCGTCCGGTACACTACACTACCACTACCACTACCACTACAGTACCGGTACATACATACATACGAAGATCCTTCCATCTTTCCAATCCACCACTACCACCAACATCAAACGCTTGACGCGATAATTGCGGCTCAAAAACCTTCCCATGCACACCATGCGGCTGAAACCCACTTGCTTGCTTGCTGCAGCTACCGCATCGCGAAACGAGCATCTCGGTGGGGAGGGCGAAGCGGAAGAGAGGAAGTGGAGAAAAAAGGCGGAGACTGTAAGGATGCAGATGCGCGGCGGCGGTACAGCAAAACAGTGGAGGCAGGCAGGCAGGCGGGCGGGCGGACTGAGGGAATCATCATGGCGGGGCGGTGCGGTGCGGTTGCATGGATGTGTGAAGATACGGTATTAGTTAGTGCTTTAGCACAGTCTATACGAGGCTGTTTAAACGATGTTGCCGCGATGAAAAATGAACAATCTAGTTGAGATGCCGAAAATGTCACAAGTGCGTTGCGTTGCGTGCGTGCGGTCGGCGACCACCATGATGGCCCAAACTTTCACACACAATCACACATCACATCACACGAAAACAACGGGGTGGAAGTAAGTAAGTGGTAAGCAGTGACCGAACCTCGCAGCGACCTAAGCGCCGAGAAGTTCCGATCAAAAAAAGGCGCAAAAGAGGCCATCTGATAGCATTAACGAAGAAAGCCAGCCAGCCAGCCAAAGCGCTCAGGCTCGTTTTAGTTACCCTCCTCAGCACAACCTCGCCTAAGCCCAATCAAGAAGATGAAAAACATGCCTAAGAATGAATCCGAGCCAATCAAGTCTGACAAGTGACCCTTTGGCTGGCGAAAGCTGCACAACAAAAATGTGACCATGTGACCACGGGTCGCAGAAACGGCCGCGTTGCCAAGACTGACAACGCTGGAAAAAACCAAGGAAGATACGAGGAAAGAGGAAGGAAAAAAACAGGCTGGTATCTCGAAGGGAAACAAAGGTGGGTTTGTTGGGAAAGGGAAGGGGACGGTTGCTGGGAGGAGGGAAATGGGGTAATAGGGAATATTGGGAAGGGGTAGAGATGAGGAGAGAGAGGAAAAGTTAGTTATGATAGGAAGCCAAACAAGTGCAGCAGAAGCGTCTCTTTCAATAAGAACAACAAAAAGGTCTTTCTCAATCATCAACATCGCCATCGTTATCGTCTCGCTCGCTCGCTCGCTCGCTCATCCTCCTCGCAATGCCAGATAAATAAGAAGAAGAAGATAAAACAATAAAATATGCTGCCAATCTGTTCGTCTTTCTTTCTCTCATGCCATCATATACAAGTGTTTCGTCGGTTACATGTGGTCCCATAAATCTCTCATTCTCGTGGTTCAACGTGAAAGGAAATCCAAACGCTCGCTACGCTTTGCAAAAGATCAAAAAAAAATCCAAAAGAAAACAAACAACAAATGGGGCCGATGGCGGGGGGCATGATAAGTAATACCCCACCAGCCAGGCACGTCGCTAATCAATTTGATGCCGTAAGGGAAAACCCAATAGAAAGAAAGAAAAAAAAGAGACAAAAAGGTATGGTCAAAGTCGTGAACCAACGGTCTCCGACAGGTGTGGGAAGAAAACAACCGCCATGCGATGTAGGTAACCAGGAACAAGGTAGTTACCCGAAATCGACGTTGCCGTCCCAGAGTGTACAAGACAACTGGCAAGGCCAGAGCGTTTGGAGAAAAGAAATGGCGATGACTCATCAAAGAGTACCAGCCGGACCGTGATGCAACTTGTGTCCCTACAGGCGCCCCCCTGCAAGAAGGCTGCAAGGGGGGCAGAAGTGAAGCGCTATGCTGATAAATGACTTATGCAACTTAGGAAACGAACATAGGAGAGGTGTTGTAGTGATGGTGGTGGTGGTCACCAATGTGGGGGGCTATTTAGCCCATGTTCTCGACCTTGGTACCCTCGGATGTACCGGGGCGCGACATGGCAGCAGACTCTTCGACGATACGCTTGAACTCGTGGACAACCTCGGGGGCGATCTTGTCCCAGAGCAGACTGCGGGTGTAGATCTCAGCAGCAGAGTCACCCTTGCTTTGCTCGCGCATGGCGGCGAGGGTCTCGGCAAGGTTGCGACGGTGCGAGGGTTGAGAGCCAGGGGACAGAGGGTCGCTGAGGTCGTCGCTTGAGACGCTATACCGCGAGCGAGTGAAGTCGAGAGAGGTCATGCTGTTGTACTGGTCGGGAGTGATGGAGAAGAGCTGCTCGTGCTCTTGCTCCTTTGTGGGGCCAGTGAGATGCGAGTGGAGTTGGTCGAGGGAGCCAGAGATGCCAGCGAGTTCAGAGCCAGACATGGTCGTCTTGGGCCATGCCATACCAGAGGGAGTAGGCTCCATGCCGACGACGTGGTTGGCAATGAGGCCTTGCTCGCTGAGGGTAGTCGAGACACCAGCATCCTTGAAGATGCTGTCGAGAACAGTAGCTGAGGCAGCACGGACCTCATCAGGCATGCGAGGGATGGGAGGAGCGGCACCGCCGGACTTGCTTGCGACAAAGGCACCGCAGAGCAAGAGCATGAGCAAGAGACCAGAAGCGACGGGCTTGTCCTCGTCCTTGGTGCGGGACACAAGAGAGAGCTCCTGGTTCTGCTGGGGAGTGGGCTGGTCGTCAGAGGCGAAGTCGTTGACGAAAATGTAGTTGTCCCAGTCGCTGTTGCCCATGTTGAGGTTGTCCATCTCTGAGGCGAAGTCGGTGAAGGTGGTGCTTGGTGCGACAGCCATACCGTTGCCGGTGGCAGCCTCAAGACGCTCAGTGAGGACGGAGACCTTCTTGCGGAGCTCACCAGTCTCGACGGTGTGAGTGCGGACAAGCTCCTCCTTGTCGAACTGCAGCTGGTTGACGAGGTGGTGCATCTCCATGGACTCGCGGTGCCAGTTCTCCTTCTCGGCGACGAGAGCGTCATACTCGATGCGCATGGCGGCAAAGTCGTCTTGCATCTGGCAGATCTTCTCCATCCATTGCTTCTTCTCTTCCTCGAGCTCTTCTGTGTGCTTCTTCTTGCGTTGCCGAGAGTCAAGTCTGTCATGAGGTTAGCTGATGCACAATGGGGGAGATCATAGACCAAAAGGTAGATTGGACCAAACGTGGAGCGTGGAACCAAGAACCAAGAGGCAGTACGTACGCGGCCTGTCTGTTGCGAAGAAGTCGTTTTTGTTGCTTGAGCTCCTTGAGCTCCTCCTCGTTGGTGCAGCTCTGGATCAGGTGATCGATGTTGAAGAGGTTGCGCTCTTGGGGGATGTCGAACCGGGCGTTCTTCTTCCTGATGCCGCCGTCACGGCGGGGGGAGAAGGAGCGGGGAGGCGTGTTTGGCCTCATGCGCTTGGGGCCGGGCCGTGCGTCCATCTCCTGCTGGTTGAAGGCCATCCAGTCGGAGTGGGTGTGCGGGGACATGGGCTGCTCTGGGGCCGAGGGGAAGACGGCGCTGGGACGGACGTTCTGGTGGACGGGAAGACCAAAGGGCATCTGTTGCTGGTCGACAAACGAGGCAGCACCAAAGTCACCAGGGCCAAAGGGGTTCAGCGGCTTGGGGGCCGTGGGCGTCCTTGATCCAGAGTTGTCGGTCACGGGCCATGACTGCTGGCCGTAGGTGGCAGCTTGGTTGGGGGGTAGGCGGGCAAAGGGGTTGTTGCTTTGCTCAGTGAAGAAGGGGTTGTTGCCGTTTGTGTTGACGACGGAGCTGGTGGCAGTGCGGTCGACAAACTGGGGGTTTGAGGAAAAGTCCTCCCAAATGGACGTGTCGGGCGAGAAGATGCCCTGGGTGCTCGAGGTGGGCGACATCAGGACGGGTGTGTCCAGGATGTTGGAGTCGAGAGTGGAGTTGTCGTCAAAGGAAAAGGCAGAGGGTTTCCTGTCGAGGGAGTTTAGTGTCGAGTTTGGCCGGAAGTCCATGTGATTTGGGTTGTTGGGGTACGAGTGGTCCATGGCGGACGCTGACTCTTGTAGCAAAGTACCGGTGTGGGCTTTAGACTGGCGGTGTGGATTGCCCGTTTCGGTAATGGTAATGGCAGGATGGTCCTAGTGATGGTACGTACTCAGCTTCTTCAAAGGTGATGGTGATGAAGGCAAAAGGCAGAGGCAGAGGCAGAGGCAGGAACAGGAATCGAAGCGCGTCCTGTCAGCGAGCGGAGCGTGGTAGCGGTTGATGATGGCAGGGTGGTGGTGGTGAGATAGGGCTTGGGGATGGGGGGCTTAAAGGTGCGCGGTGGGCTTGGGGCGGGGTGGATGGCGCAGAAGCCTGCTTGTTAGAGCGACCGGGGGTCACGCAGCCGTGGGATGCATCTGGGCACGAAACACGGCCATTGCATGCGATAGGACGCCCCAATGGCGTCGGGTATTGATGCATCATTCCAGCATCCGCTGCAGCAGCGACTGGCTGGGGCTGTCCTGTCAAGCCCGCCATGGCCCATTCACCCTCCGCACTGATGATCCAGTGTTTGCCCTGGCTGCTGGCCCGCCGCCCGTCTGCCTGAGTGATGGTCTGCCGTTTGTCGCGCCCGCTAACTGTGACGGCTGGCGCGCCCGTACCGTATTATTGTCAACTAAACTGCCTGTCACCCACCTGCTCCCTCCATCACCAGGTGGTACGACACGGCCGCGATGACTGGCTAGCTTGCGGTGCGGGCCGTGTGCTGCCAAAGCCAAATGCCGCCGGAGTCCATCCATGGCCATTCGTCTAAATGCCTATACCGACCTGGGCCGCAGCCGTGAAAACTCTGCTCGATGCAGTCAAGATGGGACGATGCGCGCTTGTCGATAGGGCCCTCCCGCGACGCGGGTCCTTGTGTGCTTGTGCTGAGCCTCCGCGTCTTGCGACTGTACGGTATTGGTATCGAGAATAACTGGGCCATGTAACCATCACCACTTACAACCCATCTCGACGGCAGTTGCCCTGTCACCCGACTCTTGCGCCGCACTACTTTCGTAAGCAAGGTGAGCCCTCTCGGCCGTCCTTTTGCGACTTGATCCATCATTGCAGATTGTGTCATCTGTCCACCCCTCCGCCTACCTTTGGCGTGCACGAGTCATCTCACCGCTCTCTTGCGCGCAACAGGCCCTCTAACCCCATTTGGCCCTCCCACCTCCACTCCCGTACTCTTGTGGCCGCCTCTCATTATCGTGAGGGAGCTACCATGGTACGCCGTGCAAGGTCCCAAGCGCCCGTGTCTGCTCCATCTGGCCGGATTCGTTGCGTGCGTGAGCCAGATGAAGAGACAAACATTACAGCCACAGCCTGCCCCCGTCACTGTGCCACAGATGAGATCCGACAGCCTCTTTCTACCGAGTGGCCGGGATCCCATTAGCTGGAGATGGAGCGGCGCAGCTCATTGGCCGCTTACGGGCTGAAGCCATGCTTGCTCGTCGTCGTATGCTTTTGCTTCTGCCGAGCAACCGCAACATCAATCGGACAGTCTGTGTCGTTGCGTAGTCGTAACCAACCTCCACCAACAAAATTCAAATACAATCTCATCGACTTCCTTCTCCTCTCCGACCACTGCCGTAATGGCGTAATGGAGCCTCGCTATGGCTCCCGGTGCACCCTGCCCGCGCTGCCTAACGCATATCGCGGCTACCTAAGACATCCATTCCCAAGCAGACATGCAGAAAGTCAAAATGGCGTCGCACCAAATGAGGGCGCCGTCACTCGGATGCGGCAAGGCGCCTGCATCTGCATCCAGTCTACGTCTGCATCCGCATCAACCGTTGCTGTTGATCCTCTCTATCATGGCGCGTACCGTGGCACGCCAAAGTCGGCGTCACGGCAGGGACTACTACTGTATGTCAAAGTCCGATGCCCCACTTGATGTACTCGGATGCTTCCGAATTCTCTACCCTGAGACGATGGCTTCCTTGACCGGCATGCATCACCACCTGTCAATGCACCAGAATGAGACAGACGTCTACAGAAACACATTGAGGCCCAACTACCAGGGCGCATAACATAATGGCCCCGATCCAACCTTTGACTAATTGTGGTTGCCAAAAAGGTGAGGCTGTAGCGGTGAAAGAGCACCCTAAAGTTCCACTATCCGCATCCGCGCTATGCCCCAGCCACTAGAATACACATGGAGCGGTTATTCTTGTCTCTTCGTATTTCCCACAATCATGGCCCTCTTGGCGGCGGATTGCGAGAATACACTTGTTTTTCACCATGCATGAGTCACTCACCTACTTCTCCGCAATCGGTACCAAAACTAATCTTACCAAACCACCCAAATCTCACAGTAATCGGCTGATGGCGGCAGCCAGTACTTTTGCTCTATTATAGTGCATTCTTGAAACACTTCGCGGATGCGGACACGCTTCCAATTGACCCTCTGACATTGCTAAGCTAGACCGCCCGTGGCCAAGTATCGTCCTTTGCAGACTCTGTCTCGATGTCGATCATGTTGCGGTGAAGAAAGACTTTGACCCTGAATGTCCCGGCAATGAGATCATCGCGGTGGAGAGACATCACTCTCCCTTGCTGCAGCAATGGAGGTGTGTTTTAGAATTATGGGTAAGGAAGGGGACCCGGGGCCATGCTACCGGCGAGTGGGTAACAGCAGCATGCCTTCTCTTGTGTGACTAATGCCGAGACGCGTTATCTCGACGCGTGCGTGTTTGCCCGTGGCCGCCATGAGTAATACTTCCTCGGCCGGATCAACAGAACGTGCAATTCACACTCCAGCCTATCGGCGCATATAGAAATCAACAGCGCAAAGCGCGCAAACAAACATGCAGCAGTGAGTCAGACGAGAAAGGAGAAGGTTCGTGAAGGATTGGAGTTGAAGGGGAACGCTGTACACTGTTTGTTTGCGTGACGTAGTGTGAATTCGTGACTCCACGCGCTTGGGAGTACGGGGTATCGTGGTTGAAGCTATGGACGTTCTATGTTCAACTTCGGCGCAACGGGGGAAGACGAGGAGCACTGACCTTGGTGATTCCTTTCAAACTCGTGCTCTTCACCTGCTTCGTGCTGCATGCATACAGCGGCGCGTCGTCAACTGGCATCGGTCATATCGCCTGTTTGATCACTTCGGCCTCATATGCCCCCGTTATCGTCTCTTGCCCACAACTTCACGGATCGGTCTTTTCCACCACTGACGATCCATGAAGCATCGCTCGTTACATCTGTGCTAAAGACCGGCCCCGAGTGACCAGACAGAGTCTTGCAATGCGCCCAGTCGTCCGCTGAGAAGATCTGAATGTTCTTGTCGAATCCAGATGAGATAACAAAGGTCGACGCTTTCTTTGGGATGAGATCGCCCTGGTCGTTTTGTTGAAGTGGCACACCGCTCGCTGGTCCATCGGTGCCTTTGTACCATCGCAGATCTGTGACACCTCCAGTGTTCGCGGCGATCGAGTTGGTTTCTCTCATCGCTCGAACATCCCAGCACTTCATGAAACCGTCACCTGATCCAGAGAGTAGGCGATGGCCATCCGTGGCCCAGTCTATGCTGTAGATGGGTTTGATATGACTTTCCAACATGTAGATGACGCGGCCGGTACGCACATCCCAAACACGGCCAATACTGTCCAAACCGGCAGTTGCAATCAGGGACCCATCACCGTTGAAGCTCACAGCGTAGACCTCTTTTGAATGACCCTCCTGCATGAGAAGTTCCTGTCCAGTGTTCACGTCCCAGAGACGCCATGTCGTGTCGTCGGAAGCTGAGGCCAAGTATCGACCTGATGGGTGGAACGCTACTCGACAGACACGATCGGAATGGCCCTCTAGGGTGCGCACGGGTTTGTCGTCATCCAGGGACCATAGCTGAACCTTTCCACCAGCTCCACCAGACGCAAAATTCACACTCGAAGTCGAGACGTTGCTGCCATCGAGTGTCGCACCTGGCATCCAATCTATACCCGTTGTGCGCTCAGTATGCCCGCCCCTATAAGCCTTTTTGGGTTCCATGCTAGGGATCTCCAGCAGCGCAACCTTGCCACCCCAAGTGCCATATGCGACATATTTGCCATTTGGTGAGACGCGTACAATGCTCACTGGGCGATCTGCGGTTTGCGATCCGTACAGCTCGAAGCCTTTCAGCCGGTCCTTGATATTATTGCGGAATTCGATGTGGGTTTTGAGTGGAATGGTAGCTTCGCGACGCTGGTATGCGACACGTTCCTTTGCGCGCGGTAGAGAATATTTTGCCATGTCTCGCCGTGCGTCCAGCAGTGCTTGGGTACCTTGGGTGTAGAATTCTTCCTGTTCATCGCCAGCCCCCTCTTCTGCATCTTGCATTTCAACATCCGGTGCATCTTCGCCAAGTGCCTCAGCAGCCGCGGCAAGCAGAGCTCGAAGTCGGTCGCGGCGCTCCGAAGGCCCTTCGCCGAATAGTGTAATGGGTTCCCCCCGTGCACGTAGCCTGGCCTTGACGTCGCGATCGGCAGTTGGCACAATTAACTGGGCGGCTCGTCGTTTGCGATCAAAATCCTCCATGAGCGACGAGGCCGACGCGTTGCCTCCACCAGGCATGGCATGGTTGCGGTCGAGCGCTATACGCGTTAGTAACTTGCATTCAATGGATGGGTTGTACCTCTATACGTACGGACACTGGCAAGGTCAATTCCTTCCATAGCATTGTCCTATATGCCCCTGTCAGTTTGTACACATAGAGAAGCTGTTGCGCCTGGGCAGATAGCTATGCAGCACGTGAAGCTCTCTTGCCAAATCCAGGATATATGAATGCTGGGTACTTACCGCGCCATCCTCTTCCTCGACATAAGCCTGTCGCGCTGGGTGCATGCTCATCTTGTCTGACTTTCAACTATGCGCAAGGTTGCTAGAGCTTGTGGGGTTGCATCTCAAAGAGAAGTTCCGAGCCAGACACGGGTTTAGGCGATAGGGCTGAACTAGCGTCGGTTATGTCATACTCGGCGTTTGGGAAGACACCTCCAGCGTTTGGCCAAGCAAGAGCGAAAAGGAACAGATCTCAATAAGACAATGCGTGGTTTTTGATTCTCGTTTGCGTTTGTAATCTTCTATCCATCCCAACACCTTGAAAGTATGCATGTGCTCAATGTAATTGTAAGTCCCCCCACCGCTCCCTGGAACTAGCCGATCGGCAATGACGACGGCCAATGTGAATTCTTAGCCCAAAAGTTCCTTCTCATTTCAACGTCGTCTTGTCGCAAAGGTACGACACCGCCAATATGCCCTCCTCTCACTACCACATTCTGCTGCTGCATTGCCCGCGTACTGATCCCTAATCTCTAGGCTTGGGCTGTGGCCATGTCATTTGCCATCACCAACGCGGCGGGTCTTGCGCGACTTGGACCTGTGTCGCGACGCGCCTCTTCTACCACTGCTTTCTTGCTAAGCGCTCTTCATGCCGCGCCATATATTGCGCCTGCCTCAGCAAGCCAAACCACGGGCCTCCATTCTCAGCATACGCCTTCCCACTACGGACAGCCCACCTGCCCGCTGAACAGAGACACGTCCCCGGCCAGCGTCGGCTTGAGGTCATTTCACTCCACATCACACAACTGGCGGAGTACGCCGCAATATAGCTACCATGTTGCGGCATCGTATTCAGCCAAACAGGACAACTTCGACGCAGAGCAAAACCTGTACACACAGCCAGTGCATGACCCGAGCAAAAGCAAGATTGAGGATGTGCGCGAGTGCAAGGAATTGCTTGATAAGCGGAAACGGGCAAGGAGCGGACAGGATGCCTTCTTCTTTAGCCAGGTGGGAAACACGAATACCACGGCATTCGGTGTAGCAGACGGGGTGGGAGGATGGGTCGAGTCCGGGTTGGACCCCGCCGACTTTTCCCATGGATTGTGCGAGTACATGGCTTGCGCTGCGCGCTCCTGGCCACACGGATTCAACACGAGCTCGTTACACCCGAAGGATCTGCTACAAGTTGCGTACGACGAGGTTACGGATGACAACAGTATTGAGGGCGGTGGCAGCACCGCTTGCCTGGCCATCGCAGAACCGGATGGCAACGTCGAGGTGGCCAATCTGGGGGATTCAGGATTCATGCACCTGGGCCTGAATGCAGTGCGACATTTCACGCAGCCGCAGACGCACGCCTTCAATACCCCTTATCAGCTCTCCAAGACCCCTCAACGCATGCTCGTCCAAATGGCTGTATTTGGCGGCCCATCCACTCTCTCGGATCTACCCAAGGAGTCGAGTGTCACCCATCACAAGGTGCGCCATGGGGACGTCCTCGTGTTTGCAACCGATGGTGTATGGGATAATTTGAGCCCACAAGATGCGCTAGGCATAGTCAGCCGTCACATGGTAGATCTGGGCGCTTGGGTGGAGAAGGACGGCACGCTCGAAGTCGGACACGATCTAGCTAAGCTGGTCCAAGCTGACCCTAAGCGCAAAGCCGACAGCTCATCGCTCCAAGCAAAGGTGGCCGTTGCCATTGCAAAAGAAGCAAAAGTGACTGGGCTGAACACTCGCCGGGATGGCCCTTTCGCTAAGGAGGTGCAACGATATTACCCCGGAGAAAACTGGCATGGCGGCAAGCCCGATGACATTGCTGCAGTGGTAGCTGTCGTACTTGAGGAAGCCCCTCAACAAGCAAAACTATGATGATTTACACAAACGGACGTCTTGTTTGGCTGCATGGGTAGGCGAAGGCGTTTTTTAGGAGAAGACTTTGAATCGGAATCGGGGTATGACTGCATGAGTACTATTGTAGCGCCACCTGGGGTAATCACTCACGTGCTGGTCTGGATAAGGATGAGGGGTGAAACGGGTCCCCTTGGACATGCATTACCGCTAGACGGGTTTACGATATTTTGGTTAGTTGGTTATCAGTGTTGCATAATGCCAAACGTTTGCTTCGTCTTTTCAAGCATTGTGCTATGTTGGAAGTGTGGTCAGAGGCACTTTCTACACATACACTATAAGTGGTGAGCGGGTTAGCTCTATGTCGTAGACGGTGGAAGTGTCACAAGACATTACTCTGACCAAGATTTATATTAACAGGCGTGAAGTTGAATTAGCCCACGATGCAAATGTGTACTTTCGGAACATGTTCTCGTCAAGGCCGACTTATCAGAGGCACGTTCTCTTTTATTTGAGAGACACTCTCTACACCCGTATACTTGGGACGGTAGTCTCATTGGGCGCACGAGTTACGCATGTGTCTTCATTGTTGAGATTATGTTGCACAGGGAAGTAGGACAATCTTTTTACTCTACTACTAGCTTTATGCCGAATGCTATTTTTAATACTCATTTCACTCTAGATGCTGTTGAATTGCATGTGTCATGGGGTCGTGTTGGAGACTACCATGGAGGATGAGCTACTACTACTGGGTCTATTCTAGCCCGAACTGATCTCAAAACGAGTATGCAGGCTACATAGAGGATGAGGGGAGGGAGTTTCTGTAGTGCGAAAGAGGAAAAGACTACAGGGTTCTGATAACAGCAGAGCACTGGGAAGACGTTGTTGTAGTTGTCAAGGTATGGGCTGAGAACTGTCATTAAGCAACCGCGGTACCATTAGCCACAAGCCAACAGCAATTCAATGTCATCGAAAATCTCTAGGTCAACCATCTCATCTATACCGTGAAACCAACTTGCGCGAAACCAAGCAGGTTGAGAATTGACACCTGGGCATGTAGTCTTGAGGTTAGTGTTGCCAAGACCCTTGTTTGTTTACACATACACGGTAGTTGCCAGGCAACGCAGCGCGCGCGAACCGGGATTGGCTGGCGTTGCTGAACACCCAAACTCAACCACGGCCAGCGCATCACTACGATAAACAGCCGCTCAGCTTTTGGACTTCATGAATGCGCAACTAACCATACAGCAAACAATCGCTATCCTCACCGTCCACCGAACACGTATATAGCGCCGCGCGCACTCGGAATCATCGCAGCACTCAAATGTCTACCGCGTCGCCCACGCCGCTAGGCGGATCCTCCTCATATGGGCGCATGCGTGCGCAATCTTCGATAAGACCCCGGAGAGACTCCCCACTATCAGTATTGGGTCAGTCTCAGGGCTTCTCTGCGGACGCGCCCATGTTGCAAAACATCGAAATCGACAGCTCCGACGACGAAATTCCACAGCCCATGAAGCTCAGCGCTTTGACAACTGCGCTGCTGGCACAAGGCAATGACGTAGACTCGCCTGAGAAGCGGAAACCAAAGCTCAAGATATCGCGCAATACCTCCCCAGGCTCAAATACACCAGGGCAGGACTCTGTGACGCCTGCACCCAGTCTGCGAATCAAACGGGTACCACTTCGTGGTGCACCCATGAGGAGGTTACGGAGGACTCCCCAGAGCGAAGAAGAGAATGCTCCCTCGCAGGATCAGGAAAACCAGCCCATCTCCGTCAAGATGCAACCGGAAAATGTACCGGATTCCGTGTTGAAAGCCACTGGTTCAGTCATGAAGGTTGCAGAGGATCGCAAGCACGTACCACAAGAGTATCAATCACCCATACAACGATCGTCGCAGCAACAAGAGAAGCATATGCCACTACAGGCACTGAGTGCGAACACCCCTCGCAGACCAGCACCACCGCCACCGCCGAAGATGTCTGTGCTGGAGACAGCGACAGCTGCTGCAGGAGCTGCCACCACAAAGACGAGGGAAAGAAAGAAAAGAAGCACGCTATCAGTCAATGGAAAGCACTATTCGCAAATGGACAGAATAGGAAGAGGAGGAAGTTCAGCAGTCTACCGCGTCATGGCCGAGAATTTCAAGCTCCTAGCACTGAAAAGAGTCAAGCTCGAGGATGCCGACGAGGCGGCTGTACGAGGCTTCAAGGGCGAGATTGATCTACTTCAAAAACTTAAGAATGTGGACCGAGTTGTTCGACTTTATGATTGGGAGGTAGATGAACAACGGCAGGTTCTCAGTGTGGTATGTCTACATTCTATTGAAAAAAAAAGCTTAAACTAACGTCCTATAGCTCATGGAACTTGGTGAATCTGACTTGGCCCGCATAATACGAATGAAGCTTGACGCTGCCGATGGTGATGGCAAGCTAGACCTCAGCTTCACACGCTACTACTGGAAAGAAATGCTCGAGTGCGTAGGCGCAGTACACGACCACGACATTGTACACTCCGACCTCAAACCCGCAAACTTCCTCCTCACCTCAGGCCGCCTCAAGCTTATCGACTTTGGTATCGCCAACGCCATCGAAGTTGACCATACAGTAAATGTACACCGCGACTCCCATATCGGCACCCCCAACTACATGTCCCCAGAATCCCTCGAAGACTCGGCCGGTGGCGCCCGCGGCCTCCTCAGCAATGGCAACGGCTCCAAAGACATGGCTCTCGGTAAACCCTCGGACGTCTGGAGTCTTGGCTGCATCCTCTACCAAATGGTCTATGGCCGCCCCCCCTTTGCGCACATCACCAACCAAATGGCCCGTGTCCTCGCCATTGTGAACCGCGACTACGAAATCGCCTTTCCCGACCTCGGCGTTGGTGAAGTCCGCGTCCCACCCGGCCTCAAAGCAACACTCCGTCGCTGTCTCCAGCGAGACCCCGCTCGCAGACCCAATATCGCCCAGCTCCTCGACCAAAGAGATCCCTTTCTCTACCCGGATGGAGGCGATGATTTGCGTATCCCACAGGATTTGCTCGGCCAGATTATTCAACGGGTGGCAGACCGCTTTCGCGATCCTAATAAGGCGCCGCCTACTGATGATGAAATCCGTCAGTATCCTGCGAGCTTTTACGAGAAGATACGGCAGCTGCTGGAATCTGACCCGTAGATCTCTTGTAATCCGGGGTTTCTTTGTATTTACCCCTGCTTCTCTTTTTTGTTCCTTTGGCGGAGGCGTTGTGGCGAGGCTTAAGGAGGGGAAACAGGGCCTTTTTTCCTCGGACCCCCTGCTTTTTTGAACTTACGATTGTTATGAACTTGTTATTGGTTTTTGGTTCTCTTTGTTGGCTTTCTTCTTACCTTTACTATTTTCGCCTTTTTTGGTGATATCCCGAGCGTTCAAGCGATTTCCCTTTGTCGTACCAAAACCGGCGCTGTTGCTTTTCTTGGTTTAATGAGTCTTACTAAGACACTTTTATGATATTGTGGAAGAGGCCTTTTCACGGTTTGTCAATTGTATATACCCGTGTCAAGTACCTGATTTGGTTGAAAAGATTGACTTAACTCCATTACCCATTGTCGTCCTGTTTGACGTGATTGTGTTCCCATATTGTACACATTCGCAGATGCTCCATGACCCAGTAAGATGAACCCTAAACCAAACTCCAAACCCAACCCTTCACCAACCGTCACCACATTAGACATATAGTCTTATGTGATGATGTGATACCGTATTGTACAGCTTAGCATATACGTATGCTCATCCGTACTAGTATTCCCATATTGTACAGATTAACACGACTCCAAACAATAGAAAGATGAAACCTCAACATCGACCCCTTCACATATCACCACCACACCAGACCTACACCTTAACCACAATCCTCACATCTCCCCTTCCAGCTGCCTGAAACACCCCTGACATGTCCGCCAACAGGCTCTGCCCCACAACTCTAACGTCACTGCCAAACCACAGCAAGACCACCTCTTTAAGTCCCCTCAGTCCAGCCAAACCCGCCAATTCATTGGTGAACCACGGCTGCAATCCCACCCCAGGGATATCGCCCTCCCTATACACGGCGAAAGCATCCGCATCAATCTCAACTTTGGTGATCTTGTCCGCCTTCTCCCTCGGAAGACGAGTCAACACCAACTCGAGTACTTGGTCCGCGAATCCCGCAAACACATTGCAGGTGAACGGCACGAAGCAGGCCTCCGAGTTCACTTGGCTGCAGACCTGTAGGAGGCGCAGTTGGCGGTTGGAGTAGGCCCAGCGGCCGTAGAGTCGGTGCTCGCGGTAGGGGCGGATGGGTGCCGTGTGGAACACATAGTCATAGATCTTGAGGCGGAGCTCAGCAGGGAGGCGCATCAGGGGCGATTTATCCTGATTGCGCTTGAAGCTGAGTTCAATTTGTGGTTAGTAGGTGAGCTTTGGAGGGGAAGAGGAAGATCGCAGGGGGAAGATCGCAGGGGAAGAGCACAGTGGGAAGCACGCAGGGGAAGGAAGGTTAGTTACATCTCTGCCTTTCGCTGTTTAAGCTTCTCTTGTTCTTCCTCAGGTGTCAGAAGTGGCTTCCGCTGCGGAACTGGGACCACGCCGTACTCCTCCCATGTCAGTGTACGGCGCTCGCTCGCTGTTGATGCGCTTGGTGTGGATGCACTCATGGTGGCTGGTGAGTAATGTGCCGAAGAAATCCAGGTTAACGGGACAGAAAGGAAAGAGTTGTGAGTTGATATGTTGGTGTCTTATTCCTGGAGAGCGGGGCAGAAGAGAAGATATGTCACTTGGGAAGGGGCGGTCAAGTGAGCGGCGAGTGAGCGGCAGAGCACGTGGGATAGTTGACGAGTGAGGGCGTTTAGGAAGGAGCAGTCAGAACGGCAGCAAGAGCACACGTGGTAGTACACAAGTGAGGTTGTTCGAGTAGGAACGCTTGGTAAACGGCAGAGCATGCCGGGTAGTAGACAAGTGAGGACGTTGGGGAACGGGCTGTGGGTAAGTAGCGCAAGCGTGTGGGGTCCACGAGGAAGGCGCCATAATGCATGTGCATGCCATTTTATGTACGAAAAGGGGAAAGCTCAGGTCTATTGGCTGGGAAGCTCACGGTTGCGAGTTTGAGGTGAAAACGACAAAGTTTGGCACGGAGCTTTGCTCCGAGATAGACGGCATAGTATCGGCATTACATTCAATAGTGGGATACTGATCTCAGAAGATGGCTATATGCGGGCATAGGCTCGTTGAATCAGCTTCGCTAAATCAGCTTCAAATCTTGAAGTATGATAGAAGCAGTAGTTTGTAAGGTTGGTACATGCTACGGATGAGGGCACTGATCCAACATAGCCTTGACGTCATATGGAGGACAGTAGACTCCGCAACAATCAATTCAATCCGGTCACTCTCCTAGACCCACTTACCTATCTAGGTAGGGCTTAAACTCCTATAGGTAACTACTAGGCTTAAAGCGGTAATCAATCAATCCAATCTGAACCTTCTAGGACCCACTTAATTGATTGTTGCGGACTGTGGAGGACAGCAAACGCATCCATTCAACAGAAGATGCCCAGAAATCGCGGAGATGCTTAGACACGAATGTATCGCATTGATCATGCAAGAATTGAACAGCGTGGTAGGAACTGGGAGTAAGAAGATGTCATGGTGTTGTTTGCAATCGATTGCGTGATAGTGAAAGGAGACTTGGCAAAATCAAGTCTGGTACACTTAACAACTTCCTTCAAGCCACCCACATTTTATGCACATTGTTAACTACGGGCTAAAGTAACGATGATAATGTATCTTATTATTGTGTAGTGCAACTTGGAGAAATCATGTTTGGTACAATTGGCAACTTTTTTCAAGTCATCTCTCTTTCGTGCGCATTGTTCAGATACACTTAGCAACTTATTTTGAGTCATCTCTCTACATCCGAAAGTAATAACAACAGTGTATCTTATTATGCAGCGCATTTCATCATATAGCGTATTTCAGCATGTAGCGCATTTGCTAACCTACATGCTAAAGTGATGACAACAGCATATTTTATCTTGCAGCGCATCTCATCATGCAGCGCGTCTTAGTATGCAGCGCCTCTCATCATGCAGCGCCTCTCATTATGCAGCGTCTTTTAGCATGCAGCGTATTTGATCGTAGAGTGCATTTGATAGTGCAGTGCAACTTGGAGAAATCGAGTCCGGTAGACTTAGCAATCTATTTCAAGTCATCCCTGTTTTTATGTGCATTATCAACCTGCATGCCAAAGTGACAACACCAGTTTATTTTATCGTGCAGCTCTGTATATTGTGCACAGATGACAACTTTGATTTAATTCCTCATCTGCCTGCAATCTGTCAGTAGTAAAATCTCTATTCCTAAGAGTAAGCACTCAGCCATTGACTGCTATATGAACCCGTTAATTCGAGAACTCTTGCGTGAAATACCGGAAAGTCGAATTGCGTTACCACATACTTTCCCATAGACTTACGGGCTTAGTCCAGTCTCATGGTGACTGAGCAGGTATTCTCTTCTTGTTTTCACAGTCAAGATGCCCACTTTTATGTTATACTTGTTCGGAGAACTCTGTGAGCCAACTCTGTGAGCCAACTCTGTAGGTTTAGATACAGCAAGTGAAAGTTGCCGGATTCTATAATGTCTCCACTATGCACCTTGACAATAATGTCTGCTTCTGCCTTTCACCATACAAACTGCGAAACCTTGCCTGCGTCAACTCTTTTCCAGTGTGCACATAAGCTTAGGCTACCCACGCTCCACAGATTCGTCACCAGCTCAACACACAGGCACAACCAAAGTGAGGAACCAACCAGTCAAAATGTCGGAGTCTCATCTTACGCCTTACGAGCTGGCTACAGAGGAACGCAGGGCGATGGATGCAGTTTATTGCCAGAAAGTTACCAATAGCCCCCTGCTTAGTCTACCAGGCGAAGTTCGAGACCGAATCTACAGCCACTTGTGGCATGAGGAAGAGAAGATTGTCCCCTCTCCCCCCCACACGTTTGGGTTCCTCGCTCACCCTCAAAACCGACTCGCTATGCCGATGACGTGCCGTCAGCTTCAGTACGAGATAGCACATTTGCCCTTCACAGTTAGCACACTTGTAGGCAACTACCGTACCCTCGACTTTGCCCTGACAGATATGTTGACACCAGCTCAGGCAGATTTCATCCCAACCGTGGAGCTGGAGGTGGCCTATTCCTGGCTACCGCAGACGGCTCAAATCGCCCGCTCTTTGACATCCATTCTAGGGTGCTTGTGCGAGCTTCGTGATCTGAGGACGCTGATTTTGTTTCCAAATACTCAACTCATTAGTACCCGGAGCTGGAATAACTTTAGTCAGCATGTGCTGGCTGCTGTAGAGGAGGTATTTGACCACATTCCTGCAAGCGCGAAGATTGAGGTTGTGGTTGCATCTTGGGAAGATGTTAGGTCGCGGGCTTATGTACCGTAGTGTTGGGCAGCGGGGGGTGGCGATGTAGAATTTCTTCGGAGTTTCGCATTGGCAAGAGAAGATGCTAGGCTTTGGGCTTACACATCGAGGTAGTATTGGGCAGTGGATGTGGCGATGTAGGAGTTTTTGAGTTTCGCATTTGCGAGAGAAGATGTTAGGCTTCAGGCTTACACGTCGAGGTAGTGTTGGGCAGCGGATGAGTGAGATTAGCGGTTGTCAGGGCACCTAATGGTGGATTGCGAGAATGCGGTATCTATCCCATGAACAAGCAGTTTGTTTCTCAGCTTCTTATTTCATAGCAAGCTTCCTGCCTGTATAGGTAGAGGCCTTTTATCCGGTAGATTGAATGTCATCCTCTCTGTACCAAAGTTCCAGACCTTGATAATTTTAATGAGTCTGTGTTCGATTTCTATTACCTGAGCAGGAACGCGCGGGTAGAGAAGGCCGTGCACGGTCCACGTTTCTGGACCCTGCAGGATGCTAGATATAGTCACCGTACAATCAACAGCTCCCTCTCCAGACCACTCTGTCGCAAACCTTCTGAAGTTCAACTACTCAACCGTGCAACACCTAGGACAATGGAGACCCAAGTAGGGGACCAGCCTTTGCATCAACCGGCCACACAAACCGACTTCGAAGCTATCAAAATGCAGGACACCTATGACGCACTGTAAGTAAGAAGACTAGTAATCTTACAACTTCCCAGGCTGGCACCATTAAAACAGGACCCTCGAAAACCAGGTCAAGTGTCCAATCCTTCGCTTGCCCGGAGAAATTCGAAACAAAGTTTACGGATACGTCTTCGATGACGTGAAGATCAAACCGGGACCTTGGTACCAGAACCCTGTAACCAAAAAATACAGCAAGGACCTCTACGGCTCATATGGACTAGAGCTCGAGCAACGTTCCAAGTTCTTCAGAAACAAGCATCTGTGGTACCCTCGAGAGCGGTTGTCACTGCTGCAGACCTGCCGTCAAATCAACGCTGAGGCCAAGCTCTTCCCTTTCGCCGCAGGCACACTCCAAGGTGACGACTACTTTATCAACGATGTCATCTGGCGCGTGCCCTCGAAGGCTCAAGCCAATGCTATTACGACCGTAGAATTGGTGCGCCACTACCAGAGGAGGGCCTACCAGAGACAAGCTTACGTTCGTTTGCTCTATGATAGCGGGATGATGGACCAGGCTCTGCGGAAGCTGGGTGAGCTTCGTGGAGTAAAGAAGCTAGTATTCTGCTCATTACTTGAAGACATCGAGACTGAACGTTTGGACCATCACCGTGACCAGTGTTTCTTGCTGGTGGGTGAGGTGCTCTCAAAGACGTCTCGGGGTGCAGAGATTGAAGTTGCTATAACTCACTAGACTGGCAGCAGAAGTAGTGATAGGACAGCTTGATGGGGAGAGTGTTCATGTACAGTAGGCAACCAAATGCATACGGAATGAGGTGTTCTAAAATACAATTTTCTGTCAGATTACTTTTCACAATGGTGTATCTAGTCCTTCTTCATGATGGATTTGAAGTCCCAGTTATTTAGGTAGCCAGAGCCAATCTAATGACCATGTTAGTCTTTTCGATGCTGAAAACATCTACGAGAGACACTTCTTACACATAGGTATGTCGCAAAGCTGACCCAGCCAAGGTAGGGTGCGAGTAGCCAGCCACATACAGGATCGACTTGCCCCCAGACACTGGTAAGATAGGCAAGCGTCCCGCCAAGGGCAAGGATGTCAACCGACGCGGCAATGGGCTGACCTAGGCCGAAGTAAAGAGGTGTCCAGAGCAAGTTCAATCCGAGTTGGATGGAGTAGAGTGTCGCTCCATGCTGTGATATGTTAGACCATGTATTTTCTGGTATAGTATCAAGAATTTTACAAGAGCAAGAGAGACTGTATGAGGGTTTGCAGAAGATGCACCGGTTGTGTATGCACGATAGGCAGTGTAGCCCATGGTTGCATAGAGTGCGGTCCATACCGGGCCAAAGACGTAGCCAGGCGGATGCAGGGGAGGCTGCTTCAACGTCTTGTATTGTACTTGAGAGACACTTGCTGCAGAGAGGGGTTAGGTTGCCTTTGCTTCGATTGTTGCTTTCCACTCACGACTAATTGCAAAGCCAGTAGCTGTACCGCATACCACCGGCAATAAGATGGCCACTGCTGGATTTTCAAAGACAAAGCTAGGAAGGGTAAGGGAGGGTATGTAGCTTGTCATACTGTTTGCAATTGTGTCAAAGTAATTACAAAGTAAAAGGGTTCAATGAAAGCATTCAATGAAGTAGGAAGAGAAGATTGGTAACCTGATGTCGTGATGTTCTCGGTGCATCGGCGTTCCACCAGGGCACGCGTCGAATTTGACCCACTTTCCGTGCAGCCGTAGTGCAACGCTAACCGCGTCTCAGCCATCCTGGGGCTTCTCCAGCCTGCAGCGGTAGCCATCACCCTTCTTTCTGCCATCTCCATCTCCATAGCCATCTTTCTGGCCGGGAGACGCTTTAGCACATCGTGAGTGCACCACCTTCTCGTCCTTTAGCTACACCCAATTGTTCGTAACCCCTTCTCCCTCTTGTACGGCTATCTCGATAGCTCCCTATAGCTTTGTCCTCGTGGCCGTGCGCCTCGACCTGCCTCCTGCTACCTCTCTGACCTTCTCTTCTTGTGGCGCTGTCTCGTGTGTGATGCATCACCGCGGGCGTGCCATCCTCTTGTCACTTCTTATATGCCTCTTCTCCCTCGTTACTAATCGCGCCCCTTGCACGTCATCTTGTCCCTTATTTGTCCCCTCTCTGACACGAGCCATCATGGCAAACAGCTATCCGACGAGATTGCCTCTCGAGCACCGAATCGCACCTGTCGCTTTCTCCAGGCGAGATTGCGCGTCCAAGCCAGCGACATCTACGCGTCTTGCGCTCATGGTCAATCCCCCCGACTGCCTCGACACTACCTGAACACGACCGCCGTCTTGCGACTTTCAAACCTCTAGTTGGCCACATCTTATAAACCCGCGAATCTTCCACAATGGACTCCTACACGTACGACCATGTTGATGTCGATGCGCGCACATCGCTGACGGCTGGCAGTAGTGCCCGCGAGGATTCCAGGCCGCCGACCGACACGTACAGACGTCGTTCTCCAGGTAAGCTACCAAGTCTTTCTACTACAGTGATGTCCTATCCCCCCGTGAATCATCTTTGCGCGCATTGGTGCGATTGTGCCGTGCTCTCCGTTTGTCTCCCAAGCATCGCACTAGTAAAGAGTGACTGCGCAGACCACAGGACGCTTTTCGTCTTTTCGTCTTCTCGTCTTCTCCTCTTCACCCGCCCCTTCGCCCGACCTGAATACTGGATACTGGATACTGTTTGCTATACAGAGACTCTGCTAACATGCGCTATAAAGGTTCCGGAGATCGTAGGACTGGCAGGAGGCGATCGCGCTCACCCCAAAACATCGACCGATACCAGCCCGATCGCGCACGTGAATACGACGGTCCGCCTCGCCATGGCAATCGACGCCGATCCTCGCCCCCGCCGGTACAAGCTGGAATTGATCGATACGTGCCGGGCCAAGACAGCTTCGCGCCCACCTTCACGACGAACCCTGTCACAAATCCCATGCACCTTGAATACCAAGTCGGCTTCAACTACTTTGCTGAGTGGTGGCGCGTTGAGCAGCTCATGAAAGAAGAAAAAGAGCGCGCAAAGAACGGTGGCCGCAAGCCCGTTCTCAAAGGAGAGCGCGAAGCCCGAGAAGAGCGGGGCAAGGAGCGAGAACAGATCCAAGCCGCGTACGACGAGTACAAGGAGAAGCTGCAAGTGCAAATGGCCAAGACGTTTGTGGAGAAGCACAAGAACGAAGAGTGGTTCAAGGAGCGCTACGACCCAGACTACGACCTTGCCTTCAAGGAGAAGCTCCGTCAATACCGTCACGGCATCTACGAGGAGTGGGAGCGACAAATCGACGAAGGCTACTACGACGAGTTCACACTTGAGGGCATCTACAAGAATGACTCAAATGGCGCTGGTGGCATCGTGGAGAAAGAAGAGGGCGAAACCACGGCTGCCAACGAGGTTCTAGGCGTGGGCGACCTGCTACCCTGCAAAGGTGGCGAGATTCGCGACGAGACTGCATTTCAGCCTACGCTACTCATCAAGACAATTGCGCCTACTGTCAACCGCGAAAAGGTCGAAGAGTTCTGCAAGGAACACCTGGGCGAAGGTCCCGGTGGCTTCAAGTGGCTTAGCATGAGCGACCCTAACCCTCTCAAGAAGTGCCATCGCATTGGCTGGGTGATTCTCAACCCAAGCGACGAGCAGCCCATGGTTATTGACGATGATCGCGGCGATAGTCGGGATGAGGATGGAGAGCGCGCTGAGGAGAAGCATGATGTCAGCCAAGGCCCACAAAGCACTGCGCAGAAGGCTCTCGAAGCTCTTAACGGCAAGACCGTGATCGATGAAGTTCGTGGAAACTTCACGTGTCACGTTGGTATCCACGAGCCGCCTGCCGCCCCGCGCAAGAAGGCGCTCTGGGATCTGTTCTCTGCACCGGAGAGGATTGAGCGTGACCTAGAACTGGCAGAACGCTTGGTACGGAAGCTCGACTCTGACCTCAAGCAACACCATGAAGAGGAGTTTGCCAACATCGACGCAGTTAGCAAGATCGAACAGCGTGTCGAAGACTTGCGTTCGAAAGGCTGGCTTCAACCCCCGGCCAACGCCCCGGTGTCTCTCAAGAAGGAGCGCGACCCGGAGGAGCTGGAAGAGGGCGAGGACGAAACCATGGAAGATGACGAGGGTGCTCTCGACGATGAAGTTGATGATGAGGAGTTGCTGGTCAAGAAGAAGAAGCTCGATCTTCTGATTGAGTACCTGCGACGCGTATACAACTTCTGCTTCTTCTGTGTGTTTGAGAGCGACTCCGTTCACGAGCTTATCCGCAAGTGCGCTGGAGGGCATCTCCGCCGTCCACGCGCCAGTCTTACCACTGCTGCCAAGGCCACTGCGAGGGCCACTGCTCTAGGCGAGCTCTTCCCGTACCGGAAACAGGATGGTCCAGGCGATGCTGAAAACGGAGAGAGCGGTAGCCCTGTGCAAGAGAGAAAGCCGATGCGACTGAGCACCAAGAACCAACAGCAGCTTCAGCGAGCATTCAACTGGGTCAAGACATACGAAGAGAAGCTTCTTCAACTGCTGGAGCCAGAGAATGTCGACATCCGCAAACTCGGTGGCAAGCCTTTGGAGGAGGCGATTGAGGATGAGCTTTCCCGATACGTCAAGCAAGAGGATGAGTCCAAGTGGCGCTGCAAGGTCCCAGAGTGCACCAAGTTGTTCAAGGGGTCCCATTTCTGGCGCAAGCACGTGGAGAAGCGTCACCCAGAGTGGCTCGAGAAGTTACAGAAAGATGTAAGTGTTTGCATTACTACTCAAGAAGCTTTTGCTAATTCAAAACAGCTACGACTTGTGAACAGCTACGTCGTCGACCCTGCACACATTGCACCATCGAGGAGTGATGCCAATAGCAACGGCCACTTCCCTATGGGCAACCACGTGCAGGCAACGGGAACACCGCGGGGATTCAACTTGGCCAGTATGAACATGTCAATGGCAGCAAGCAACGGCATGCAGAACGGAATGCATCTTGGAGGCTTGTTCAACCCTGCCATGGGCGGCAACTGGGATCCCAATGCTGTTCACGACGACCGTGCCGGACCGATGCGACGAGGTGGCCATCGCTTCAACAACCGGACTGGGCCCTATGATAGGCAACCACGTGACGGCCGTGGTCGCCCACCTGTCAATGGTGGTCGTCTGACCCCCCCTCGCGGTGGTCGTCCCGGCCCTCTGCGATATGGTGAGGGTGGACCTGGACCTGTGCAGTCTGTTCAAGGCCGATCTATCAAGAGTTACGAGGACTTGGACGCTGTTGGTGGTGGTGGCAGTGGAGAACTCAACTACTAAGGAGGGTTGAATGGTTCTTTAAGCATAGTGTACGATGTGGAGAGGGTTGGCGTTTGTGAGGTGTTTTTTTCCTCATCCAGGTCAGGCTGCCAGTGATAGTGTAGGCAGTCTCGTTGGGATTTCTTCTATAGGCGTCACGTGGTAATCTTGATGCCAGCGATGGCAATTCGACACATTCTCGTTATGGGATTGTATCATGTACACTGAGTAGATACTCCATATCAAATCGAGCCTAACGAAAGCCTGTCAGCCGTGATGAGATTTAGTGAAGTGACACAATTAGAATCAAGATGCGGTTAGTAGGAGCAAAAGGGAAGACTCGGATATCGGATGGCTTGGCTAAGGCCAGAACCTGTTGGACTTTTACTTGGCCGGGGGGAAGCACTGTTGCGACAGATTTGGACATGGTTGCGGTCCGATGTCCGGCTCCGAGGAGGGGCAGACTGGCTGTAGATCTGGCGAAACCAAACATGAAGGCGTCGTAACCGTGTTCAGCACAAAGCACGGAAAGCTGTGTATACTGGCCAAGGACATTCACGAGGTCCATGGTGGGCGCAGCCAAGGCACGAAGATGCCGTGGCTTCCTTTGTCAATCCCCGCAGGTCTAAGTGGGCTAGGGCTGAGAGTTGCGTCACTCAGCCACGATAGTTTACGTGCCGACAGCAGGTCGGGCGCGGACACGACACTGCAGCGACCCGCATTGAGGAGAGATCTGTTTATCTGTCTCTTGTCATTGCCGTACCCGCATCTCCACACTGCACCAGCCTCAGCCGCAGCCACAGTTATTTCACTGCGGCTTGCCATTTGGGCGTCATACAACACGCGCGTCCATGACTGGCGGCGCAAGGACCTCAACGCACTCCTAATAAACTTCCACGCCCTATCTTCCTTCTTTCCGGGCGCGGCGCCTTAGCTCACATTTGCCTTTTGTATTAATTCACGTCATGTCCGCCAATCTGGATTCCCCGCCTGCCATCCAGCTGAACGGCACTACCGAGCCCACCACCATGAACCCCCAAGCCCCAGTTCAGGAGTTCAGCCAGCAATCGTTGCGGCCGGCCGTGCCCATGCGCAACGACACCAGCTACTCCAAGTTCTCCACCGTCTCGGTGCCGCCCGAGGGCTCCATCTTGACGGGAAAGCAAGAACACTGTGAGTCCGACTATGACGACGACGCGCAGATTCTGGAAGAACTGACAACTGCGCAGATCTCAAGCGCGAACTCATCTCCCAGCAAACCAAATTCGAAATCGCCGAGCTCTCCTCCCCTACTGCTTTGAGGCGCTTTGGCGCGCCCTTTCGCTCAGATGCCGGCGAAGTTGCGCCAGAAGACTCGGAGCTGCCCCTCCTCCGCTACATATTCGTCAACCATGTCCGGAACTTTCCATTCCTGGACAAGGCCAAAGAGAAGGAGTTCTGGCAGGACAAACTCCAAGTTGTATGTTGATGAGGTCATAGTGGGTGGGAAGGGAGGAGCTGACAAAGTTGCTGCTGTAGTTCCTCGAATCCTTTGCAAGCAAAGACATTTCATCTTCTGAAGACCGGCTGGAGGAGACCAAGAGACGGAAGCTGGCCCTGAAGGCTGAGAAGCTGGTAGAGCTCATGATGGTCTCTGGAATCCCGACTGCATCCGGCTACGAAGAGAGGATACGCTTTGCCGAAATGGAAATTGTAGACCGACAAGCAGACGAAAAGGGTCTCACCATGAATGCACCGAGCGGACACTTCATCAATGGCTGGGACATCAACGTGGCAGGCGTAAGAACGACATCGGTCAAGAGACACCTCCGTTATCACACACATGCCGTAAGTAAGTACCTTCAGCCCAGACGGCACATTCTGATATTGTGACTATAGGAGTACATCATACGAGTCAAACAAGCCGGAGGCCAGGACATTTACATTGGCCGCCGATATGCAGACTTTGTGCAGCTACACAAGCGAATACGCCTTGAGCTTCCAGGCAAAGTCCTCGCTCCGCTACCGCGAAAAAACGCAAAAGATAGCCTTCTGCAACCAGGTGCTGATGACGACGACGCTAGCTCCATCTCTTCAAATTCCACACAAGGACCCCCTCCTCCTGACTCTGCCGAAAGTAACGGTGGCGGTGGACTTCGTAGCTACATCTTCGGCGGTGGACACAAGAAGAACAAATCGCAAACATCACTTGGAGACCGTTCTCCGAGGCCTTCAGCCGACTATTCATCATATAAACCACCTCGGAAGCTGTACCGAGAAGAGCAGCGTGTTTCTCTTCGCGCTTTCCTGCGGTCGTTTCTGCATAATGACCGCATTGCCCGGTCCAACGCCATGGCAGAATTCCTGACCCACGATCCTATAGAGGTGAACGAGGAAGAAATGGAAGACATCCAGCGACGAGAAGAAATGGACAGGAAGCGAATCGAAGAGCAAAAGCAGTTCTACGAAGTTGCGCGGAAGCGAGCTGCGGAGCTCGACATTCACATGGAGAAGTTTAGAAGAGAAATAGTAGAGAGCAACGGGCTATCCCACCTGTTCGAAGAAGTCAGAGTCAAAAACAGCATCAGCGAACTCAAGCCAGAGTATCAAAAGTTTGCCGAGTGGCTGCGGATAGAAGTCGCTGCAACCATCTACCATTTATTCTTAGCCGAAGACAACTCACCAGAGCTTTTCGCGCAGGCGAAGCGTATACACTCGCTCGTGCCATACAGCGTCCTCAAGAACGTCATCAGGATAGCGAACCCTGCAGCAGTCATGAGTGGAGTTCTCGATCTTTTCCTCGCACAACCGTTCGGTGCCCGGTCGCTACTTCAACGCATATTCGGCATGGCCATCAACGACGGTGTTACCTCTGTGGGGAAGACGATTGAGACGCTCGGATCTACTAGGATTAAGGACGAGGTGCTCTGCAACAAGATCAAAGCATATGTACAGGCGGATGAGGCTGTCAAGGACGTGATACGCGAGGAAGCTGCCCGTGACAACGTAGATGTGGTGGTGACCATATTGCGATCAGAGTTCTTTGAACCGGAACTGACACCGCAACAAGTCGAGAAGGTGTTTAATGCCTATGTAGCGTGGAACAACGCCGTCGAAAATGTGAGATCAAGACGCCTCAGCCGGACAACGAGCAACCGCAGCACTACCAGCCTAGCAACTAACGCGGCCAACCAGGTCGAAAAGGAAATGCGGTCAGGCGCTGAGCTCTTCGCACATTTGAAGCAATACCTGAAGCTCTGTCTCCGACAAAGAGATAAGCTCATGATGCTCCAAATCATCGAAGAGGTGAGTTTATTAGGATTGCCCATAGAATTTTTACTAACGCCAGCAGCCAACAACTCTCCAACTCTTCAGGGACCTGTTCACAATCTTCTACGAGCCTCTTGTGCGCGTTTACAAGTCCGCAAACGTATACAACAGTATCACCGACTTTGCCCTCTTCGCCGACGACACCATCAAAACGATCGAAGCTTGCCAACGACAGGAAGTCTCAGCAGATCCCAACCAAACCGTACAAGCCTTTATTGATTTGTGCGCACGCCATGAGGGCAACTTCTACAAGTTTGTTCACGAAGTACACAAGCACGACAACGGCCTTTTCGGCCAGCTGATGGGCTGGCTTGAGGGTATTCTGGATTTCCTCCGTCATGGACCCGGTAGCGGCGGTAAGCTAGACATGAATGCGTTGTTCCAGGGTGGCATGGATGCGGGCATAATCGACAAAGAAAAGGCTGTTCAAGAGATCAATAGCCTGATCAAGTGGCAAATGGCAAGAAAGAAGTGGCATCAAGATAAGACGAGGCAGAAGATGGCTAGTGGTGATGAGCCCGATGCACTCATGGGTGGTATCGCTGGGTTCAAGTCGAGTGACTTTGGTCTCAATCCGGTTTGTGCCTATCCGTCTATAATTTCGTTCACATGCTAACAGTTTTGTAGATGGATCTTCAGGATCTGGAACTAGACGCTGATGGCAGCGACTCGGAGAACTCGGAAGACATGGACGACGCAGACATTGCTGACCCCATTGAAGCAGAGCGCAAGAGTAGAGCTCGTGCCGCTGAGAAGCTGCGGAGAAAGGCAGGCGAACCAAAGAAGCCGGATATTGTCGAGCTGAACAAGCTTAGCGAGGGGTTCAACAGCATGCTTAGGAACGTGCTTGCATCGTAGGCTGTTCATTGATTATACCGGAAGGACGGAGATTTTGTACGGCGGTGACTCGTATCAAACCTATAGAGCATCCTAGTTGTCTTCGCAACCTCAATGATATTATCGAACCTACCTGTACAACTGATTCAATCATTTTATCCTCATCCTTGTACCCCCCAGCCACAGTACACGAACTTGTGGCGCTCGACGTTCGGTGGTGGAGCCGCGCCGCGCCCGTTTAGATGCAGGTGCCTGCCGAATTCATACTAGCGTCAACACGGGCCGGAGCTAAGCAATCAGTCGCATAGCTGTCCTTTAGTTTCAGCCGAACAAGTCGCAACGTCAACGCGCCGCTTACTTTCTTACCTGTTCTTTTCTCTGTACAATGATATTGCGGCTTTGGCACAAACGGTGCTGATTGTTCATTCCTTTCCCCTATACACGCTCAATTACATTGTCAATTGCACTCGTAAACCCGGTGATTCGGTCCCACATTCAAGACACGAGCCAAATACCGAGATCACACTCGGTAACACCCTCCACCCCGCGGTTTTAGCCTGGAATCACTTTTCCCTGAGAATCTCACCACTCGAAAGTTGATTCCTTCAACTCACCCCTCAACAATTTCAACTACCCTGCAGCGGTAGCCCAAGATGCCGGTCAAATCGCGATTCAACAAGCTCGACGCCTTTACCAAGACGGTCGAGGATGCGCGCGTACGTACAACGTCTGGTGGGATCGTCACAATCGCCAGCTTGCTGGTAATCTTCTGGTTGTCATGGGGCGAGTGGGCAGACTACAGGAGAGTGACTGTGAGACCGGAACTCATGGTGGACAAGGGCAGAGGAGAGCGCATGGAGATTGCCATGAACGTGTCGTTTCCGCGAATCCCGTGTGAACTGCTCACGCTCGACGTCATGGATGTGTCTGGGGAGTTGCAAATGGGTGTCACGCATGGTATCAACAAGGTGCGATTGAGTCCCGAGGCCGACGGCAGCAAGGTGATTGAAACCAAGGCTTTGGATCTGTAAGTACATCTACATTATTTGGTTTGGAGACATGCGCTGATAATAACTACAGGCACGCCGATGAGGCCTCACATTTGGCCCCCGACTACTGTGGCCAATGTTATGGCGCACCTCCCCCCACCAACGCAAAAAAGCCCAACTGCTGCAACACCTGCGACGAAGTCCGCGACGCCTACGCCTCGATATCATGGTCTTTCGGCCGCGGTGAAGGCGTAGAACAATGCGAACGCGAACACTATGCTGAACACCTCGACCAACAACGTCAGGAAGGATGTCGCCTGGAAGGTAGTATCAAGGTCAACAAGGTTGTGGGCAACTTCCACTTCGCGCCCGGAAAGTCCTTCTCCAACGGCAACCTTCACGTGCACGACCTGGAGAACTACTTCAAGGACGATTACGCGCATACATTTACCCACCGTATCCACCAACTCCGCTTTGGCCCTCAACTTAGCGACGTTGTGGTCCGGGACATGCAGAAGAAGCATTTGGATTCTGGTCATAACGGATGGTCGAACCATCACGTCAACCCTCTTGACAACACCGTGCAGCATACCGATGAGAAGGCATACAACTACATGTACTTCATCAAGGTCGTATCCACTGCATACCTGCCACTTGGCTGGGAACAGGAGTTTCCCCATCCTTCCAAGTACAGCGACATCTTGGGTACCACTATCGACGAATCATACAAGGGTAGTATCGAGACACATCAGTACTCTGTTACGAGTCACAAGCGCAGTCTGCAGGGTGGTACCGACGAGAAGGATGGGCACAAAGAGAGGATCCATGCTAGGGGCGGTATCCCAGGTGTATTCTTCTCATATGTAAGTCGGCTCCTCTGATCTCACCACTTAATACTAACAATTACGTCAGGACATCTCACCCATGAAGGTGGTCAACCGCGAAGTGCGCGAAAAGTCCTTTTCGGGATTCCTGGTGGGTCTCTGCGCCGTCATCGGCGGTACGCTTACCGTTGCCGCGGCCATTGACCGCGCGTTGTACGAGGGCGTAAATCGCATCAAGAAGAGCCACGCGCAGTAAGTGTAAGTAAGTAGCGGTCATGCAGACCAAATCATCCCAAAGGAAAAAAACAAACGGGAATGTGGATATGGTTCGGTTCTTGTGGTGTTGGTGCATTTTGTAGTCAGGAGTTTGGGCGTCGCATAAAGGTCACGCGACCGGATCTGTGTCGGCGCAGAGTGGTGATGAAGGCGGGTTCGGCATGTATGTTTATAGATGGAATATTGAATACCGGATTATGTGTACATGATTTTGAGTGCTGAGGGTCTCCTGGCTTGATTGAAATGTGTGTCATGTGATTGTCTTGACTGGGCCCGGATGTATCCACCGTGCTGAGAGCGAGCTGATGACGTGTCTTGAGAGATTTAAATTTTTTAATGCAATTGTAATGAGTACGTTGAGAGTTGGACTCATCGTTATGTCGCATACGATGATCCGCAACGATCATAGTGTAAGCGAGCTGAGATGTGTATGAAATGGCAGTAAAGTTTACATGTGTATTACACAAAGCTTGGTATTGTGTAGAAAATTTGTAGGGTGCGTACCCACATATACAGAATGTACGTCAATACCTTACTAAACAATACGAAATAAGTGAAGTCAAGGGACAATACCGACGTGTAATCATGTACGTCGACTGACCAATAAGAATTGCTACCTATGCGGAAGTCGCGCGTCTTGGCATTTGGCGCACGGACTCCTCTTCAATATAGTCTGGCACGTTTCTCTATTCTTGCTTCAAGTCACTTGTACTCCTCTCTCACAACACAAATACCAACTCTACTCCAAAACACACCAAAACCAACGCTCGAACACACACAAACACACACAACCCAAAGTTCAACTCCTCCAAAATGAACACCCAACATCAACCACGCGCAAGGGGACGTGGCCGCGGACGCGGTCGCGGTAACTTCCAGCAAACAAGCAACGACGGTGACCAAATGATGGTCGACAGTGAGCAGTCTCGCGGGTACCGCGGCAGAGGCCGTGGGCGAGGGCCCCGAGGCGGCCGAAACCACTTCCAGAGCGATGACCGCTCCAAAGATGAGCCCATGGACAAAGAGAAGCTCAAGTCAAATCCCTCTTACCCGCTCATGGAAGGCTTCCTCACCCGCCGCTATGATGCGCCAAACAAGCTCCTCAACCTCTCCACCATCGCCAGCGACCAAGAAATCCTGGAAGCAGGAATGTTCGCGACAGAAGGTGCCCAGAAGAAGTTCTTCCCGGCCCTGATGATCATCTGCGACGCCATCCTCGAGACGCAAGAAGCCAAAGAGCAAGCCATCCACAGCGTCACTCTTGCAGGCAACAACCTCGAAAACACACACGCAGTCTACCAACTCTGCAACCACTTCCGCCACATCCAAAACCTCGACCTCAGCAATAACGCTTTCGCAACGCTGGACGCACTCAAGCCATGGAAGGGCCGCTTCAGAAACGTCGAGCACCTCATCGTCGACCCCTTCCCCAGTATGGACTGGGAAGATGAGATCACCTCATGGTTCCCCAAGCTGAAAATTCTCAACGGCACCCAAGTCCGACCTAGCGCATCGGCAACCGACAAGCACACTACAAACGCACAGCAAATACCCCCACCATCCGTCACTCCCACACCACCACTACCAGCCCCTGAATTTGCCGACCCAGAGCAGCAGGCCAAAGAGGAGATGATTGCCTATGTGCAGCGCGAAACCAACCTGACACGTGACTACGCCATTCAGTGTCTCGAAGCCGGTCAGTGGAACCTCGAACAAGCCGGCGCTCTCTTCACACAAAGCCGCGACTCTCTACCAGCCGAAGCATTTAATTAGGAGTTGTCTGGTCGCGCCCCAGAGATGGATATCTGCATGGACCCTGACATGGACTTTGAATATTATCGGTGGAAATCAACGACACGACGACATTACGCCACTCACACCATCACAACAATCCTCTTTCTTTGCACATCAAGCGAACACCATATTTTCACCACCAACAAAACTAAGCGCACGCACGACACACGAGCGCACTCGACAAAGCATCTTACAGATCCGCATCCTCCTGTCTCTCACCAGACAAGAGTGAAAGCAAGGACTGTATTCCGTATCCACATTTTTCTTATTCTTATTCTTTCGACAATACCGCCAGGCCAGGCAGAGTTTTTGGAGTTGGTTGGTTTTATTGCGGCTTTTGGATATTTTCCCGGCCTGGGTTTTTGGGATTCCTTTCTTTGTATACACGGATACACGTCACACGCCACATGGTGTAGGAGCGGGAAGATGGATGGGGTGGATGGAGGGATGTACAGCATGCATGGAACGCAATCACAATGAGGTTAGGGGAGTGAAATCACCCGGTCTACCAAATCAAATCAACTCACAAACTTCACACACACACACACACACACACACACACACACACTTACTTGCATGATGTACGCGATGTTTTTAACTGCCTTGAGGAATATGTTGCTGACGACTAGATGCATATAGCCACAGACAGATAGCAGTGAAGGTGGTAGACGTGGCGGTAGATAAATATACAGGTACGTACTCCAGGGCCGGGTTGATAGCGACGTGTATTTTTTTGAGCACACATCAGATGATGGTCGTAAATATGGATTTATCTGGTTAACCTAAACACCCGGGTGTGATGAGATACTTGACATACTAGTGGAAGAAGGGCGCTGTAGTCGCCAGACGAGCGCTTACCCGCACTTGTTCGAGTCTTTGAAGTACTGTTGGTTTGGGGATGATGGTATGGTTTGACTTTATACGATACATATGATATATGGTAAAGTTGAGATACTATGGTGTTTTGTGCGGGCGGGTTATGGGGTTTGTGTTCGCAATGTTGAGTTGTAGATATTGGAAAGTACGACTAGGGGTGCGTGTGTTCCCATCCGCAATGATATCGAATGAGCATGTAGGCTATTCTTCTGTATTTTATTATCTATGGGACTGTGTTGATGTAGGGGGCGATGAGATTTGTCAGTGGTGAGGTGAACCCACGTGATTACCTGGTCCCTGCGGCTAGCGCCTTGGCATTCGTATATAGTCTCTCACTCCCATAGTCCCAATACTACAAGATTCTCCCCAACCTTGACGCTTGACAGGTTATGAGCCCTCACCCGCTCCCGTAGTCGCTGTTGTTAAAGCCTTGTTATGAGGATAATTGCAGCGACTAGCGCACGCTAATCTCCTCATCTATCTTAAATTTAAACCTTACCTTCGAGAACTTCCGCACAGGGCGCGACAGTCCCTATCGTTAACACGTCACCACTGCGACAGCACCTCGCGCACGGCCCTACGTTACTCCGTCAGCCAGATCGCCCGATTAAATCACGACGCGCGACTCGCCTTCTATCGACTGCAGTGATCCCGACACCACCTCACACAGCGAATGTCCTCTGAGCACAAGTACCAAGTAAAGACTGCTTACGACCTCCGCCCTTACACTAGGTTAAGCAAGTCGCACTGGCTCTGCGGCTCAGCCTACTACTCTCCGCTGCGATCCCGACAGAACCTCGCGTGGACCTTCGTCAACACAGCTTACCGACGTGATCCCATTACGAACTCACGCGCCCTGTAGCGACAGAACCAAAGCCAGAGCTACCGAGCAAGAACCAGAGCCACCGAGCCAGAGCCACCGAGCCAGAGCCACCGAGCCAGAACCAAAGCTAGAACCAGAGCCCCTACTAGGCACGTCCTTCACAGTCACCAAAAGCCAAGCAGGCCCAATACGAAGAGGCCCCCAGCTGTCTCACGATCACCTCCGCCTCGTCAGGCACATTCCACTGCTCATCTCCTACCTCCGCTGCGATCCCGACAGAACCTCGCGCGGCCTTAAATTAGGTTAAGCAAGTCGCACTAGCTTTGCGGCTCAGCCTATTCCCTACGAGCGACACTACCGGTTAACCGACAGGCCCGACCACTGCTTATCTCCTCTCTGCTGCGATCCCGATAGAGCCTCGCACGCCCTTACACTAGGTTAAGCAAGTCGCACTGGCTCTGCGGCTCAGCCTATTCTCTACAAGCCGCTACAACTTTCAGCACTTAGCAGCTTATACGTCCCCTACCCGACAAACAATCGCTGCGCCGCCTTCTCGTAGAGAGGCATTGAAGAGCGCTAGCCTTCCGTCTCCCCTAGGATTTCCGCCAGAAACAATAGCGCCTACACACGTGTGCCCGCTTGGCTACGACACCGGTTACCTTCTCCTTTGCCTTCTCCTTCACCACTTTGTATTGCATGAGTATACGTCCTTGAGAATCCAAGCACTTCAGCCTCATGCGGGGGGTGTGTCAGTGGTGAGGTGAACCCACGTGATTACCTGGTCCCTGCGGCTAGCGCCTTGGCATTCGTATATAGTCTCTCACTCCCATAGTCCCAATACTACAAGATTCTCCCCAACCTTGACGCTTGACAAGATTTTGGTTGTAGTGATGAGGTAAGGTAAGGTAAGCTTGAAAAAGCTCGGTAGAGCTCTGGTCAAAATCAGGTAAACAATGGTTCTTTAGTTTGGGACGCCAAAGATGGGTACCATGGTACCGTAGAGGAGGGAGCAGATTCCTGCGTACATTGTAGTGATCAGCAGGTTCACAGTAAGAAAAGAGGCAGAGGTATAGTTTTCTAACCACTTGAATTGATTTTGCCTCTCAGTACGAAACTAACGAGAGATGACATTAAGTGCCATTACCCTGCTACAAATGCCCATATTCCGTTCTGTCATCTAATCCACCGCGCTTCTCTGATAACCTCGGTGCCATCTCTCAAATACCCGGGGGCTCCCTGAAAATCACACATCCGGTAATTCTGCCCGCGGCGGCCGGGAAGGGAAAGGGGCAGTTTCCACAAGATCCCCAGTAGATTTCGCCTTCGAGGGTTGGATCGACTGAAAATTCGCAGCCGAATCGGGAAGTGCAGAGACTTTGGTAAAGCTTTTGTCCCTCCTCCAGGGAACGGTGGAGCGTAAGGTCTCGGGCGCACTGCAGGATGGCGTTCGGGATGGTTTGTCTGGCTTGCAGTGCGTTCTCTGCTGCTGGGGCACATGAGCCTGGGGCGACCAGGGCCATGGCCATGGTGGCGATGGTAGAAAGTCTCACTGATGTATCTGTTAGCTACCTGGATAGAGGAGAGAGCGCATAGCAATCTTACTGGCGATTCTCTGGTGCTTGCGAGGAAGGTGAGTGGGCAGAGCCGTAGTGGCTGGGATGGCAGTCGGAGGATGGTTTGAAGGGTGTTTGTGTTGTGAAGCTGTGCTTGTGAGTGGTGAGGAAGGAATTGAACGGCAGACACACTGCCTCTTAAATACTACCTTTGGGCCCCCATTGTCCTGAAAATATATCTTGCAACTGTCTGGAGAAGTATTCGGCTCAATTTCCTCACGTAACTCTTCACAAAGCCGCCAAGATTTATCCGCCAGTCGGATGAGTAGCAATCACCCTCTCCAGGCACAAAGGCTAGTCACAAAATCTACACAAAGTCCAGCGACAATTTCTAATGCTATGATCGTCAGCGTTGAAACTTTTCGTGGGTTCTCCAGGTACAAGATGAGCTAGGGCTTATAGATAATGGTCTTGGTAGCGCGCGTGCACGTATTCGAGACCGTGCAGGGTCCGTTGGGCTGGTATCCTAAACAACATATGGCTAGATGGCAAGAATTGGCGATGAGAACAACAGAAAGGGGTTCAAGCTACAATTAGAGGACCCTTATGGTGACCTGCTGTTTTTGAGAAATTGGGGCAACTATCCCATAGAACGTGCTATAAAAATTAGTAGGCGGGTTTAAAGAATTCAACTTGGTGTCAAACCTTACTGTGACTAGTATAGCACATGCATCATGGGTATGTGTGGCGAGCCGCCTTTGCCGTATTGCCGTCTTTACCGTCTCGAATTGCGTATGTAGGTGCTCAAGCTTACCTAGGTAGCATCGGTGCTTACCGGCACAACCCTTTTCTCCGCACGGTCCTCTAAGTATAAGCACTAGACATAGTATTTTGCGAATCTAGTGCGGTGTATCGGTATCCTACTAGTCATGTGATCGGGAGGGTAGCAAGTAAGCCGGAAGTCATGATGTCGTGTTAGTCTGGGGCTCTTCAATCCAGCAGAGTAATGACTTTGTGAATGGTGTACAGTTCCCTGCAAGTGAAGAAAGTAGGCAATTTCCTGAAATCTTACACGAGTTAGTCTGGCTTGGCTTACGTCTATCTTCTTTCTGGATCAGGATCTGCATGGGTTGGGTCATGTCACGTGACGTTGCTTGTTTTCGGACGCGGACTAGGGTTGTGGGGTTCTGATTTGCTCTCTCCGCGATACCTACCTGCTATAGTTGCTGTAAATTTGAATAAAGGTGATTGACAGTGGGTTTGTAATTATCGAAGTTGGGTATCGGACTGCAATTTGAGATGTATACAGGATCATTTGTCTTTGAGTACAGTGAGTCCTGCACTGTACTAAATTAACAACTCGTACTATACTACATAATTCAGTTCAGATTCAGAATAACGCAACTGAGAGACGCTCGGACATCAAAAACATCTGGGCACGCAGATAACGACACACTTGACGAGATTACTATCAGTTGTTCCATCAATCACATCTCTGTGAGAAAAATGTGCTATACACTATTGAAAGATGCTTGGCACACTTTGTGAAGTCAGACGTAGACAGCCCATGCATATTAGCACCGTAGATTTCACCATTATAATCCCGAAACTTTACGTTACTGCCCGAAATCTTAAATATGCCTAGTATCTAAGTAGCCATAGATCTACGTTGGCACCAAGAACATCTCGTGCACTTCGTATTCAGGATGCAGGAAAAAGCTTGGAGATGAAGTGATGCAGTGTCTCGGCAATCATTGCCGAGCAAGACAGAGAAAGTGAGGAGGTATCTCAACTGTAAAAATTATAAGAGTCGGCCACGATCGTTGTATCCCCTACACAGCTCAGCCACATCTTCTTGAGCTATCAAATCCCGCACCTTCCCACTCTTCTCTTGTTCTTCAGAACATCATTCATTCAGCCCAAAAATGTCTTTCAAAGCCATCCGCTCCATCATACTCCTCCTCGCCACCACTTCCATGGTGGCAGCCGCCCCCGCCGGTACCTCCGAACTAGACCCCGTAGCCGTTGCTCTCGGCGTCACACCCGACGATATCACGAGCCTTAAAGAAATGAAGGATATCAGCAACTTTGACCCCACGCCCTGGACACATCCTGCTGGATTGTCACTGTCTCCTTCCAACCCCGCCGAATGGCCCGCAGACGTCAAAGCACAGTTCATGGTAGACATGAAAGCTGCGTTTGTTGAGGTTCCCAACACGCCATCCAAGCCAGCACTTTCCAAGCGATTGACAGGTGCCCAAAGCCCAGCCGCTCGAGCTGAAGCCGCTGCTCTCGTTGCAAACGCACGTGTAATGCGGGATGTCAACAATGAACATCGCCGCAGACTATTGACTTGCAACAACCTGTCAAAGGGACGATGCAATGTCTGTGCGGCCCTCTGCTCGGGCAGGTGGGTGTTTAAAGTGGCGGGATGTTCAGCTGTAGCGTTGGCGGCGGAGGCGGCGTCGGGAGGTGCACTTACTCCGGCTGTTGGGACTGCGTTAGTTGCATGCGCAGGCGATATGTCGGTGACGTATGGTCAATGCATTTTGGATTGCATTGAGCAGGCAGGGCCACGATAAAGAGATGGAAGCAGATTGGGAAGAAGAGAGTCGTTGTCAGGAAGGAAGAATGAGCTGAAAAGCTATCCCGGGGAGGTGGGAACCCAATTCAACATGCGCCTGGATTAGAATCAAGGGTATGGTACCGAACAAGATGTATATTGGTTAGCACACAAGGAGGATAGCCGTATGTTCTAGCAGAATAGTTAATACATTAATTTATTGACGAAGATATTTATTACTGCAGCGTGAACCAAACTAGAAACTGTATTTCCTGTAAGAGATAGAACAGCACGTTGATGCTTCGTTATTGAGCTTAGCACAAATCAGATGTTCCAAATTAGTACATCAGCACAACAATAAGCAGCTACCCAATACAAATGATGTCGGCAGAAAAGAATTAAAGATGCGGATTGATGTCCATGTGTGAGCCAACGGCGTTTGTAAGAATAAACTTGAAGAAATAAATAGACTGGTAATGAGTACGTTGAGAGCTGGAGTCATCGTTATGCCGCATACGATGATCCAATAGATCATGTATGATGTCGATGTTACCAAGAAGCAAAGTTGACGTCATTACCACTGAAGCCACCGGTCTGAGTTCGATCGTACCAAAAAATCCATGTTTCCGGTATTGTACGAAGAAGTTTTTCAAACTACAAAATTAAAGTTGACCAAAAAAAATAAGCTTCCGCCAGCTAAAAGGGTTCTACAAACAAACACGTCGACAAAAGGCACTTGAATAGCTAATTAGCACCATAATCTCTGTACAGGCGACAGACGTGGAGATGCAAGGAACACATAATCAAAATCACGGTCGCTGTGACCACAATTCCCCTTCTCGCCACTATCCCAAACCACCCCTTTCGAACATACGCCCATATGCTCTACTCTAAATCCATCTCTACACCTAAAGCCATAAAAATCATCCATCATTGCTAAGAACATGGAAATATCTTCTCACGAATTACTTTCCTTACCACAATTCCGGACCCAAGACCTCGAGACGAAAACAGAAGAGGCCAGACTTACCATTTAACCAAGTAGCAAATTTTAGTTGAGTCGCCGAGGTTTGGAATAAAACACCAGATACTTAATGACGCAACGAGGTCGTTGAGGACTTTGATAAATGACTAGAGGAGTTGTGGATGGATTATGAAGCAACGTGTACACTAGATACATCAGAAACGACAAATCCTATCATAACTTCCATGTATGAGAAACACCCACACAACATGCGCAAGATTTCTAAGAAGATAAAAAAAACAATCATCATACACAATCATCATATTTTATGCCATAAACAAGAACACAAGCCCATGTTCATCCAAGTCCTCATAACCCTCCTTCATCCTTGTAAAACAAAACCGAAAAAAAAATCGCTAAGACAGCAGCAAAAAACAACAACAACAACAACTAGTGATTCTTCCTCCTCACATTCGCCAACGCACTATTAACCGCAGCCGTAACATCCACATGGAACAACGGCCGATTAAGCCCTTGCACCACAGCAATCCGTCCGACCCTATTATCGCGCTCGGTAGCCCCATACGCACGACTAGTCTCGAGCTGTTTATTAATGCTGTCGTTTTCCGTGCTCATACTACCCGCATCATCTTTGATGCCCCTCGCGGCCTCGATATCGTGACTGCGCACCTGGCTCAGCGTGCGTTTCGCCATGAGGTTCTCCCGCGCTTCCGCCTCAGCGGCAGCGGAGTCTGAGCCCCCGATTTCGGCAACGCTGAAGATGGGCTTCCAACGGTGTGTTATGCCCGAGTCGAGGGGCTCGGGGGTGTAGTAGCCGAAGCCGGCGGCGGCGAGGGCGCGCTTGGTCCAGCGGTTGGAGATGTTGCAAAAGTGCCAGTCTACCGTGTCGGGAGCGACGTATTTGTCGAGTTGGTTCCGCACGTCGATGAGGTTCTGGATACTTGTGAGGTCCACATTGTTGATGGAGGAAAAGTCCAGGATGATGGCTTTGAGCGTTGGGCGCTCGTCGGGAGTGTCGCTTGCGCTCTTACCGCGGCGTGGGCCGGGGTCATTCCAGGGGCGATCGCCGAGCGTGTTGTAGGTTGCTTGATTTGTGCGACGGGTTTTCGAAAAGATTGTTTCGGTGAGTTGGTCGAGGTAGTGGTTTGCGTTGGGGTAGTTGAAGCCTTCGCTGAAGCGGTAGATGAAGATGCCTGGGTAAGGGTCCTCGAGTTGAATGGTGGGGTTGGAGCCGTCTTTGTGGTCGATGGGTAGGTAGACTTCGCGGATAGAGTGCTCGCCTTCAGAGGGCTTTTGTCGGGCGCCGGGGGTGCGCTTGTCATCATCGGTGACATCGAGGAGATGGTCGCCAACGACCGAGTGGATCTTGGCTTTGCCCATGAAGCGACCTTTGGCTTTGAACAGGCGGAAGGCAAACATGCCTGCGGAGACAGAGACGGTAACATAGATGCCGTTTTCGATACTAGAAAAGACTGTGACAAGCACACCGGCAAAGAAGATGAAGACTTCGAGTGGCGAGATCCTCCAGAATTGGTACACAGTGTTTGGCGGTGTGATCAAATCGAGCACTGCGTGGATAATAACTGCCGAAAGGGTCGCATTCGGAATGTACCAAAACATGGCCGGAAGAGCGTAGATTGCGAGAAGTACCACTGCAGCGGTAATGACACCCGCAAAGGGCGTGCGTACACCGGCCTTGGACTTGATAGCAGTACGCGAGAAGGAGCCAGTCGCGGGGTAGGCTCCGAGAAAGGGGCCAAGGCAGTTGGATACACCGATAGCGACGAGCTCTTGCGATGGGTTGATAACATAGTTGTTTACTCTGCCGAACGACTTGGCAATGGAGATGTGCTCAATCAGAAGCACGATTACGGTAGAGGGCAACTGGGTGGCAAATGACTGGATGATAGGAATGGTGATTTTCGGTACACGGGCGTGTTGGAATCCTAATATTGTAAGCAAGCGACTCGAAAAGATTGCGTGAGTATCTTACCTCGTGGAACAGTTCCGAGTGTTTTTACGATTGGCTTGGTTCCATTGGCGCGGTGCTCGCGGTTGGCCAGGTAGCTGAACAGGATGTAAAGCAGGATGACAAATACAGTACGCAGTGTGTTGAGGAAGAAGAATAGCTTAGCCCGGCTTGGGAAACGCTTCGCAAGTAGTCCACACGTAGACCGGATGGCGTACAAGAGGAAGAGGCAGGTCAGACCAAAGGAAGCGTTGAGGTCGGTTCGGTCAAGATGCTTGAGCGAGTTGATAACGACCTTGTATGTGGGATCACGAGTCGAGAAGCCTGTAATTCCCATCATCGCAGGAAACTGTCCAGCGGCGATACTGAGCGCAGATCCAGTCATGAATGCAGAAATAGCAGGTAGCGAGATGAGGTCCACAATCCAGCCCATGCGGATGAGACCTAGGAACAGAACAATGGACCCAGCGATGACGGCTAGAGCGGATGCGATCATGTCTTTGGAGATGTCCTGGCCTTTGAGTTTCTGTTCCGCTGCCAGCACAACGCTGCCAGTTACTGTAGATAGAACCGCGACGGGACCGATGGTAATGTCCTTGGAGGTAGCGAAGAACCAGTAGATGAGCACGCCCATGAATGAGGAGTACAAACCGAACTCGACTGGGAGCTCAGCGAGCTTTGCATAGGCCATTCCTTGCGGGACAACAACAGCGCCAACTGTGATACCTGGAAGAGTTTAGTAATCGCACAAGAAGGATTTGAGAGTTTGACATACCCGCAACGAGATCTCCAACCAACCATTGGACATTGTAATGCCCTATCCAGTGGATAAAGGGAAAAAGACTGTAGCAATACTGTCTCAACTCCTCACTGGTGGGCAAGGTGTCCTGAATCCATTCCTTTGCAGTGGGCTCGCCCTCAACATACGTATCGGCCGAGTCAATAGTAAAAACACTTTCTCCTCTCGTTATCCGTTCCGAGCCAGTCTCGTTCCGGTAATGCAAGTCGATACCGAAGACCTTGGCCAGGCTATGGCCCATTTTTGTGGCTGTTGAAGCCATCGATGTGAAATGCGTCGTCCAATATGAGGAGATCAAAAAGAATGTACTGAGTCAGCACGGGGGATGCCACGTGCTTGAGATGCAGTACCAAGTCGGAACAAGTCCGTATAAGCTTCAGAAACGCACGACAAGAATTGCCAGGGCTTGAGGAGCTTATCACTGAAGACGTCCAGGCGGCTGGTGCGTGGTGAAGGTAACCGTGCAGGGTATGGGACGCTCCGAGGAATCACACGTGGACTCGCACGGAGCGAATCACGGTGATGGCGTTAATAGGCCGGAGTTAGAAGCACAGCCTGTAAGCTGATAGCCGTCGAGTTGAGCTGGGCGTGGGTATAAAAATGTCTTGGAAGTAGAAAGGTCCGAAAGCCCTCAAGACGCCTCAGTATTGCTGTGATCTGGTGGGCAAATTGCGTGATCAGACTGTGACCACGAGGGGAAACCAAATGCGACCGACAAAGTGCTGGAAGTCGGGGCAACAACGAGGAAAAGCAACAGAACCAAGTACAAAAGGCCAAAGAGAATACTAGAGGGTACAGATAGTATAGCCAGTAATTCAGGCACCCCAAGAGAAGGGTCCTACAAAAGTGACATAATGCCTTGTTCCCATTCTTTTGCCGATCCCAGATCTTCCTCCTCTGCAAAGTGGAGTTTGCAGTCTAGCGACGATTTTTCGCCGCGGTGCCGGTATCCACCTGTCTCCAGAATGCAACAAGCTCACAAGGATGGTGCGGATAAGGCGACAGGGATGGTACGTCAAGGTTGTGATAGAAAAGGTCGCGGTTCGCACTAGTGTCCAATAAAATTAGACAGAGGCGGATTGCGTGCTCGGAAGCAGAGATGTCGACTTCGGCCTGTTGAGCACACACACAACCCAAAAGCCAAGCCAACGCTTGAGGAATGACTGAAGCGCTACGCGATTGGCGTTCAAATCGTATTTACCCTCAGCTTGCGTCCACGTTTGGCGTTTCCGAGGAGCTGTTTTGGTGTGTACAAACGAGGGTTCGTTGGGATGTGACAACACAAATAACAAAAACAAATTCCAGCCTGCGAACCTTCTAGACCGATAACGGCGTTGGTAGCGCTTTTCCTACATCCCAACCCCCGAGGTCCTTTGTTCGCTACGGGAGTAGTACAGAAGTCGTGAAATCAACTTTGACGTCACCCTTGACGCAAGCCGGCAGCGGGAGCGTGGAGCACGGCACTTGCATCCCCATCAAGGGCTGTCCACAGCAAACACCAGGAACGAAGAAAAAACCGAGATTGTGGCTACCAGATCAAGTAGAACCGATGCTGTTCCGGCTTGGTATGTGTAAGGAAGCAGAGATTGTGTGGGTTCAATTAAGGTTCTGCAAGCCAGCTACGGCAACTCGATACGTGGGGACGTTTCCAGGTTTTTGCTTACCTTCCACTTTTCTTACATAAGCCTAGCCTTTTGCTCGTTGCACGTTGCAAGAAAGAACACGAACACACCGGCCAACCCCACATTCAATCAGGCCTGTTCAGGACAAAGCAACTCAAGCCGCGCATATTCGCCGTAATGGTCAATGCCTCAGGCTAACAATACAAAGCTCCGCTTCCAGGGAAAATAAAACTGGGTTCTCAACTATGCCATGCTTTTTGCCTAGGGCAATTACTGCAAAACCCATCTGTGAGAATGGTCTAAAAAGCATTGGCCGGCTTCACACACCGACTTGTTTTCTTGGCACAGGATTTTGGAGAGGGAAGTACCCTCAGGACTAACTACATAGGTAGTCGCGACTCCACATGTGTTCCCCGCTGCTCAACAAACCCAAGGAATTAAGACGATGTGGTTCTTCCGATATCCGGTACGTACCAGCAGACAGACCAAAGAAGAAATAATCCCGGTGCGGGGTCGATAATCAGATAAGCTGTGTTGTGTTAATGCATGAACGAAGAAGTTCTGAGAAACAGGCATAGTCTGCATGCATAACTCTTAGATCAAGTACGAACTAAATTAGACACAGTAGTAAGAGTGTCAGAACCTATGCAGATAGCTATACATGCACTAAACATTGACATATCTACCAAAACGTTAGAGGGCAACAAGTACACAGAAAACGGATAGTATATGCTACGATCCAAAAACCCCATGAGTGGACTACACGCCGTAGTGCTGCAAGCACGAGGTTCATACCAAACTCACTATACCCTGCTCCTCATACAGTCGTGCCATCTTCTAAACCACCAAATCCTCCATGCAGCACCTTCGCAGCAGTGCGGACAGAAAAAGAAAAGCACGCCTACAGTGCGGAGGACCAACAAACAACACCACGCTTAAACATACGATACTAACAACCTGCTACAAGACAGATCTCCGCTCTCAACGCGAGCAAAAAAGGGTTCGGATAAGTCTGAAAAAGCAAATACACACCCTATCTTTTACCCTCCTCGCAACATCATGCACGGTTCCCGCGATGCCATCAAAGGTTAAATCAGGCGGGCAATTGCATGGAACGCGCTAGACCACAATCGGTCGAGGCACATCCACGGCTCAAACATTGCACACACCAGACCTCGCTTTATTTTCCAAGTTCCCGTTTGTAGGTGACGAGGAAGGTGGGAAAAGGAAGAAGGGTAGAAGGTGGGGTAGGTAGTCAGGCATTCTAGTTGGTCTCAGCAAACCACGTAAAGTGGTGAAGAGAAGATGTAAAAGGAAAAGGAAAAACATCACAAGCTCTCCCCATCCCAAGCCCTCACACATGGCTATGACAAGCATCCACACATTCCAAAGACGAAAACACATAAATCGAATTTTCTAAACCTTCTCCTTCTCAATCTATACCTACCCCTACCGCCCCGCCTTCCTAGCTTTCTTCTCCCTCTCGTACCCATTCCTCTCCCTCCCCTCCTCGCCCTGAATCTCCGCCACCAACCTGCGATACTTGTTCTCATACGCGCGATCCTTCTCTTTCTTCTCGCGCAAACTCTCCCTCGCAATAAAATGCGCATCCTTGCGTAACTCGCGCATCGCTCCTTTCCTCTCCCTCTTATAATCCTTCTGCAGCCGCTTCGCCTCCGCACGCTCCTTGTCCGGGTCGTAGTGCCGGTTGGGATCGAAGCTCTCTTCGAACTTGGGGATGCTTGTTTTGATGGGGAGGGCGCGGTGCGTGTGTAACAACAAGGGACGACGGCGGGAGCGGGCGAGGGCGAGGCGGGCGGAGAGGTTTTGGTGCACGGGGGTTTGTTTGGATGATTTTAGGGGGGGGAGGAGGGGGGTGAAGATTTCGATGAAGGAGGGTGAGGTTTCGTAGGTTGAGGCGGCTGTGAGGACGTTTTTGGCGTGTGCGGCGAGTAGGGTGGGTGTGGCGTGGGGGGAGAGCAGGCAGAGGGTTGTGTAGCGGATTAACTCTGGGACGTAGCGTTTGGAGAGGCGTTGGTATTGGAGACAGAGGGCGCCGATGAAGGCGCCGGTTGCGACGTCTTGGGTCGAGGCGGGCGAGGTGAGTCCCATCCAGCGGGCCATGAGTGTGATGGCTGGTGTCACGACTTGGTGGAAGTGGTCGGACGTGGGGAAGATGGATCCGATGGCTGAGAGCAGGGCTAGGTCGCCTGGCGTGGGGATGTTGGAGACTTGGAGGTTCTTGAGATGCTCGCGGAACTTTGTAGCTATCTGAACGGGGTATGAACGCGCCATGGAGTGAATGTGTCGGATGATGGCCTCGATGACTGCTAGTGGAGCTGCTGGTGTCTGATTCGAAAGATACGAGACGTGGTCGATGAGGGCACATACGAAATCCGCAAGCTTGTTCTTGTTGTCTGCGCGGAGTCCAGCGTGGTAGAGTGCGCGTATTCTCTGAATGACTGTAGAGGTGTCGTTGGGTGCCACATTCTTGAACACCTTCAACAGCTCTTCGTGAGACCGAGGACATTCATATGTATATGCCAGCTTCGACGTTGTCTCAGCACCGAGCGTCAGCACACCGTTGACAGCCTTGGGCTGCTCTTTGCGCTCGGGCATGACGTCCTTTAGAAAGTCGGCATCCTCTTCATCCATGGCCATGGTGTCGTCAATCGCAGAGCCAGCCTCAGACTCATCATCCGACATTTCCGCCTCCGAGTCGGTAGCAACGAGGTCGTCGTCCATGATGAAGTCGTCCTCATCCTCGACACCTTCCGGCCTGAGTTGTCCTGGTGCTTTCAAGCCGAACTCGGCAGCATCGTCTGGAAGGCTGTCCATGTCATCTTCCTCCTTATCTGCTTCCTTACCCTTCTTCTGCGGCTCTTCATCATCGCTGACAGATTCTCCACGCATCCTCTTCATGCGCTTCTGCTCAAGTTCCTTCAAGCGACCAGCCTCTTCCCTAGCCTTTTCTTCTTCCGTCTTTGTCCGCTCCGTCGGCTTCGCTCGCTGGTCCAGGAGTAACTGGCGCACGCGCGAATCGTATTCCCTATCCTTGTCCTGCTGTGTAGTCCCAGCAAGAAGCGCAGCACGGTCGGCATTCATCCCGAAATCGTTCCGCTGTGACTCTTTCGGCGCGTCCGGCTCGGGCTTCTTATTGATATGTCCACGCAGCGCAGCAAGCACATCACCGAGATCCTTGTCGAGTGCATCTCGCATCTCGTCGTCGTCCTCTTTCTGTGCCTGACGCTCGTACTTGTACTGCTTCGACTTTGCAATAACCTCCTTCATGACCTCCTGCTTGCTCTTCTTGCGCTCTGGTTGTTCCTCTGTAGCAGGCGCCTCACCATCCACCTCATCTATCCTCCTCTTCTTCTTCATGAAGCCATCTTCGTCGTCGCTCGACCCCGCCACACTCGCCGCGTCGTAATCCTCCTCTCCAATCTCATCGTCGAATCGCAGAGACTGCCCACCGTGCGTAAGCTCCACCTCATCAGCGTCATCCTCGAGATCAAACACATTGCCACTCCTCTTGCGCGACTGCTCCTGTTCAAACCGGGCCATCATGCGGTCCTCGACACTCATCGTCGGATCCGCCTCGCCTATCCGCCTATCCAAGATTCCTCCAACCTTGTTCTTGCGATGCATCTCCGGCAACAGCGACTTGCGCCTTGCCTCCTCGCCCTGGCTCTTTGTGACGCCAGGCCGACCGAGAATCTTCTTTGGCGCATTTTCAGCCTGTGCAGAGACGTATTCATGCTTGTGAGGGCGCGCAAGGTGCTTGAACTCGAAGGGATTAAACGACTCGCGGATTGATTGCAGCGCAGATGCTTTTCGTGCGTGGTGGTCGGCGTTCTTGGATTGAGACTTCTTCTGTTTCTTCGACTGTTGTGGGCCGGTAATGCCTTGTTCACGCAACGAGGCTTTCAGCCGCTTTAATTGAGACGGCGGCATTGAAGGAGAGAAAAAGCCACGAGAGGCTTCAATGTGTGGCGCGGCGTTGAGGACACTGGGTTGCGGTTGCCAAAAATTATTTCTCGAAAAGTCAAAGCTACCTAGGGTGCATGGGTGTTGCCTGTCTAGCGCGGCCGTCCCCCACATTGCCCACGCGACTTGGACCGCGACTGCCACTTCCGACATCATCGTTCGCGATGCAACTGCAGTATGACTTGAACACTACCCTCAAACCTCACACAGCACCGTAAAAAATGACTAAACCGCCCTCACTATGGCGTCCAAGATACCCGACCACTGGCTCTGGCTCGGCCTAGGTACGTAACCTACCGTACCCCACTACCCTCATCCTTATACTGTATACTAACACTCCCCCCAGGCGTCATAACATTCATATCCATCCGCACCGTCTCCCACGGCCTCCGTGAAATCATAACCCTAACAACCATCCGCCAACCCGCCAACCTCCCCGCCCAACCGCAACCGCCCACACCCACGCCAACCCACCAAGAAGACTCGATAAAAACCTCCTCTCTCCTCACCCTCTCCACCTCACACAACACCGACATACGCCTCTCGGCCACAAAAATCCTATGCAACCGCTTCACCACCAACGAGACGGCGAAAAGGCTCCTGATAAACGACCTCAATAGCGAAGACGAGCTAGTCGTACACCGCGCTCAGCTGGCGTTTAACCTACTCTGCGACATGGGTGCCTGGAGCAGGGAAGGAGCGTTTGCGCCCATGAAGAAGACGACGGCGTCGAGGTGGACGGTCATGGAGCGGGTTCCCCAGGGGGGTATGGTGGCGCCTGGGATAGGCATTGGTGGCGCGGAAGAGGAAAGATTGATTAGGAGGAGGAGGCGCGAGGCTGTTGTTATTAGCGAGGGGGGAGGTGACGGCGATATTTTAATGGACGGTCAGGATCAGGGTCATGTTCAAGGGGGGCATTTGGGGCAGTAGAATGCCGAGAATGGTCATCCTGAGACTTTTGAGCAAGAGTTGACGGGTGAGGGGTGGGAGGAGAGTGAGTACGAGGATGGTGATTACGAGGATGGTGAGTACGAGGATGATGGGATTGGCGACGACGGTCAGACTTACAGTCATTTTCCGGGTCAGAACGGGGCCAGCGATCACAGCCAGAGCTACAGCCATTTCCCGGGTCAGAACGGGGTCAGCGATCACTCACAGAGTTACAGTCGTTTCCCGAATCAAAACGGGCTTCTGCCCCCAAATTCTCCGGGAGGACAGCCTTTGAGGGTTGTTAATCTTTTCGCTGAAGACCAGCATGATGTCAATTCGGATTCGGATTCGGATTCGGATGAAGGGGGCAGCTAGGACATGGATACGACACTTTGTCATTGAAAGTTGAATATTGTTAAAGTAGGGAGGGCAAGGATACTAAGTGCGTGAGCATTGAAAACATTGCCAAAGCAAATAAGCTAGATAAGAGTTTTTTGTACAAACAAACAAACATCACCCACCAACCAACCCACCCATCTACCGCCCATCCTCACTCCTCCCAAACTTAAATCCACCCCCAACATCCCTCCTAAAAAACTTCCCAATATTCTTCAAATTACTCTCCAAATTCGCCGTGCCCCCACCACCATCCATACTCCCACTCGCCTGATGCTGCACCCCGCTAGCCCCCGGCGCCGGACTTCCAAACCGATCAACCCCATCCCTCGCCGCATTAACAAGCATATTCCCCAACCCAGCTGCATCAAACCTGCCCCCACCCAGACTAGGTGTCCCACCACCCCCACCCCCACCAAGCGCACTCGCCGCGCCAATCCCCCCACCCACATTCTGTATCTGCAGCGGCGTGAGAAAAGGCGAGTTCTGCACCAGATTCTCATGATTAGGCGAGGCGCGAAAAGCAGCAAAGAGGTCGAGCAATTGCAGTTGGTCTGCTTTGCGTATACCTTTCAACTCGAGGATTTTCCGGAAATTGGTATCGGATTTATCGGCAATGTGGATGAGGTAGGCTTGGACGAGGGCTTCCGGGGGGGAAGGGCGGACTTGGAGAGTTTTGAGAAGGGGGTCTATTTTTGCCATGGATTGGTTTACGCGTTTGATGAAGCTGTTGTGCGGACGGTTAGTAGTGTGATGGTAAGACGGGTGATATGGGTGGGTTTTGACATACCTTGCAGGCGGAGCCGTTCCAGCCTCCTCGTTCAGCGTAGGCAGCTCCGTGAAACCTTTTTTCAAAACATACGAATCCAGCAGCATTTGCTCGGCGCCGACTTCAGAGATGGGCTTGCATTGGACGATGTTGGCGATGTAGGTTGATGCCATTTGGTCGACGAGGTTGTCGCAAAAGGCTCGTGCGTATTGCTGCTTGTGGAGGTATTTTAGTATTTCCCCTGACCTTTCCTTGACGTGGCGGAGAAGCTCTGCAATGTATGTGCTCTGGTCGCCTACGCTTTCGAGCTTTGCCCAGGGTGTGTTGCGCATTTCTCGCCAGCTGGGGTCGCATGCGATTTCGACTTTTCGGACGAGCATGCGGACGGTTGCGCTGGCGATGCCCATGAAGGCATCTGCTTGGCTTTGTAAATCGACTTTTTCTTTGAACTCTTCGTCTATGCGGCCTCTGATCTTCTCTTCGAGCTGGTTGCACGTCATGTAGCAGTAGTCTGCGGTGTTCAAGATGAGAATTGCATCCTCGATAGACGGTCCTTGGGCTCCAGACTTTTCACTGAGAAAGTAGTAGAGAACTTGCTGACCGTACTGATCGAGATATTTTGCAAAAGTCATGGACAACTCTTGTAATCGTGTGCCTGTCGACAGTTTCGCGCATTGTGCTAGGGTCAAGCGATAGAAGCTGAACAGTTCGGTAGATGAAGGTATGACGGCTTGGTGCGAAAACTCTTCTTCTGGGTTGCGCAATGGCTGTTGTCGGTACTTTGGGACGAGGGTTGCAAGTTGCCTGAAGGGTCAGCCCGACGATCTTCTGAGAGCAGTGGGCAACATACTTGTCTTGCGACTCTACCCAAAGACTCATGTAGGGTTCAAATGCCGCAGAGATGGCCTCACTAAAGCCATGTGACTTATCCTCCTTGGAAGCTGTCGAATCAGACGAAGAGCGGGACTGCACAGCTTTAGCAACAGCACACTTCACGGGCCAAGAACATACGCACATCGTTGGCGAAGCGCCGTTCTAGACTATGCTCAAAGTCAAGTGTCTCCTGCAAGCAGGAAAGAAGTAATTCGACGTCCAGACTTTGACCATCGCTTCTCCGTACAGACTTTTGCAGTATCGACTTGAAGTCCTCGCGGGTCCCTTCGCAGAATGAATTGGCCAACATCTCATTCACACGCCAAGAGGCGGGAAAGATAGAGGCATGCTCGACATCATAAGTCTTCATCATCCGGTTGAACCAGCTGTATCTCCGTCCAATGTTGTCAAGCGAACCGGCCTGGGTGTTGTTAGCCTAGCACCACAGTCGCACGAATCGGGCTACGGACTTCATCGTTGCCACGGAAGACCTGTCGGTATTCGCGAAGCTGCGTATTGCAGTACCAGTTGATGAGTCGTGTGCGGGCATGCTCGCCGAGCGCATCGATGACCAGACACGCTTCCGCAAGCATGGCCTTGCGCTGTGCGGTTTCCCCCTTGGCAAAGGTCACCTCGAAGTCTTCGCAGACTTGTTCCAGCAATTCGCCCTGCACGTCTGCCACATTGCGACTCAGAGTAGCAATCTGGTCTATCGAGCGATAACTCTTGAAGTGTGTCACAAGCTGCAAAACAGCCTGTAGCAACTGAGCGCACTCGCCGTACTGCCGCGCCTTGCTCAAGCTCCGCAATTGCTCGTACGCCGTCGTCAACATTTGCAGCCGCTTCAGGGCCGTCATGGACAGTGTCAGGTTCTTCTTTGTGCTATCCAAGCGCTTTATGTCTGCAGTCATCTCGGTGATGGTCTGCTCCGTTTGCATTGCGCGCTCCCGTACGCTCTCAATCTTCTTGAACAGATCGGCCAGCTCTGCCTTTGCCGCCTGTATGCGCTGCACGCTATCGGCATCTGACGATGACTGCGAGGCGACGACGCCTGCGATATCTTCGTCGAGGTCATCTTGGTAGCTGCGAAGGGCGTCGGCCGTGGCAGAGACGGACGAAAGGGTGGCGGGGTGGGAGAAGATGGCATTCAGGTGGTGAATTGGATCGTATTCAGCTGCATTGAGCGTCAGTGCTGAATCCATGACTCTGGACACTACGAGGCTGGCGTACTAGATTCGAGCGATGTCGAAGGTGCAGGCATATGGCTTGGAGGGGGTCCGCATCAATCTGCATGCGTTCGCGATACGCAGTCGCACTTGTCGCTCGTCGCTCGTCGCTCGTCGCTCGAAGCAAGGGCAGCGCTCAGCAAGACAGCAAGTGCGGCGTACGTGCAATGTAGTATTCTTGGCAATTTGGTGAGATGGCTACGTAGTCTATGCTTCATGACATCTGGAGCCATCTGTCCCTCCAGACTGCACGCATCCTCGTCAGTCCAGGGTCTCCTACATAGGGGCCCAAGCTTCATTGCGCTAACTGTGGGGAAGCTTCCATGGCACGACATGCACGCACAAAACTCATCGGAACACCTAGGTACTACACTGAATATCATGAAAATAGCCTTTTCCCGAGTTACCGATTTACCCCCATTTTGCGACCGAGCGTGCTGCCCGGATAACAGGTATCAACACACCACTTACTGCGGGAATAGCCCTAGGAAGCCATTGTACACCAGGCTACGGTCCTTTTGCCTGAGGGAGCTTGCATCTCCCGTTCCCGTCCAGTAGAAGAGCCCACCCAGTCCGTGTTGTCGCACATAATTCGCTTTCATCCGAACTGTGTGCGGGTTGTCGTACGTGACCAGACCACCATCCCCTCCGATGCAGTACGCTGCACCAAGCTGATCATCGATGTGCTCCTCTGAGCCTGGACGTGGCAGGTCCCGGTACTCAAACGTGCCCTCCTCGCCCGCTTGCCCCGAGAACGGATGACCTATGCCATGGGTTCCTGTGAAACTTCTGCCATAGGCTGGTACGCCCATGACTATCTTGTTCCTCGGCACGCCCTGACGCAGCATGTAGGAAACGGCTGAGTGGCAAGAAATGGCAGCTTCCGGGCTGTGTGGGATATGTGGTGTGAACAGCTGCGCCTGATGACCACACTTACTAACCCATGGGCCCGAATAGTCGTACGCCATGAGGTTGATCATGTCTAGGTAGTGCGCAGCATGCGCTAGATTGATGTGCTGGAGTGCCCATTCGCCCGCGGGAAGGGCCGAAGATAGCGTGTACTGTGGTGCTGGTAGGTACTGTCGAAGTATAGCTAATAAAGCAATGTAATCCTGACCCTGTCTGGCATCCGAGGGGTGTTCCCAGTCGACTGTGGCCTGTTCAGTAATGCACCATTGACCCAAACCAACAACTCACTGTCGATTCCATCGATGCCGAACTGTTGCACTAGTCCCAACGACGACTGAGCGAAGCGCTCACGGCAGGCTGGATCCCGAGCAACAGCCGCAAAAGGCTCACTGCCTTTCCCACCGCCACCGACAGACAGCACTACTCGTAGTCTTGTGTACTTCTTCTTGAGCAGCGCAAACGAGTTTAGGCAGCCCTTGGTTGCAGGGATGTCGTCAGTGCCTGGCACTTCAATCTGAGCATCTGCCCATTCATCGCTCAGCTATTAAGAGGTTAGTGATGGGGTGATTGACAGAGGCCGATCAACATACGTATACGGTGCCGTCGTCCTTTACCCTACGGTGATATTAGCGCATGTATTTTGCAGATCCCAACTCGGCCTACCATGCAAATGCGTAGAACACGTGCGAAATGACATCGTAATTGAGCGAGACAGGAGGCTGATCACGATAGATGCGCCAGTTAGGGTAGTAAACACCGTTCCAATACATGGCTTGCAGCGGTGTGGAAAAGGTGGTTTCGTGATCAAGTGGGTTGATGTAGTGTCGGTTCATTGTCGGTCGTCGTCAGCTATTTGCTTAGCTTGCTGCACGTCAGGGCACCCTGCAGGTAGAAACCCGTACCAGTGTTTGAAGGATCAGAGTCGGACGGGTATCGGAACCTCTGCATTATATGTTAGCAGAGCAGAACACCAAAAAATTATGTGAGATGGAAAGTGGGGATAGGTACGTAATGTAGCACAGTTTCCGTAGTTTTTGACTGAATTTATTTGTGTGACTGCCTTGGAGCTGATTCCAGAAAGTACTCAGGGGGTTTATCGTATGTTAGATGGGTCTATGGAACACGCTCCGACTGTCATCGTATATACATGCAAGACAAATGACTGCGGTATCGGTAGCGACTGGTGATGCAATGCATGAGTGATCGGGTTAGATGTAATCGGACTACAAACTTGTCTAGGATAATCGAGGTTTTCATTGCGGGACTTGCCATGGCTATCTTTGGTTCTACTGCGGATGACACGGTGAAGCCAAGTCTGTCACTCTGATAGCCTATGGAACAGAGATGGACAGTGGCATGTCCCTTGTCTCGACGGCCTGAGGTCGGAACATCTCCAGATCGATATTGTAATGTGGCCACTAGTCTACCAACAGGAGGGCAAGGAGATGATACCGAACTGTTTGAGCTCTAGCGTTTGCAAATATGCATGTCCGGAGCAAACAGGTGGCTTCTCGGAGCGTTGTGGGATAACAAAATAGGTGCTGCTTGTAATACCACCAGGAACGGCTTTCCGGCCAGAATGTGGGGAGCAATACGCAAGCAGTTAGAGCTGGTATAGCCAAGAAGCACTAAATAACGTCCTACGAGACCTGTAGGTGAGATTGAGGGTGACACCTTCAGCCCGCAATGGCTTCTGAAAACACGTTGTTGAAGATGCACACGCCATGAAAAGCGTATCACCGGGCCGGTGGGAACGGAGTGAGCATTGTGGCGCAGCTGCAAAGACCGGTTCTACGGCACGGAAGATAGAGAAAGCTGCAGGTAGATCAGGGTAGGTCCAAGTCGAGCGGGACATGACGGCTGTGCAAGACGGATTCAGTAAGCTGCAGTTGGATGCGGGACAGGCCGATGATCGCCGACGAACAATGAGATGCAGCTTCGAGTCTTGGCGCTCACGTGCCCTGGCGGCCCTTGCGCGACCAACCGTTCGCGACATCACATCACCACAACGCATCGTGATTCTTTGATCGCGTGCCTACTGAGCTCTTACTGCTGACAGTACATAATAACAGACTCACGGGAAGCATCAAGATACAACTGCGCGATTATGACCGAGGTCATGACGCCAGTGCCGGCGCAAGCATCCGAGCAGAAGCCTGCTGAAGCTCAACAACCACAATACACCTTCAAGTTCTCCGAATTTCTACGGCGTGAATATCGCTTTGGTCTAAACCCCGATCGCCCAACATGTAAAGCATATCTGCAAGGACATTGTCCAGATGGCAACCGATGTCCCAATAAGCACAACGTCACGTCATCCTACAACAAGTAAGTCATGTTAAAAGTGTGCGCTCACTGCTTTCGCAAGCTCACACAGCTTCTAGTCTCGTATGCAAACATTGGCTGCGAGGCCTCTGCAAAAAGGGCGAGACATGCGAGTTCCTTCACGAATACAACCTGCGACGAATGCCCGAATGTTCCTACTACGCCCGAACCCAGACATGCTCCAACGGCGACGACTGTCTCTACCTCCACATCGACCCCGAAGCCAAGCGACCTTCATGCCCACACTACGACCGAGGCTTCTGTCCACTCGGCCCGCATTGCTCGCTAAAGCACAACAAAAAGGACAAGCTATGTCCATTCTACCTATGCGGTTTCTGTCCAGAAGGCAAAGGCTGCAAATATGGAGCACATCCGCGATACCCCACAGATCTCAAGAAACCCGAGGTACGTGTTGAGAAGAGCCCCGAAGAGCTCGAGGCGGAGAAACTGGAACGCGAGCGTGAGATGATGAGGAGAGAGGAGGAGGAGCGCGAGCGGGATGAGAGGAATGGCCATCAAGGCGGTCGCGGATTTAGGGGTAACTGGGACCGCAAGAAGCGTGGAAGGGGAAGAGGACGAGGTGGTCGTGGACGAGGAGACTTTTGAGCTGCTGTTGTTTTGCTGGGGAGAGCACCATCATTCTTATCATAAGACGATCTTGCATCTCGGCTGGTCCAAACACCACATCTCCACAGACTTTATTCAGAGGGAGAAATGCGGGGACTTCAGTGTAAGGAAGACACCCCAGAGCTTGGCTCCCACACTAGGGCCCCAGCTATAACATTGACGGTCAAATGAGCTCGCAGCCTTGGCAGCGGCTCAGCACAGCCTTTGAGATACCCACATCAATCCCACATTGATAACGGCAAATGGCTAAAGAGAAGGAGAGAAGTCCCAGAAGATTGGTCTGTCAAAGACTTGGGTAGCTACGAACACCAATGAACTTCGATACCATTATACATGAAAGCGCCATTGTCTACCTTTCATCTTCGTATAGTCCCCTCATCACGAATACAACTAAGTATTTCAGCAAATGGCTTTTTGTAGCTTGATACTATCATATGCCTTTTATTTTCTTCTTCTCTGGATCTTGTGGACGAGTAAGGAGGGGTAAGAAGCGTTGCTCGGGGCTGGTATAGTTGGTAGCGACTTCTTGATTTCTTATGACTGTAGTTTCGATGTTGTAACCCTAGTTGCTTTCCCGTGGCTAGATAAGTGTATGATTCCGCAGGAGTTATGATGGAGGAGAGTAGTAAATGACATATCTTACACAATCTAGACTTTGATGTCACTGCGCTGCAAGGGATTCTACACTTGTTCCTTTCCTATCGCCATACGATGGAGTATATCGTTCCTCCACGAGATTTTCCGCGCCACCGTTGGTCTGTTACTCTTTTGTACACATTTGACGTCTGCTACACTGGAGAAGGATCCCCCTAGGACCTAAGCTTTACTGGCTAGTGCGAATCGCTTCTGGTCGGCGGCGTATGGGATCGATGGTATCTGTTTAGCTGCGGCGAGATCAAGGACAACCGCCGATAGACTTTCCATTTCATATTGGATGGTACTGGCCCGACACATAATAAATTTGTGCTCGTGCTAACACCAATGCGTTACAGCTCGCCAGGACGAAATTGATTCCATCTCGCGTATATTGCTGCCGGCAATATCCTTTGGTAAACATAATCGCGACCTCAAGGTGCGATGTCTGCTTCCAATGCGCTCGCGAGACTTTTGGCGTTAGCCTCGTATTCCATACAACAAGGAGCCTGCCTTGTTTCACCCCTGTCGATTACGCGGGGAAGCATATCCGAGGGACGTTCCGCAATGAACAGGACTAGGGTACCGTTACTCTGGCGCCTTGCGGTTCATGCTTCCGCGCTCCCGTCACCGGCTTCAGCTGTACCACCGCTTATCTTCGAGGCTACATGATCGCTCACCGGTGAACTATAGCTGCGGCTCTTCCAAGCATCTTAGCAAAATGACTGGTCGTCGAGGTCGTAACAACTTCAAGGCTACGCTCAGCCTGACGCACCTAAGGGACGTACTCTCCCATGATAGGTCTACGATTGCACTGCCGGTGCAGGCAGCCGCCATTGAGTTGATAACATGTGTGCAACGATCATTCGTTCTGGACCAATGGATTGTGTTGCATGAACAACCCCGCCTTTTGCGCTTGGTGTGGCACAGTGATAAAGCAGCGAACAACCTCCGTCGAGCTACTCTTGGGGAACCCGTAACCTTTTCTTTCGTTATCACAGGAAATCTTTGGAGTTTCTGCCCTCAGAGGAAAGCTCAGCATGTCTAATGACGGTCAGTGTGAGACGTGCAAACGCACGTTTGGCAGTCAGCAAGCTGCTGATCAGCATATGGATTCGTTGAAACACTGGAGCCCGCGACTTGAATGCGATATCGATGATCAGAAGTCGCTTGTTCAACGCTTAGCAGATTTGTCCATGGGAATCAACCCAGAAGAGCCAGCCAAATCTACTGTTGCGAGAAGCGAGACGGTTACAGCTACGCCCCAACTTCAAAATCACACGCCCTCCCAATCACTCGAAGACACGAAGAGTGGGAAGCCTCAATTCCCGTGCAATATCTGTACCAGGAAATTTCTCACACAAAGTTCTTTGGATCAGCACAGGCACAACACAGGACACCAAGGGTCTCGATTTCAATGCAAGGCCTGTAACAAAGTTTTCCTTTCCCCATCCAGTGTTGATCAGCACAAAAAAGCTACGGGACACCTCGGCAATCCATTTCAGTGCAAGATATGCAGTGGGAATCATCCCAACAAGCAGTCTTTAGACCAGCATGTGAAGGATACAGGACATCAGGAGCCCCAATTCAAGTGCGACACTTGTGATGGAAAGTTCACGTCCAAATCCTCTGCCAAACAGCACATGGACGACAAAAGCCACCACAAGCAATACAACTGTCCCGAGTGTAAGAAGGGATTCAAGAGCCAGAATGCTTTGGATACGGTATGTTGTTCAGACTTAGTCAATCGCTTAGTCAGTTCTCTCTCAACCCTTAAGATGTTACTGACTATCGTAAGCACGTCAACATGACCGCTCATGGCGACAAGAAAGCGGCGTACCCGTCCCCCAGCCAAGAACACACTATCGAACCAAAAGCCGAACGGTTCCAAAACGAAAATCCAAGCAAAACACCGAAGCCTGCACCTCGAGTACCGCAGCTGAAAGCTCCCCATGTTGAACAAATCACAAGTTCCTGCCAAATGTATCCACTCCTCCACCCGGCCATCGCAAATGCACTAGCCGAACACCAGAGATGTCAACAAGCAAGTCAAGCTGGCTTGATTCTTATCGATTGCAGATCACAGACCATTCTCTGGGACGTGCCACTGTGCACGAGCCTCTATATTGTCTGTGATCTGCAATCGATAAGAATCAAGCCAGCTTGACTTGCTTGTTGACATCTCTGCCGAACACGGAATCCCAGTCCATTTCCACAACATAAACAGCGAAAAGGGATTCATCAACTACTACTCAACCAACATTACCGGCAAGATTACGTGTGTAAACAAGTTATGCACCCGAGGTACCTGGGGCACCGGCAGAGTCGCAATAAGGATCAGGAAATATCCAAACGATCGGTACAACGCCGCAGTGTATAACCAAGGGTGTCAAAAGTGCAAGAAACTGGGAAGATTGTTCGTAGATGAGCAAACATATATTGAGCGGGTTTCGTATAGATTGAAGAAGTGGACGGGTGTTGATGAGGAACCTCCGGAGTATAGGGAGAAAGGGACGCCGCCACATAGAGAGGATCTTTGCGAAGGTTGTAAGGCGGGGATTTGTATGAAGGGGGTGAAGAGGAACTACTGGGAAGATTTGGATGGCTTTTGAGCTTGTATCTTCGTGGGGTGGTTTGTTTTCTTTTGTTTGTGGGCATGTTGGAGGTGAGGTAATTGAGCTATTGGAATTTGCATTCCAAATTCACCAGAGTTTCCTGTGGCGCACTCACCTGAAATTAACATGATCGATCAGAATAAAAAGGTGATTGTAAACTCGAGGCACATAACTCCAGCCCTGGGAAGCGACAACTGTTGATCCTTGAGACAGGATATGCTGCACTACTTCATCGTTCCACGCTCTTTAGATTTCCGTTGACATATACCTCTCATGTGACTGTGCTCTCTTCTCACCGCCTGTGCCATGTTGCGGAATATGTTTCCCGAGCAAGCTTTATTCGATAAATGACTGCGTGAATCCTTTACTTTTGCCACACAGCTGATGATACTGTGCGTGTCGTTCTCCACATAACATACAACACTATAGAACAAAGTGCGAAAGCTTAGGACAGCTCTTGTTAGATCATGAAGGCAATAGTGTTTTAGCTGGGCTGGGACGCGCTATAAATTCCATCAGACATCGTGGAATACAGACATGGCAAATCAAGGGTCATGAGGTGAAGTAGAAGATTGTTTTGTTGATGTCACTGTAGCAAGCAGGCATTGACATGAGAGAAGCTTGTGATTGGGGATCATGTAAGGAGTGTATTCATGATGTAGTTTGTAACAAAAATGCCAAGCTGACAGCCAACAAAAATGTCTATTAATAGCACAGTTTTTCCTTTAGGTACCGCTTTGGAAAGACAGAACCAAGATAAAGTACGAGTTTATTGAGCAGGAGGACGCTCAGATTCTGGGCTACAGTTCGCATAACCCAAGTCTGGGTGCCCTGGGATTGGCTTAGGGTGAGTAATGCAACCCCAGCCTTCCGTGTTGCATGGATAAAGCTAGTTTTGTTAGCTTTACTTAGCTAAACATCAAGTGAGAAAATAAAACACGTTCAACTTACACTAGAACAGAAGTAGGACTTGACACCATTATTGCACGATCCATACGGTGATACAAAAGTCGCTACCTTTGTACACTTCTGTTATTTTGTTAGGAATATGACCAGAAACTGGCAGTAAATAGAAAGAGCTTGAGGTTTGTGAAGGAAGCAAGCTGAGGTTATGGACAGAGGGCTAATCCATTTTGCGAAGGCTCCTGACATCATCGAGAGCAGAATAATCGAGGTACAGAGCTTCATGTTGGTGGAGGGTGAACTGATTTTGATATTGTGTAACGGTAGGAATGCCAAGGTTTGCAAGAGTGTATTGGTATTGAACGCCACCCCGCACCCTCGATGGCTTTATGTAGCAAGAATCGGAGACCTCGGACCTTCTACGCCGCCGCACGTCAGATCGGATTCATTTCCGAGGCCCCAAAATATCCACAAATGAAAGCCGTCGCTGCTTTTTCCCGCCTTCAACCTGGAAACGACCACAACCAAGATAGAGTGTGTAGTCAAGGTCTAACTACAGTTTGCATATGACGGTATCACTCCTCTGTACATGAAGCACCCATTTTTTTTTCTACATGGGTTGGACTAATTCTGTCAGAATTTTCTACCCTCAGTAACCTAGAATCCTGGAATGTTTAACTTACCTCCCTACAAGGTACAGATACGGTGGCTCCATTCTCCGGCTGTACTCTGCGACAATCCCCCCATCTCCACGGCGAATCCGGGTTGTTCCTTACGTACTCCGGGTCGGGAGGCACACACGTCTTTTGTTTTGTCAGCTTTAGAGTTCAACGTTATCTGCAGAAAGAGAGAACTTGAAAAGAGTGTATAAGAGAAAGGTGTATTTGAGGTAGAGGACTTACTCCACCCTCTCGTGCTAGGGCTCCGGATAGCATTGAGAACACGGCAATCGAAGTGAGAAGCTTCATATCGGTAGATAGCGCATTGGTTTTGCGTGTATAGGACAAATTTGACAGTGCCGTTCAATCCGGATGAGGGTCGAGATGAGGTTGTAACGTGTCCGTGCACCTCATGCCCGGATTCATCTCATGCCCCGCCGAACACCGACGCGTGTCTCAATACTACAACTTTGACGCGCAATAACTCCACAACTATGGCTCCGATTGATGAAGCGATTGCAGATTTAGAATCGCGCGATCCAGGAGAGAAATTCACATTAAAAGAAGTTGCTGAAAAATGGGGGGTTAACCGCTCAACGCTAGGGCGAAGATGGAGGCGCGTGACAGGGCCTAGGAGCGATGGATACGCTCAGCAGCAAGCTATCGGCCCACAACAAGAGTTAGAGCTTGTACGATATATCACTAAGCTCACTAAGCAAGGCCTACCTCCTACAAGAGAGATGATCAGGAATTTCTCATCAGAAGTAGCCCATCAGCAGCTCAGCGAGAGCTGGGTTACTCGCTTCATTAACCGACACGAGATCTATCTTATCTCAAAGTGGACCACCGCCATGGATCGTACGCGCCACCTGGCTGATTCTGAGTCAAAGTATAGACTCTACTTCGAGCTGCTGCACCAGAAGATCACCGAATACCACCTAGAGGCTCGAGATATATACAATATGGATGAAAAGGGCTTCCTTATTGGTATGATAGGCAGGAGTAAGAGGATATTTAGCAGGCGTCAATGGGATAAGAAAGAGGTTCGAGCATCTCTCCAGGATGGATCACGCGAGTTTCTGACACTCCTGGCCTGCTGCTGCGCCGATGGGAGCTCGCTGCCTCCAGCCCTTATCTACGCAGCTAAAAATGGAGCCATACGATCGAGTTGGGTGGAGGATATTAAGGCAGGAGAACATGAGGTCTTTGTCTCATCATCTCTAACAGGCTGGTCAAACAATGACGTAGGCCTAGCTTGGCTAGAGCAGGTGTTTGATCGCTATACAAAGCAGCGATCAGGGAGATGGCGATTGCTCATCCTTGATGGCCATGGATCTCACCTCACGATGGAGTTTATCAAGTACTGCGATCGCCATAGGATCCTCCTCATGATCCTTCCTCCCCATTCGACTCATACGCTCCAGCCGCTCGATGTAGTGCTGTTCAAGCCACTCTCTCAAGCCTACTCCAACGAGCTCACTAACCATCTCTACAAGGCTCAAGGCCTCATTCCAATTAAGAAAGGAGACTTCTTCCCACTCTTCTGGAGAGCTTGGCAGGCCTCGTTTAAGCAATCAACTATATTAAAAGCGTTTGAAGCTACTGGTATATGGCCAATAGATCCCAACGTTATCCTTCGTAGATTTGCCAGCACGCCAGAAGCTGAGAGAAGCTCATCTTCAGGGCTCTCTGATCATGACTGGAGAAAGCTCGATCGGTTAGTACGAGCTGCTGTCAATGATAGCCATCAGTATGAGGCAAGAAAGCTGCGCTCAAGCGTTCACCATCTCTCTGTGCAGTATAAGCTTTTACAGCATGAGAACGAGGGCTTAAAGGAGGCTCTTCAACATAAAAAGAAGCATAAGAAGAAGGGCAAAGCTCTTGACCTTCAACAGCGCCAGGAGTATCACGGTGGCTCTGTCTTCTGGTCTCCTCGCAAGATACGCGAGGCTCGAGCTAGAGAAGTAGTACGGGAGCGAGATAAGATAGAGGAGAAACTCCAAAAAGCACAGGCCAAGAAGCAGCGTGAGGAGGTTCAACTGCAGCGTCAAGTTAAGCTCGAGGAGAAGCGTGTAGAGAGGCAGAGGCTCAAGGAGATAAGGGAGCTTGAGCGAGCTGAGAAAGCAGCTGAACGCGCGCGCAAAGTTGAAGCTCAACACCAGAAAAAAGCCACCCAACAAGCTCAACAACGCAAGCGTAAAGCCTCAAGAGCGCCCTCTTCTAAGAACAAGCGTCAAAAACGAGCGATGGAGGATAGAGCTCGCGATAGAGTTGCATCTCCTCCATCGCCTCCACCACCAAAGACCACATCACGTGGCCGCAACGTCAACCTCCCACAAAAATTCAGATAGTACAAGTTAATCGCAAGTATCTAATTACTGCAATGCTATGTTTTTATTAATATTAAGCTATTGTGTGGTGTTGTACAGCTTCAAATTTGAGATCGCTAAGATGGTGTTCGCGGGGCATGAGATGAATCCGGGCACAAGGTGCACGGACACGTTAATTGATTTTTTTTTGCGGTTAGGAGCGGAAGCCTTGCATTACGCTGCCTTTAAATAGTTTGACCAAGAGAGCTTTGCGCCGCGTGTCTCGTCTCTGCATGTCTCTCTAACTCTTATCCTGCGGGACGTTGAAGATCGTAATCGTATTTAAAGGCCGAAAATATCCACAAATGTACCCTGTCCGTGCGCGTTTTGAGCCAGTTCGAGTTTTGAGCCACCCCACCACAAGGTTGTCAGTAATCAATATCTCATCAATATTGTTGTTTGATTTGTTTGATTCGGAGCCAACCAACTAACCAACAGTTAGCCACTGTATTTCTGTCAATCAATCAACCAATCTTGAGAACAAAATGTTGATAGGATTGGTGTTGTTTGATAGTAAGCGAGGGAGGGGGATACCTAGGTGAGGCCTCTGGGATAGCTGCTCAACGACGAATTCTTAGTGTTGGATCTTGCTTACTAAGCCTACTCGCGTGTAAGTTATATGACCTAGGTTCCATCCCATCTCTCACTCACTCCAGGCTAGTACGTACGAGGCTTAGCGCCCACAACGCTAGCTGGCAGAGACATAGATCTCAATTCCTGTAGCACAATACACAACACGATTCACACATGTTCTATTCCTAGTGCTACTGACATCAGGCTTATAACATTTAACAACACCTTACTTTCTCGCGGCTCCGGCTTACTTTTAGCCTTATCCATGCCCTCTATACCAGCAAAACGCAAGCCCGAGGCTGCCGAAGAAGCTGATACTCCCTTCAAGCGAGCACAACGTACGCGCAAACCTACGCTCAAAGCGCTGTTGGGTGACGGCAGCCAGCCAACCCAGCCGATAGAGCTGCCAGAAAGTACGCCGGATCCGCCTACAGAGCCGCCTACACAAGTTATCGAGCCGCCCACACGGGCTATTGAACCGCCATGTAAGCCTGTACAACAACCCGAGGAGCGCCCTCGGCGGGCATCACCACTGCCTATTTTGGCTGCCTCACAAGCCTCTCGGCTCACTGATGAGCCAGCCTGGGAGTCGCAGTTAATGTTTGATAAGCCAGAGGACTCTATTGTACAGCCTTTAGCTTTCTCTAGCGCTGCCACTGAGGCTTCGGTGGAGGAGGATAGCGCTGTGAGCGTCGATTTTCGCGACTTTGAGGGCGTCGATTGGTCGCGATTAAAGGGGTTTGTCGCGCCGCTGAGCACTCCACGAGGCAAGGCAAGCTGGATTTTTCAACACGGCTGGCGTGTCTGGAAGGAGGGTACTCACCACCCAGATGAGTTGTACTTTGTGTGCAAGTACTGTCATATTCATAAGCTACCTAATGGTGTACACCGAGTAACGAAGTCAACCACTGCCGCCAACGGGCACCTCCAGCTTGATAAACCTGGTCATCGGCTCAGCAAAGATGGTCCAATCCTAAGCAAACCTCTCCGCAAACATGGACAACAATCACTTCGTCAGGCAGCTCTAAGCGGTGTCAAATTTAGTCTAGAGGCGTACAAGACTATAGGAAACTTCGACGTACAAGAATTTCGGCAGGCAGCTGCGCTCTGGCTGGTCGACAACAACAGACCACTCCGCGAGTTTGAGACGCCGGCTTTTCGCAAGATGATCAGGCTTGCTAATCCTGAGGCAGAGGCGGCGTTATGGAGGTCTCATAACAGCGTGTCAGCGTTCGTGATGAGGTTGTACAGTTGGCTACGGCCTCAGGTGGTGCGCGCGTTGGCTGAAGCCGAGAGCAAGGTACATATAAGCTTCGATGGGTGGACGACAAAAGGCGGCAAACGTGGCTTCTTTTCTGTAGTTGCTCACTACGCCAACAGTAAGGGCGCGATAGTTGACCTACCCATCGCGCTGCCGCAGCTGGTGGGTGCCCACACTGGTGAGGCGATAGCTGACGCTGTAACCAAAATCCTGCAATCCTTCAGCATTAATCGCAGCAAACTCGGCTACTTTGTGCTCGATAACGCTTACAATAACGACACCGCTGTTAACAAACTCGCCGCGATGTACCACTTTTCTGCCTCCGATCGCCGCCTCCGCTGCGCTTGCCACATACTTAACCTTGTTGGCCAAACGATTATGTTCGGGAGGGATGCTGACGCGTATAACAACGCCCTGGAGAACACAAAGATGGAGGATTTTTACATGAAGGAGTGGCGGAAAGAAGGACCGCTTGGCGTGTATCTTGATATTATCAACTACATCAACACGCCGAAGCAGTGGAGTATTTTTGAAGATTGCCAACGCGAGGCAGTTAACAGCATGCCCACAGGCGCCAGCGGCGGCACTCGCGAGCCAATTAAGCCGTGTGTTACACGTTGGAACAGCTATTACGACTGCTTTAAGCGCGGAGTTCAGCTCCAACAAGCTATCAACGCATACGCCACGTACCACATTCGCGAGACTGAACAGGCTGACGAACAGGCAGCTATTAGAGGAAACAAGCTGCCTGATGTGCCGCGGTGGATGAGGTCAGACGGCCTTACGGCGGCTGACTGGGCGGTGATTACTGAGTACATGGCGATACTGCAGCCGCTCAAGTTTGCTACAGATCGCCTCCAAGGCCGCGGCAAGTGTGGCCGTTTTGGCGCACTCTACGAGGTCATCCCAGTATTTGAGAGTGTGATAACTGAGCTGGATGCACGCCTTCGGCCATACGAATCGGTCAACCACGAGCCATCTGAGGCGCCCGAAGATCACATCCCGATCAACCTGCGAGCCGCGAGGCGAAAAGCGAGCAATTACTTTACTAAGATCCTCCAAAGTCCCATTTACTACGCAGCTACGGCACTACATCCACGATATAA